TCAAACACTTGGCCATGTCCATCCACGACCATCCAATGCTTGCCTGAGTGTGGAACCATAAGCAGATATGTAATGGGAGGGTCAGGATGTTTTGAGTGTACATATAATAGGGAGTGTGTTTGAGGGAGGTCATGGACTTCTAAGTGACAAAACCACATGATATTCTATGAGCATCCACACCCATCTGCTCATGTCCAACACCCATCTAAGTCCATCTGTGCCTGTCTGACACTTGGCTGTACCTATACCCAACAATCTGCCACACACCCAAGTGTCGAACCATAAGCAGATATATAATAGGAGAGTCAGAATGTTTCAGATGTACATATAATGGGGAGTGTGTTTGAGAGAGGTCATGAACTCCTAAGTGGAACACATGGTTAGTTTGGCAAGCAGGTTTTCACCCATATATTAGAGGTGCCTTGGTAGATATTTTCCCTCAGTTGTTTCTTTCACCTTCTTAGGCAGCGGCTGAGTGCAGATCCACTTCTGCTTTACTTAGTTTTGTCACTAAGTGGAACACATGGTTAGTTTAATGAGCAGGTTTTTACCCATATATTAGAGGTGCCTCAGTAGATATTTGCCTCAGTTGTTTCTCTCACCTTCTTTGGCAGCAACTGAGGTATGTTACTATTTACATTCATTTATATACAGTATAGCTAATATAGAGTAGTGCAGATCCACTTCTGCTTTACTTAGGTGAATAAAGTCATTCTCTCACCTTCTTTGGCGGCAGCTAAGTGCAGATCTGCTTCTGCTTTACTTAGTTTTGTTACTGTTCCCTGTGTCATTTCTAATATGTTTTTCACATGCTCATACATGACCTTCTCCTCTAGCTTGCAGATCTTCTTGGACCTACCTACAGTATATAAACCCCTGTAAATTCCTGTACTCTCCTCACAATGAATATTATTTCTTATTAGACTTTGCTCATTATTCTCAGACTTAGGCTCAGCCCTTGTCACCTCCTGCCTTAGGCTTGATTCCCTAGGCTAGAGTTCTGCCTCTCTGGCATTTATCCCCTCTCCAGACTTAAGCCTAGAGCTTTTGTCAACTCTGCTCCTCTGCTCCTGTCCTTTTTGACTGCCTGCAATATAGACACAAATGTCATATCTTCACCAATGCAGCACGGTGCAATGCCACGTCCATAGCACACATCCTCACATCCAAAAAAACCACCCCTCACCTCCTCAGATACATCAACAGCACGGGCCGCTTCAAACCAACATTCGGTGAGCTATTGCAAACCTAACAGCAAAATACTACAGTATATTTGTACAGATCTGCACATAACCCTGCTTCAGCACTCACACCCACACATCTCAATCTCTCTCTCTCTCTATCTATCCATACTCTCTGAGTCAAAAGGAAAGACACATCCTAGAGCGTCGCTGTCGAAACTGAAAGAAGACCACATCAGAATGGAAGGCACACCACCATACTGACCCACTCTTTCCTCGCAGCCATCCCTTTTGTACCTGTCCACCTCACGTGGTGGAGTACAAGTTTGCATCATCCATCCTGCTAGAATACATACCCCAAACATACATGGCAGAAGGCTTATGACGAGACAATGTCCAACACAGGGTCAATGACCCCAAAGGACCACACTCTGAAGCAAAAAAAAAAAAAAAAAAAAAAAAACATCTCTGCAACTTCCCCTTTTTGTTCCTCAGTCAGTCCTTTGAACATCACTGTCATTGTCTGCCACCCCTTTGGCTTGGCACAGTTATAATATTTCATTGGCCCTGCACATCTATGTGCCTGGTCCAAGTCCATGGTTTCACCTTGTCCAGGAAAGATACATCTGCCCCCATTGCCCATCTGACCCCCCATGTTTGTGTTGATTCCAGTCATTTGACCTGCTCCCATGTTAGGATTAAAACCTCATCCACCAAGTACCATCCCTAGTCTGAGCCATCCTGGTCCTGCCCTTCCTTCTCTGAATCACCTCTCTCATCTGCTCTTTGGTTCCTATCATACTTGTTTGCATAGTCCCTCCAGGCCAACAAGGTTTGATCAACCTGTGGTGCAGCTACTATCACCTCAAAGGTTGGCTTGTTACACAAAACCTCTCAGATAAGATCTGGTGGTGCTAAACCCAGCAAGGGGTTTTCATAGCATGGCTTTCAGTGCTAGCCCAGCAAGGAGCTTACCTGTGCTTGGTCTGAGTAAGGATTGGGGTCCTTACTTGTGTAGAGTTGTTTAGAGAGTCTCAAGGATACAATCCAAGAGAGTAGAGTTCAACTCAAGAGTATTGTCTCAAGAGAAGATGGTTCTTTGCACAGAGGGAGTTCTCTTAGGTAAGAGAAATTCAGACCCAAAGACAAGTACAAGATGAGAACCAAGTAGATTCAAGTTAGAGAATCTATCTACAGGATATTGTATATATATACATAAAGTGTTGTATACCAGATCCGAGCACCTCCAATACCACCTGTGAACATCCCTACCACTATTCTGACCCCCTGTTTCCCCGTCCACCCCATCCCTCCTTCTCTAACAATGCATGAAGTGCATCTCAGCAGGACTAGCCCTGCTACCTCCACCCAACTCTATTCCACTCCTCTGACACTACCCCTATTTTCTCCAACACTATATCCCATACCTCCAGATCCAGAAGTCCAGATTCTCCCGTATGAAAGTCCGGGTTTCCATCCTATTGTCTGCTTGGCGCTCCACTTTCATCTCCAGACTTACATCTGTCTCCTTTTAGAATAACTGCTCTCCGGCTACTGGTTATGTCTTTCCGCTTTGCTTACTGATCTGTCTGTTCATACTTCATTTCCAACTTCACTGCTTTGATCTGTTATACTCTTACTAATAGACTTTCCATATGCTTGGGGCATAGCTTTTACTTTGCTGACTGATTTACTTACATGATACCTACAGTATATAAACTCCTGTAATACTCCGGTACTCCTGAGTTCAAATATCACCTTAATTCCTGCTCATTCCTGCATCTCTGGACTTGAGCTTTGTCTCTTGTCAATCTCTGAGTCTTAGGATTAATAATTCCTTTGACTGTACCTCCGACTCTCATCTTAGTTCTGCTCATTCCTGCTTCTCTGGACTTGAGTTTGATCTCTTGTCCACCTCCGAGTCTTAGGGTTAATCCTTAGAACTATATCTCCAGCTCTACCTTAGGGTAGTCTAACTCTGTTCTGCTTCTACTCTGGACTTGTCCAGTAGTAGCCTTACTCTGTTCGTTCCTAGCCTTCTGGAGTTCCGCTGAACTCCCCCAGCATCTGACCTCTAGACTTACCCAGACTTCCATCGGACTTCCCCTCTGCCTCTTGGAAATTAAGGGCACATACTTGGGTAAGGGGCACAGCTCACGAGCTGAAGCTGAAGCCCTTTGAGTTGTCTTTCCCTTGAGCACAACCTTAACATAAGGTGAGATACTGGTTGAATGGTAAGGGTCAAGGGTAAGTGGAAGTAGTACTGAAGCATTGGTAAGGGTCAAAGGTATGTATGAGTCACGGTCAGAAAGGGGTAAGAAGTACTGGTTGAATGGTAAGGGCAAAGGGCATGGGGAATCCCCATCAAAGGTGGAACCAATACAACAGTAGAGGCAAGGGTAGGGCATAGGGTTAGATAGAAGCAGTGGCTTCTGTGATCTAGGGGAAGAAGCAAGAGCTTCTTGTGTTTCAAGACAACACAATCAAAAATAAAAGAGACAAGAATAGAAATGTAACCATGGTCCAGGTCTAGATGAGTCTGCACAGTTTAGCCACATATCAGTGGTCGAAAGAATAAAAAAAATGAAATAACATGTAACGCTCATGTTACTGTAACACGGCTTATCAAGGTTTTGCTGCAAGATGTCAAGCAAATTTGAACGCTGCAAGAGTTGCAAGTTGGTCAAAATTCGTGAAATACTCATCTGCAGATTGCCCAGGGCTTTTCTTCAATGCATGTAGTTTAATCTGTGTGGCTCATTTCTCATTCAGATTGTCAAACCCCTCCTTCAGCCTCTTCTTTGTTGGAAAATTCCTAGCGGCATAAAAATGCTCACATGTTGTAATGTGCCCAAGTGTCATATACCAGATCTGAGCACCTCCAATACCACCTGTGAACATCCCTATCACTAGTCCGACCCCCTGTTTCCCCATCCGCTCCATCCCTCCTTCTCCAACAATGCACAAAGTGCATTTCAGCAGGACTAGTCCTGCTACCTCAGCCCAACTCTATTCCGCTCCTCCGACACTACCCCTATGTTCTCCGACATTATATCCCATACCTCCGGACCCAGAATTCCGGATTCTCCCCTATGGAAGTCCGGTTTTCCATCCTATTGTCCGCCCAGGTGCTCCGCTTTCATCTCCGGACTTACACCTGTCTCCTTTTAGAATAACTGTTCTCCGGTTACTGGTTATGTCCTTTTTCGCTATGCTTACTGATCCATCCATTCTTACTTCATTTCTGACTTCACTGCTTTGATCCGTTACACTTTCAACTGAGCCTACTGTCAACATTGTACTGATATCATATGCATTGCAGCTATTATTATAATATTTAGATCATCGGAAGAAATCTCGTCAGAATGCATGCAATGATGAACTGGCGCTTCATGGTCCAGGGGGTAAGTTCTCCTCAATGATTTGTTACACGACTATTCTAACTCAACTCTAATTGTTATTGCTAGTTGATCCAATTTTGATCTGGACAATACAAGATGGTCCAGAAACTGCTGGTGGGGAAAATGAGGACATTGGTATGTTGTTTCAGCCTCTTGAGTCACTCAATCTTGTGAGAGCCTGACCTGTATACTAGACATGCATGGGTTATCGCCCTGGAGTCACCAATTAGGGGATTTCAATCCAGGATCTCCAAACTTTTGTGTAGACTTTGATCATGAACTGCATGAAATGCCTGAACCACAACCTCCACAGGATGATATAAAAGTGGAATATCATCCCCATAGTAAACTCCCTTCGACTGTCCATCATTTTGCAGATTTTTCCTGCAGACATCCTACTGAAGATTCTGTGCCCCATAGTGCTTCACCATGGGAACCATTCCAAATATGTCTCAACTTTGAGATTGCAGAAATTGCACTGGAGGCAGCAATGACCAAAGAACAGACTAACCAGCTGATTGACCTTGTACACTGTTCTGCAAATGGTCAAGAGTCCTTCACATTACAGAGTCATGACAAAGTCTGTTCATTTTGGGCAATGCCTTCTGAACAGTTCACACCAGTGAGTTTCCTCAAATAATTTGTGATCAATGTAATTGATGTTTGAAGCATAGTTTCAGGTCAGTGTAGACTCAGTGGCAAAGAGCACACTTTCAGCTCAACACAAGGTCAAAGGTCCACATGAAGTAGAGGATTCAGAGGACAGAAACAACCTTCCTATGATGAGATCCTCTGAATATGAATCTCTCACCAACCAATTATCACAGCATTTGGGCAGTCTTTGGTGTGAGGCTGCCAAAAGTGAAATACCAGTTACAGGTATTTAATTTACAATGATAAGCTACAAAATACATTAAAGCTGGCATTGAGGTCAATGCAAGTTGGTGCTTGAGTTCATTGCAAACCCTGAGGACAAAGTTGCAGTATGTGTATTTGGATTATATCAGTAGATAGTGTGTAATATTCTGGGTGTATATTACAATACAATATCAAGCATCGTCGAACGGAGCCAGTTCATAGATCATAAACCAAGGTAAATGTGACATCTTGTCGTGTATATTAATCAATCAATAATTGTGTGTTCATAGGTTGACCTATGACTATATCAACTGTGTTCTCCTTGTTGAGATGCCAAGTTGTATCCATGAGGTTCCCTGTATGGTGTTGAAATTGTGATTTGACACTTATCTAGTGAGCCTCGACTTTGACCGTGGCCTTGTAGATATGCAAGTATTCCTGAATGCCAATATTGAAACAGGACACGCTCTCCACTATTCCAGATCTGATGATGACTGTCATATACTGGATCCGAGCACCCCCAATACCACCTGTGGACACCCCCACCCCTGGTCCGACCCCCTGTTTCCCTGTCCGCTCCATTCCTCCTTCCCCGACAATGCACAAAGTGCATCTCAACAGGATTAGCCCTGCTACCTCTGCCCAACCCCTTTTCACTTTTCTGACACTACCCCTATGTCCCCCGACCCCATACCCCTTCCATCTGACCCTATCTGGGGTTCCACTCCTCTGCCCTATTGGTCCGCCCGATCATACTCCTACTCCCTCCGCTTTTCTGACCCACAGGGGTCCTTCAGTTCCGCTCGTATTCCCCCACCTGACTGTTAGTCTGTCTGACCGCCTCACTGGTCCACTCCTAGACTAGGAACCACTCAACTGGTCCTATCCCCGTTTAGTATCATAATCCCTATACCCTAGCGATTCTGATCTGTTGCATACATACTGTTCCCTGAGCCTTATTCTCGTATGTCTCAGTCATCCTATTGTAATCCTGTACACTCAGCACATAGCCCTCTGCTATGCTATGCTCATCACTTAGAGTATATAAACATATGTACATTTGTCTGTAGATACTCAGTCTGAATATTACCTTTTCTAAGTCCTGCTCTTCTGTTCTCTGACTTGGGCCTGATCCTAGTCAACTCTTGTTAAAGCTGGCCTAGGGGATTGACTCCCTAGGTCGGCCATCCTCCGTTCCTCCGTTCCTCCGTTCCTCCGTTCCTCCGTTCCTCCGTTCCTCCGTTCCTCCGTTCCTCCGTTCCTCCGTTCCTCCGTTCCTCCGTTCCTCCGTTCCTCCGTTCCTCCGTTCCTCCGTTCCTCCGTTCCTCCGTTCCTCCGTTCCTCCGTTCCTCCGTTCCTCCGTTCCTCCGTTCCTCCGTTCCTCCGTTCCTCCGTTCCTCCGTTCCTCCGTTCCTCCGTTCCTCCGTTCCTCCGTTCCTCCGTTCCTCCGTTCCTCCGTTCCTCCGTTCCTCCGTTCCTCCGTTCCTCCGTTCCTCCGTTCCTCCGTTCCTCCGTTCCTCTGACTTCCCATGTGTCGGAACTAGACCCTGCACTCTCGCATCTGTCCCCTCCGCTCTGCTCTGCTTCGGACTTCATCCAAGCAGTTCCTTCCACTCCACTTCTACTGTTGGTTCTGACCACAGTAATCTCCCCCCTCCCTCCTGTCGGGGAGAACAACCCCCACCTGACTTTCCCGTGCTCACCTAGTAGTCCATCAGTCCTCCTTCAGAGGACCCCCATTCCGATGTCCTGTCAGAACCCATAGAATTTGTGTTAGACTACATTCTGAAATTAGGGGCACATACTCGGGTAAGGGGCACAGTGTACGAGCTGAAGCCAAGCCCCTCAGACTCTGCTTTACCCTTGAGCACGGTCTTAACAATGACTTTCAATGCAGGACCCCCTCACAGACCCCTCAAGGAGGTCATCCCTGTCCTCACGGAAACCACATGGTCTCAGGACACTGGTCCTCTCATCACCAAACTCAAGAAACTAGTTAATGCTAAGCCAGAGATCTTAATGATCTTCATGGCTCTTATCCGTGAAACCACTAAATATAAGTCACCTGAACATTCGTTGACCACATGGAAAATGCTTTGTGAGGGGAAATCAGCTTATTCACTTGAATCCTTCCTTGCATTCCAACCCGCTGATGTAAAATCAACTGATCCCATTTCTGTGGCAGACAACACATGGCTGAGTCTCCAGTCTGTTGACATTTGGGTTTTGGGGTGTGTGGTGACAGCCCCATCAATATCAAACTCATCCCTGGGGAACACACAGCTCGCGGTGCAAGTATCTTGTCTCAGTCATTGCCTACTACTCATCTTTCACAGAGGATTATTTCCTGACCCCCAATGTCGCTTCAATCTCAACAGGTCTACCTGATGAGTGATGGGTAGTCCTCAGAAGAACCCTCACCCACACAACGTGTCTATACTCCAGCTGTCCCCTCTATGAAAGAGTGGAACAAGATGTAGTTCAGGAGTCATGACCCATTGATGAAAGTCTCCTGGGGCAACAAGTGCTTGAGGTTCCTCCCCCAAATGAGCCATCATCCTTAAACACTTGCTCCCACACCATCCCTGATACCGTCTTCTCTGCACAACCCAGTGCTGCCATAGCCAGTAGTGACGGTGCGCTATGCGCTGACAAGTCCCAGAGCAAGAACAAGAACAAGAACAAGCACAACTAGCATTACTCATGTTCCATACTGGATTTACAAATACCTCTGAACTGTTAAGCTGTGCATCATCTGACCTATGTTCTTAGACACTGACATCTTTCTGTGGAGTGCTGTGTTTACTTGTACATTATGTTCTTACATTTTTTTTCATTGTCCAGCTGATCTTCTGTGTTACTGTGACAATTACTGTATAGCTCATCAATGGTTCTATTAACCCCACACGTAATGGATCACAATCTCTCCATGTGAAGTCAAAACTTGAGATGTCGACTTGGTGCACCCATGCTCTTTCTTGCTACAATATTACTCTCATTAGTGTTTGAAACAGTGTGTCCATGGCATGAGGCCAGCACAGGCAAAGAATATGCCTATATATTAATAAGAGCAATTCACTGTGCAATGACATCATAAAGGAATGAAACACTGCAAGCTTAATTACATCAAGTTCAATTTCTTTCTTTTGCCTCAAGAGAATTATTGACACCACTGCAGGACAAGTTACATCATAATCACCTGCAATGTACGTTCTGCAATACTGATAGCCTTTAATTTGTTGATGATATTGACTCAAAATAACAGCCTCATCAGTGACTGTCATGATATGGACTTCAATGATGATTCAACTGTTGAAAATAAGAATAGCTCTTCAGCTCATTGACTTATTAGTGAGTAATACAAACTATACAGTATAGCCCTCTCAGATATATAAAGCACCCTCTGAGTCACCCCGCTAATTGAATTGTCCTCACAGATTGCGTGCAACTTGATACCATCATTCCTTCATCCACTGCTACGTCTGACACAGACTCAACATCTCACTCCTCTCAGAGGGATACTGCCTCTGAATCATCAGATGACAAAGGCACTCAAGTCATCGCTCTGCCAAGTGAAGGGGCCACTCTCCAACATTACCAGGAAGTATGTTCAGCTTCTTTCCACTATGGTTCTGTTTCTGATGTTTCTCGTGTTGTGTCAGTATGTCAAATATCTTCAGCTTCAAAAGGGCAAGTTAGAGACTCGCAATGTGAGCTTAAATGTGACAAACAACATCCTCCAGTCAACACAGTTGCGATGATCTTGTAAAAAATGTCCCATTTCCACTGTATCTTCAGTATCATCAGCCACAACTATGAATATAACAATGTCTACGGCTGCAGCTGACTCTGATCAGGCCACAGACAAGGTCATTATAGACCTGGGAAAGAAATATGCCCTTACTATTGAGATGTTCCTGCTCAATGATTCAATTTTCAAATCACCATGTCCTGATCCTCCTGTAGACTTACAGAGTAAGCCTTGTTATGCAACTAAGGCAATGGAGAAGGCTGCTCTCGTCACAGAGCTCTACAGCTGTATTGATCACTGATCACTCATTGCACCCTCATATGCCAACAATGCATTTCATCAACAAGGTCTGTTATTTTAATGTTCAATGTTACTTAAAACTAACTACTCTATACTAGTTTGCAAGTGGAATGCAGCAAGTACACTCTTCATACATCTACACACTGCAGACTGTAGCTGGAAGTATCCTTGACATGCCCGCTCAAATTTTTGCTGCATCATTCAATTGTACATCTGTCCAGCAAATGTCAGATGCAATCAGATAGGTTGCAGGAAAAGGGAAGGACTTCAATGTGCTCAATGCACCCAATATCTACCCAGATCTTAAGATCAACTGCAAAGAAGGCATTTAGAAACTGGCATGTGATCAGCAAGGTAAGCTGTAGTACATTTCCCAAGATGTTTACTCATCCTTTTTAATAGTTCATCAAAGTTGCAATAGTTGGAAAGATGTCGATCTATTCTAAGGCAGGACACACTGGAGGTGCGAAGCTGTGGAGGCTGAAAGGTTGCACACCAGGTTTGATCGCATGTGGTGTGACTTTGGTGCATTTATTTCTTAGGAAACTCACTAAGTTAATACTGATTTAACAATGTCTCACGATAGCTTGTTTTTATTCTATCTCCTGATCAACAGTTCCTGGGATCGGGTGTTGGCACTATCTCATTGATATCTTATTCCAATGTCTTCAGAATGGTGAAGAAATTTTTTGTCACTCAGTGGGTGCACACACTTTTTCAAACAATTGTGAAGAATCTCAACAACTATGTCTTCGAAGATGCCAACAAGACATCCACAACCTTGGCCAAAATGTGGACAATGCTCAGAAGGACCTTGCTGATTCACTGAATCGGGTGATGGCATCCTTAGACAATGAAGATTCATCGGATGATGATCTGTACAATAATGCAGTGGCAGTTGCAGCCCCTAGTACCCCAGCTGCATCATTCACTACATTCAAGCCTGCAGCTACAGTCTCAGTCACAGCCCCTACTCATATCCTCACTCATATTTTCATGGCCTTGCTGCCCATGCCCATGCTCACTGTGCAAAACCATGACCACCTAATAGTGTCTGAATCTTTGGGATCACACAGCACATCTGTGCCTGTCACTGGATCCTGGACTGGATCTGCCCCTGCTCAAACTCATGTTCCAGCTGCTGTAGAAGTGATACCACCCAATGCTGGAGAATCTGCATCTGACATCAACACCAAATTGACTAATAGTAAAAAGGGGAGAAAAGGGGGTCATTTAAAGGCAGATACGGATGCACCTCCTCAATGTTCTTCCCACAAAGTAGTTTAACTAGTGGTTGCATACTTTCCTCCTCTTTGCATTCATGTACTCAATGCTCAGCTCACACATTTTAGTGTATTCAAAGTTCGGCCACATCTGCCATCATCAGAATCTGAAATTCAAACTTTGTTATTACAGGATTAATAACAACTGTGTCTCTGTCAATGAACATGTCTCTGATTTGATGGAATCAATCATCAATGAACTCTGAATATCAGTTCCTTCACACTGATGAATTCCCACTTTCATTCAATCACTGACAATGAACACCCCAACCTGAACCTCAGATTCAGAGTTTCTGAATCATCACCATCCATCATTGAGTAAGTCTTTCAAATTCATTTTTAATATGGCTGGTGATAATTGCTCATGTAGCATGTTGTGGTCTATAATATTCCAGGGGAACTCAAGACACGGTGGTGCAAGCATTAACACAGCAACAACGTGAGTTTTATCCTCAGATCAGCATATTTCCTGTCTGCTCACAATGACTTCCAGACCAACCGAACTCCAGTCACCGCCACGCACCCCAGTTCTGAATGATTCAGAAATACCTTTTTTATTTTGCTGCTCAATTTCATCTCATTGTTTCGTTTCCTTTGTCTGTTTGCCTTGGACCACAACACTATTGCATTGGATCATGGGCTGGGTTGTTAATTATTACCCACAGGCAAGCAACTGCTCTGGCTGGATTGGGTGCCCTTAGACCAATCCATTTATTTGATTCATGACTACAAGTATCATAATCAGTTTGCAACAAGGTTATGGACATATTTAGATCATCCCTAGCCATATTGTAATGTAGTTGACATGCCCATTGAAATCATAAGTGACGGTCAACAGTGTCAACAAAATCATGTTCCCATTACATTTTGATGCCATAAAAATGCCTGCAATAATGCTCCCAATTTGCTTCCAAATGCTCATTTGTACCTAATTGTGACAAGTATGGAGATATGTTTTGTAATGCAATAATAATGACCATCAAAATGCTGACTGTTTAATCACAATCAAACTGTGCCATTAAGGCATTTTAATACAATGAAATGTCATAACAAAAGTTCCAACATTGAACACTCCCCAACTTACAAATATAACTTCTCCCTCCCTTAACTCCCTCGTAATGTTGGTGGCCCAGGTGCCTGCAAAGTCCTCTTTCATGAATGACAAGGCAGTAACAATTTTCATCTGATTATTAGGGATCTGCACAGGTAAACCCCCGGGTACCAGAGGTCATACCCCCACCCATACCCCAAGATATACCCAGACCATCAATGCGGGTACGGGTTTTTTGACAGGTGTGAGTAATGAGACCCTGGGTACCACCTGTCAAGGGTATACCCATGGGTCTCCTGCAAAATTCATACTAATCTACAACAGAAGTTGAATGGCTACTTGACAACAATGTGTTCCCACCCATCCTCCAGGCCCACCTCTTCCTCTCCTTTCAAATCAGGCAACATACTCACATTCACGACATCCTCGCTCTTCACAAGGTTAAGCTTGCTCCAGAATCCAAGACATAGCAGTGTACATGTTGACTCTGCGGAAAGGCGTGACTGAACGTGTGAGAGCAACAGACGGCCGTGGCTGAAGAGACATTTGACATTGACTGAGGTAGCTGCAACTTGGTTAATGTAGTAGGTAGCATGAGGGAAAATGAAAACATACCAGGGATGGTTAAATAATCCAATCCCATTCACGAGAGATGAGGGTATGATCCATGGTGTTCATACCACCATGCAAGAGCACCCGGAGCATCCTCGATGTCAGCACTCAGATAGCGGTCCAGTTCACCATGGAGGTCCATTGTTTTTGGCACTGCAAGGGCTGCCATCTGATCAAAGATATTGCTCTTGCTCTGTGGTGATGTTAGTACTGGAAATCAAGGAAGAAAAAAATATACACTGTGGATGAACTTGCCTTCAACTGAATTTCTGTTGTTGTTCGGTCCTCAATAGTCATGCATTCATATGAGCGCTTGTATTCTTCATGTACAAGCATTTCTGCTGTTTTCACCCAGTTGTCTTCCCAACTGGCATTTTTGAAGTATGATAATTTATGCATTGTTGGAGAAGGAGGAATGGAGCGGATGGGGAAGCAGGGGGTCGGACCAGTAGTAGGGATGCTTATAGGTGGTACTGGGGGTACTCAGATCCAGTATATGACAGATATCACATATACTGGTGGGCCCAGATATGTATCATATAGACATATGGGCCGAGGTGGTAGTATATTATATAGACGTATGGGCTGAGGTAGTAGTATATTATATAGACGGGTGGGCCGAGATGGTTGATATCATATACATGGGTGGGCCCAGAAGAATGAGTGTTATAAACATCAGTGGGCTGAGATAGTTGGATAACATACTAATCAGTGTGCTGATGTAGGCACCAGTACATACCCACTGTATGAGTGCATACACCTATCATCAACCACTGAAACGAGAAACACAAAACCCTGAATACAACATTTCGTACATTAGACAAATCACCAAGTACCTAGTACTGAGTACCAAGTTCCAGGTAACATCTATCTAGTTCTGGGTAACATCTATCGACGTCCAGGTAACTAATATTGAGTTCTGGGTAACTAATATTGAGTTTCGGGTATTTCATAAATTGAACAAATCACCAAGTACTGAGTACTGAGTTCTGGGCACTGAGTGCCGAGTACTGAGTTCTGGGCATCGAGTTCTGGGCATCGAGTACCAAGTGCTGAAACCTGGCACTCAGCACTCGGTACTTGGTGATTTGTTCAATTTACGAAATGTTTTATTTTAGTTTCATGTTTCGGTGCGCAATGCCTGGAACTCAATGCCCAGAACTCAGTACCCAGAACTCAATATTAGTTACCCGGACGTTGATAGATGTTCCCTGGAACTCGATGATTTCATTCTTTGGGTATGCCAGAGGTACAATGCATTTCAACAATATTTACAGAAATCTAACACTACCAAATTATGTAGACATTTCAACCTCACCCAGATGACCCTCATCACCACCTTCAACTTCAACCTTGACCTCAACATCCATGTCATCAGCAGAATCATATTCTGGGAAAAGGTTGCATGGATCATCTGGCACCACAATGTCTCCGGCAGTTGGGGGAGTAGGTGATGGGTCCAGGGATAGTTGAACTTGGCTCAGCTCAAATATGAGACCCTCAATGGCAGAGGGATCCTCAATTTTCGAGGGTGTGGGCTCCATCCCTGCCATTGAAAGCTCTGAGCACTGAATACTTGGTACTCGGTACCTACTTGATACTCAAAACTCAGTACTCAGTACTTGGCACTCAGTTCCTAGTACTTAATACTTGATGCTGAATATATTGGTAGATCTTAACCTATTGATGTTGTGAGACTATGGATAGACTCCCCTTGACAAGGGCTACAATTTTGATTTTTATCTAAAAAGTTCCCATGGTCAAAGTGCTTTCTTGAACCCTCCATTTGCAAGTATTTTGCTTATATCTTACTAGGATCTTAACCTATTGATGTCATGAGACTATGGATAGACTCCCCTAGACAAGGGCTACAACTTTGATTTTCATTGAAAAAGTTCGATATGTTTTACCACCCTACCCTTACACAGATTATCCAAGCTACTCATAGACTGTCATTATTACATGTATATATGTTTATTATGCTAAGGATCAGTGATATTTAGGCCAGAAATTTGAGATCTGATGTAAAGGGGATATTTCTACTAATCAAAAGCCCACATGGTAAATGATAGACTTAAAGGCTTAGAAAGATCCATCCAAGATTGAGTGAATGACAAGCAAAACAATATATGTGTGAAAAGTGACAGTTGACATCTGTTCACACAAAGTCACATTTATGTATGATACAGGTTGAAGATTTCATTAAAAATGTGTAGGATACATGGTGGACTACCTAAGGAACCTATACTGCATACTGCCCTGAAGGTAGAGTGTTGGTGGGAGGGATGTGGCACAGAAGTGTTTGAATTGGTGGCCCATAGCCAAGGATACATCAACTGACCATTTTCGATGTTTGGGGCATTTGAGCTTTGAAGTTTCCCACACTCAATTTCTTATCTATTTCACATCTCCAGCTCTCAATTCCTGGTGGATCTTTCTGTAATTTTAGATCCATCATACTGAATATATGTGAAATGTACTCTAGGTGTCTGATCATTAAAGTTCAATAATTCAGAGGTATGGGCCTTTTATCAGTAGAAATATCAAGTATATACACTATCTCAAAGCAACAGCCTATTTTGAGCTGATCCTGGTCATGAAAAGCAAGTATATATGCTATGCTAATGATATATGAATATATTGGATTATTTATGCAAGGATAGAGCAGTCAGAAACATGAGAAATGTGAAACACGTGATTTACCTATTTTTGTTGCTGTAGAGGGATCGTGTAGGTGTCCTGGTCCAGCGATATGATGTGTCTGAGGGAGGGTACACTATACAGGTACTTGAGTATCGAGTAGGTACCGAGTACCAAGTATTCAGTGCTCAGTGCTCAGTACTCAGTACTTAGTAGTCAGAACTCAGTGCTCAGTGCTCAGTGCTGAGTACAGAGTATTGAGTTTTGAGTTTTGAGTAGATACCAAGTACTGAGTATTGAGTGTTGAGTATCAGGTAGGTACTGAGTGCCAAGTATTCAGTGCTTGGTGCTTGGTACTCAATATTCGGTACTTGACACTCAATACTAAATACTTGATAGTCAGTACTCAGTGCTTAGTGCTCAGGTGAGTACCAAGATATTCAGCATTGAGTATCAAGTACCGAGTACCAAGTATTGAGTATTGAGTAGGTACCGAGCATCGAGTATCAAGTACCAAGTACCAAGTATTGAGTATTGAGTAGGTACCGAGTACTGAGTATTCAGTGCTCAGTGCTCGGTACTCAATATTCAGTACTTGATGCTCAGTAGTCAGTAGTCAGTGCTCAGTTGAGTACCAAGAGATTCAGCATTGTATACTGAGTACCAAGGTCTGAGTATCGAGTAGGTACCAAGTACCGAGTATTCAGTGCTTGGAGCTCGGTACTCAATATTCTAGACTGTGGGAACTTTTTCGATGAAAACCAAAGTTGTAGCCCTTGTCAAGGGGAGTCTATCCATAGTCTCATGACACCAATAGGTTAAGATCGACCAAGATATTCAGCATTGAGTATCAAGTACTGGGAACTTAGTACTGAGTACTGAGTATTCAATGCTTGGTGCTTGGTACTCAATCCCAGTGAGAAAAGACAATATTTAGGTAGATATGTGTAGATATAAGTCGATAAAAATTGAAGTCATGATTCTTATCGATCCGTTTCGAGGTCTCTCGACAAAATGTGACTTTTTGTGACGTAAAAAGATACAGATCAAAACGAAATTCTAACATTTAGATATAATTCTCGACGCCTTTAGGTGTTTAGATACACATTTACATATGGATTGTCATTCAATTTGAATCAAAAATGTTATCAATACACAGCTAATGCAATCAAATGAGAATATCAAGGGGTATCACTATTATTTGGGGGGTATTGCTAGGTATCGCTATCACTGGGGGTATCCACTGCGACGCCATCCTGCCTTCCCGCCATCCTGCCAGCATGCTGCGCTGCCATCCTGCCATCCTGTGTCACACTACTCCTCGTCCACATCATGAATGGTAGCAGCAACTCCAGACGATTTGAGCTATAAAACGAGACTGTTAGTGTAGTACATGATAGAGTATGGTGGGCCGCACTCACCTGAGCTGTTGCTTTGCACTTGTACACCTGGTAGACAGTATTAGATAGATATCTTTAATACAACAAAAATGACGCACATCTTTGTCGGTTTTAGATAGCCCATTCCAGTAAGATGCGAAGACAGTCACAGGTTCCTTTTGATGGCCGTTTGATTGCCAGTCAAAAGCACACAAGTTACTACATGATATGAATTGTAGAGTTAGCTTTGATTGGTCTGATAATAATAGAATCACTTACCACGCAGTGATCTTTGCGCTCACCCGCATCGGCTTGGTACTTGGCTGACGCTTCTTGATGGCATCAGGCTTCGAGCAGTTGATTGCAATCTTTGTTTGCTCGGTGTGCTGGGTTGCTGCAATGACTTCCATTTTCACAGCAAGTGAAGTTGCATCAGCAGTCGACGGGACCTCTGGTATGGGGACTAGTGTACACTGTGTGATGTTGTTGGTGGATGGGACTATGGTAAGATTAAGCTCAGAAGTCGAAGGACCATGAGAAGTCAAAGTCAAAGTCAAAGTCAAAGTTGCGGGAATTTTCGATGGAATTGCTCTGGGTTGAGGCTTGGAGGCGAGATTAGAACTATATTGATTAGATCAGTGCACTGTTGATACCATTAATGATGAAATGATATAGACTTACAGAGGGTTTTTGATCTGTAGACATAAGAAATATGTGTCGTTAGCACAATAGCCCTTCCAATACAACTTACATATTCTTGCCCTGAAAATATTCACTTCCTTCCCTTTTCCTTTGTTGGTACTAGGTGGAGGTGTAGGTTCACGGTCGGGGGAAGGATCTCGCATGATGTCGTCGCATGATAATGCGGTCTGTAAACCATGTGGTGAGCGAGCATCGATCATGATCGAGTGCGGAGACAATTTACCATTGATTGGGTAGCCTCTTCGCTGATATCGGAATCCATGCGTGATCGCTTGATAGCATGTTCATTGTCGGGTTCAGACGAGCTCTGTTTCTGAGTGGCAGTCAGGATTGAGTCTAAGATGATCTCTTCTTCTAAGTCTTGATAAGCCTCTGCCTTCACCTGATCGCTGCTTCTTTTCTTCGTGTGATACTTGTGCCATTGGGGGTAGTTGTCGGTCATAAGTTTCATGATCTTCCAGTTGTCGGCGCAAAGACGAAGCTTGATATGGGTCTTGTGCAACGTGTGAACCAGCCATTTGAGGACATCCAACGAAGCTTGGCCGATGGATTCCGGTGCAAGTCCTTGAGTATGAAGTTGGCGGAAGCACGACAACATTGTTGATCGAATCAACTTTGCATGCTGAGCTGAGACAGGCACACCGTTCTTGTCCTGGAGGTAAGTCGACACATTAATACCTTGCGCCATCTGTCTGGATCCACATGCTGATTTTTTTGAAGAGGAACCAGGAACAGCTGATGTGCTCAGAGGGTATTGTTCCTGCCATCCCTTTTTGGTCCAAGACTTCACTGACGGAAATTTGATCTGATCGAGCTTGTGATCACAGGCTTCTTCGATTGTTCCATTGAGAAGGAGGGGTGGCTTTTGTTCATCGTTGCCATTGGTGCCGGATGAAGTGCTTGAAGCGACAGATAATGATGAGCTCAATGCGACTGAGCTCACTGAACCTCGGATATTAACAATGATATTCCTACAAGACACATTGTTAGATACCATTGAAATGAATATGAATGAATGTATGCGCATATTGTCACTTGGCAGTGACTATATGCGCATACAACGTACTGTAGGGTCTGGCAGGTTGTATTGAGACTTGTATTTTCACTTGCCAGCCTTCATACATCCGCTTGGAGACTGGCAATTGTGTGTTGTGACTCTGCAAGTTGATGCTTGAGTTGGGCAACTAGACTGATGTCGGAGTCCTTGCACGCCAACAGATTGTGATCGAGTATAGAATCTAGAGAATCTTGATACATCAAAGACTGACCGTGTGTTTTATATCAGTATACTATGAGCTTCAGTGCACCATTTTAATTAATATAATGACTCACGTTAGATTCTCAAAGTACCATTGGGTCACGCAAATAGTACATCTGGCCAGGCCCATTCGGATCAAAGGGCTGTAATAATGATTGTTGAGAATTAGTCTGAGGTACCAAGGAATTTGGGTATCTGGCGGATGAGATTATGTTGTTGAGGGACAGGGACATGATGGTACAAGTTTGAGCATGCTCAATTGACTTCAAGACAAGAAAGGAAACTCACCAAGTCCGGATACTGGCAGGCATCTGTTATGTTACCACCAGTCGTCCTGGACTTTCTTGACCTATCATCAGATCCAGACCTCAATGGTTATCAGGCTGATACCAGGTGAGTCTTTGCTTCATGATCTAGATCTAGATCTATTAATCTTATCTACTAGTATCAACACAAATGATTCCAACGACTCCACCTGCTCAAGTACCCCCGTTATGACTTTGTCGGACGATTTCTTGCTGGATCCCACCAATTGGACTTCTGATCATCTCAGGGTGTGTCTGGTGACACTAAGGGGTTTACAACCAGAGTAAGTTTTTTTTATTTCTATTACATTTTAACAAAACAAGTTCAGTAGAGCTACACCCACTACACCGGCTCCCCCCCTTGCTGTCATATACCTGATCCGACCGCTCTAATATCAATATCCGCTCCGCTTTCCGATCACCTCCACTCCACTCATCCTCTGCTCCGTCCAATCATCATCCGCATCCGCCCCTATGCTTCCACTCGACCGCCCAACCGGTCCCCTTCCATAACGCCTCCATTCAACTGGATCCGCTTTCCCCTTTTAGATATATACTTCCCCTTTCGGTACATAGACCCTTACTCCAGATCACCGGAAATTCCTCTTACCGCTCAATCACTGATCCAACACGTACATATTGATATCCGCTCTGACTTATGTCTTCGCCTGTGTAAAGTACTTACAAACTATATCCTTGGTACATAGCTTTACTACATAGAAGTATATAACATATCCTGTACTTAGATATTTTTCCTCAGTCTTAATATTACTTGTCTTCTCACAGTTACCTCTTGTGAGAATTCTCAGTAGGACCTTGCCTCCTCTGGACACAAGTCTCAACTTGTTGTCACCTCCAACCCTCCACTCCAACTGAGAGCTGTGCTCTAAGTGTCCCCCTTATTTCTCCACCCCTATCAACATTCCCCTTATCCCTTTTCCCATCCCCCGCATTATCCTCTGCCTTCCCCGCTCCTACCAAACCTTCCCCCTGCTCCTATCCACCCTCCACATCACTCCCCACCTTCTCCGCTCCGCTCCTAGTCGGCCCGTCGCTAGTAGCTCTTACTTCCCGACCCTCAAAGCGGACCTAAGCGGTCCACTCATCCTATCGTCGGACAACGTCGGACCCGCTCCAAATTTGGGGCACGTACTCAGCTAAGGGCACAGTGCAAGAGCTGAAGCCAAGCCCTGACCCCTCTGCCTCCTGAGCCAGCACGGTACCTAACACTCACCAACATTGATCCAAGTAGCGTGACAGAGCCAGAGAGTGAGCCCGAAATAGCTACACCAGCTCCCCCCCTCCTCAAAGACGATCCTAGCAGCGTAACAGAGCTGGAGAGCGAACCTGAGATATCTACACCCACTACACTGGCTCCCCCCCTCGCCAACATTGATCCGAGTAGTGTGACAGAGCCGGAGAGTGAGCCCGAAACCCTACCCCAATCTAAATTCAGCACACCCATCAAGATCATTCCAAAGATTGTGCCAAAAATAAAAAGCTTCTTTGACACTCCAAGTCCCCCTGGGCCTGATTCACTTTATTGGAAGTATGTGTCGCGCGAAGAGGATGCAAAATGGTATGATCGTTCACAAACAGACACCAGCTTTCATGCAGTTCATCAAATCAAGCAAGAACTCAAAGACATTAATTAGAAGTAGTATACATTGTAATGGGATCTTATTGTACAGATGCGCGACTCAAAAAATGTTAGTTGTGGTGATTGAGCACCTTATGGTGCGAGTTATTTGTGTTATGATGTTGCTTCCTCTATTGGACTCTCACTTAGCATGTGATGTGAATTCCTTACTTACTTAGGCAGTGTTTACACTTGTTTACATAGACTCGCCCATAGGTAGCAAGTCCTGTGTTGGTTGCTCTTCAGCAACTGACACTGGACTATAGGTATAGTACACTCATTAGTTTACACAACACAATAGCAACTGACACTGGACTATAGTCCTGTTCACTCTCATTAGCTCACTTGTGGCTTGCTTCACTTGGTTATTCTAACAGGTTATGAGCCCTGCGCTTTAAGGACCTCAAGTCATTCATTCCTCATCCAACTGCTGCTCCACTCCTTCCCTAGTGTATTCCATCGCATTCTACGCCCCAGGAAACCCTTATCTTTGTGTCTGAGCACCATTTGGACTGTTGGAACACCCATTGTGTTGCTTTTGAGCAGTTCAACCAAGTGGCTTTGTTGAAATTTTCCATAGCCCCTTTTGGTCATCTACCCCCTGTCGCTCCCTGTCCTATCCATTGCTTTCCTGAATGTCCTGCATCATCCTAGACCGTCCTACTTGCCACCCAATTCCTTGCTATGTCACCCATGACTATTGCTCAACTCAGCTCTTCCAACTATCTTATCTGGAGATCAGAGATGGAGTCTTACCTGCGCTCCAAGGGCTTGTGGCTGCTTGTCAGTGGCTCTGAGAAGCGTCCTGCAGACTCACAGCCTGAGGCACAGGCTGTATGGGACCTTAAGGCTGACCAAGCTGCTGGGGAACTCTATCTGGCTTGCCCATTGGAGATGAGGTCGCAGATTGATGCTATTGAAGATCATCCTGTGCTTATCTGGTCTACCCTTGCCTCCCTGTACTCTAGACAGCGTCATAGCAGGAGGAAGAAGACCAAGAAGCTCTCCAGGAAGACTCAGAGTCTTGCAGACCCCACTGCATCGCCCTCTCCCACTTCCTTTCCTATTCCTATCAACTCTACTATCATTGAGTTTGCTGGCACTGCTTGTCTTCGCTCTTTTGACCCTTCAAGCACCATCTGTCCCCTTCAACTTGATGCTACTGTCGACTGGAATGCAGACACAGGTGCCACATCCCACATGACCCCTCATCGTCACTGGCTTCGCAATTACACTCCCAATCGCATCCCTATCAAGCTAGCTGACAACACCTTTGTCTACTCTGCTGGTGTTGGCACTGTGGTCTTTAACCCAGTCATTGATGGCAAGAGCGTTAGACCTGTCGAGTTTTCAAGAGTCTTGCATGTCCCTGACCTTCGCAACAACCTGCTCTCTGTCCTCCACCTCACTCGCCACAGTGGCTTCCATGTCACCATTGACTCCACCAAGATGTCATTTCAGCGTCCTGCAGGCACCACATTGTTTGTTGCACCCATCAGCAGCAGCAATGCAGCATTCTTAGATGGCTCCACCGTCCCTCTCTCTGAATATGCCTCTGCAGCGACCACTCTACCTCTGGACTTGGACCTATGGCACAGGAGACTCGCCCACCATCACTTAGCAGGTGTCAAGAAGCTTATTGATCATGACATGGTCACTCGACTCAAGCTAGATTCAAAGAAGATGCCAGATCCCATCTGTGAGCCATGCTTAGCTGGCAAGATGCATGCAAACCCATTCCCCTCATCTCAATGGCGTGCTACCCGACCTCTGGAGCTTGTCCACACCGATGTCCATAAGGTCCCCTACCCCAGCTTCTCTGGCTATCGCTATTGGGTCACGTTCATCGACGACTTCTCTCGATTTCGCTTTGTGCTCCCTATTAAAGCTAAGTCTGATGTCTTTGAGGCTTTCAAGACATTCAAGGCCTATGCTGAAAACCAGTCAGAGCGAAAGCTAAAGATCCTCAGAGATGACAAGGGAGGGGAGTACATGAGCAATGCCTTCATTGAATTCACCACCCAGTGCGGCATTGAGAGGCAGCACACTGTTCGTGCTAGACCCCAGCAGAATGGGGTTGCTGAGAGAGCTAACAGAGTCCTCTCTGAGCGACTCACTGCTATGCTGGACGAGTCTGGGCTTCCCAAGGCCTTCTGGGGCGAGTGTCTTGCTGCTCTGGTCCATGTCTGGAACAGATGCCCTACCGAAGCTGTAGACAGCGCTACGCCCTATGAGCTGTGGCATGGTAACAAGCCTGATGTCTCACATCTTCGAGTTTGGGGATGCACTGCCTATGTGCACGTCCAGAGGGACAAGAGAGATGGACTTGGCTCCCACATGGAAAAGTGCGTCTTCATTGGCTACCCTGCTGGCTACAAGGGCTGGAAGTTCTACAACCCCACCTCCAAGAAGACAATCATCTGTGAAAGGGCTGACTTTGATGAAAGATACTTCCCTCTGTCCAAGCGCCCATCCAGTGTTATTTGTGGTGATTGAGCACCTTATGGTGCTAGTTATTTGTGTTATGATGTTGCTTCCTCTATTGGACTCTTACTTAGCATGTGATGTGAATTCCTTACTTACTTAGGCAGTGTTTACACTTGTTTACATAGGCTCGCCCATAGGTAGCAAGTCCTGTGTTGGTTGCTCTTTAGCAACTGACACTGGACTATAGGTATAGTACACTCATTAGTTTACACAACACAATAGCAACTGACACTGGACTATAGTCCTGTTCACTCTCATTAGCTCACTTGTGGCTTGCTTCACTTGGTTATTCTAACAAAGGATTGGATGTAAATAATTTGTTAAGTGCACCATCCCAGATTGGAAGTCCCTCGGCCTGGATCACACATAAGTGATGGAGTCCGGGGAATATGAACAAGTCAAGGTTTTTAGGTTTTTTGGGACCGGGAATTATGCCACCAGGGAGGACATACTTCTTTTGATAGCATTGGTCCGGGGAGTGATCAAACAGGACCCAGATATAGATCCAGCAGTCCGACTGCTTGGATTCATACAGCTGGGCCTCATCGATTGAGAACATGAGTACGGGGTCGCCTTCTTTAATTTTCCCAGATTGGCAGGCATCGAGATACTCCTTGCCATGTAGAACATCTTCATAGATGCTGGGACTCCCATCAGTCATCCCAATCTCCTCTAGAATCTCCTTGGTGCGCTGCTCACGCCAGTGCATCTTCTCTGCATGATCCGGATGATGCCAAAGTGCTTGCAGCTGTGGACCGACTGGAAATGTGTCAAAGGTTTTATGTGCTACCTTTTTTTGATCAGTGCTCTTTTTAGCATCCCAGCAATCTTCTCCACATTGAGGACACTGATCAAGCTCGGCATATGGACCCGTAAATGCGAGACATGTGTTGATGCACATGTCAGTGATGATCGAGTCAACACCACTGAGTTCAGCGACAGCTTGTTTGACACAATAGTGGCTGTAGATGTCGTCATTGGGGTGCCGTTCCAGAGTGGCTTCACGAATCGCATTATACGCTTTGATTGTTGTATCAGCAAAGTAGTATTTTAGGGATAATATGAGATCGGGATCAGTGGTATTAGGGAGCGTGCAAGGGGGATTTCGTAGCCTATCTAATGTGTCTTGGGATAATTGGGAGTGTATGTCGTCATGAGAAGCCTTGCGTAGCGCGCTGATGAAAGTCATAGCATGTTGTGCATCTGAAATTTGTGCCATGCGGTGTAATTCCTCTAAATTGTCGTCTGTCCAACCCATCGTCTGTGGAGCAGTTTGATCAGCTTCATTCCAATCACAATCAGGGGCCATATCCAGATCTATGCCCTCGAGATTCCCTTCCTCGAGGCCAGCTTCTTCTGCTTCCTTGCACCCTGTACTAGTATCCCCGAGATTAGCCTCCGGAGCTTGATGGTCATCCGATGCCTTGGGCACGTCTGGATGGTCTGTAGTCTCGTATGTAGTATCTAGATCCATATAGTATCATTAAATTTGATCATGATTGTAGTATGAAGAATAAACTTACCATATTCTTGGCTGTTATCAGCCTCTGGCGCAAAGTCATAGTCAGGAACGTGCTCGACTCGAGGCTCATCAATATCTAGATCTGGTTCATATCAGCATTGAAATCATTATTGTGTGACATACCTTCTGTGTGATCAACGACCAGATCAGATACCTCGTCATCGATCACAAATGGCACGTCAGGATCACGGATATGAGTGTCCGTTGATAATTGGACACTTCCTTTCTTCCTAGCTTGGTCCTCGTCATCAGGCACATCCAGGAGTCGTTTACTAGAAGAGGGTTCAGTTGCTACAGGAGTTGTAGGTCGTGGGCTGCCGAGATGTGCAAGTCTGCTGGGTTTGTGTTTGAAGTACGTGTTTCGGTGTACCTGCTTAGGCTTGCCTACATTCTTGAGAAGGCAGGAAGCACAGTCGCAGACATATACATTAGTGCTGTCGTCCAGTTGGTGTATCCCAGCTTCGTTGTGTCGCATTTTGCAATCTTGATTGATCTGATCTAGGGCCTCGTGTGTTCAATGAATTTGCAAAGTTTCATTAGCAAATTTGAACCGTAATTTGCAAACATTTGCTCAAACTGTGAAGTCAACTTTGCAAATTTGAGAAATTTGAACTTTGCATATTTTTTTTGGATTATACATTTTTTTTATCTCGACTTATTTAGATTTCTATAGGTTTGTATATGTATTTCGTCTGCTATCTACACATATCAGCCTCTAAATTGTCGATTTTCACTGGGACTCAATATATTCTAGACCGTGGGAATTTTTTCGATGAAAACTAAAGTTGTAGCCCTTGTTTAGGGGAGTCTATCTGTAGTCTCATGACATCAATAGGTTAAGATCCTAGTAAGATATGAGCAAAATACTTGTAAATGGAGGGTTCAAGAAAGCACTTTGACCGTGGGAACTTTTTAGATAAAATCAAAATTGTAGCCCTTGTCAAGGGGAGTCTATCCATAGTCTCACGACATCAATAGGTTAAGATCTACCAATATATTCAGCATTGAGTTCTGGGTATTTCGTAAATTGAACAAATGTTAGGTACCGTGCCGACTCAAGAAGCAGAGGGGCCAGGGCTTGGCTTCAGCTCTTGCGCTGTGCCCTTAGCTGAGTACGTGCCCCAAATTTGGAGCGGGTCCGACGTTGTCCGATGGTAGGACAATTGGACCACTTTGGTCTGCTCTGAGGGTCGGGGAGTAAAAGCTACTAGCGGTGGGCCGACTAGGAGCGGAGCGGAGAAGGCGGGGAGTGATGCGGAGAGGGGATAGGAGCAGGGGAATGTTTGTAGGGGCGGGAAAGGTGGAGGATAATGCAGAGGGGCGAAGGAGGATATTTGATAGGGGCGGAGTAATAAGGGAAAGATTTAGAGCACGGCTCTAAGTTGGAGCGGAGGGTCAGAGGGTTGGAGGTGACAACAAGTTGAGACTTGTGTCCAGAGGAGGCAAGGTCCTACTGAGAATTCTCACAAGATATGACTGCGAGAAGACAAGTAATATTAAGACTGCGGAAAAATATCTAAGTACATGATATGTTATATACTACTATGTATGAGGCAGTGATCAGGATAACTATGTAGTAAAGCTATGTACCAAGGATATAGTTTGTAAGTATTTTACATAGGCGAAGACATAAGTCGGGGCGGATATCAATATGTACACGTCGGATCAGTGATCAAGCGGTAATAGGAATTAACAGTCATCCGGAAGTAAGGGTCTATGTACCAATGGGGAAGGTATATATCTAAAAGGGGAAAGAGATCCAGTTGAATGGAGAGGTTATGGAAGGGGACCAGTTGAGCGGTCGAGCGGAAGCGTAGGGCGGAATGTGGACTTGTGATTGGACGGAGCAGAGGATGGATGGGGCGGAAGGGTCGGAAAGCAGAGCGGATATTAGTATCGGAGTGGTTGGATCAGGTATATGACGACAAATCACCAAGTACTGAGTACCGAGTTCTGGGCATCAAGTTCTGGGCATCAAGCACTGAAACACAAAACTAAAATAAAACATTTTGTAAATTGAACAAATCACCAAGTACCAAGTGCCAAGTGCCAGGTTTCAGCACTCGGTACTCGATGCCTGGAACTCGGTACTCAGCACTCAGTGCCTGGAACTCGGTACTCAGTACTTGGTGATTTGTTCAATTTACGAAATGTTGTATTTTAGTTTCATGTTTCAGTGCTCGATGCCCAGAACTCAATGCCTGAAACTCGGTGCCCAGAACTCGGTACTCACTACTTGGTGATTTGTTCAATTTACGAAATACCCAGAACTCAATATTAGTTACCCGGACATTGATATTAGTTACCCGGAACTCAATATTAGTTACCTGGACATCAATAGATGTTACCCGGAACTCGGTACTCGGTACTAGGTACTTGGTGATTCATCTAATTTACAAAATGTTGTATTCAGGGTTTTGTGTTTCTCATTTCAGTGGTTGAAGATAGGTGTATGCACTCATACAGTGGGTATGTACTGGTGCCTACATCAGCACACTGATTAGTATGTTATCCAACTATCTCAGCCCACTGATGTTTATAACACTCATTCTTCTGGGCCCACCCATGTATATGATATCAACCATCTCGGCCCACCTGTCTATACAATATACTACTACCTCGGCCCATTCGTCTATATAATATACTACCACCTCGGCCCATATGTCTATATGATACATATCTGGGCCCACCTGTATATGTGATATCCAACTACCTCGGCCCACCCGTCTATATAATATCTAATAAATTGCTCTCTCGGCCCACCCATCTACATAATATACCCCCTAAGTCGGCCCACCCATCTACACAATATACTACTATGTCAGCCCACCTGTCTACATAATATACCCCCTATGTCGGCCCACCCGTCTATGTAATATACCCTATGTCAGCCTACCCATCTACACAATATACTACTACCTTGGCCCACCCGTCTAGATAATAATACCACTACATCGGCCCACCCATCTATATGATATATAATAAACTGCTCCTTCAGCCCACCTGTCTAGATAATAATGTCACTACATCAGCCCACCTGTCTATAATATACATGTCCATCCTACTCTACATATTACCTAGATGGGCCCAACTGTATTCATCGGTAATAATATCCCTCCCAGCCCATCTGTTAACATCAAGGATATCTTCATCATCGGCCCATGGTTCGCTGGCCCGTGTTATATGGGATATTATGCACGTCAGTTGCCTTGTATAATATGGAGTTTGTCACTGAAGGGGCTTGAGTGGCGCAATGGCATTCTAGCTGTTGATGGCACAACAGTTGACCTTTATGCTAAACCTGCTCATTTTGGTGAGACATTTTATGATAGGAAATCTAACTATTCTCTTGGCTGTCAGGTATTTTTCCCCCCCTTCATGGTCAATGATTAAATTATTTTTAGGCAATTGTTATGCCTCACAACATTCTCATTGTTGATTATGCTCTTGGTCATCCTGGAAGTGTCCACGATGCCTATGCTTTCCAATCAACTTGTCTCTATCAACAGCATGAAGCTCTTCTCCCAGACAACCACTGGGTTTGGGCTGACAGTGCATACCCACTTGAGAAGTGGTGCATAGTCCCTTTCAAGAAGCCCTGCAATGGGAGGTTGACCAAGGACCAGAAGACATTTAATTACCATCTTTCCACAGTATGCTCATATTTTTGTGATTTTTTGTGATGGTTTTGTTACTGATTTTTATTTTTATTTTTATTTTTATTTATATTTAGGTTCGTGTTCGTGTTGAGCATGCATTTGCTGCTCTTAAGGGGCACTTTCAGTCCCTTCGAGAGCTTCGCCTCAATATTCACACAGAAAGAGAGCTTGAGATTGCTGTCCATTGGATTATGTGTTGCATCATCTTGCACAACATGATCATTTGATTCAAAGCTCACCATCGCAAGCAGGATCCAGAATTTCACCATTCTCAGAGGTGGGCTGAACGAGAGGGCAGAGAATTTGCAGCTCAAGAGATTGAAGATTCTGATCAGGGCAGGCTTCTCATTTGCAGATGATGGATCAACTGTTTGACAGTCCTTACTCAAGAGCTGAACATAGGGAAGGGTAACTTGAAAGAACCAAAGTCACATTGTGTCACGAATTCCCAACACAAATCATTTTTCGTTCCTTGGTTTTCCTTCGGCTATGTCTCATACCCGAACCGGTCACGTGACACCACTACCTTCTACATTATCACGTCATCACCATGTCACAGCTTCACCTCTTCACATTTCACCAATCACATCTCCGATCGAATCTCCTACGCCCAGGGCTAGAACCATATGTCTTCCTATCACTTAATCTCCGTCTCTGACATCATTACTTATATATCACGACGTCATACTACGTCATGCGCAGTATCGTACGATTCTTTTCTCATTGGCTGATTATTTACAGACTCAGATATCTCCGACTCAATGTTATGTATATAGGTAGGGTAGTTAGCGTAGTTTCTCCTTAGACTTAACCTCTTCGTTCCTACCCAGTGTAGACTCAGACGTTCACTCTCAATATCATCTTTTGCTCTTATCCTTGACGAGTCCTAGTGGTTGTGTTAAGCCTTTACCATTTGGTGAACACTGATCATAACACATTGGCAATCAGAAGGTACATGTACTACTACAAGAGATTCAAGAAATGTATGTAAAATGTATGTATCAAAATCAAGCAGCGAAGTAACAACGTGATGCTAAAACAACACAATCAAATTGACGGTGATGAGGATGAGGGACCAGCAACATCTCCACCCACACCACGGAGCTTCATGGACTCATACTGGATCTTGAGACACCAGATCTCAGCCTCCTTCTCCTGAAAGGCAGTTGCAGCCTGAAGGCGGAGGATCTCCTTATCCTTGGCTTCCTGCTCACGTTGATGATTAGCGGCCGAGAGGAGGACTTCGTGTGAACGGGACTCGCAGCACCACTGGTATTCCTTCTTCTGGGACTGGTAGTCCATCTTGATGGTGTAGCGTTTGTTCTTTGATTCCCGGCACTCGGACATGTCACTATGCATACTCTGGATCTCACCGTTGATCATGCTAAGGTGATCCTCCACATCTGCCACCGAGGTCCTCTTCTTCTTTGATCTAGCGGAACTCTGTGGCTTCACAGAAAGCGATGTCTGGGATTCCATCAGCAAAATGCAATAGTCGGACAATATATAGGGCAATGAAGACACTGTGGATGAGGGAGTGGAGCGGCTGCGCAATATCCCCGATGACGAAGTGAATGAGGAGGGTCTGCACGGCGCTTGGCCACCAAGCGAGGCAGAACCGAACGCTGTGCGGCTGTGGTATGCAGGCATCTGTGGCTTCTGCAGCACAATGAAGGTGTTTGTGTCAATGGGAGGGGGGGGACGGAGAAGCCACATACTGCCACTTATGTCCCACTACTTTGGGGGGGGGGGGCTGTTGAGGTTGACAACATGATGCCAGGAGGAGTTAAACTCCAGCCCATCGCTGTTGTTGTACATGTTAAAGTCCCCATCTAAGGTAAGTAGCACGTTGCCAAGGGGGGCAAAGAAAGGCCCATCATCGTCATTGGCTATGGCGTGAGGGTCAGCACCGAGGTCACCATCCAGATCAGCGATTGGACTGCCCCCAGTGCCGGTGTAATGAGGAAGGGGGGGTACAAAGTGCTTGCAGGGTCAGGCTGAGCACTGGCAGCATGTGGGCTTTGGAGAGGGAACTGAGGGAGAGGGGGAGGAAGCTGAGGGAGAGGGGGAGTGAGCTGAGGGTCTAGGGGAGCAAGCCAAGCGTCTAAGGTAGCAAGCCAAGTGTCTGGGATAGTGAGCCGAGCATCTGGGGGAGCAAGCCGAGCATCTGGGGAGTGAGTCAAGCATCAGGAGTGTTTTGGTCAGTAGAGGGACCAGCCCCCCCACGTGGACAAATGAGTGTGTAGAAATCCCCAGCATGATCAACTCCCGGTTGGGAGGTGAAGATTTTGGTGCCGCATGTTGGATTAGAGAACAGGAAGGGGTGGAGTTGGTCATACTATGGAAACTCAAGCAATACTTGTTCTTAAAATCAAATAAATCAAATGATAATAAAAAAACAGCAAAAAACTTACTGTGTAGATTAACAGCCGCGTTTTCATCGAGCGGAGTGACACCAGCGCCAGTCTTGTTAAACTTGTCAAGCTGCTCCTTGAATGACTTCTTGAGACTTTTATCACAAATTAAATTAGCAGTTAATGAGCAATAGAGATCACTTATGAAATGATGCAGTTGCCCACCGCAATGTCAAATTTCTTTGAGTCCTCAGTATACATGCCTGAATATTCCGAGTCATTCGCGAAGATAAGTTTTGCCAAGACTCAATAGATTTCCCCCTCATCCTTTCCAGAAGGACACTCCTCATTGCTGGAAGTTGCAGATTTTTTACCCTCGTAGAATATTATGCGGGCGTCCAAAGGGTGAGTGACAAAATGCTGCACTAGTGTGTCTGTGCGACAGAGATCTGATGGTCTGGTCCAATGGACGATTATCCTAGGTGCAGTGGTCTTAGGGGCCTGGTTATGAGGGGGATTGGATCCACATCCTCGAGCCTTCCCTCTTCCATGGGATGCAGATGGAAGTGAGGGGAGTTCCATCACCTTTAGGCAACCTCGAGCATTTGCTTGTAGTCTTGCAGAATGGCAGACACGTTGGCAAAGAACAGGCATCAATATTCAAGCTCCGATACCTAATGCCGGCCAACTCCATCATTGAAAACACTTAGTTGATTTTTTACTGAACGCTTTAGCAAGTTTAGAAATGTACTTTGAGTCCCACTAATGATAAAAGTTGCTTTTGATCTAATGTCAACAACACCCTGAGTGTGGTTTTGAGTTGATTTCACTGTATTTTTGACTTCCCCTACATCTTGTATACTACTCATATTTATACTATAACTACACTAATAGAAAATAACCCGACCATATAATGAACAAGAATATTTGTAAATATGGGCACTGCATATTACAAAGCGCGGAAGATCTGTTAGCGCTTGCATCTTATCCATAACATTATGCAATGGTCATATTCCAACACTGAGCTCGTTGGTGGAACACTGACAATGATTCAGCAAGAGAAAGCAGAGTAGATTATTGGTTACAAGGCTGTGGTGGTAGAATAGACAAGATCAAAAGCAAAGAACAACACCAGACAAAGCATGATAAGCAGGTCCACTAGTCCCCGAAATACTCGGACCGCTTGTTTCATCACACCTATGGGCGCTTAATACCCGTGGGAACGAACACTCTGGTGGTGGGCAACGCCCACCACCACACATATAAGTAGTACTCAAAGTAAGTATTGTGTAAAACCGTTAAACGGCAATCTTCACTATCATATTCCTGCTATACTCTTTGACATTCACTTCATTTATGAAAAATGCTGCTGTTGGCCAGCATTTGCTCTCAGGTCTGAGCAGCTGACGCCTCTCGTGGCATAGCTTGTTCTGACGTCTTCTGACTTTTCAGGCGCACTCTCTGGGTTTGCAGGAGCCGTCTTGTTACAGCCTCGTGAGCAGTAGAAGCTCTTGATATCTTATTTCGTTTGACTCGATGTACAGTGGACCTCTTGAAGACCAGGATTCAACAAGGAGATTGTGCTTTGAATGCCCGGTAGGCTTCCAGATGTGCGCGCAACTGTACCGCTCAGTAGCTCATGTCTCTGAAGCAATACGACTGTCATATGGCGTATGACAAACGACATTCTTCAGAACCAGGGCATGAAAGGTCTATGGACGGGCACGGGTGCCACGTTGGTTCGGTGCGTTCCACCATATCTTTCATCTCTCTCTTCACGATTCTTCTCTATACCAGCAACGTTCCAGGAGTGGCACTCTACTTTACGAGCCTGACTTATCTGCGCTCTATCATGGCAAAGTCCCCTTATTTCTCTGCACACCAGCGGCACAATCTCGACAGCTCTAAAACCGTCCTTCCAAAACTCTCCAGTCAGGGCAACCTCATAGCAGGCGCGACCGCTCGAGTTGGAGTCGGCTTTATTCTCAACCCATTTTCTGTCATGAAGGCGCGTTTCGAGGTTAGTACGGTCGTATAAATCACTGTGGTTTTTAGTATCCTCACATTGCGCAGAGTGAGCTGCATGCATACCGTAGTTTATCAGGCTCACTTCTTTCCATCGCCCGTATGGGACCGTCCGAACTTCTCCGTGGATTTGTTGCATCGTCGCTGCGGGATGCACCGTATGCCGGTCTGTTTGTCGTCATGTACGAGAGTATCAAACGCGAGACGAGTGAGTTCGTTGTCGGTGATGTAAGATCCCGGCTTATGTGTCCCAGCGTACTTCCTCCCAACCGCATATGCAGCAGGCATACATAGCTTTTCAGCTGCCTCTGCAGGTGCCATAGCCACAATGGCGACACATCCATTTGACGTCATAAAGGTCATTTCTTCAGGCTCTCTTCTTTCAAAGCATCTGACGGTATCTCAGACGAAAATGCAAGTTCGCTCAGAGGAGAGATACCGTGGCTTTGCCACTACCGTCATGAGGATTTGGAAGGCTGGTCCTGCTTATTTACGAGTTCGAGTTGTATTCTCACCACACAATTCACAGCAACGTGGTGCAGCGGGTTTCTTCGATGGCGCATCTCTCCGTATGTCTAGGAAGATTCTCAGCTCAGCAATTGGCTGGGCTGTATTTGAAGGAATGCTGATCTTCTTGCAAACATGACGAATTATTCGTTCCATACAATGACATCCACTGATACCATTCAAATGCGAATCTATAAGCCATCAAGAGTACTGCTGTTGGATGAACTTCGCGATCGTTTGCAGTTGAATATTTGACGTTCCCTCGTAGATCGCACCCTGTAGGGCATCATGCTAAATAATAGACACCATTCGATCAGAGGGGTACTCACGATCTTCGAGTCCCTCCAGAATTTCTCAATTCCAGTCTCCCTTGTAAACCCGACTCCTCCACACCACTCGATAGCCGACCCACTCACGCGCTGAGCTACCTGACTAGCCCAGTATTTGGCCATTGCCGCCTCCTTCGTGAAGCTCCGTCCTTCCTCCTTCCGCCGTGCTGCATTGTATGTAAGCAGACGTGCGGTCTCGAGTTCAACCGCAGCCTCTGCAATTTGGAACTGCATGCCCTGAAAGGTTCCGATCGGTTGGCCAAACTGAGTCCGTTGGTAGGTGTAAGGGACAGCTTTGTCAAACGCGCCTTGAGCGAGGCCCAACATTTGAGCAGCAATACCGATACGACCTGGGGGAGTGAGCTCTCATAGAATTGAAATCAGAGATTACCTACCCTCGTTCAGAATCTCGATGGCAAGCTGAAAGTAGAGCGTTTAGCTTAGTTTCCTGGCCGCAACCAAATTGCTAACCTTGTAGCCCTTGCCCTCACCGCCTATGATGTTCTCATCTGGTATTCGGAGATCGTCAAAGTTGAGCGTGCACGTTGATGACGCTCTAATTCCGAGCTTCTCTTCCTTCTTGGCTATTTGCACGCCCATATCCTTCGTTGCAATAAAGCAAGTGATACCCTTGTAACCTTTGCTTGGGTCGACCTATGGGTTCTTTCAGCCTATAGTGTAGAGTGTGAATACAAGTAGGATTCACATTCGCGAAGATAAGAAAGATTTCGGCCTCATACGAATTAGTGATCCACATCTTCGACCCGTTAATCACCCAACAGTCTCCGTCCTTCTTTGCCCTCGTCTGGAGCGCGAAAGCATCTGACCCTGACACAGGCTCGGACAAGCAGAATGAACCAAGCTATATGCACACATGAGCACACGTGCACAGAAGTTATTACTCAACTCACCTTCGACTCCGACAGTAAAGGCAACCACTTGTCCTGCTGCTCCTTCGTGCCATACTTGCGCAGAATGGTGTTCACGAGTGTGTTGTGCACGTCACACATGACAGACACGGAGGGGTCTATCTTGGCGAGCTCCTCGATTGCAATAATTGCGGATACAAAGGAGGCCTCTGCGCCTCCGTGCTCGGCGCTCGTCTCTATGCCCATGAGCTAAAGAGTGGTGTCAGCACGCTTGGGAGGGAGAGCTGCCTGGATGCTGACCCCTTGCTCAAAGAGACCCTGAATGATAGTCGGGTCCATAGCTTCTTTCTCGTCCATTTCGCGGACCTTGGGGCCAACAACGTCCACCGCGAAGCGTTTCACTAAACACATATTGTCGGTGCCATAAGCATGGTAAATACGAAGAACTACATACCCGAATCTCGAAACATGTTCTCCTCCTCCGTGAATGTGTCCAGCGAGTTCAGTTGGAGTCCCTCTGTCCGTCTCGCGGACACAGAGAACATTCTGGGCAAGGTATGGGTATGAGGACGTGTACGGCCCCTGCAAGAGCACGTACCTTATTGGCTTGACAAGCGTCCTTGAACAATGCTTGGTAGCTCGCAGTGATCGTGATACAGCGCGGAACATGGTGAAAGCGAAGGACAGTAAAGCTAATAATTAAGTGTGCACACTATATAGGGACATGTACAGGCTGATTGACATAAATACTCAAGTTTAATCACATGGGTCGCTTCGCCGGATCTTCTTCAGACATGTTCGGCTGTATGTAGTTAACAAGTTAACAACACTCCACGACTGTCGAATTCAGAAGCCACACGATGTGCAGAAAGGGCATGATTCATGGACGAGTACAACGAAAACTATACCGTATCCTCAATGATCATATGAAAAGCAGCGTGTTGCACGAAAATGTGTGAAAAACCTAAACGAGATTAACGGACGCACACGACGTGGCATTGAAAGTCATGAAAAAGTGGAAACCTATGATGAGTCGTCAAAAGGGTCGTATCAAATCACTCCGTGGGTCAATCATCAGCATCGCGTGCCTCGCCGTTCGTGCGAGGCGTACCACGGGTGAGCCCGGCTGCGGCAAATCCCCGCGCAGCGAATCCACCACCACGACCACCACGTCTCCACCCACCACGACTACTGCCTCTATCAAAGCGATCTTCGCGTTCCGCCACGCTAATAGTACTCTCGCCCATTTTCTAGATCGGAAGTGTCAACCACCGAAAAGAACGATATTTGGGTGACTTACCTCATCATTCTTCCCCAATCCTGTCTTCATGGTCTCTTCGTCACCGAACTCTACTAAGACCACGTGTCTAGTACGTTGAGGCTGATGTTGATGCGGGGACCCCTTGCTTGGAAGGAAAATCACCTTCGTCACTCCCGCCGCCTCACCACCAAAGAACGTCCTGACTTCTTCTTCCGTTGATTGTTGAGGGAGTTTGACGAATAATGTCCAAGGATGTCTCGATGGCCGCTTGCTTGTCGGTGTCCTCGTGCCCGTACTGTCTGTTGTTGGCGACTTCATCCCTTCGCGTGCATCGGTGATGGGCACTTCAGGTGTCGCTTTGCCTGATTTCGGCTCTGGTGCTACTGCAGGGGTAGGGGCAGACGCCGGAGTTGGAGCACGGGCAGATGCTGGAGCTGGAATAGGTGCATTCACAACAGGATCAGCTTTCTCTTCGGATGTAGAAGCCTCCTTCTCCTTCGCTTCTGCGCGCTCACGGTCCCTGCGTTCTTTCTTCTCTTTCTGTTTCTGCCTTTCTTTTTTAGCCTTGTCTGACGGTGGTGCAGGTGTTCCACTCCCGTTAGATTTGGGAGGTGCAGGCGTGGACGGAGATGATTCTTTGGGAGTCACTTTACCAGATGGTACAGAGGCCAGAGGAGACTTGACCTCCCTTGGATGTGGTGAGAGAGGTTTTTCAGCCTGAATGGGTGTTGAACCCTTGGTGGGAGGGTTCGAGGTAGCATTTGGTAGTGAAGACGTTGTTGAATTTGGTGTTGGTGCAACATTACTGGGCGTCGCGGTGCGACGGTACGCATAGTTGAAACCTGAAAAGCGTTTAGTGAGGGCCATCGACCGGGGCAATAACAACTCACCCTGGCTCTTCAACTCGGCACTGATTCTGCCATCCTTGACATCCAACACAAGCGAACCGAACGCAGCATCGCATAGGTTCCAATTCCAACAGTTCTTCCAAGAGGGCTCTTCTGGACCCTGTGGATTCGGCACCCTCTCAACAACACTCAGGGCCTTGCCAAGCAGGACTCGCTGATGCTCATCGATAACGGTTTCTACCTGCTGTTTTACACTGTCCCAAACTTTATCAAAAGCTTCCTTTCCAGCAACGAGCTTGTGGCGGAAGCCTTCGAGATCGCTTTGCACGCTGAACTCGTTATAACTGGAGGCATAACGGAAGTGAAGCCCCGCGCTAATAGAGAGATCGGCCTTGAGAACGAGTGCAAGTTGTACAATTATACCCTCACGGCCGGGGCTGGCATGTGTGACAAGGAGACGTGTCTCGGTGGGATCGAAAACGCGCTGGGCGGTATCGACAAGCTCGCCGATCTGGAGTGCGGTTGTCCACATGGTACCCTGTCCACCAGCGATTGTGGCGCTGCCATCACCATTATCAAACATTTTGTGGGGAACGAGTGCACCGCCCAGACCAAGAAGCCTAAGTTTGACGCCTCCAACGTCGAGGCAGTGAGTAGTTGCCTCGTCGAGGATGTGGAGGTTGTCGATGTTGTATATGCCAGCGCGGAACTTCTCGAGAATGACAACATCCTCGCAAGCACCCCAAACAGTATATACAGGGACAGAGAGCTTGAGTTGACCTGAGAGAAGGAGAGGGAATTCAGAGAGGAGAGAAATGTCGACGGTGGCGCGGATTGCTTGGGCGGTGTTGTCAGGTGCGAGGAAGTGGGCACGCTGTGATGATGGTATTAGTGGCGAATACATCGTCAGATGACGCAGCGTGCGGTCATTTATGCGATCTAGACTGTTGCTTTCTGTGTATAATAAACGCGTCAAGCAAAAAAAAAATTGGGATTTTGGGAGACGCCCATGCTCACCGAAAAAACCAAAGTCGCCGGTATGAATGATAGCTTTCGCATTCGCCTCGCGTGCAAGATCATTTAGGCCAGAGAGGCGGCCACGGATGTCTGCAACGCAAAGGATACGGCCGTGTGTAGTGTCTATGACTTTTGTGTGGGTATTCACTTGGGCTTGAGGTCTAGGATTTGGGGATACTGCAGGACGTGTCGAGGAAGATGCTGGACGGGATGACGAGTTCATTTTGAAAGCTATGTGGTCAACGGGGAAGACGGCGAGGACGACAATGAGCACAACGACAAGGTCGCTAAATGAGAAGGGGGGGTTTCACAGGGAGTTTGACGATTACATAAGCTTATAACCCAAGTACGCATCTAACTTTACGAGTCCCACTCAACGCCGACGACGTCGTCAACGACAATAGTAGCGTTCATCACGAAGCTACTGCTGCCTGGGACCCGTGGTCATCACCGTTGTGGTTATTGCGAGATATTATGCTGTAGATCATGATTAGGAGCACAAGAAATAACAAGTTTAAAATACTTATATCAATGCCTACTCGTCGCCATTGACAGCGACGACGCAATGGAATCAAGTGAATCAAGTTTGCGATTCACTATGATGATTCGAGTCAATTGTGGTGGGTAAGTCTGCGCAGGCACTGCTGGCCCGCCACGGATCAGAGAATCATGCAGACCGCGTAACCCACAAGTTGCTGCCCACCACCCTCGACGACCTCTAACCCGCTCCTTGACGCCGTCGACGTCAATGAACCTATATGGCTCACAAATCTGAGATAACAGCGCCATTGCCAAGTGCCTTGAACCAAATCTCGTCGACGCTTACTGCATCGGACAAGCTACTCTCATCCGTGCTTCCCCTTCCAGAGAATCCGTGTATCGTCTATGCTACGTACTCCCCGTCTGGAGCAGTGCCTCCCTATGAAGTGCTAGAGTCTGCACGGAGACAGCTTGTTTCACGAAACCAGGCTTTCAGTTTTCAAGACTCGATTCTTCCCCATGTTCACATCGATCGGGATGTGTCAACCTTTCATGCATTCATCGTAGCCTCCAATGAGCAAGTCGACAGCTCTATGTCTGTTCTTAAACGGCTTAGACTCGATGATATGATAAGTGAGTATTCCACCCCATTGCTGCGCGCCGTCACCACCTCGACTTTACTAACCTACTACTTCAGTCTCAGAAACTTCTTCTTTCAACCCGCATGGGCTCTATCCATGCAGTTTGGCTTGTGCAGATAGTCATACTCCATGTGCATCATGTCTCGCACCCATTGATTTTTCATGCATCTCCACTGCCCGTCTCCTTCCACGGAAGCCACTTCGACAAATCTACACTCGATTTATTGATGCTGTCCGGACACGTCTCATAGACGACGTTGTTACTGCATCCTTGACTTCCGCTCTTCGCTTTCATAATGGCTTCCTCCTCGTACCCAATGCTATATCTAACGAGTGGGGCGCAGACTGGGACCATCATGCGCAATCACGGTATAAATTCTCGTCTCCACCGTTCCATCATCTCTGATACTCACGGAATTTTTATCCAGGCCACTCGTCCACTGCCACATCGATCTTCAACTTGCCCCCAATCGGCTTGAGGTTCACTCTCTCTTTCGGGCCTTCCCACACGTTCCTCTCCCTGCAATCCTCCCCCTCCCACCTGGTACACCTCTCACCCTTCTTCCCACCGGTGCCCCTGCCTTTCTTCTCGCCAATTACTCAGGGCCCACTGCCTCCCTTACCGCGCACTTCACTCGCTCACTCGCTCCGCATCCCCTCCCGCATTCCAAGGACCCCCAGTATATCATTGCGTGGCTTGCAGTGCAGAACAAGCAGGGCGAGGACAAGGGCACACCCATAATCTGGCCCACAGCCCTGTGTCTAGTTTCCAATTCGTCATCACGCAAGCCACTGGCACATATTCCAGAGCTACCTGCGCAGCTTCAGCCTTCCCCACCTCCGCCTCCTCCGCCATCAATAAATGTTGGGACTCCCCATGTAGACTCGCCGAGCACGCCGCTAAGGGTATTAACGAACCATCCGCTTACGCGTCGCCCCGCCACAGTTTCTCCATCTCCCCTCAGAGCTCTCCGCAGGTTAACCCTTTCCCATACTACTAGCCTGCAGAACGTCGCATCAGAGGTAGGCGGTTATGTCGAATCTGTTGTGCGTGAGCGAGACCGGGAACGGGAGCGCATTCGTAGGGAGCGTGAAGCGATGACATCGGTATCTGCGTCGCCGCAGGTGGTCACGCCAGCTGCAGCTATAGTCTCTGCCATTCCTACCCCAGCACCTGACCCAAATCACCTACTGCATCCATCCCCTCCAGCACCCACTGAACACCCACATATCCATCCAAGCGTCTATTATCCCTCTCCTGTAACTGCAATTGATCCCCCTGCTCCTCCCGGACCCCCTGCTGTGCCTGAACTCCCAACACCGTTGCCGCAGACGAACCTTGCGCCTGTTCCCACATCATTTGACCCGTTCAACACAATGGATGCCACCTGGTCGCAACCTGCATCTGATTTCATGGACTATGATATGGGTCCTGCTGCTCAACGTCGCCTCGACGTGGACTTCGCAGATTACGATACTTTCACGTTTACTGATGATGACTTCAGCTTCTTTGATCGTCCCTCGCGCCCTTCGGATGCTGCGCCAGCACCACTCGGGCTTTCGCCGAGTATATTTGGTGTCGCAGATGTCAGCGTGTCTTTTACCCCGGCAACAGGCACTCAGCTCTCCCCAGACGTCCCGACGTTCACTCCAGCACCCGTACCTGCTCTTCCCTCTCCATCTGCCTCGCACTCAGCGCCTTCCACACCTCATGTGAAGGTTACGCACCCGCCCTCCCAGTTCACTCGCACCTTCGACCCTATCGCCTTCGCTCCTTCGCACAGTCTTGCGGATGCCAAGTACTCTTCTGCCGGAAAGTTTGCTCTTCCCAGCCCGCCTGATGAAGAGGACCGCACTTCACCTTTGCCCGCCCTGTGTTCACAGAGCCATAGCACAGCCTCCCCTGCTGATCTTCGCGCGCGGTACAGCGCCGCAACAGACTGGCGCCTCGGCGTCGTACGTCAACTTATCGGCGTCAAGCGCAAATCTAAGTCGCTTGATCATGGAAGAGCACGCTACCGGCAGTTCCTCATGTCCTCGTATGATGACAGCGTTTACGAGGATATAGTTCCTTCACTAGAGGACGACGAGAAGTCTGAGGCTGTTTCAGAAGATGACGCAGATATGGACGACGAGCGTGAGCGCTCAACCACCCCACCCCCATCATACCTCCCTCTAGGCCCCATGCTCCTCCACACACAGTTCCACCACGCACTCCTCCTTCCGCTTTGTCAACCTCTTCGCCCGCCAGGATCGGCAGTTGCGCCTATGAGCTTGGTGCTTCCCCCACCACCTGTGGCTGCCCCTACACCAGTCTCTCCTGCTGCATCATTGGAGAAGATTAACCAGGAGCTGGCAGCGGCTGGTGCGGTGCTCGCGCGGGAGGTCGTTGAAAATGCTGTCTGGGCTCGCGCCTGGGGTTGCCGGTGTGCCGCAGGGGAGGAACAGGTTTGGCCCAGCGATATTCAGGAACTAGGGGATATTCTCAAGCGTGTGGATGTCCTTGATGGGCCAGTAGAGTTACTGACGATGTTCACACCCGGTAAGTTTTGGAGAGTCTGATAATTTATCGCTCAAATCATACCAATGCAGACGGTATACCCGCAGCGGAAAGTGTTCATTTTCAGAGACTGGACCCTCCCATGTTTTCGGTAGGCAAATCAGGCTGTGTCGTGCAAGTATTGCCGTCAGCATTACGCTTCTGGGAGAAGCTGGGCCTCACGCCTCATGGTGGCAAAAGAGATGTTGTCGCTTTCGTATTTCTCGAAGAAGGTGGCCTGGAAAAGCAGCGCCAGGCTGAGATTTGGTTGAACAAGATGTCTGCAGGATACAGTGTGAGTTCATTGTTGATTATCTTTCTCTTGTTTCCAATCGACCAATTTTCTTTTGGGTAGGCCAAGCAGCTTGGTTCTTTCACTGCCGGGATCAGCACAATGTGCTCAGCAGATGGAGTGATGCCTTTGCGGTTGGAGAATCTGAGGAAGTCCATAAGTATGTTATCTTTTGATCGGTAATTCGCTCAAACAAACGTAACACTCGACAGGGTCCTTTCTGCAATGCTTGGAATCAAACAATGACCTTGTCTTCTACATAGCCATTCCTGACCCAGCGATTGGGCTCACCTCACCCCTCCTGCGCGAAATCTTTAGTTTTGTCAAGCAGACCCAGGCAAAGCGCTCTGAGGCTCCTATCCTCTTTCAGTTTGTCCCCGAGCACCTGATTTCCTCGTCAGAGAGCCCTTCAGGTGAAGACTCGGAGATTGACGCCCTTTGTTACGCAACCTACCGACGCATGCTCAAACCCGTCGAGCGCTCCATGGCCAGGGGATTCTCCGACAAGAGTGAAACAATCGCATATTTGCAAGAGCAGCCGTTTGTTCTAGCCCGCCCCTCCAGCACTGTCCACTTTGCGCAAACAACCCCAGCTCGGTCGCTTGACGTCATGGATCGGCACACTCTCCTTCATGTTGGGTACCGCTTTTCTACCTGTGGAAAATGGCTATTCGCTGCGTGTGTCGACCAGCGTGGGGAAACTTACGACCTTGGGACGTGGCTGATACAGGACGAAATAGAGACATCGGCAGTGGTGCAAGTCTGGAATTTTGCGTTGCAATTCGCAAAGAGAGCCAATGTTGAATGGCGGATCGTCATTGCGAAACTAGGGCCTATGACTGTTAGCGAATTGGAAGGTCGGTGCTACGGAATGATTCTGGTGTTGCCTTTGTTTATTTGTTCTTTAGGATGGAACATTCATCTTTCCGCTGCGGCCCCGCTGTGCAATGATGTGCCACCTTTCCATGTCAGCTTGCTTTCCGTGGAGCAGAATTTATGCTGGCCTATCATACCACACCTTGATGAGACAGCAGGCCCAGCGTCATCCAGACGGGCTCCTGCGAAGGATTCCAAATCTATATACGTGGACACCGCTGCCCCAGCCTACGTTATATATCCTTCTACACGTATTCCCCTTTCCTCGCTTTCTTGTCAGGACCAGGCAGATTTACCATTTATCCCGGACAACGATGGCACGACGACTTCTGATACATTAAGCATCCTACCCATATCCACATCCATCCTCGTTCGATCTCCATCCACACGCTCGACTTCTACCCAATCATCCATCTACATACACCTTCTCCATGCGCTACACACTCGAGGTTCTTCTTTCTCCATTTCAGATGATATCATGCGCAAGGATATCACACTCAATTTTTACGAATTGTCTATTCTTGCAGGGGCAATGCTGGGCTTCCAAGAATACCCTCTCCTGCCTTTCCATCTGGCTGCACTCGAGGCTATGCATCATTCCCTCAGACAGGAAGATATCAGTTGACGCTTTGCTTTACGGTCTCTCACGCCTCTTTTGTTTTTGTTTTTCAACAAGTAGATCTGTCGCTGTCTTGCTTTTCTTTTGGTCACTACCCTACAGTTGTTGCATGTACCGCACTATTTTGTATCCTTACTGCTAACATCTTTCTTGCTCCTTGATCATGTTTATTACTATGAAGTAAAAACACGAATGTACAAATGCTGTGGAATAGGAGCTGAACTACTGGGTCTTCTTTTCCTGAGCATTGTACCCCTTTGGTGCGTCCAAGCGCACAGATGACTGAAGGCTAGCAAGAGCTGAGACAGCCAACATAATAATGGGCACGATGATGAAGAAAACGACGAATAAGGCAACAAGAAGGGGCGTCGAGAACAGCTGGTATCTCTTAAAAATACCACCGTCAGCGACGGTCGAATTGTCAGGAAGAGTATATGTTGAGTCAAATTCGGAAGGTGGAAGTAGCTGACGGCGCTGGTGATCAAGTGGAGACCCAGTGTACAAAACTAGGTGGCTCGTGAAAGCTGCGTCAATCTTCTCGATCTCACTGGAGAGGTATTGATCTGGCACATGTTGTGTGAAGTAGATGTAATTCGACGCAGTGTGCACTCACCATAATCCAACATGGCCGCCTTTCGGAGCTTCGGGCTACCCTCCATTGCTGGCATATTGACGCATACGACATGCTTAGAGTTCTCAGCGAGGTCTAAAGGGCCAGCCGCTGGACTGACACTCGTCAAGGTCGAGCCGCAGCGACTCGCCAGAGACTCGGCGATTTCCTGGAAGGAAGAAGAGGTGCTACGCTTCACATACGGGTACTGTCTTGATGAGGGCGCACTCTTCAAAATGGCAGACAGTCCAGAAGAAGTAGGCAATGCACGAAGATCAGAACTACGGAGCTGCGGAATAATGTTAGTAGTATAGCCAACTGGAAAGCTAGTACATACACCCGGCTGGTCTATCACTAGAATAGCATCGAAGGAGCAGATGTCTTCTGGCGAGAGAATTCCGCCGACTATGCCCATAGAATCTTCAAACTGTAGGTCTGGAGATAGACTGTTCAACACAGACGAACTGTGCCAATGTGAGTATTGACCGAATTAGTGACCGACAGCTGACACGAACCTTTGAGACGACCATGCGACAATTGGAACTGTGTCCGAATATCCCAGCACACCGACTACAGGGAACAGAGCTAAGATAGCAGCGCGTCCAGCCATTCAGAATGTCCTAGAGTTATGACAAGTTATGATGTTGCAGTTCAAGCTTGAATTACATAAGCCAAACCCACCGTAAATTCTCTCGTAAGCAATATTGATGCAAGCATTGAACACTTGGACGACTTGGATAACATGAGCACCCAATTCTACTTCGACGGTTATCGAACGGAATATATGAGTGAATACAAGCCAGGCAGATATCACCCAGTGCACCTAGGCGACACGTTTCCTACGCGCGATAACCCAAGATACTGTAAAAGTCGACCTTACTGACGAAGAACTTGAATTACATAAGCCGGGCGCGTTTACCGTTTACCACCAACAAGTTAATAGCCATGGCTACTATTCCTCCCCAGGCGAGGTCCAAACAGCTCCGAGCATGCTTACTATGCTCGATTATTCAACATCCCATGGATTTTCGGAAGAATGGTTGCCCAAATTGCGAAGAGCTCATGCAGGTATTACCAGGTCATCGCGGATCCTCCCACTTTTCGCTGACGTCCTCTCAGATGAAAGGTTCCCCTGACCGCATAAGTGTTTGCACCACCACTTACTTTGATGGTATCATTGCTGTCATCGACGCAGAAGCGAGCTGGGTGGCTCGATGGCAAAGAACGTGTAAGTTTACCCCAATGCTAGTTTGAACACATTCCTGATTGTAATCCGTTTCATAGCAAAGTATGTTCGGGGGATGTATGCTGTCCGCGTGAAAGGTCGAATACCAGAAGACGTAGAAGCTGAACTCGAGTCCCGTGGCATCAAGTACCGTCCTAGAGACCAGAGTGATCAGGATTAACATGCTTTACAGTGTTTCATTTCGTTCTGCAAGTTGTTTTTCAGTTTACATTAGCTTTATCGTTACTAGTAGCAGAATTAGTAGCCAAATTCGTTACACATCACATTATCTGCCTGCTATAGCTCATAGCACTACTGTAGCGCCCCTGGAATTTGCCTGGAATGATCCAAAATTGTATGCGCCTTGGAGAGATATACACGTCAGTCCAACACTAAGTTAGTAATTCATGGCAACCATATGTACCTCGACAATATGGTAACCTCGTAGAGTATGTATACAAGAACAAGCGGGAAGTCAGCACAGGGTATTAATCCGTTATACAGTAGAGTGTACAGAACTACAGTCGATTCCGTAGCGCGGTCGTGTGAGAGGGAAAATTATAATGCAGGGTAAAGGCTAAATGAAGAGCAGCAGGTGATCAACGGTAGCCTGCCCTTAGTGGTAGTAGCAGAGGAAAACTACGTCAAAGCAGCTCATGAAGAACCTGGTCATATCGATGAGGCATGTGTGACCTAGAAAAGGCCGTGAACATGTTATTTACCGTCACAGGTCAAGACGCACCCAAGCATATTTCTTGAGAAAACTATTTGAGAAAATACTTTCTCGACGTCCAAGACCTCAAATAGCCTCAATGTTTGATCAGGATCCTTGTTGGGTTGTTGGGACTGATGCGAGGGGTGCAGGTCACAGTCCCTGACAGCCCATAAGACACGACCAGGTGGGAATAGATCAGCCATTTGCATATTTGCCTCGAGGGTTTTCCGCATCGACAGAAACTTCGCCGAGCATCAATCTCACCAATATCATCACGTTACGATGGATATAACTTACCCAATGAAGATCATCAGGCGGCCCATCCCCAGCCTTCCAACGTTTAACTCTATTGGTGATAACCGAATATCCTTCTATACCATCATTTCGCTCATTTGCATCACACAGCCAGAGGGCTGCGTTACGAATGTCCCGGACAGAACCGAGTGATAGTCGAGACACAATGTCATCTGAGCATACAAACGATGTGACCAGCTTCGACGCCAATCGGCTAAGCGCAGCATCCGTCAGACAACTAATGGAATTCAAGATGTATGTCCCAGTAGAGTAAGATGCATAACGTACGGAGGTCCTATGCAGTAGACGGATACGTTGCGGTCCGCTGGTAAGCCACTTGAAGGCACTGTCAAACAAGTCGCAGGGTCTGCCCACATCTAGATGAAAAATGTCAATACACAAAAATCACAGCTTAAATATCGCATTCACCATGGCCAAGAGAACTGCAACTCCTGCTCCTAGACTATGTCCGCAAAGTATGAGTTCTGGTTGGCGATCCTGATCAGCTGTGACAAACGTCATGATAACAATCTCAATCACCGTATCCTGGGTTGCGAGTCAATGCATCCATGACAGCGATATGCACTGGTTTTCCAATCTCGCCCATCACACGGGCCATGCGGAGCATTCCTCCGTGAACTTGGTATTTGGGCTGCTTATCATGTGAAGTCGTCGAGAGAATAGATAAACGCCTCCGTGAGGATCTTCTAATGGATCCCGGGAATGGTATACTGTCTCCAGTGTCTTCCTGAGACGTGCTGGACGCGGGCTCAAATTCTACTGGATCACAAGTTAGATCAACAGCGAGCTCGTTAAGTGACATTGTTCCTGTAAAGCCGTAGTAAGCACAAGGCGAATAGCTCTCCGAACAAAAGCCACCTCGTAAAACAAGCACGACCTGGTGTCTATCGTGGTCGGTCAAGACCCAGAATCTAGGCATCTGACGCTCTATCCCAACAACAGCTGTTGCACGAGCCCTTGCCTGTACATTTGGCTGCTCTACTGACTCCTCATGCACCGACCTTTCAAAAATTTCCTTGTCGTGCTTGCCCATCAAGATGTCCCACCAGGAGTACTCCACATTGTCGGAAGGAATTCCACGGAATGAGGAATTTCCTTCCACCTCATCTTCCGCCGCATTGACAGCATTTTGGAGTTGTGCCTCTTCCGCATCCTTTTCGTTACTTGTAGTCGGGGGGTTTAAATTGCGAGACGGCGACGTCAACAGAAGGGGAACCCCGAAAAAGAGTAGACTCGCGCCGCCATAGCCAGCAAGGACCATCTTGGAAAATCGTCGCAAATTAGTCTTGAGCTCAGCTATAGACTTTTGCGGTAAATCTATGTGGGAGTCTTTCCACCTAATGGAAGACACGGACGACATTGACAGTCTCGAGAGAGCACTCGGAGATCTGGGACGGGTATGCGACTTAGCGGGTGCCTCTCCGATGTCTGCAGATATAAGTTGTCCTCGATGCCCCGGGAATATCACGTCGGATGTTACTCGAACTCGTGAAGGTATACGCTTGAGATGAGGGCCGGTGGACGGATCATGAAATTGAATCTCGCGAAGATATGGGAACCAACTCTGCTCTTGCCACTCGTGGGTGACGCCTTGCAAAGCCACCCATGCAACCAAGGCTCTAGCAACCTCTGTTACTCCGTACCTTCTCCCTGGGATATTCTCGTGTGATCCAGGATGATCCCATTCACGTTTTACAAGGTCAATGAATGATGCCAAAGAAAAGGAGGCTTCGCTGCTGCCAGGGAAGATGGCGGAGAGAACATCGATGGAGCCATAGGCTGCTCGTAGAGAGGCTGATGAAATGTACTCCCCGACATAGATGGGAGCAAGAGTAAGTCTCTCGGCGAAGGTGAAAGCACTGGAAACTGCGCCTTCTAGGACGGGTGCAGCGACTTCGCTCCCACCGAACACTACGCGATCGAGGGCAGAGGCGACCACACCCGCGACGCTAGACGCAGCGTCTCGAGCAACCGAGAACTATGGAACAATGTGAGTTCTGTAGTGGAAAATTAGCATTGTTCGGCTTACCCCCAGTCGGGTTGTGCCCTTAACAGCAATGAAAGTAAGGGAGGTTGCTGCTGAAGTAAGGTCAAGACCACGCCTACCATATCTCTGCCAGTCGTAGTTCATGATTAGTGGTGAGAAGGAAGAGTATCTGTGCACGTGTGAATGGGCAGGACAATTCCATGCATCGGCTGCTCAGAACAGCCTCAGATGCAAAAGGCCAAAATTCAATCCCAAACGTAAGTTCCAGATCAAAGCTCAAGAAAGCACTACATACAAAGCCTGTGATTAACAAGATCCCAAATCAGACTCAGCAGTACAAAGGGGTATAAAATATGTAATTATAAATAAAATAAAATAATTATAATGATATCAATTTGCTTACCTTGTAAGTGTAGCTTCCTTCATGTGTTCCAGCTTCCGCCCGTTGCTGCCAGCCCTTCAAGCAGTCGCTGCAAGATGTCCCCGGACAAAAACCTGGACGTCCTTGAGAGCATATGCTACCGAAGCCGCAGCAAATTATGACTACAAGCCCTCACATTATGGCCAACCACTCTTTCAGTCACACCCGCACCTCCGTGAGCTTAATCCTTCTAGTCCACTTCCTATACCCTTATCAAAGCCAAGACAGTTAGGCCCAATGAACTAACACCTGGGATTCCGTCTGAGGAGTATGAGCGGCGTCGGAAAGACCTCATGGACAGCCTACCTAGCAATAGTGTGGTGGTTTTGATTGCTGCACCAGTGAAATACATGAGCGGAAGTATGTAAAATTCTATTCTCCTCTTTTCAATACCTTGAAATCCTCCTCAAGGTATATTGTAGGCCTTCACTAGGTCCGCACTGATTGGTTGCCTAACATTATGTCTTCAAGTTACAAATATCGCCAAGCCTCTGACTTCTGGTATCTCACTGGTTTCGAAGAGCCTGATTCTGCTGTTGTCCTAGGTATGGAGCTAACGTTTTAATTTGGCTTAGACTTACTCCCCGCAAGAGAAGAATTCGTCTTCTCGAGGATATAGAATGACACTGTTCTCAAGTGGGAAGGACTCCGCGAAAGAGAAATGGGAAGGCCCAAGGTAAATTCTGAGACTGCGGTAATATGCTGAAATGATATCTTTTTCAGGACAAGCTTTGATGATGCTTTGAATGTCTTTAAAGCTGATGACGCGCTCACAATCAAGGCTTTTCCGGCTCAATTGCGATCTATGATAAGCCTCTACTCTAATGTCTTCATTGACCTGCCACAGTCTCCGCGCAAAAATGCTCGCTCCACTAAGTCATTGCTTCGATACCTTTCGCCTCCTGTCAATCCTAGGTCAGAGTATGAGACTGTCGTGGAGTCACTGTCAAGCTCCCGACGGAAACCCCTTGCTCCTCTTATTGCTCAGTTGAGAGTGTTCAAGAGTGACTGCGAGCAACAAGTCATGAGAACGGCTGCTGACATCAGTGGCCGCTCTCTTGCAAAGGTTACTGACGTCCTAAACACTACCACTCGTTATTCTGACACGATACTTTTTTTGTTTTGAAGACAATGCGCTTTACACGGCCTGGCATCTCAGAAAGTGCACTAGCAGCTCATTTTGAATACTTGTGTTGTCTATCGGGTTCACAACGCCTTGCGTATGTCCCAGTTGTTGCATCTGGGTGAGTCATGTCGGCTTTTGAATGTACTCTATCGAGACATTTAATGTGTGGTTCAGGCCAAATGCACTCATCATACACTATACATCGAATAATCAAGTTGTACAAGATGGCGAGATGATTCTAATGGACGCAGGATGTGAATACAAGTAAGTCATTTTGTTTTGTTTTTTCTGGCACACTGACATTGTCAAGCGGCTACGCGTCTGACATCAGTAGGTGCTATTAATTCTACTTCCGACGTGTTACCCATATCTGGCTACTCTTAAGCTCGCTCGTATCCGGCCAATGGTTTTTTTACACCTCCGCAAAGGGAGCTATATAGTGCCGTGCTGTCTGCGCAGAAGGCTCTTGTGGAATTATGCACGGAGGCAGAGGAATTGAGTCTTCATGATCTGCATCGCAAATCGTGTGACCTCCTCAGACAGGAACTGAAACAAATTGGGTTTACTCTCCATACAGGAGACCTGGAGAGAGTACTTTACCCTCATTTCCTCAGTCATCCAATTGGGATCGGTACGCAGGTTTCTGTTATTATTTTCTGGGGTCCTGATGCAGGGATTTTCCAGATTTACACGAATCATCGCATTCAGATCGAGCAGAGCTGTACGTGGTTCTCATAGTGTCGCATTCCTTAGATCTCAAGTTCACCATCCATGCAAGGTTGAAAGCCGGGATGGTTATTACTGTAGAGCCCGGTATGTATTGTGTGCATTTTATTATTGATGAGTACATGACAATTGTTCAGGAATATATGTCCCGCCTACTGCTCAATTCCCAAAGCATTTCCATAACATTGGCATTCGGATAGAGGTTGGCTATAATGATAGGTGACATCTACAGTTCTACTGACATACGTTACAGGACGAGGTCCTTGTCGGCGAGAAATACCCTGTGGTTCTCAGTGTTAGCGCACCAAAGGAGGTCCGTCATGATATTTTATCTTTTCTGGACAAACGAATTGAAGGCGTTGCGCGCACATATTTAGATTGCAGACATTGAGGGTGCATGTCAAGGACTATTGGGACTGGAGCCACTTTGAGGCTGGATCATGTATATCTATCCCTAAATCTCCCCTAACCTATGTGCTCCCGTACTACACACAAAGATAGATAATGTCACTCATCCTCCGGATGATCGACTGTCTCCAATGCCTTTAGTATCTGGTCCTTCCTGAGCCACTTTTCTTCAGGAGTGAAGTACCAGCTCAGGAAAGCGAAAATGGAAATCGCGCCAAAGATGACGACAGCCTTCGAGGGGGGTTCATTGGACGAATTGATGAAGGCAACTGTAACACTCACGAAATTGAACGTCCCAGCGTTGACAGGGAATTCAAAGGGCGATATATCGACCTAACACCAACTCAGTTGAAGTCTTTGTTATGAGTGGAAGTAGCCCACCGCAAATACCAGCGCATTGAATAAAACGGCACAGACGTAGAATGGCTTAGCGTACTTGCCCAGCTTGAAATGAGAGGACTGGAAATGATTGGGTGTCATTGTCAAGCGCAGCAAAGCGATAAGGCCATATGCCGCAATAGTTGGAACAGCCCCAGCTGAGACCAACGAGGTGAATGCCACCTGGCTGGGAAGGATTGTACAGAGAAGGATGGCTGCAAAGATGTAGATGACGGTCACTGCATTACGAGGTTGTCCTTTCGAGTCAACAGTGCCGATCCATTGGGACAATGGCAAGACTCCGTCTCTTGCGACCGCGAACACCAGGCGTGAAGACGCGACAATAGCGACAGTTGTGTTCTGTTAGCCGGTCAGCTAATGAAATTGCAATCATTTCATAAGAGCGAGTACACACCATGATGAGGCCAATGACCGCAATAACGGTCATAAAAATGCTGGCCTTCTTTCCAAGAGCGAGCGCATAGATCTGCACGAATGGCTGTGGCGCATCAAGGGCGAACATGGTATCGAGGTCTGGTGTGCAGAACAAAAACAAAATGGTCGTGATGAACCCCAAAACACCTGTTGCGATTGCGCTCCATAAAATTCCTTTGGCTGCGACGACACTGCGAGAAGTTAAACAGGGATACCATTACAACACTGTCAAAGGCCAATACCTAGCATTCTTGGTCTCCTCAGCGATATGCCCTGAGGCGTCAAAGCCTGTCAGGGTCCCCGCCGTGAATAACCTAAATGTGTTTTATATAACTGGCTAATCACTGAAATCAAAGTTGACGTACAAAGATAAGAGCCAGTTCCATCCAGCCGGGGCTCCCGTGCCGTTATCTGATATAAATTCAACATGAGAAAGGGCGTTGGCAGGTGGTCAAACGTACAAGTCATAGTAAAGACATCTTTGGCAGACCGAAAACCATAGGTATTCGAAACGCCAATGGGTAACCAGATAAGACACAGGAAGAAGTCAAGCATCATGAAGCCGACGGAAAATTTGAAGACGCCAGAATAAAATTTTGGTGGGAGGTAGTTAATGGTCACTGACAACAATAACATTCCTTCTGATATTGCCCAGATGAGAGCCCGCCACCGGATATTGTCATTTCCAACACCTCCAGGGAAGTCGACCTCCCAAACAGCAAGTTGAGAAACGATATAATTGGCCGTGGTCTATAAGGGTTGAGAATCGACTACGCCGTCACCATAAACGACATACTTGGCAGTTGCTCGCGGTGAAGGTCATCCATGCGGTACATGCCCACCAAGCAACGAGGAAGCCAAAGAACCTGGCATGCTTGGGACCAGCACTTTCTGCGGCCCAGATATAGATGGAACCGCTTAGCGGTAGCGCGGAACAGATCTCCGCGAGAACAGCAGCAGTCATGAACATGAAGACCATCGTAATCAGGTACGACGACCTGTGTTAGAGTTGGAATATGCGAGTAAAACACAAATCAACGGACGAACCATATCGCTGCGGGCCCTCCGGCAAGAAGTCCAAGGAAGATAAAAGATCTATGGGGACAATGTTAGTAATGGCGGAAGGAGTGGCCAATGTAGTTAGATACCTAACGCCTCCAATGAAGTTTAGGGCAACAAAACTTGCTGCAAAGCTCTCGATCAGGTGCCAGCTGCGATGCAATTGCTAAAGCGGATGAGACAGGAAATCAACCAAGGCATGCATGTAGTGTCACCTGTTTATAACCGAGTGTTGCCTGAAATCATGAAAAATAGATAGAATCAGCAAACATGCATTACTCCTCGTAAGGAGTGTGAAAGCAAGGTGACACTGGGGGCTTCCCTACGCAGGTATGAGCACTGTTCAGGTTCGAGCGGTATAATCTCAACCCCCACTGCGACCTCAAACGTCAGAGACAGCCCAGACGCGTCCGGGACGTTCAAAAACGATTCAGTCAGCAGTAGGAATACCCGCAGCCGTCCAGTTTATCACTATAGATCGACATTACCGATTGTTTCAGTGATATCAAACGCGTCATTCCCTGCAAGGTTATTCCCTTCTGTCGTTGAAAAGAGAATCACCAGCTGCAGGGCATCCTTGTCTGCAATAGATCCGCTTTCGCTATCACCAACGACCTCGTCCGTCGTCTGTGCTCCAGTGCTGGAATCGCGGGACATCGTGGTAAATGAACTAGAAGATAACGAGGATGAAACCACGAGTGTAGTGGTATAAATACACACTTGAATGATGCAGTTATAACTCCGAAGCAAAATCACACAAAAAACTTTCATCGATAAGGCAACTGTGATCTACCGCTATGAACAATCCCGGCCCGGCGGTGCGCTACCAACTGTCGTGAATGCTCATTGGATATTGAGATGCTGAGGTACAATGTTTGGGCGTTTACAAAATAAAAGCGATCTTAAAGACTTACAGGTTTGAGAGCCTTGATGAGGAGCCACTCCTCATTGGAAACATCAGCCTTGAAGGACGTCTGGAAATTGCTAATGTTAGCTTTGAAGTCCACAGCATCATGTACAGTCGAACCTTGAGAACGTCAATGCTCTGTCTTGTGATGTGACTGAAAAGTTCATTCTTTTCATCGAAATGTCGGCCAAACATCTTTCCGGACTCATAGACAGCATGTTCGATCTTCACAGCAACACCACCGCCAGCTTGAGATTTCTTGACGATCTGCAGAGGTTCAGGAACACGACGCTAACAGCGGGACAGGAGACTTACATCGAATGATTTGTGGTTGATCTCCAAGGACGTGCTTGTTACGGGATGATGAGCAATAGTACTGAGAAAGTCTCAAGTGAAGGACTTACACCTTCCCAAGGTTGATGATCTCTTTTTTCTGCGTTGCCGGATCAACCGTGACAACACAAATCGGAGTGCCCACCCGAAGAGTCCCATCCAGGATGTCGACTCCCAAAATAATAGGATCACGTTTACAGAAGGCAGCTATGATCTTCAATCTGCACGGCCACACCGCTTGCGGAGCTGCGTCTCGTCGCTTCGCCTCCATCATTTCGTTGTTATAGGCCGTGAAAGCGTCAAAGAGATGATAGATGATATCAGCTGCATGGCGAGTCAGAATAATTACCGGAGTGACAACAAAACTGAAACCTTTGAACACTTTGATGCCCATTTCCTCAGCGATCTTCTCCGCATCCTTGTCAACAGTCACGTCGAAACAAAGAATGACTGCAAGCTCCTTGGCCTTCTCTAGCATTGTGGCAGCACGCATGACATCCTTCTTGTGCACAGGACCAATGTTAACCCCCGATACAGGAATTTTGCTGACTTTCAGGAAGTCGAGCAACGCTTCGAGAGATCCCAATGTACTGGCCTGCACGCAAACTCCGCGACCTGACTTGTCGACGGAGTTTAGAAGCGAGGTAAGGTCCGACATGACCTCGTCGAGCATATCTTCCTCGTCATCGTCTGGCCCAACAACAAGGAGTCGTGAACCTGCAACAGCCTTGTCAAGGTCAGGGGCTACAAGCTTGACACCTAGTGCCGCCTTGACTTCTTTGTGGTGAACATATGCTGACTATGAGGGAAATATGAGTTCCACATCGGAAACACCTCCACAAATCCTGTACTTGCCTTAATTCGCAGCTCGCGAAGCGGCTGAGGTGTTAACAACGCACGGACCTGAGTAACAATCGGCCCATTAAGACCGCACACGATTATTTTGTCACCTTCGCGTAGGATACCGTTGGACAAAACAACATCAATTGTTGTGCCCAAGCCCTCTATTACCTTAACTTCGAGGACGGTACACTCCAGCTCCGAGAGGTACATCAAGCGATCGCTCATGCGTTGCTGGGTAAGGTTAACCAACAGCATGATCATGTCGGGGACGCCTTCCCCGGTGATGGCGGAGGTAGGTACCAGAGAAACGTTGCGGGCAAAACTCTTGTTCTCGTAGTATAGGACTGCGTTCAGCCCCTGTTCTGCAAAGGCAAGGATAGTCTTTTGTACACGGTCTGCAAATTCTCGTTGCACGGATCCTTTTTGCTTCGCAAGTGACTCTTGGAAGGCGCCATCGGGAGTTTCGTTCCAGCCGTATAATCGGTCAATCTGAAGAGAGGAAAAAATCGGAACCAAACAACTAGAGTGTATTTAGTAGTTCTACCTTGTTGAGGGCCACGATGAACGGCGTTTTCTTGTCTCTCAATAGTCTTAGCGATTCCAGGGTTTGTGGTTCAAGGCCGTGCTGAAATGGACAATAAAAATATGATCCGTAGTGGAGAATTAGAGCGCACCATGATATCTACCACCAAGATCGCAATGTTGCACAGAGAACTTCCACGGCTACGCAAGTTCGTAAAAGATTCGTGTCCGGGTGTATCGATAACCAATAATCCAGGGATCTTGTATTCTTGGGAGTTGTCCTGGTACGCATCTGTCAGACAAGATGGATCGCTAGAGCATTAAAGAGACCAGCCTTATTCATTACTGCAGTCTTCGTCTTGATAGCATCTAGCGGGAAATACGTGGCACCTATTTGCTGGGTAATACCGCCTGCTTCGCCTTCTTGTACGTTTGTTTGACGGATCTGAAGGGGAGGGCCTGAGAGATGAAGGCATGCAAGAAAAGCAACAGACCTTATCCAACAGTTTCGTTTTACCGGTATCAACATGTCCGAGAATACAACAGATGGGACTCCGAAGGTTGTCTTTACTGTGCACTGTAGGGGCAGCCGCGTGCGCCTGTGCTGAATTCGCATTTGCCCGTGCTGAACTTGCACTTGCCCGTGCTGTCCCCGCATTCGCCTGTGCTGTCCCCGCATCTGCACGTGCAGCCCTTGTATCTGACCCTGCTGTCCCCGCATCTGCACGTGCAGCCTTTGTATCTGCCCCTGTTGTCCTTGCATCTGACACAGGTGGACTGGGATCCACTTTAACGTCAGTTTGAACTTCTGATTGCATATCCTCCTCCTCACTGCTCTCATCTGATTCATCTCCGCTACTTGCATCCCATTCATCCTTTACTTCGTCTTTAGTCTCCTCCTCAGCAGCGGATTCAACAGGGGAAGGGGCAGAAGGGATGGCATCTGGAGTTTCCGGTCTCGACTCCGGAGCAGGCGAGGCTGAGGCCTCCTTGGCAATAGGACCCTTCTTTTTCCTATTACCGGACACAACCTTCTTTGCTGAAACACCTGCCTGCTGATGCAGCCCTTCAATCTGAACACCGGATGCGAGGAGGGCCTGCCGACGAAGCTCGGCAGCTGCCTTTTCTTCTTTCTGTTTCTTCGTCAAGTATCGACCCTCCTTCTTGGCCAGCTCACGCTTGGCCTGAAGAGGCCCGTAAACAAAATTTCTTTAGGTCCAGACACTGGATCGTACCTTTTCTTTTTCTTTCTTCCTTTGTTTCTCCTCTTCTTTCCGCTTTGCCTCCTCTTCCGCTTGCCTCTCCTCCTCCTCTATACGTTTCCGTTCCTCCTCCTCTCTTCTTCGCGCCTCCTCTTCGATCCGTTTCTTTTCCTCCATCAGAGCCTTCAAGGCCCCGATGCCACCTTTGGCCTTCTTTGCAGGTGCGGGAGTCGGGGCAGCGGCAGGAGCGACATCCTCGTCTTTCTTTCCTTTCTTCTTCTTTTTCTTCTTCTTTGGGTCCGTCTCACCTGCCTCTGCTTCTTCACCATCTTCGTCCTCCTCAAGCGCTGTAGCAGGCGCGGGAGTCGGGGCAGCGGCAGGTGCGAGATCCTCATCTTTCTTCCCTTTCTTCTTCTTCTTTTTCTTTAGATCGGACTCCCCAGCCTGTGTTCCTTCGCCGTCTTCTTCATCCTCGACCGCTGTAGCAGTGGTGATATGTACAGGTGCGGGAGTTGGGGCGGCATCAACAGCGTCTTCATCGTTCTTACCCTTCTTCTTCTTTTTCTTTGACTTTTGGTCCGGCTCCGGGAACTCATCCTCTGCTGTCGCAAATTCAGGGATGGGCAGGCGATCGTCATCATCAGATTTGCCAATCTTGTCAGCGATAGTGTTGTAGTTCTCCGCTGACACACCAGCCGTATCCCTGAGAGTTCGTTACTCGAGACCACTCGGGTATACACCAATCGGCTCACCAATAGTCGTCATCGTTGGCCTTTCCTTTCTTTCCTTTATTTTTTGGCGGCATGATTGATACGATCGCCAATCGTTTGTAGTAGAGAAAGCTTTGAGCACTGGTTGGCCGCAGACATCTAATCTAACATCTGGGTCTGCCTAACAAATAAATTAGGCAAGTATTTCTCACGTTCGTACTTCAACTCTAGACTCAGTGTGCTCGTTTCCGGTCCTATTAATCCTGGTAACTTTCAAAATGATGCACATGCTGGGCCTCAAGACAAGTGCTTGAGAATGGGAGCACCTAGATCATGGTGTATAACGAAGTTCGTGCATGGGTCACAAGATCATATGCCCCCTGGCCATTAGAGCCATCTCAGCCGCATTTAGGTTGAAGGCAATATGTCCTCCAGTCAAGGAAACGATCTACTGAACCCATTTTTTCGGATTCTATCAATTCTCGAAGCACGCTAGCCAAGCTGTTCTTTGGTGAACAGATCGCCAGGAATGCCCAAAACATGTTCCGGCATGTCCACATTGTTATCGTCGAAATTCTTGCCATATGGACCTCCAATCCCTCCTTGTCGCAGTAAGTTCTATCTCTGCTGTTGACTACTTAATCCTTATGGAACGGACAGGTATTTGATCTGTCTTTGTTACCGCTGTGCACAGAATTAATTCCGCTGGTCGAGTTTTTGCGCAATGATGCAAATATAGGTCATGATGGACTCTCATACATTCCATGCAAATGCAGCGAATCACCTGGTCTCTGCCTAGTGCAGCTCTGGTGAAGTGATGTTCAGCACACGTCGATTTCGACCAGTGTTACGCAGGATGCAGGATGCAGGATCAGTAGTGCTTGATATCGCATTCGATGAATTGAAAGCCTTCCTTGATTTTTCTCGAGTTTATTGTATTGCATATTGACTTGACGCTGACCGAAAATCCTACATGCGCCAGCATATCAAGACTTGTTGCGGAACATTTGTCGAGCGGAAGAATATGTTAAGGAAACCTTTTAAGTAATTCGTTCAATGTCTGTAGAACGATACTAATTCCTTCTGCGCAATGAAACAATTATTCGCAGCGCCGTAATGCTTGCCTCGATCTTGTTGAGGTTATGACGTCCTATGTTGTTCCATGTGAGTCAATCCTTAGTTGTTCTGTTACATGCGGACCGCTGAATCCTGATACCATGCTGTCATTTATGTAATGATAATTTTTTCCCGTTCACTGCTCCCGCATCTCCAAGGTCACGCTCCGCATCAATGACACATTCTGCGTCATCGCGTCATCTGCAGATGACCAGGCATGGCCTGAGGCCTTGCCATGACATCCGCGGTTCTTCGGAGTCCTTCGGGAGTGAAACAATAAGTCTTGGAGATACTTGGTGCAGTCTCCAGGCCCGGTTGCAGTCTCCGGACGCTTGGGCGTGTCCTGATTTTTTTTCCCAGTAGTTGGGGGCATAAGGTTGGTTCCAGCTGCTCGGTTGTTACATTTACCGCATGAAAATGAAATCCATGTGAGTTCCGTGTGAGTTCTATCCATACGCCCACGACAACATATTGACGTGCATGTGTGGGATAGCCTGGTATTCAGATCTTTGAACTTGTTTGAGAAAGAACGACTGTTTTTCTTCTAATAGTCTGACTAGGGCAGACTAGCGTTAACTCCTTTGCTGATGAGCGCATCTACGACGTACGTGCTTTGCAAAAGATCTTGTTCCAGATCACCGTTCCGACGACCCCCACAGATTATCGAGCGTTCGTGATGACTTTATCTCCATCAGTCGTGGTTGTGACTCGGTGTGAGCGAGTCTTTCGAGTCCTGACACGCAGCATTTGTATTGCTACATAACCGCAATATATACATTGACACGTCTCTCAATCGATTCATACAATGACAGCAAACTTCCGAACGCCACAAGATCACCTTCCTACTTGAATTTTCGATGAATAAATAATAGCTATGTAAATCAAATATAAATTATATGGTCTGCATAGGTCTGCATTGTCCGCGATGCCCGCGACGCGACGGGCTCGGATGTTTCCCAATTCGATGAAAAAGCGGTTGAATACTGCTATAGAGTCCCTAAACGGTTCGGTACTAATCATCGGATGCAAATGATTGATCGTATTTGGCGACCTGGCATCGGAGTCCCAGATCGGCGGCAAGATGTAACTTTGCTTGCTCCGACGACTAGTCAAGCACTTCACCATGGGCCTACTCACGATCATTCGTAAAAGCAGACAGAAAGAGAGGGAGATGAGAATTCTCTTCTTGTATGCCGTCCGCAGCCTCTCCGAAATTATCCTTCCCACTCAACAATCACCCAGAGGACTGGATAATGCTGGTAAGACAACTATCCTAAAGAAGATCAATGGGGAAGACATATCCAGCGTGAGCCCCACGCTTGGCTTCAATATCAAGACGTTCATTCACAGAAAGTGAGCTCGGTGGCTCAACTGGGATTTTCTCCAGCTGAGAGGAATCTTCTCTGATTGATTGGCGTGGTGCCACGCGTCACAGATACACTCTCAACATTTGTTAGTGAACAGACTTCCCTTATTCTCTTCTCGTGACAGGAACATCTTTGCTATCAGGGGACGTAGGCGGTCAACGAACGCTTCGACCATACTGGCGCAACTACTTCGAACAAACAGATGCCATTGTTTGGGTAGTTGATTCAGGGGACAGAATGCGAATGCGGGACTGCAAAGAAGAACTGCATAACCTTCTCCTCGAAGATGTAACATATATCTCCTTCCGCTTGTTACTGACAGTCACTGACCAAATTGTACACTAGCGGTTATCTGGTGCATCTCTTCTTGTCTTCGCAAACAAACAAGACATACATGGCTCGATGTCAGATCTCGAAATCAGCGAGGCAAGCTTCTTTACCATTCAGAGGGTCTCCAGAGCGATATTGATGTTCATCCAGGCACTGGATCTACCTGGAATAAAATCTCACAACTGGAAGATCTGGTCGTGCAGCGCAGTCACTGGTCTTAATCTGATCCAAGGCCTCGACTGGGTCGTTGAAGACGTAGCTCACAGGCTTTACTACAGCTCGACTAGTTTCGCGTAATTTTTTTCCATTCGTGCACAAAGAAAATCTACTCTTCTTTCTCTGAGATGCAACAATCACGTCGATTACTCGCCAGATAACGGTCTGGGAGTCTTTGCCGCAGCATGCAAAGGAAACTGTAGCACCATTCCTTTTGGACGGCTCACATTGTTTCCTTCCAGAGAAGGGGCGGAGTTGTCGGGTGAACGACTTACCAGTATGACACGGTCTGCTGCCCGTATGGGTATAACCTTGAGAGAAGCAGGAATCCTCAACTCCTTGAAGCGTGCTATTAACTTAGCAACGGTCGTTTCGGTTCAAATGGTCTCGCAACTGGCCAAAGAAATTTACACATCCGCTTCGGTTCCAGCGTTGTGTACAAGTGTTGAGTGGAATATTCACGTTGACGGTCGAGTACACTCACCGAACACTTTGAGCAGAATGTAAGTTGAACGTAAAATTTGACGGGGAGTAAGGCCTTTGATCAGGATTAGTGCATGGGATTCGAGGGTGGAAATGCTGTGTATTCTCAGGGGCCGCCTTCAGATCGTCGAGGCACCTTCACTTGTAAGACTCAAAATGTCAGCGCAGTTGCGGATGGCGCTTTAACTAACGTTCCGAGTCGATAGAACGGTGCGGGTCTTCTCAGAAGTTGTTGTCCCCCACTAGGTACCGTCTAACTACTACGTTTACCCACCCCCATGCCCCATTGCAAAGGTTCAGGTGGAAATTCTCTTTTCCTGGATCAGATCAGCAATTTACGCTGCGCATCAAGTATGTTAATCTAATTATCGTGAAAACCGTATCGTCATATCAGCCCGGATCATCCAAACGGACAATGGTGCCTGGGCAAGAACCATGATTATCCACAGAGCTTTTGCGGGATGCACGGGCAAACTTCAGCGAACTTCAGGGTAGCATTACGAGAACGCAACCGATGAACGCTCGATGACTTCGATTCTCAAAAAAGCATTGAATGCACGGGCATATATCGAGTGTGAAAACTGCAAAGACGATGCGCCAGCTGAAAGCCTAACATGATCTGCTCAGTGAGTAGAGACTCTGAGAAGAGCAAACATATCTCAAGAAGAACACTAGTATTCTTGACGATCATTTGGCGATGCGCACCGTGCTCGGTTCAGGGCCCGGGCCAGTGTCCGGGCAAATTAAAAACATGAGGGATTCATCTATTGTAGTAACTCAATGGATGATCGATTTAGGCAGGAATTATATCGAGGCTACTAGGGACCGCTAGGGTCGCGCTACGTGGAAGCGTCCTAACGGTTGATTCATTGCATTGTAATGCGATGATCGGACTAGCCCTGCCACATGTGCGGCATACGGCCCTCTTTTTGTCAAAGATGCGGCGTTCAATGAGAGCAAGATATAGAATGGTTTAGGACGTCGTGGGTGAGGTCAAAGTGCTTTGAAGGAGGAACTTGACTGTGTTCCGTAGATGGTCGAAATGGCTTCGAAAAAGTGCTATTAGCAACAAGGTTTAGGCTTTCCGCGGATCACGGTCGGCGACTGGTGTTCACCGACGACAATTGACCGACTAGCGTCAACTAACCTGTGCGCTAATAACTGCGTTGCAACGCGTACCTAGTGAAATATCGTACAGCGGAAAAACATCTTGGAGATATTCTAACAGGGATATGACCTCCCTGGCAGGAACAGTCTGGTGATCTGAGTCAGCGAACTGAATGGGTGGCGGAGCAGATGAGGATCGCACCCCCATAGGGGAGAAGGACCGCATTTTCGGGAGCAGAGCGAATTCACGGGTAGCAGTGGAAGCTGGTCTGTTGGAAGGAACGATAGTATGAGGGATCGGCATCTCATACGGAAGCACTTGTGTGACTCTCATGCATTGTGGTATGCGAGAAACCAATAAGGTAGAGAAACATGATTGTGGACCTGGTGAAGATTGGCGGAGCGATGCGATCGTGTGCCTTTCGGGTGCGCAATAATAGGACATTGAGTCAGTAGTGACTTGGCAGCGCCGCGTCACGGATACAAGTTAATTGTTCTTCAATGAGTAGATATTAAAGTCTTAGATGTAAAGGATGCTCAATACCTGAAACTAAGTCTAAGTGCTACGTCTGAAGACAATTCTTTGTTCAGTACGACACGTGATCAGTGAACCTTTCAGAGTTTGTCGTTGAGCTGGCGTCTGACCCTGACTATGGCAGTGACAGTTGTGGTAGTGTTGTAGTGTCTTGTTGCAACAAGGCCATGCGAGGCGACGACATTAAAAATACCGAATGAACGCCTGTGACGAGAAGGCAAGGCACGATTTAGGCTGGGAACGGCGTGCGGAAACAGGCAGTTCATAGGATCATGAGGGAATGTGAAAAATCTAACCAGGTGAGCGAGTTACAGCTGGAGTGGGTAATTGAAAAGTGTGGGAGCCACGTGTCGCTTGCAGTTGTGAGCCTGAGACGCTTTCAAGAGCCCTCCACTCTAAGTACTTACAACTAACTTTCGCAGCCCTCACAGATGCAGGATCGCAAATTTCCGGACTCGAATACGCTTCGATAAGATCTTGCACGGTCTAACAACCCCACAGAGCACAAGGGGGGGTCTTCTTTCTTGTTTTACGGAATTATATGGGTGTCATTTCCACCCTCATTACAGTTAGGTGATGCCAGGCATGTGTACATTGTCTATCACCCTTCGCGGACCTATTAGTGAGTTGTTTCATCCGGCAACGGATCTATATATTCTCGTCATGTCTTACTCCGTCAAAATTACCAGATCTCGATCCAAAAACTTGCCAAGTTCCCGCGAATATGCCATTATGAGCGTGCAATGCAAACTATGCATCATCTATTTTTGCCGGTCTCAGTCCACGATCTCCTCCAAGCGATATGACAAGATCCTTCGTGGGTTCAACGTATAAAAGGGGGGAGCGCGAGGCTCATTACCTCCTCCACAGACTGCCCTCTACCTTTTCGTTCCTCCCCTTCCTCTCCCGGTCTAACTATCTTATTACCTCCCTTTTCAATCTTATCCAAAATGTTGAATGCAGCAACCTCTTCCGCGTTGACATTCTCCTCAACTCCAAATTTCTATCGTTCCCCTTCATCATTATCTATTGTCCTTCCCAATCCAAAGACTATCCTCTCCAGCTATGGTGAGCGAAATCTGCGATAGTTCTTGTATTGCCCCCCCTCACACATATCTAGCGCGAAGCTCGGTCCTTGCCGTCATGGAGAAAGCGATCACTCGCGGCCACTTGACAGTCGCCGATTCTGAAGGAGTTCACCATTTTGGAACTCGCTCAAAAGGTTCAAACGATGTCTACCTCAAAGTCGTGAACAGCGACTTCTGGATGCGCATTTTGTTGTAGGTCCCCTTAAACTCTTTAGCGCGGTCAGATGCTAATAATACACCAGCTCCCAGGATCTTGGCTGTAAGCACGTGCTACGTCATACTTTTTGAATGGCAATTGAAAGTTCTATAGTCAGTGAAGCCTATATGATGGGGGACGTTGAAGTGGACAGCCTGAAGGCTGTCATGGACGTGAGTCTTGCCAGCTGCTTTACTGCGGCCACTGATGGATCATTTGCATTAGCTTTGGCTGGACAATGAAACCGGAATGGACAGCTTGTCATCTGCGGTCTCTCGGATAACATCGGCGATTTCCGGACTGTCGAACGCATTTCTTGGTCAGACACGCTCCAAAGCACGTTTGAATGCCATTGCAAGTTACGATCAATCAAATGAACTGTTCAAGGTAATGTTGCATGTTGTCACGGTGATAATACGGTCTCACAGGGGCTTTCGCTATTAGGCCTTTCTGAGCCAAGAAATGATGTACTCCTGCGCCTTATGGAACGAATCGGAAGGTGGTGTTCGTGGAGACTTGATTTCAGGTCCCACACCCGGCGACTTGGAAGCTGCCCAGCTCCGCAAAATCCGACATGTTCTCACTGCGGCCAAGGTCAAGCGAGGTGACCGAATCCTAGAATTCGGTTCTGGTTGGGGTGGTATGGCTATCGAGGTCAGTTGCATAATACATATTCGTGCTGCTGTCCCTCATATTCAATGTTTCAGGCCGCTCGCACTTTTGGCTGCGAAGTCGATACCTTGACTTTGTCAAAAGAACAAAAGGCTCTTGCTGAGGAACGCATCAAGGCAGCTGGTCTCCAAGATGTCATTCGTGTTCATCTCATGGACTACCGCGAGATTCCTCCATCCTTCGAAAAGGCATTTGACGCGTTTGTTAGCATCGAGATGCTTGAGGTATGCACTTAGTTGCCATTGACGACACCGTGATTGACGCTCGACCTTATAGCATGTGGGCGCAAAGCATTACCACGATTACTTCAAGCTTGTCGACTTTGCTCTGAAGTCCAGCAATGCAACAGCTGTTGTTAGCGCGTCAACATTCCCAGAATCGAGATTCTCCGGCTATCAGTACGTTGTTTGCATTTTTCATCTCCACATGCTCATCGAAAGATTTAGGCCTGAGGATTTCATGCGCAAATACATGTGGCCTAACTCATGCCTGCCTAGTGCTACGGCACTCATAACTGCCGCAAATACTGGTTCAGAAGGCCGTTTCACCCTTGAGGGTGTAGAAAATCACGCAGCTCGTGAGTACTTTCTCCACTCGACGTTCCTCATCACTAAGCCTCGTGCATATGTAGACTACCCACGGACACTGCGCGAATGGGGACGTCGTCTTGACGCTAATGTTAGACAGGACTTGATTGTCAAAGACTACCCTTCTCTAAAGGACAAGGTCGAATTCGATGCTTTCCGCCGCAAATGGCAGTACCTTTTTGCATACGCTGGCGCTGGTTTCGCCAAAGGTTACATTACCTGCCATATGCTTACATTCACCCGTCCAGTAAGCCGTTCTTAATCTTTCTTGGCACATCCTCTGATTTCATTCATAGAATGACTGCCCCATCATTTGCGACTGAAATTACGATGCTCCTTTTTGAGGCAAAGATTCGACTGCGGAATAACTCTGAAAACGGATCTCATAGACATCGATGCATTTGCACATAGAGCCCCGTGCACATTACTACTTTATTCTTTCGATTATTGTGCTGATAAATCTCCCCTGCTTATCTATCCGCTTAAATGCGCGCATTTCGTTCTACTCTACTGTATCAATATGTTGCATAGATCCGCGACTATATATCGTTACTTCTGCATTCTTACCACCTATCTCTTTTCCTTACGTACAGGAATACTATTGATTTATGATCCGCTACCTTGGCTTGATCTTAGTTCACCGCCGCTGGAATGTAAGGAACTTGTTCCAAGCAAGGTTCAAAAAAGCTTACTCCCCATTGGCGGGGATGTAGCGCTTCAACTTGACAAGTCGCCCCTGAACCCTGTCTTAGTATTAGCACACAAGGTGAGAAAGATCTTGTCCTGGCCGCCCTTCTTCTATACAAGCTGTCAATGATCTGGTATTTGAAAATTGAGGTCCTGTCATTAACCTTTCCACCATCATAGGAAGAGCCGAGGTGTGAAGATTTCGAAAGGCACTTTACATTGCCGATGTCGGTCCGCCACATTGTCGGGCGGAAATTGAAGCTAGTTTTGACTACTCCTGAGACACAAAATAGAACCTCTTGACAGGCACGGAGATCACCGCTGGGCGCCTGTGTGTGCACAATGCCGTATATGCCTGTGTCGACAACAACGAGCAGACCAGGCGCGGCGTTTCCTGTTATAAGTTTAGGTTTGAACTTCCTTCCTAGAACTGACAGCCACAAGGTCATATCCCTATTTTTGCCCTGCAATAATTGATCAGGTTCCACAGCCCGTCTAACCTCAATCCCACCATGAAAATTCCGCAGATTTTGGTCGTCAACCCACAAGTCGTGAACACAAAGAGACGCGTAAAGTTTGCGGACGTAAGGTGTACCCAGGCTGGCAGAGTCTCATGGTGTCTCGACTCTCGAACAAGCGATGTCCGCGTGAGATACAAAGCGAAGGTGCGATCAATGTACAAAGCGATGGGTGAAAGTGTCAGATAGACGAGGAAGTTACAGGTTTGTGGCGTCGTTAAACACATGCGTAGTTCGTCTCGAAATTTTAACTGATGGATGAAAATGTCCCCATATGCATAGGGGAGCGCGTGTGATGTACAGCTGCGGTACCGGAGGAACATTGACCTGTATTCGTAAAGGAATTATTTTCCTTGTCAAGCGTCCGACGCCCCTGGGATGATTGTGGTATATAGTAAGTTCATTCAATGATGGTGTGAGCTGTCTACAAGTAGCGGAGGGAATAACATACGTAAGGTATAGCATAAGAAACAGGTATATGGCGAACAGTAAAACCAACAATGAGACGCGAATGAAGCAGCGATGCTGCGTGGTATATTAGATGGTGCCAGTAGGGTCAAGCTTTGAAGTCCATGACTGTAACTCCTTAAACGAAGGTGCGGCGAGTGCGTGCGAGTTCGCAGTAGTAAAGAGCGTAAAACAGAATTGTTTCTACATGAATGCTAAGCATGGACGCGTCTGAGATGTGAACAGGAATGCTTACACCCAAAAGCAGCTCCTTCTGTGCATCACATTCAAGGTTCGCTCCATGAAGGCTGATGACACCCGCTTCCTCTAGTTCGTTGGAGTGTGTATAAATATGTAAATAGGGTCTAAAACAAACCGTAAGCAGGGCTCTATATGGAAGGCTGTCAGAACTGATTACCTTCGAAGGACGAACCAACGCTTTTCCCAAATATTTTGACTGGCGTCTGTCAGAATTAGGAGATGACCTCTTTTCGTGGGTCCGTCACTATGGGAGGATCAAATTTCAGGAACAGTCGTAAGCACTTGAGTAATCAGGAGCTTGCCTGCGGGGCACTAGCGTAGTGCACGAGTTCAGCTTCACGCCTTCTGGAAGCACACGGGTGGAAGGCTTCCCAGATGCAGCAGCACAGTCGGTCTCTGTAGGCACCTGACTCAGAATAATCTGGGAATAACTGAGGTCAAACTATGAAAAACCAACTTGAATGAACTTACTTCGCCTGCATGGCCAAAGCGTTTTTGCCAAAGACCCAGTGCCTTCCGCAGCAGTGCTTCGGAACCCCAAACAGCAGCTCCCGGATCAGAGCGCACAGGTAAAGATGAAGAAGCCGACAACACGCGAACTGCTTGAACATCTGCCGCTCGTCGTTCCGTCAGAACGAGTCGGTTGTAGTCCTCCACGACTGAGATGCCGCGCGGTTTCCACGTGCTGAGCAACTCCTCGCCACGCACATATTTTTCCGACGTATCCAAGCGCCACAGGTCCTGGGGTGAACGTGTCAGAGGAGGTGACAAACGCAGGTTGAAAATTGTGCTGATTCGGGAGGTTATCTTCCCCGAGCTCAGGAACGTTAGGAATCGCCTCGGCGGGCGTGCGTCCCGTGTCTGAATGGCCACCGCTATATCCATGCTAAACTGCACTGGTTCGTTGCACGTGTCCACAGCAACGGACCAAGCGATTTGCAGGACCACTCGGTGAGAACCCGCCGTGACTCGATTGAGCAGGAAAGAATCATGAACACTTGAGTCCCAAAGCGCTTCTGCAGTAAGGGTTCCTGTTCCATCCGGTTTGAATGCAACACTTTGATCTGCCAGTAGCGGGAGCGTAACCAATGCTTTCGATGTCGAGTCGTGCAGGCGACCTTTCGGATCGAGGAGGCGTACATTTCCCAGACGTATTCTTGTTACATCCGTCCATGGGAGTTGAGACCCTGAATCCGATGAAAGCACGAGGGCAATTCTGCGCTGCAGCCCCTGGTGCAGAGAGAATACCCCCGGATCGAGGCTGCCTTGAGAAAGCACGGGGACTGGAATATACTGACCGTCAGCCCCGAGCTCCTTTATCTGGACCCAAGCGACTACGTCATGGGCTTGCTCAACCACAAAGTCTGTCTCCGAGCGGCGCATCTGTGGAAGGATGACTGGGGGAGTTTCTGCGTGTGCCTCGTGAGGACCTGGCCGGTCATGAACCCTAAGTTCGCGCATCTCATCCCAGCGTTCAAGGCGCTCCAAATATGTGGGTTTAGCAGCCGCAAAGAATTCTATGGGAGCATAGCCTTCGCGCAAATATGTGATCACCTTGGAAGAAGTTACGATCGAGAACGTGCGTCGAAACTTAAGCTCCGACAGAGAAGATGTCTCCATATCGAGTGCAGTGGATGAGAAGATCTCTTCGTTCGTGAGCGAGGGTCCCACGAAAGAAGACAGACGCAGCTGGAGGTGTAGCGCTGAGAAGTCGTGTGAGGACAACCCTTTGATCGAATCTAGGGTTAGGAAGAAGCTGATCTTGCTTCCCGGTGGTATGGCTGATGATGCGGGGGAAGTAGGGCGGGTTGATGCAGGGGTACCATGCTTCGACGCTTGCAGAACACTGGAAATCTTGATGTCCACGCGACACGACCCTATTGCCTCCGCGGTATACCGGCAGAATATTGGCACAACTGATGTGGATGATAATCGGCGAGATAGGGGTGCAAGAGATAGAAGCGCATTGCCAATGAATGAGAATTGTGGGGGAGGGGAATCGTAAAAAGGTTCATCCGAGCTGAAGTGTTGGGTATACGAGGGTCTGTCGATGTATGTAGTCAAGTTTCTCATCCGTTTGACTCGTTGCTGGAGGCGGTCCAAGGACCAGGTATAGATGGCATTATGCCGTTTGTCGAGAACCTTGATTGCGACGGAAGGTTGAGTTGCCGAGGCCAGGGTTGGGTCCGCAACGTCACCAAAACCGTCCAAACCCCCGATCGTGTCGACACCAGATATCGGGGCAGCCAGAGACCCGCCAGAAGCAATGGTGAAGTTGTAAGAGACATCCTTTCCCAACTCTTTGCTAATTTGAATGAGACAGTTGGTATCTGGTGATTCAAGTGACAACGCACCTGATTACGTTGGCTTCTTTAACAAGCACGGCATTGGACAGGACAGCTTCTGCCATCGAAAATGAACGATGGGCTCTCCATTTGTCCAGGACTTTGCGAATGAGCCTTAGCTGCTTCGCTGTATAAATGACGGGCTCGAAACGAACAACCTCCTCCTCAGATTCACCACGGGCCCGTGCATTTATCAGGCGCTTAAGCTGCTGCTGGACCATTTTCAGCTGGTGCTCCATATGATCCTTCTCCACTTTCAAATCTTCCGCCTCGCTGGACTCTGTAATGGCTTGAAGACGGGACTCAAGTTGGTACTGGACATCCTTCAGAGGCCCGTCAACGTCAGGTGTGCTATGACTCGCTCCCGCTTCAACGCTTGTGTCGTCTGTAGTAGTAGCGTCGCTCGAAAACGGTCGACCCGACTCGCTCCAGATATCGTCTCGAACGCTCATGCTACTTTCTGGTCGTGGTTTAGAGTTGTGATCTCGCATCGACTTCACCTTCGTAATGCGTTCAAAGAGTCTGTTGATATCTTCGTCGGGTAAGTTATCAAGAGCGGGATCCAAGCCAAGACGGGCGAGTGCAGCTTCTCGACGTGCAAAATTCCAGTCCACATCGGCTTCGTCCGCAGAAGATGCTCGTGACTCCGGGCGTGTGGACGGTGGCACTGAATCACCTTCTAGATCGGCAGCAGAGACACTCAAGTACATATTGGATCTCGCTGTGGCTCGATCTCGCTGTTTGCGGACTTCCTCGGGGTTATTAAACCTGAAGACATGGTGCTCCCCTGAGGGATGTGGATGAGATGTTATCCACATCCACTACATAGAGAAATATATTCGTACCTAGGATGATCCGGTATCCAGAACGCAGTTTATACGACTACATTGATGACATTCAGTTCTTTCCATTTAAAAGTCAATTGATTTACCTGTCCTGGAGCAACTTGCTTGCCGTTCAAGAACTGCAGATGAAGTTAGGATAAATCCAGCTGCATATGCAAGAGTCGATTCTTACAGTGACGCTGTCTGGCATAGCGTGGAGAGTCACTTTGCCGTCCGTGTTTTCAAAGTAGCAATGTTCCTCGAGAATATTTTCACCGCTTAGTCGAATGGCGGCAGGCTTTTCGCTGTCCAAACGACCGACCTATTGAATATTAAATGTCTACTCAGCAGAAAGGGGGGAGCAGAGAGTAATCATACGATGGTTGTGCCAGGCTTGAGTTGGTATATCAAGCATTCGCTCATGAGAGGATCTGATGAGATGCCAGATCAGCTCGATCATCCCAGCAAAAAGTAGTTCAAGCTTTCACCTTCATTCTGAAAAAAATACGACAGAATTTTAAACACCAAAATCAAGACGCGAAAATCGACTGACCAAGTTCACTAAATGTGGCATCTAAAAACAAGCAAGTCCCCCATCAGCAAAAACGCTTCCTTCACGCATCCCGTCCTCACCTTCTTCGGGGTATGCACCCCAACCAAATTCTTCTCAACCGTGATACCAAGCTCTTCAAGCGCCTTCTCCCGCTCTTTTTGTACCTCCTGCGTCCGCGCCATCTTCTGCTCCCACGTCTCATTCAAACCCTGCATCAATTTCTCGCTCGTCTCCATCTGCTCCTGCAACTCGGCTTTGGTGACAGTCTTGATCTTCCCATCCTTCGTCTGGTACGTGACTTTTTGTTTCTCGGGCGGAACGAGCGGGTCGAATGTATCCTCTCCGCTGGACGTCGCCACACGTGCTAAAGAGTGTCAATCAGCTGTCAAAAACGAAACGATGAAGATTACCTCTCAGTAATTCGAGCTCCTCCTTGAGCTCGCGAACGAGCTTGGCATTAGGGTCTTCATTTACAACAGCCTTGTTCTTGATCTTCTTCGCTTGGTCAGCGTATCGCAGCGTACTCAGCGTCTCCTCATAATCCGCAGGAGAGATGGCAGCTATCATAGCAGTCTTAGAGTTCCCGCCCAAACTATCTTTCAGCAACCATGTCAAGACCTAGTCCAATCTATAAATAGGTAATATGCAGAAAGAAAAAGAGGACGCACCGAGTCACGGTATGGTATAAATTCCTCTGCCTTCCCCTTCTTCCCCTTCTTTCCCCCATCCTGACTGGCAAGTGCAAGAGAAGAAATAACTTTCCCAAGAGTAGTGAGCGATTTATTAATATTCGCTCCCTCCTTCAAACGCTGTCCAGTGGCGCCAGTCGAATTAGCCCGCTCAGAACCTGCCAAGTCAACCAAGCTACATCGCATCAAATAAATAAAACGCTTATCCAAAAAAAAATCGCAAGACGAAGAAGCGTACCTAATTCGCGACACTTTCTCCGTATCTAAATTTGTGCCCACATCATGCTTCTTCATAGTCAACAACAGCGTAAATACTGCGTGAGACCGGGAGGACGTCTCGTTCATGTTCGTGGCAGCGACCGTACGTGCTTTGTTACCCTCGTCCATGAGGGTCATCATCTCGTGGTAGCTACTCACGACTAGCTTTGATAGATCCTCTACATACGGACCCAAGCTAGGATGTTCGCGCACTCGAAGATTTCCTGTGTTCTTTGGATTCAAGAGGTCGCGCACCTTCTCGTTATAAATCTAAGAGGAAAAGAAACATGAGGATTGCGTTAGGGTTTAAAATGTGCAGCACACTTCAATGTATGACACCTCCACGGTGAAACTGATGTTGGGGTCTGCAGCCCTCTTGTCTTCTACACGTACAAACAACTCCGAACATGTCAAGGGTATAATTCCTTTATCGGGTCCATCTAGTGGTGGTCTCCGTAAGTGGCGCGCGAGTCATGCATTTAATCATACGCACAGCCCATCATACTATATGCAGACCCTCAGTAACACACAGCAAAATAATATGCTTAAACACACCTATATGATTTACCAGATCCTGGTCGAGGCATGTGAGCCATGACCTAGTCACAGAATAAAACCCAAACATACCAGTCTGCCCATCTTCCAGAACAAACCAGCATCAGCGTACCATCTCCCAAATACACCATTCAAAAAAAAACCACTCACAAGCCAAAATACAAGCATTAAATCCCGCAAACCCATGGTCCAACAACTCCTTTCCCAGGTCGTCATACAAGGTCTCCTGCGAGCAGTACCCCGGTTCATCTCGTGGTCCCGCAGACCAATAACTCTTGTCAAAGCTAAACGCCATCGTCTTGCGCTCCGTGGCGCGTTTTGAATCTTGCTGCGAGCCATGTTCCGGTGGGTCTAGGAAAGTCTGACTGCCTTGCATCCGGATGAGTGGTTTGGCGCCTCGTGCGAGCTCTGTAAGGAAATTTGAAAAATGGGATTGAGCTTGAATGATGCATGCATGTCCCTCACGAACGTACCGCGAGAATTGAGGGGTCTACATCGCACCACCACTTTGATGTTGCCGTCTCCTTCGGCCATGGTCAAAGTGGAGTCTAAAGCAGGTACTCCGAACCAGTAGTTGTCGTTGTGAGTCCTGTGTCAAGAAATGTTCTATGTGAGAAATGCGGCAAAATGATGGTTGAGGTTAGATGTGTGTTAAAAGGAAGGGTATTGGTCTGGCGGTACTTTAGTTTAACGCGTTTGAGCAAGTCTGGTATCGAATTCACGTGTATGCCATGTGGCTTACGAATTTATAATTAGCCCGTCTAATACTTTCTTTCAAGTTTCTACTTGTAGTAGCTATATACCACTGTACACGGCCATGGCGTCGACTTCATCTAGCATTGTCTTTGACGACATCTTCACGACCGACGCCATCGACAAGGATGGCAAAAAATTCGATCGAGGTCCGGACTCGCGCGTCACACTTACCTATGATTGACGGTACATCCAGTGTCTCGGTTATACGCTCGTTCAAAGAACTATGACATGGACTTGACGCTCGACTATAATACCGAACTCTTCCCTCTGACGAATGGGGACAGCTTTGCAATGGCTCTTGCTTCGTCACTATCACGAGACGGCGGTGCATCTGCAGACGGCGAAGATGGAGAAGACAAAGACAGAGATGTATGGAGACCGGATGGGAAAGGGAGGATAGGTTTGGAAGAAGATTATGACTATGTCATGTATGGGAAGGTGCGGCTCTGTCTTGCCATCGTGAAAAGGGTTGGGTTTATTAATTGGTCGTAGGTGTATAAATTTGATACTGGATCATCCGACGTCGTGTAAGTCACTTGCAAGTTTGCTTTCTACGTAGAAAACTGACTTTTGCTCATACTCTGTAGTACGGCTTATGCGTCATTCGGTGGACTGCTGCTATCGATAACCGGCTCGTATCGTCACTTAACCAATGTGGTTCTTGGCGACCCCGTCTATGTACTACTCAGACAATGATCGGACAAGTGGAGAACAAAGTTGCGATGATCTCCTTCATTCGACAAGCATCGCATTCGATGTGAAAATGTACAGCGTGTGCCCCTCATTATCGAGAACCTTCGAAGCTTCACGATCGCCCTGTCCGCCTAATAGTGTGCTGAATGCATCGCCACTCATAATTTGCGGTACAGGACACGCGTCATTCAGTTGACAATCACCTAATCGATGTGGTTCTCGGCGCCTCCTTGACTCAGACAATAATCATTGAAGAAAACCAAGGTCGCAGTGATCTGCTTGATATTGGAAAGCATCGCATCCAGTGTGAAAACGATGGTGTATGCCCCTGTCCAGACCCTTCGGGCCCGTGTCCGCCTAATAGCATTACATTATTGTCGATGTATCACAACTCATATCCAGGTTTGGACAAACATCTTGACGCGTATGCAATTCGTATGGCAACCGCATCTTTGAACAATTGGTGTAGCAAGACAACAGCGGTTAAAGAAGCTACAAGTCTATGAATAGCAGCGTATCAAGACCAGTAATGAGTCAAAACCCTCCTAGCACAGATCACGAGAATATGTGAATGAGTGCGGTGTTGTTATGCTGTGTCGTCGGCAGTAAGATGCTTCGAGTGCCGTGAAAACAGTCAATACAGCCGGCACCGAGATTAGGCTGACGAAGGTAAGGAAGTTAAGTCCGTGAGTAATCGCCAACACGGAGGTTGAACCATAACGACATGGACTATAGACGCGATTATAGTAGATCGTAATCGTCAAGCTTCGGAAGATGGTTAGAAGGGAGACATAAATTCGGAGTCGATGGCTCACCTCGTCGTTGTAATTCATGATAGTCCTCTTCAACTTGGAAGTGTCTACCCAAGTGACAAAGTCTTCCATGTGTCTGGGTGACGGTGAGAGTAAGCAAACGAGATTAGTTTTGTGACAAACCTCGTGATAAGATACGCGGGATCGGTGATAGTATCAGGTCCCACACGGACATGACCCTGTTCGATAAATTTTGCAGCCTGAAGAGAAAAGTGAAATCGGAGTGCAAGTTGTATGGGTCTGGACGTACTGCGCTGACTGTTTCTGCCATCTTGCTCATGCACATGAAAACGGCAAGGCGACGCCTACAAAAAGCTGCGACGGTGAGTTTATTGTCGACGTCGCTCAACTTTGCTTGGGAGTTGAGTACGCCCATGTCATATAGCTTTGAGAGGAGTTGGGACTCCATTCTGGTGCGAAACGGGTCCTGGGCTGGAAGAACGGAGAGACGGTGCGCAAATGATCTAAGAGCACCGCAAATTTTATTGTACCTGTAATGATATTGATGAGGAATGATCGACAGAGTTTATTAGAAGTTGTTACTTGTGGTAATCTTCTCTGTCCTGGATATGGTACCTACGAATAACCTTGATCTCACGAATATTGGCATCTTGTTTCCACTGAATCGATTCTAAGAGATAGATCAATGATAGTTGAATAGAAGACGTACGTTTAGAAAGTCGACCTTCTTGAGTAATTTTTGTTCATGATACTTGAATTTTCTGACCATGGTGGTATACTAAAAAAAATGATTGTACTGCCAAGCACGTGGATTAGGAAAGCTGCGTGTGAGAGACTTGGTTATACCGTAGATTCAAACTTGGACGACGTCGACCTCGGACCCTTGTCGTCCCTAGACCAAGGCAATAATAACTAGCTATAGTCAACTCAAGCTACTACTGCTTCATATTACTCGAGCTTATACGGCCTAGGACGGGAGTTGGATCTAGAAATGAACGGAATTCGACCTAGTGACATGCTTCGACCACAGAGCATGGCACAACTCTCTGGCATGCCTATCATTCCCTCCCCTCATTTTCTACCAAATCAACAACAGCAACCACAGCAGCAGCAACCTCCTCCAAATCATACCAACAATATTCCAATCAATATACTCGCTGGAGGTCCACCAAACATGGCATATGAGTTTAACCGTCGTCAACAGCATTTACAACACATGCATCAGCAGCAGCGAGCACAACAACAGGTACAGCAGCAGCAGCAGGTACAACAACAGGCACAGCAGCAGCAGCAACAGCAGCAGCAGCAGCAACAGCAGCAGCAGCAGCAACAACAGCAACAGCAGCAGGCACAGAATGCCCAGATGAATACCGCAGCAGTTGCTGCCTCTCAAGCTAATTCTCATATGAATTCCATCCCTCAACACCCTCCTCAAGGAATCCCATTTCCGGGTAACATGATGTCTCAACCCGGAAACAATCCTCGAAGAGTCGCGTCTCATCCACAGGCGCTCAATCAGGTCAATCAGGTCCCCCCAATGCATCCAAACCAACAACCAAATATGCCTGGTATTCCACCAATGAATCAACAAAATAATATCCACTCTCATTTACGCCAACCTTCAACTCAACCAATGATATCCCGTATCCCAACTTCAATGTCTCCAGACTTATCAATCGCTCTAAATCGCTCTCAGGGTGGCGTTCCCCAAAATCCAATGCGCACTCAATCTTCTCAACCACAGTTGATGAACAGTCTAGGTCAACCAACTGGTATTCCCCAACCAGGAGGAACTCCAACAACAATGCCCCAAAATGGCTTTCCATCATCAATGCAACACTCCCATCATCCTAATTCAATCACTTCCTCTTCCCCTCGTCCTACCGGTCCCCCCCAAGGTCACCCAACAAATATGATCATGGGCACACCCGGTCCTTCACAAACACCCGGCGCTCGTCCAATGAACCCCAACGATGGTGTTTTTATGGGCATTCAGAATCCCCAATTCAACCCCGCTTTCGGCCCCGCAGGTAATCGAATACCGTCTGTCAACCCCTCTTTCCCCACTTTCGTACCGTCATCCGGTCAAGGGGACATGGAAATGCAGCAGAACATGTCCGACGCCATGTCTAATCCAGGCAATCGCGGATTCCCCACTCCTGCCCAGCAGTTTGAGCATATGCAGGGAGTTGATAACGGTTTCGTCGGCGCTGGCTTTAGTATTCCGACCCAAGTAAACGTCCCCCCTCGTCCGCCATCTCATCCCACGTCCGGCGTACATCCTTCGATACCACCCCGACAACAACCACCTCCACATCAACATTCCCCGCATCAGTCCGATTCCATGGCAGGTCACGTACAACAGCAACCCCCAAGACCCCAGTCTCAACCACAGGGAAGACCACCGTCACAAGCTGGGCCTTCGCAAACACCGCGAAGCGCACATCCTCAGCTTCCGCCCTCCAGCGGTCTCCTTGCTCCTGCGCGTATACCACCCATAACGCAGGCGCAGACATCCCCGCATCAACAACGGCAGTCAACTCCAGGGCAGCAGCCAATAGCTCCACGACCACCACAGTCGTCAACGAGTGCTACGGCTGCACCTCCTGTTACGACAGCGCCGTCCTCGGAGCCGTCGGGTCCGCCCTCAATTCGCCCCTCCCCTGTGTAAGCGTTATTCCGATTTCTTATTCTGCCGTCACTTATGCTTCCAAAGGGTGGCCATGCCCGTTGGTCTTGGACAAGGTCTCGTCCGATTACTCCAGTTCAGCGGAGTCCTATCAGCCGAAAATCCCACTGTACGTCATGTCACAATTAATATCATTCCTCAATTATTTATCCTCGGTAGAAACATCAACTATCACATTGGGATAATGTTGTAAAAGACTACTTCACTCCGAAAGCTATAATGAAGTTTACACTATGGAAAGATAACCAGCGGAATGAAGCCAAGCCTTTCGGTCAGTCATAATCCCCCCAAACTTAACTTTGCTCATTCCTTCCGGTATGTACAGAGATTGGCGTGCCTATCCTGCCTCGGTTTTTTCTCGTCACCACGCAGTCTGGCGTAAAGTCCATGACTCTCTCGCTAGACGGCGCACGAGAACGACTGCTCTCACAACACCACGCGGTAGTGGAGTGTGTTACAGCTGTTTGGACATACCGATACACCAACGGCTACACGGTCACCCTACGGGGCCCACTCACCGTCCACGTTCTCATGATTCCTCACGCAAACACCGCCCCCTCCCAAACACTGCCATACTCGCTCAAATTTGACCACCTGCAATTCGATGCAAATTATCATGAAAAGTTCATCGCTTTGGACTCGGTCATGGGTCATAGGCAATCGGAGTCGCCGAAAACGCCACGCGTTCGGACGGCTCCGACGCCAAGTCCGAATGGGACGGTGATGCATAGGATGGATGATGAGAGGATATGGGAGGAACCTAGAGTGATGATAGATCACGCGTCGATACCCGGGGAACCTGTGAACGCATTTGGGATTCCGCAGGCGACGATGCGATGTCTAGAGGTGCGTTCTTGTTTTTGGGCACCGCTTTTTCGTCATACTGAATGCGCGTCTCGTAGTTGGCAGAAAGTGTCAGTCAGATGACCGATCTGATCGCATTTGCTAATGAAACCAAGCTGGGACCAATGGGTAATGTCTGCTTGTTAAGACTTTTAGTGAACGGGTCGCTGACGTGTTGGATTGATTAGACGCGCTTGCAAAATTAGCGGAAAAACTACGAGAAGGGTCTCAAGGAGGTCCCTTCTTAGGGATGGGGCCTCTCTCAAACGGGCCCTTTCTGCCTTTTCCGACCATGAACGGGCTTCCAACCTCGCCAGCGGTGACATTGTACCATGGCATGTCTTCATCACCGTTAGTATCGCATCCTGGGCCCTCCGCGCACTCCCCCCAAACCGTCCCACCTTCGGCTGATAACTCACAAAAGCAGACCAGACCCCCGACCGCATCTGGCACCGCCCCAAACTCCTCAAATCCAGCCAATGTACCCACACCTTCTCAATCTGGCATGACAACGCCTTCAATGGCCTCGGCTACTCTCAAGCGCAAGACAAATGATACCAACTCTCCATCTCAATCAAATGCCGAGCCTTCAAAAAAGACGCGAAAGTTGACTCAGAGACGGTAGCGAGAATAATATCTATTCAGGGGTTTTTTTTGTGTTGCTTTGTCGTCGATCGATCTGAGCGATCATATTGTCGCATTGCATGATGCTGAGTTATACCAGCTTCGATATCGACATATTCTATCTTTGCTATGGATGTATCTTGCCACGCTCATTGTCAAGTAGAAAGTGCTTTACATAGTATCATCTGTCTTATTTATAGCTTCCTTTGTATCATCACAATTCAGGCCCAGGCGTGTCAGCTTCTTTGAGTTCTTGGCACGTCGACGCGGGTGTATACTTACAGATACTTACATGCATTTACTATCAGCATATGTAATATCGGATATCAAAAATAATGTTTGTCCACAAACATGCTCAATGCTGGATATGAATGCTACCAACCATCCCTCTAAGCCTCCTCCCTCACGAATAGATAGGTTCATGGCTAAAATCGCACTGATCGCCATATCTGCACCTGTTATTACGTTGATCAGTTTCAATCCCACGACCAGAATTTGTTATGTCTGATGATGCTCGCCTTCCTTCTGCAAAAAAACTGCATGGTTTTCGTTTACTAATTCTATACGATCCATCTTCTCCCCGTCCCCGACCACGTCCGCGACCGCGAAACTGACCCCTATCTGCAGCCCACCGCCCACGACCGTTACCGTTGTCAGAAAATCCTCGACCGTAATCAGCAGTGGCGTTTGGATTCCAGTTCTGATCCGTGCCTCCAAATTGGGATTGTACACCGCCTCCAGACGGGTGCTGGTTGAACAGCGCTTGGGCCTGCTGCATCAATTCCTGCACCTGTTCTGGGGCGATAGGCAATTGTGACAGCAGTGCGGGATCAAAGCCAAATGGTTGGATGCCCGAAGTGGCGGGCGCACTCATCGAATCAAAACCACCCGATAATTGACCTACGAGATCAGCGACAGATGCAGCGTTGGGCTGAAGCAACTCGGCTTCTCTCCAGAAGACATTATCGCACTCTGACCCAACCGTCATGGTCTTCACGTCCACATCTATCTCGTCATCACCGATGGTCGTCGTGGGCTCGCCAGGACTGTCAGGTATTTGTGCTGGCGACATATATAGTGCACCTAAAGCTGTCTGCTCACGCTCCTCCTGAGTCGTCTTTTCTGTACTATTCTGTCCACGTTGGGACGTTTCCAGATCGAATTCGAGAGCTATGGTCATTATTAATCGGTCGCGACCGTGATAACGATAATGATTTGCTCACTTATTGGGTCCGTCCAATCGATAACTTCCTCGAATAGGGGAGCGTGCAGAGCAGCGCCCTCTCCCCGATCGAGATCGCGCAAACTGTGAGCAGTGTGAACGCCCTATAGGAACAAAAACACAGAAAGTATTCGTGACATCAATGTATTGTACGTCAACATAAAAAATAAGAGTAGAATGCTGACATCAACAGGGTCATCATCGTACACAGCCCGTTCTATCAGCCGGATCGACTCTAGCTGACCATCAGGAGCCCAAGTCACAGACTTTCTCTTTGTTCTTCCAGAAGCCATGGACAGCAGGGGCGGCGTAATGGACATCGAAGCTGGTGGCGGTGTGGGCGTTGCTGGAGAGTCCCTGCGACCTTTACCCATAGACTTCAATGCTTCCTGGAAGGGATCGATCGACGATGGTTGCGCAACATTGAGATCGGGTTCCTTCTTGACCGGTACCGGTGCTTTCTTGAAGCTCGGTAATTTGGCTTTAGGCTTCGGCGCAGAAAAGAAAGACGAATCGGAACGAGCATCTTTCACGGCGATACCAGGTTTCATCTCCTTCTTCACTGCCGTTGGCTTCGACGCGGATGCGGTAGGCGCTACAGCGGCTTTCTTGGCAGGTGGTGGCGCTTTTGCGGACGGCTGTTCGACAGGCTTTCGCTTTTTGAGCTTAGAGTCTGGAATGTATAGATGAGCGCTTGTCCACCAGTGCAACGAACTGACGTGACCCACCCTCAGTTTGAGTATTTTCTGCCTGCTTTTGGGCAGTTTCGACCAATTGTCGCCACCTCCGTTCCAAGTTCGATGCCATGTCCTTGATCGCTGCACATTTGGGTAACACAGAAATCAAACAAAAGTTAGATACATGTAATTTTCGTTGGCTCAAGCAAGTAGTAATAATACGACAGACACGCAAACTTTGGTTGCAAGGCCGAGATCGTACACGGTTCGCGAAGTCTCTCACGGAGACCGCATGAGTGGATATTTGTGAAACCGAACGCTCACCTGGAGCTGGAGGCTCCTTGACTAACTTGACAATAATCTTGCCTAGCTTCGAAGACTTGAGTGACTCGACTGACAGCGGTAACCTGTCAATGATCTTTGCACGGTATTAGAGGTAATTTGCAACCTGAACATGCTTAACATACGTGTAGTAACGGCATTACGGTGTCAACCAACGGACTGTCAGACTTGGCAGTCGCAGCAGCTTTTAGCCATTCCCGAGTAATATCCATGGCAGTATTATTTTCGGACCATGCCCGAAAGTAGTGATTGCCGGCATTATCCCGTATCTTGGTGATGATTTCCATTCGTAGTGCGGGTTCGACGTCGTCGGAACCAAAGTCATCGATGAGATTAACAAGATTGTTGATGGCACGTGCACCGCCGAACGCATTGAGCTGCAAAAGAGGTCGGATATCAGTGACAAAGCTATCCTTTCGAGCCTGAATATTTATCGTCGGTGGTTGAACGGGAGTAATAGCAGTGGAGGTCATTGTCGTTGCGGTCGTGGAAGTTGAAGGCGTAGATGGTGATTGTGCGTAGAAGGAAGAGAGTGAGCCCATCATTGTAGGAGTGGGTGAGTGAAGAACGTGGGGCGAAAGAGTGCCTTGAGACTGTGATGTGGGTTGATGCTGAGTTAAATGCGAGGAATAAAAATGCGCAGGAAGAACATAGGAAGGATTAATCGATAAAGTAGGATGCTGATATTGATACGGATGTCGTGGCTGGGATTGGGGAGTGGGTTGAGCTACATGAGATGGAGACTGCGTATATTGTCGCGGCGGTTCCGATCCAGATCCATTCATAGTGGTCAGTGCGGGACTACAGCAAATGTGTGAGTAAAGTTGGAGAGCATGCAAAGTACAACGCACTCGATCATCATCGGCTGTTGGGTTTGTGCAGGAGGCGATTGATGCTGAGACGAGGAAGGTTGAGAGGGGGCGGTGGAAGTTGAAGTTGCGCCATTCAGCGTGGAATAGTTGGACAAGGGTAGATGATTTGGTGGGGTAGCCCAGGACATCGAACCATAAGGTACGGCATTATAAGGACCGGGAACAGAAGGCAAGTAAAATGGGGTGAATGGACCGCCATAGTACGCAGGCGGTGGAGAAATTGATGAAGACGTTGAAGGTCCTAATACAACATGTTTAACGTTTTTTTTAGGGCGCTCATGGACAACAAACGTGTTTGCAGCACGGGCGCTTATAAATAAGATGCTTACCGGCGAGGTCGCCTATTGCATAGTCGCTCAAATCCAGACTTGGCTGCTGCGCAGTTGTGCCAGGAGGACCTCCTACTCCATTTGTGGTGGACGACTGTTCTTTCCAGTCGTCGGTGGATGGAGTGCCTCCAGTTAAATTCTGCGTCCAGTTTTGCGCATTCGAATACAAATCCATAAGGACTGTTTTCTTCTTTTTCTGCTGCTTCGTTCTCAAGCGTTATTGGGCAACACTAAACGGCTTATTTCTGTGCAACGAGACGCAGGAAAAGCAGAGAAGAAATGTAGACGGTATACAAGCCTTCTATCACCTTTTTGCAGTTGCGTTCTACGGTCTCAAACTGCCTGCGAGACCTGGCTCAGTTGAGGGTGCGAGTTTCAGCTTCGTCGCCACTGCGAACACCCGCAATGATCTTCTTTTTTTTCAGTCTCCGCTATAATTTACATAGCTTCCCTCATTCGGCAAGCATCGGCATATTAAGTGTCATCGTCGTCTCGTGTTTCGTACGTGTTAACGTTGTCTTTAACAACGTCCGGTCACAGGCTAACCCTTTGGTGTGGTCCTGCAGGTTAATGTCCAACTTCTACAGCGAACAGAGAGCTACCGTCGATATCCCTATCGGTATCACACGTGTAGGGTGATAGGCTTAAAAGATAAGCCAGGAACACCCCACATTTACAACAAGAGCTTATCATAGGGTTTGTCTCCATCTGAGGTAAATATTTCAAGTGTTCGTACACAGGTTCGTGCTAAACTTTCCATCTAGACTCTTGTTATCAAAGCTTACCTGATTTCCTATTAGTTGCAATTGTTTCAATAGGATCGATCAAGCCTAATAGTTGTCAACAAACAAAAGTTTATAATTGCTTACAACCGTCAACAAAGTTGATTTTTCACATTTGAATCCGCCCTTGTCTTTTTCTCACTACCTTCCTTTTCTAAAGCATCATGCCACCCAAAGAGGTCAAGGAAGAGCTTGACCTTGACGAGAAGAAGGCTCAGGTCTGTATTCTGCCATACAATTCCCCATCATTGCATCTGCTTACTCTTCACGCGTTCTCCTCCTATCCAGCTCGCGATCAAATTCAATAATGCTGCGCGTCAGTTCGCTGCTCTCGCCGAAGTGCTTTCCAAAGCTGTAACCGAAGTGCCAATCGACGAGTCGACTGTTAACAATCTCACGGACCTTTTGAACGCGGCAATCGCGAAACCGTCGCGTAAGCGCAAGCTTGTCGCGCTTGAGATCGGCGAGGATGGTGTTCCCAAAAAGAGGAAGCGTGAAAAGAGAATCAAGGACCCGAATGCACCCAAGGGTCCTGCTTCGGCGTACATCCTGTTTCAAAATGACATTCGTGCCGCGTACAAGAAGGAACATCCAGATATGTCCAACAAGGAGCTGCTCAGACTCATCGGTGACCAGTGGAAGGCATTAGCCGATGACAAGAAAGATGTAAGTGCTTGTCAAGTGTATCCACATGATCATCGCTCATGCGTCCCATCAGTTCTATCGCGAAAAGCACGGCAATGCGAAGAAGAAGCATGAAGTTGACCTTGCTGCCTACAACGCCCAGAACCCCGACCACGTCCCTGCAGAGGTCGGGAAGAAGAAGAAGAAAGAAGAGGCATCAGAATCTCCTGTAATCAAGGAAGTTGCGAAGGCTGCGCCCAAGAGTACTAAGAAGGCTGCTGCTCCCGTACGCTCTTTTGTGCGAGTTCTGACATGTGCTGATGTTGTTAATCAGAAGGCTGCCAAGGTGGTTCCGAAATCTAAAGAAGTTGTTGAAAGCTCGGGCTCTGAGGCAGAGGATGCGTCGGAAGCAGAAGTTTCAGAAGCAGATTCATCAGGCGAGGAACCAACGCCGAAAGCCGACGTTAAGGCGACCTCAGATGAAGATTCTGAGTCCGGTTCGGATGATGATTCGGATTCTTCCGCGGATGAAGCTCCTCCCCCTCCTCCCCCAAAGAGGTCCAGAAAATGATCATACAACAAGATATTTATCAAGAGTTCCCCTCTGAATCCGTTCATTTTGATGTTGTCTGCATGTTGGTTTATCTCCGCTCTTCTTCGTATGATACATATCCTCCACTATTCTATCGTCAGCAAGCATATGACTATTGGTTTTCTGATTACTATACATACTATTCTTCAGTGATCTTACTTCGGGCCGTTGGTCGGACTCACTGCATATTGTAAACACAGCAATCCTGTGCCCACAATTCAATGTACATGTGTCACTTATTATATGCGTGACCCTTGGTCTCGTGCCAGCGGCTGCCAGGCTTGACACTATATAAACAGCAATCCGCAATCCTGCCAACGAGATTATCTTTGTTTCCACACTATGTCCTCTCCTCCCCCCAATCCTGATCCAAGACCTCTTCCGCAGGGCTGGATCGCGCAGTACAACTGGGAGTATGTGTTTCACAAATCTAATCGTCATTCGATAAGCTCTTAATCATCGTCAACTACAGTTACAAGGCATGGTGTGTTACACGTTCCCGCCAGCCTGCTTGACACCTTCTCATCAATATATGATCGTCCGCAATGCAGGTTCTATGTGAACGAGCGTGAACAACCTCCCAGATCATCTTGGGAGCATCCGCTTGGCCAGCAGTATACTCCTCCCCCTGGCCCTCCCCCTCCCAATCGCGACTACAACCGCTCTCCTTATCAAAGCAACTACAATCAGGGTGCCCCTCCAGGTGGCTACGCGCCGTCTTACGGTGGGCAAGGTAACTACGGAGGCGGGTATGGTAGCAGCGCGCCCGCCGGCGGCTACCAGGGTGGCTACCCACCTGCAGAAAACAGAGGTAAGAGCCCGTGAACCTGTCGTTAAATCGTGATTATCGAACCATTTCGTCAGGCTTCTTTGGTGGCAGGACGTCTTCTCAGCCACAACAGCAACCCGTTTATGCGCAACAGGCTCAGCCACCGAAGAGGAGTGGACCAGGGATGGGCACTGCTCTGTTGGCTGGTAAGTCATGTTCTGCTGTGCCGCACTTGCAAGACTGATGCCCGGATCAGGCGGTGCAGGTCTAGTTGGCGGAGCCCTCCTCATGGACGCTTTCGAGGACCATGAAGATCATGAAAGAGACCAGGCCTATGACCAAGGTAAGTCTGCGCGTGTCTCTTGGGGACACAGCTTAACTTCGTGCGCCAGGGTATGACCAAGGTTACGGCAACGGTTACGACAATGGTGACAATGGTGGTGACAATGGTGGCGGAGACTGGTAAACTCCTTGGTCGCAAATTCTGGGCGCCTACTGTGGTAGATGGGTGCTTGTATATCGGATAGATACTTGGAAGACTTCGATTTGTGGAATTAAACTTGTGGTGCATTTGAGCGCCATTGTATACCAAACTATAACGAATTCCTTGCTGTGTCTATTCAATGGCCATGGGTCTACGGTTCAAATGTATGGTGCACGCATACTAGCTAACTACGATAGTCGTATCCGGAGCTTGAAAGCTTGATTAACTTTAAGTTAATTGGCCAGTCACTAGCCAGGCTTGGCGTCCATCATTCACAGCACAGCTCCTCGACTGACAGATCTCGTATACTTACAAGCCAATAAACATTAATGCCCACTTATATACGCGGGTACCTTGTGGTACCTTGTACCGTGATCATCATAAAACACGTTCCTTGCCTGTGCAATTTCTCAGTTGTCCTCCACTAATGAGTTTCTATGCTGGTGTTGTGCCCGCAGACGGGCTCTCTGCACAGGCTGACATAAATTGGTGAGTGAACAAAGAATCGTCTCAGTGGTGGATTTTAAGCATCTCAAATCATGATCTAGGTCCCACCATCCCCAGTCTTCAATTAATGCTGGGGCTCCGTCTGCACCAGCAACCCAGTCCAGTAGTTATGCAGCACCAGTCACTCCTGCGCAAGCTTATGCGCGCTCTGTTCTTTCTGCGCAACCTATTCTGCAATACACCATCGAGCGCCAGCAGCCAGAAAAAAACTCTGGTCAACAGCCGGCGCCACTTTTGGAGTCTCCAGCTGGTGCCTCCCCTTCTGCACGCGGTCAATCGTACGCCCAGCGCCTGTATGCCAGTGCGCTAGGCAAGCAGCCCCAGGCACAGGCCGCGCTGCAGACCAGCAGCAGGTCTCCCTCTTCTTCTGGACCTGGAGAATCTCTAGTTTCAGCCAGTGCACGGCCTTCAGCCGCCTCTTATGGTACAAGAGCATCTATCATACTGAATACGGGTCAAGACAATACTAGGCCTCAAGCTGTTTCAGCGTTTGATTTCTACCATAGCAGTGTCTCAAAGCTAGGACTTCAGTCAACGGTACCTGATAGAGGCGGCCGTCCTGCAGGAGCCAGGCGGCCTCAATCAGCCGTAGGTTCTGCATCAATCATCTCCGTGCCACATTCTTCGCTTTCCCTTATATCTCAGACCACTCAGGCACCTTGTAACCTGCAAGCACGTGGTACGCGTGATCGAGTTCCGATGGAACTCTCTAACGTGCCTTTGCCATCGCCAGCTGGTGATCCTCCATGGTCAAACCAGGTGGAGTTGCACAATGGGACTCCACCCAGTGCAATGCCTATGTTGGCAGGCAATTTGATGCCACCAGATCCAGCTCAAATCCGTCCACAGAGCGTGAGTTCCTACAGCGAAGCCATAATTTCACCTCATGTTCCACCGGAGACTCCCCCAAGAGCGCTTAGTCCATACTCGGAGGGTCATTCAGGAGATTCAGCTCAAGTAGTTGCGATCTCTTCCAACCCGGAACCTGCGACCCAACGTAGTCACCCCCCGCTTGCACCTATTCGCACTGGGAGTGATAGCGGTTCTGAAGATGTACCGTTATACTCCCTTGTCGATGACGAACCTCCTCCCCCAGACTTCAATGAGTCACAGTCCATTTGCAGCATGACCACGGCGAGCACGTATCACGATGAAGCACCCATAGTGCTAGCCCCTCCTGATGCGCCTTCGCCTACATCGTATGAGTTTGATGATATATCTGGGGCGGTACCTTTGACAGGTACAGATACTCCCTCGATTGTCGAGACCCCATACACACTTTCTCCAGAACCTGTTCCGGGATCTCTGCAACCCTCGTCGGCTGTGGAAGAAGTACTGTCATACTCTCTGGGGAAAGCGCCTGTGTTTGTTAAGGAGAACTTGCATGGTTACTCTGCAGAAGACTTGATGCCTAGATTCCCTGAGAATGTGCCATCACACTCGTTCGTGGAATCTCCATCGCCGTCTCGATCGTCATCTGAATGGGTGCCTTCATCCAGACAACCTAGATATAACGCCACTCCTCAGGACATACCGTATCCTCCTGTTTCCCCGGCGGTCTCCACACGCAATGATACCTCTGCAAAGGCGGTTTCTAAAACACCATTGCCCGCTCTTCCGCCGAGACGTGCTGTAGTTTCTGCACCAGCACCCATCGCAGCTTCTGCCCCTCCGCCCACGCTCCCTATAGTTCCTCCTCCATTAAGTTCAAATTTGTCAGCTGTGAACACGGATGAAGTTCGATCGGTCACTTCCTTACCTCCTGGACCTGGTAGCGTCCACCAACCACCGCCTCTTTCTCTGAGAGTCAGAGTAGAGTCCACATTTCCCCCTTCATCAGCGTTTATTCCGCCCTTTACTTCTCCTTCTGCTGGAGCAACTTCGCAGATGTATCGTACAGCTTCTCCTTCCCCACCGCTTCCTTCGCCTCCCTTCCCGCAACATTCTCAGGCCCCATCGGTGCTCTCCGCATCATCAACCGGTACTCATCCTGCAGAGTTTATACCCCAGCTACCTCCAGCTGTACCCCCTACACTGTACAAGCCTCCACAGTCTTATTACCAGTCACCGCGTCAAAGCTTCCAGCCACAAGCCTCGCTGCCACCGCCACCACCGCAACATCCAAGAGCACAAACTTCACCTACTCAATCGCCACCACCGCAACATCCGAGAGCATACACTTCACCTACTCAACCGCCTCCACAGCAACATCCAAGAACATACACTTCACCTACTCAACCGCCTCCACCGCAAGATAGAGCACAAGCTTCACCTACCCAACCGCCACAATCTAGCAGGGGACTTGGAACAAACATCATGGCAGGTCTAGCAGGAGGCGCTCTTGGTCTACTCGGTGGAGCTGTGCTCGCCGAGGCACTAGGCGGCGACGATGTTGTAAATGATCTCGCTGGAGGTATGGCTGGGATGACGTTTGGGGACCCTACGGGAGGTTTGTTGGATTCCGGTATGGGTACCGGTGATCAAATGCTAGGAAGCGGATTTGATCCTACCGCGATTTTTCAAGGAGACCAGATGTTCAGTGGCGATTCCTTCAGCCCAACGTACGACATGGCTGATCAGTCCATGGGGGGTGGAATAGACCCTGGTCAAGTCCAAGAGACTCAGCAATGGAATATCCCACAGACATTTGATGTTTCTCAGTCACAACAGCAACCAACTGACCAAAGCGGCGGCTCGCACTATCTGCATGATGCGGGAAAGATCCTCCAAGCCGCTTACAAGATCTATAACGCGCGTGGCGCGGCTCAGGGGTCTCAAAGTCCACAGACAGCGGCTCCGCTGCAACAAACCCCGATGTCCGCGGTCTCTGGGACTTCACATCCTAGTGGCCCTCCTAATTCGCCACCTTTTGGACACGCACCGATGTCCTCCACTGGCACGTATCTAGGAACACAGACAAGTTTCCGCGTCGGCTCCTTTCCATGGAACATTTGCCCACTCCTCCACAACTGGCTACCCCAGCCCGACCCAACAGACTGAACAATCCACGCACCTCACGACACCCCAAACCGCTCAACCTCCCGCTGCCACACCGTTCTCACAATATTACTCGTCTGTCAATCCCGCTTCTCAGCAGCATCCGCTTTCTCAGCATCACGCGTCCCCACAAAGCTCTCACACCCAGACCCCGTATATCAATCATGGTGCTTACCCTTCCTTCGGGGCCGCTACTCATACCATGTGCTCACAAGGTTCACCAATACCAGCCCAGTATGCAGTGAATCATGGTGCCTACTCTCCTCACGGCACCGCCACTCATCATTCTTCGCCTGGATCCCAGGCGCATGGGCAGTACTCCGTCCATCCCACACAATATCTTGCCCAGGGAAACCCACAACAAAGTCCCACTGCTCAACAGCATCCGAGCGCTAGTGCTGTGCCAAACAAAGCAGCGCTTGCACGACAATTTGTCAAGGGTGCATTGAAGGCTGGCGGTGTCCTTGCAAAGTATAACAAACTGAGCGGAGGCAATGGATTTGCAGGGAATGGCGGAGGTTTCTTGTAGTGGTTCTTTCAGTGTCGTGGATGCTGCGGATTCTATGGTACTACTGGTAGTCCAAATATATATTGTAAACAGCTTTTCGTCCTCTCGTACACCAGTTTCCTAAATACCCTATCTATAGCAGAGTACTTATTATGTGGCAACGTCCTCAGCATCAGATTTGAGCCGCATCAGCTCGGGAGAGTCCTCGTTGCCTGCGGCATTAGTATCAAGAAAAGAATATTAGATCTTAGACTGCATAGGACTTTTAGCGCTGGATTGAAAGGCTGCGAAGTACCCATGTAGTTGGTTTGAAACCCCGCTTCTACTGTGCGGTTTCTTATGCTTATTCCACCTCAGCGTTGTTCCTACATCAGCTGAGGTGTTATTATTTCATAGCTCGTACTCACTTCGCACTCACTCGTAGTAACAAGATCGCAGGATGGGAAATTTTGATCACATCATCGAGTTGTCGGGCATTGACTCTTATCCAAGTTGGCGGCAAGATGAAACAATGGGTGAGGGAGGACGCCCAAGCTAAATGCATTATCTGCCGAACACTATCACCCGTCATCGAAGCTCTACTTGACGAAGCATTGACTGCCGGAGAACAGTGGACTGTGCTTGCAGGACACTTTGCACGTCTGGGTATCACCCCCCAGTTTGAACTTCGAGCTCAATTGTTCAATGAGAAGTGTAAATATGCCGACGACGTTTTACGCTATATTGGGGTCTTGACGATTCGCTGAGACGGGCATCATATTTACCGACGACGAGGCAATCTTTCTCGTACTACAAGGGCTTCCTCAGACTCCCGAGTGGCTCGTTTACAAACGCCTCGCCATTGGGCAATACGACGGGATGGGTTTCACGACCACCTCCATTCCTTCCGTTCCCGAGGCCGCACTTATGGTCCAACCCGAGCCTCCACCTGCTGCACCGGTACCGGCATCGGCTCTTGCTTACAGCCCTCAGTCTTCCGTCACCTCCTCGCCCTCTGCGTCGCTTTATGCTGGCAAACTCGACCCCACCGTCACTGAAGCCATGTTGTTCGAGATCTTCAATACAATCAGTCCTGTTGCAAGCATCTGTGCCTGCCGTGACGCTGTGACGCATCGCTCCCTCGGATACGCGTACGTTAATTACCTCAACACTAGCGATGGTGAGCGTCCCCTTGAGCAGGTCAACTACTCGCTTATCAAGAACTGCGCATGCCGTATCATGTGGTTCCAGCGTGATCCTGCTTTGCATACAACTGGTCAAGGTCACATGTTCATTAAGAACCTTGACGAGGCTATTGACAACAAAGCCCTCCATGACACATTTGCTGCCTTTGGTGACGTCTTGTCGTGCAAGGTTTCCACCGATGCGCAGGGCCGCTCGAAGGGTCATGGTTTTGTACACTATGAGATTGCCGAGGTTGATACTGTCATCAAAGCTGTCAATGGCATGTTCTATGTCGGTCACCACATCTCTCGCAAGGAACGCCAATCCAAGTTACTTTGGACATAGTCAAGGATTCGAGGGACGTCGGGCCTAACACTAGTGTTATTCCCCAATTCCTTGCAATGACTCTGAATCGAACGCTCCTTGAAGCATGCATCACGCATGTTGATCCAGCGGCGGTCACGATTCTCGTCGCACGCGCGCGTCTCAAAAGAAGTGGTCGAATCATATACTCCTGTCGCACGCGCTCTGCATTTCTGGCCAGAATACCAACGCAACTGGGACTCTCGACATCTCCAAAGAAGCCAGGCACATCAATGATCAACATACAATTCCATGCGGAGAATTTGTTTTGATTTTATTTGTTTATCTTCACCTAACTCCCCTTCACGATATTGTTTCCGAAGACTCCAGCTAGTGCTTCGGTGACGTTTCACTGCAGCTCCTCACCTTCAGCACTTCTCTTACGTAACATGTTGACATTGTACAATGTAACGCGCGTCGACTCGTATTCCACCTCAGCGTTGTTCCTACACAAGGAATAGGGCCATCTGGCGGCGGCAAAGCTCACTACCTGCTTTTTCACTTTTCGATTTAGGTGTAGCCTTGAATCTACTTTATCTTAGAACCATCTGTTGACCTTCCTTTACCCTTCTGCCAGTGAGATTCATCGTCATCACCTTTGTTACCTTCATTGAGCTGCTTGTATTCTGGAGGTACGAACTCTCTTAATGTGGCCTACTCTGATGCATACTGCTTCCGGCTTGGTCCCGCATACACCAATCCCCAGTTTATCACCTGAGCTTGACGCATGTAGCTACTGGCGAAATGTGTCGGCGTATACGGCGCAGTGAATGGAAGTTCAGCTCTGGTGCCTGTGTTAACAGAAACCAAATGTGAATGTTGAGCTGAGAATAGCGCGACATATTCATCGTCCATATCTTCGACCAACAGCTGGTCGCAAAGGTTCCTGGACGTAGGATCTCTTTGCGGCAAGTCTCAGCAAAATCTATTTGTTTTCTATGAATTAGCAATGAATAGTACTTCATATCAAGCAGTACTACTTATGACTCTCTCCTCCTGTAAGCTTGCCGTAAGCCCATAGTTGGTGCTCCAGATTCACCAGTCAAGACTCAATAGTACATCGAACAGGATCGCCGTCTCGGTTTAATTCAAGTTCGAAGCTTGACCGGGACATTCACCTGGCTTTCGTTGCTCACCACCACTAGTACTAGCGCATACCTGTCATTAGCCGGCTGCACGCCGCTGCCCACGGAGGTTCAAGTTGGTGGACAGCGCAGCCGCTGCTTTCGGAACGACTCTATAATTTACCCCGCAGCTGGATGTTTTCGGCGATGATCGAGCCGCGACCACCGCCAAGCCGCCAAGTTCTGCCCCAACAAATCATGCCATATCAGCCTAATGATCAACAGCATTATTTCCAAGTCTGACACGGACTCACTCTTGTCCAGCGTTGACGCACGGCTTGAAACCATGCTACCCTTGTTTACAACTTCCCAAAGTGCACATTTGAGAGACGGGGTAAGTAAGTAGAAGTAATTTCACTGGTGCTCGTTGTCGGATACGGCTTGACTCAAATGAATTTTGTCTTTCTGCAGACTCCAAGTGGGACTGTATCGCGCTTGTGGCTGCAATCCACGTATACACGTGACACTATTACCAAATCGAGCGAGGACCAATAAATTGAGTTAAGGTTTCCCGCGAATTGCCCGCGAATGCGCGTCTCGCCGAAGTTTTCGTCGCGACGGAAATGCCCTTTGTTTCTGTTCTCCCACTGTCAGCACTGCAATAATGGTCAGCACAAGAAGCAATGGCTCCCGTAGTGTTCGGGCACCCGCAACCACAACTACAAGCACATCTGTGTCCCCCCTGCTCAGTAGCGAAAATTCTGTGGTACCCGAAACCCCTGACACGTCCGACATCGATCAGGACCCAGTAGTCATGAAAGTCGCGACGAGGTCACTTGGAACGAGCCTTATGAAAACACGGAAGCGCCCTGCAGAAAATGCAGAGGAAGGCGAAGACTTTGCGGCAAGTTGGGTGCCGACTAAACGGAGAGTCATTCAAAAGACTGTATTTGTTGAAATACCCATTAAACATTCCACCTCAAATTCAAAGGCGAGAACACCATCTTCAGTTCGCCGCAGCCGCATACTAAGTGCTATCAACGTACAGCAACAAGCAGCAACACCTGTCAAAGGCAAAGGGCGAGTTTTCGTTCCTTCGAACACCAACGATGAGGATGCCAAGCTTCTCTCAGAGGATGAAGACCTCGAGGAGCCTGAATCCAGTGACTCTGAGTTTAAACAGTCGGATGACGATGTCTCTATCGCCTCCAAGAACTGGGAACATCTCTCTGACGTCGTCTCGGGTCCCGAGGGACACGATTCAGAGGGTGACGAAGACTTGATGGTTGCTGCCGCCCTCGAGTTGTCTCGTGAAACAGCGCGGCTTGCTGCTCAAGAATACTCGGGAGTCGGCTCGTCGTCCAGAGCCATTGTGTCACCAAGCCTCAATATTACCAAGAAGGCCGCTGCCGTTGAACGTCGCCTTACAATGTCCGATAGCAAGTCCAAGGGAAAAGGTCGTTCTGCAGGCAGTGATGATGGCGATTTCATTCTCGCAGACAGCGAGTCAGAGCTATCGGGTTTGAGCTCAAGCGAAGAGGAAGTGCAAGTCTCCAAGGGCAAGGGCAAAGCGACCAAGAAGGGTAAAGACAAGGCGAAATATATCGTCACTGAACCCATGACTTGGGTAGAGCGGGCTCAGCGGCGCCGTCAACAAGCAGCTGAAAGGAGGGCCAACAGGTCGGAAGAATTAGCATTGATGCAAGAGCTCGGCCGAAGGTTAACTTGGGTACGGTTTCCTTTTCCTACTGAAGTGTTTACCCTAATTTTCAGCGCAGGCTGAGAAATCTTCTTTGGCACTAAGAAAACATCACCCTGAGCTCAAGCACGTTTGGGGTGACCTTGAGTCTAGCATTCCTATCGTCGTACCGAAGAGAGCTGATCAACCTGCTGGTTTGAAGGTCACATTACTTCCATTCCAGCAGGAGTCACTTTTCTGGATGCGTAAACAAGAGAATGGGCCCTGGCATGGCGGCATGCTAGCCGATGAGATGGGGTAGGTTTTCTTCAACTTTCAGCGTACGTGACACTGAGTCTGTTTCTTACAGCATGGGTAAGACTATTCAGATGATTTCTCTCTTTGTCTCAGACCTGAAGCGCCCAAACCTTGTCGTTGCGTATGTCTCTACCTATCATTTATGCCGCCATGTCATAGTCACACTTTGCCCAGACCAACTGTTGCTATAATGCAATGGCGAAATGAGATCAACGCTCACACGGAGGGGATGAATGTCTTGGTATGGCATGGCGCTTCTCGTCTCAACAACCCCAAGGAATTGCAGAAATATGATGTCGTCAGTTTCAGCTTTAAGATTCTCTGCGTCTGCGTCTCAATGTAATCCAGGTGCTTACTACTTACGCCGTGCTGGAAAGTTGCTTCAGAAAGCAGCAGAGCGGCTTTAAACGCAAGGGCCTTATTGTGAAGGAACCTTCACCACTTCACCAGATTAAGTGGAACCGGATCATTGTACGATCAGCTCGCTTTCATAATTTCGCCATTGCTTATTTTCTGGTAGCTCGACGAAGCGCACAATATCAAGGAACGCCAAACCAATACTGCCAAGGCATCATTTGAGCTTGAGAGCAATTACAAATGGTGCCTATCCGGAACGCCCCTGCAGAATCGCGTCGGAGAGCTTTACAGTCTAGTTCGTTTCCTCGGTGGTGATCCGTTCTCATATTATTTCTGTGCGTCATGCGTTTCTACAATTGTCTTCTGTGTTATTGATCTTGTTTGTTATCGTAACAGGTAAGAAATGTGATTGCAAATCGCTTCATTGGAGGTTTACGGATAAAAAACATTGTGATGGTAAGATTTCGTGCTCAGTCCAGCAGTCCATCTAATATTCTACGGGGAACAGAGTGTGGTCACAGCCCGATGCAACATGTAAGTCGCCGAATCACAATTTGCGAACTTTGCTGATTAGTGCTATCCCAGACCTGCTTCTGGAACAACGAGATCTTGACCCCTATTCAGAAACACGGCATCGAGGGTCCAGGCAAGATTTCTTTCAAGAAGCTACGTATCCTTCTTGATCGAATGATGCTCCGTAGAACAAAGGTCGAACTCATCTCCCCTCTTATTCGCGTGCTTGAAATTGATCCGCTGCCTTAGATTCAACGAGCTGATGACTTGGACTTACCCCCTCGTATGGTTATCGTACGACGGGATTACTTCAGTCCTGAAGAGAAAGAGCTCTATCTTTCGCTCTTCTCAGACGCAAAGCGCCAGTTCAGCACATACGTTGACTCTGGAACGGTTTTGAATAGTGAGTTCACTTTTTTGTGGAAAGTTGGATCTGTAACTGTTAACGCTATTCCATCAAGACTATTCCAATATCTTCAGTTTGTAAGCCCTTTGTGCTTTTACCTCGTATGATTCTAAAGTCCCTACAGACTCACTCGCATGAGGCAAATGGTTTGCCACCCAGACCTTGTGCTCCGCAGCAAGACTAATGGGAATAAGTTCTTGGGCCCCGAGGAGGCTGGTGAAGCCACCATTTGTAGACTCTGCAGTGATATTGCAGAGGATGCTATCCAAGCCAAATGCCGCCATATCTTCGACCGCGAGTGCATGAAACAGTATCTAAGCACAGCCGGAGATATGACAGTCAGTTTGTGTCCATTAACAACGTTTGCTTGGGTTCTGAATTTTCTTCAAGCCCGACTGTCCTGTATGCCATCTTGCTCTTACCATCGACCTCGAGGCTCCGGCACTCGAACTTGAAGCGAATGTACCTTCTGCTCGACAAGGAATCCTGGGGCGACTCAATCTCGAGACGTGGCGGTCTTCCTCCAAGATCGAGGCACTCGTGGAGGAACTTTCTAATCTTCGATCGCAAGACCATACGACTAAAAGTATTGTGTTCAGTCAGTTTGTCAACTTTTTGGACTTGATCGCCTTTAGGTTACAAAAGGCGGGGTTTTCGGTGCGTGTGGTCCCAGAAATTCAACTCAATGCTGATGCCGAAGTTCTGTATAGATCTGTCGACTTGAGGGAACTATGACCCCTCAAGCTCGCGATGCGACCATTCAGCACTTTAGTATGTCTGATCACCGTTTATCAGTTTCATTGTGCTAGAAGCTTCTACAGTGAACAATGTCGGCGTTACTGTGTTTTTAGTCAGCTTGAAAGCTGGTGGGGTGGCATTGAACTTGACCGAAGCATCTCGAGTGTATCTCATGGATAGTTGGTGGAATCCTGCGGCAAGTTTTCGTCTTTACATGTCTCATCCCCAGCTGACTCCTGCTATCTCAGGTTGAATATCGTACGCAAATTGATACACTGTACCTCTGACACTTGCTGATCCCCACTGCAGAAGCCATGGACCGCATTCACCGTCTCGGACAGCATCGTCCCGTTCAGGCCATCAAACTCGTCGTCGAAGACAGCATTGAAAGCCGTATCATCCAGTTGCAGGAGAAGAAATCAGCGATGGTGGATGCCACGCTGTCCGCCGATGAATCCGTGAGTACTCGCGGTTAATGGCAGAGACAAGTGTGAGTACTGACTACGACCTAGGCGATGGGACGACTGACACCAGATGATGTAAGTTCTGGAACTCTCTGTTGTGTGGCGTATGGTTGATTGTATTTGGTTAACTTAGCTGAGTTTCTTGTTTAGAGTGCGTCCACCCTTTTTGACACGTCTGATTTCGCTGACCTTCTATCGACCAATAGCTCTAGCTTATATCGTTTATATAAACTTACTGTAAAATACACACCCTGCCTTTCCCCAGGTAGTAGAATATGCCGTCATTTCTGATTCTGATTCTACACGGAATACATTAATTACATGAGGGCAAGTTTAGTTCTGTAGGTTGAAGACCAGGATTGCATTTGCACTGCCATCGAATTTTCGCCGGAAAGATCTCCCATCGACATTCTTGGACTTGGCCGTTGGATGTCACCTGAGGAAAGCCTCCGATTCCACCATCTTCGTGACACCGGTATAGATGCGACGATCTGTGGCAAGCCGGAAGTTGGACGGGGCCGAGGAGTTCAACGTGCGCGAGGTATGGTACAAGCTTATTTCTCTTCTGCAACTATCAACACTTGTGAACCGGGTTCACCTCAACGAGTCCAAAGTCCAAAGTGATTTGATTGTCACGTGACCTAGACGCGTCGCCTGCGAGTGTCAGCCTCCATTCTTGCCCTAAATGTTCTTAAGCTTGAGGCTGACTAGAGGCTGACACCCCCAGGGACATAAATACCTGCCCTCGCGGCATCTCTGTCCTTCATCTTGACCTCCACCAAGAGTCAGCGATCTCCTTCATTGTCACGATTGACCCATTGCGAGTCACGGACGATTATCTGTCTTATTAATTGTTCTCTCAATTTCTTATTCTCTCGCTTTCATTCTCTCGCGCTTCCTCGCTGTCTCGCTGTCTCGCTTTCATACTTCGTCACCTTCCTGCTTTCTCGCTGTCGTCACTAACGAAAATGCCGATGTCGCGCGCCGTTGGTAAAGCAAGCTCATATCCGTGCCTCCCCTTATCCCCACTCACAGGTGAGTCGCCTACCTTACACTAATAAATATTCTTTTGGCGCCATTATTTTTCCAGAATATAGAAAAGTCCAACGTCGGCCGCGTTGACAAAAAAAAAATACTTTTCCTTTATCCCTCTTGAGTCTCACTCTTGCTGGCGTTGCCTCTATCTGATACGGGAACCAGCGTTCTCTCACTCCCGGCCTCTCGTTCAACCACAGATTCTCCTCCCTCCTCAACTTTCTCCTACGCACGCAGTCCGCCGCTCCACTCCCAACATCAACCCCGCTCCTCCCGACATCGCCTATGCGATTGCCTTCCTCCTGTTCATCTAACTACGCTGCACTTGTACCCGTTCCACGAGCATAAATTACGGCGTGCAGGTGGCTCTGCATTCAAACTCATCGGCAGCATGGCATCTCGAAGTCTCGTCTTGGTCCGACTGTTGCCGCTCTTTCTACCGGATGATGGATGCGTCTTCCGTCTCCCTTGTCTCGTTTCCGTTGAACCTTAGTCTAACCCTTGTCAATCCTGCCGCTCGACAGCCGTCGCCCTTTTTACCGGATCGCAGATGCGCCTTCCATTTCTCCTTCCTCTTATTTATGGTCCGACCCTCGTCACTCCTTATATACCCTTTTCACCTTATCATTACTCTTACTCTTTCCTCTTATTCATTGTCCAACCCTTGTCATTTCTCTTCCTTCTTATTTATTGTCCGACTCTCGTCATTCCTTTCCCATATACCCCTTCGACCTTTTACTTCTACTCTTATCGTTTCTCTTTTCTCTTATTTATTGTCCGACCCTTGTCATTCTTTCCCCACTATTTCTCCTCCTTATTCATGGTCCGACCCTCGTCACTCCTTTTACTTTAAGTTACTCTTAACATTTTTCTTTACTCTCATTTATTGTACGACCCTTGTCCCTCCTTCCACACATTTCCACCTTTTACCTTTACTCTTCTTATTTATTGTCTGACCTTTCAGTCCGACTTCCACATATACCCGTTCCTTCTTCTATTTATTCTGTTCCTTCTTTTTATCTAGGTATTGCCTGACCCTTGTCATTCCTTTCTCGTCCGACCGTCGTCACTCTTTGACGATATGTTCCGTCTTTCATTGTTTCTAATTTCTATCACTGTCATTATCTCGCTCTCTCTCTTAATTGAAATTCCAAGATTTCTTCTTACCTCGACGCCCACGTGCTCCTGCACTCAATCGAGCAACGCGGCTCACTTGTAGCTATCCATTCTGTTCTTTCATTGCAACCTCTTCTCATCGCCGTTACGTGGTCCCGCACTCTTATACTTCGCCCCGGAAGGAACTCCATCAGTACATAGTTCACTCGGGGCTATAACCTATGCCACTGTATGACACGAATGCGAGGGTGTTTCTTATTACAGCGCCATCATTAGCAGTAAGAAGAAACACCCCAATCTGTGTGCTTGGGATCTATGCGTTGTGTACATACGTACCGAGTTACAGTCGACGTCTTTTTGACGCATCGTCGATGAGTTACGGGACAGACACTAGCGATGAGCAGAGCACTAAGTCACTCGCGCCACATTTGTGCCATGGCCCATGATGTCATCGTTCAACGTTAACGTTCAACAGCCAACAAACAACATTGAAGTTGAACAGATGTCTCAACAATTTCAAAGCCTCGAAGGAGCCATGCAGGTGTGTCTGAGTGTTGTTTGTTGATATCTGTCTCAATTGCTCTTGCTCAGCTGAGTGCAGCCGAGAAAAGATAAATGGGGGGATTCTGGCCATACCAAACGGTCCAAACCGCAGCGTATCAATGTGACCACCTCTGCAACGCGACCGTCAGATGCATGGCTACTACGTATCCCAGAAGTGGCTTCGTGAGACGACTCTTTCCTTACTAGCCAAGGTACATCCCGACTTTTCCCCCATCAAGGCCAGGACCAACGCCCCGTAGACCTCGTCTACAGCTTCACAAAATACTTCGGCATTTCTTCGCTGGGTACGGGTGTAGCAATTCTGCCTCCCCGACAGATAATTTCAGCGGAATGCATGGATGACCAATACGTTGAGGTATTGTAAATCTTCAACGACCAATCTTACAATTATCGTTGGCGCCCCACTCAGGAGCAGGTTGATAAATTCAGTCACGACTCTCGCATCAAATGGCGAAGTTCTAGTTACAGAGTAACGGTCATCTTCAGGAAGAGGTTTTCATTGGTAACTTGCCTGACGTGTGGATGATGCTAGCCATGCACAACAACAAAAAATCAGAAATGTGAAAACCAGTCTACTTGTTGACATGGTAAGAGCTGAACATGCCATATGAGTCGGGGCGACCGGTTGCGCATGGCAGAAAGGGCGCTTACTACAATGGAGGGTGCGCGGCAGTGAGGAGGAAATGATAGTTTAGCCTGAGTCTCACAGCCCCGTGATCTCGGTCGTTTTGCATTACCATAGACCGATAATCATGGCTTGTAGCTCTCGGCGCTGCTTAATTTTGTTTCGTAAGTCGTATGCCAGAACGCAGTGAATTATTGACGAACTGTGCGAACCGAGGAGGAGAAGACGCTTTTCCATCTGTGCAATCATGTAAGACAAGTGGGGGTGGGCGGTGACTGTGGAGGGTGAGAGGCCCCATTCGCTTTGTAGTACAGTCCGGAATTTTGTCGAGCCAACCTTACATGCGATTCGTGACGTCGTCGACGGGGAAACTGGTTTACTGGTGACGGATTCGCATCATGTGGTGTGTTTCGAATCTCGATGATCTTCACGTGCATTATAGACAAAAATTGGCTGCAAGTGATCCTACGTCCAGGAACCTTTGTGACCAGCAGCCGGTGGAATGGCTGATGAACACATCACACTACTCTCTGCTCAACGTTTTCGGTTGACACAGATCTAAGGTCTGCCTATAGGGGAAACTAAAATTTTCCATTCACTGACCCGTATACGCCGACACATTTCGCCAGTAGCTACGGGCGTCTAGATCAGCACATTGGCTCATCGCAAATATAGTACAGTACTCACGCACAACGCTCGAGCAAGGCCATGTCGGTCTTGAAAGTGTAAACGTCGGGTGCTCCTGCCGATGTCTTGTTGAACATCATCTCTGTGAAATCATGTCGCCAGGAATTCCAAGAAGGTGTGATGTCCCCTGGGGTGTATCTGTCGTCAGGAGTCTCGTACATGGCCATAGCCAAGAACGAATTCGAAAAAGCAGTGATGAACTGGGAATTGTTGTATGCAGGACCAAGCCTGAAGCAGTATGCATCAGAGTAGGGGTTGATCATCGCTTCAACTTACGAAGTGAAGTAATATCCAACATCATTTCCGTGTATGCCGGGTGGAATTGCAAACTCGCCCTGCTGTTGTTGAGCATGCATAAGTTGAGACTTGCCTCGAGCTTACCTTCCAACCTCGCTCTCCGAATGCTTTGAGGAGATAATAAGTAGGGCAAACGAACGTTGCTGAATGGAATCATGGAATCAGGGACAGTAATGATTTCCTTGAAGGACACGCGTACATTCACCTATCACGAGATTTGCCTGGTTGACGTTGCTTCCCTGATTCTGGTACATCTTCACTGCTGCTGCAGCCTGAGCGGAACCGAAGTCCGGGAAAAGTGTTTTGACATAATCTGCAATGTCCAATGTCGTAGATTGGTTCACGAACAAGTTCCCCTCATGCGAATTAGTTATGGCAAGAAGGCAATTCTAACGAAAGAGTCTGAGCGTCGCTGATGAGGATAGAATTCATATATCATACGCCATTCAAGCGACCCTTGCTCATCGTCACGGTAGGTCTCTCCACGATGAAAGTGCCATCCACGACAGGATCGAATAAGAACGTGCCACGGAAGGTGTTGAGGTTGATGTAGTTCAAGGTTTGCAGCGTGTTGACGTCTGCAGAGCGCAAACAAGAAAGGGTATCCGAACTTGCGCTACACCTGTGAGTTGAGGGTATTAGCTCGGGAATGGCCACATTTAACCTTTAAAAGGACTCACTTTGTTCCATCGACGACCTGACTGTACAACATCTGGCAGTGGCATTCAGGACGCCACGGATATTGACCTCATGAACAAAATTCACCTCTGGAATTCGGTCATTATAGTTGTATTGTGAGGGCAAGAAAGTGGAACTCGTCATGGCAGCTCTGAAGAGGGGAGGCTGTGTGTTTCCTCCATGAGCAACAAGATGCTGTAGCACGGAACCGGCACCTTATACGATGAGAGTAGCAAACAATGCTAAGAACGAAGAGTACATGAAGCAGCTCACCAGCAGACTCTCCCCAAATCGTTACCTTCGTGGGGTCGCCACCGAAACGACTTATCTGTCCAGGAATGTTTTCTGTCAGCTGAGGTACAACAAGCAAGTAGATATTTCTGCTCACGTAGGCCTGAACCCATTGCAAAGCATAATTTTGGTCGACTTCGAATATCAAGTTTAGCCAAGTCTGAAGGACCGTAAGACCATGATGATCACGTACGTAGTCCAGCATTGAGCACACCCCCTTCTTTGACCGCTTCTCCGGGAAGGAAACCTAGTGGGCAGCGTATACATTTGAATTGAACCCGAAAAAGTAACGAAGACATACCGAATAAACCGAGGCGGTACTGGAGCACGACCGTGATGACACCGTGATTGGATTCCATGATTAGGTTTTCACCATTGTAAAGATTCGCAGCTCCTTCAATATACCTGTACCAAAAATCGATTCATCGACAGAGGAACATTGCACATGCTACTTACCCTCCTCCGTGAATCCATACCACAACAGGGAGCCCTCCCGACGGTGTGGCCACCACTTGCCTCCCGGGAGTGTATACACTACCGGATACAAGTCAATCACCAATCATAAATGTCGACATAATCGTTCCATGACAGAGCTTACTTCAAGAATAAACAGTCCTCCGACTGACTGACAGCCCTTTTCCTCATAGAGGGGCTTTCATAGGGATTTGTCGAAGAATTGCCTCCCAGTCCTTGATAACATTCATTTGGTTGCGTGGTAGCTTGTTGAACCCCGGAGATGGCCGATGGAGGCTGCGGAGCTGCCCATCTGAAGTCCCCTATGTACTTGGTGCGTAAACCGAAATTGTATACAACACACAAAACAGGACGCACCAACTGGAGCAGCCGCGTACCGTATTCCGAGAAAGCTTGTGATGTTTGTCGCTGTATCAACTGATCCCTGGTATTGAGCATAACCTAAATCGACGATGGGTGCAGACGCGATGGTCGCCAGAGAAGACGATGCTTCTAGTGCAAGCAAAGCCTGTGACAACGTCAATAGACAGGTTTTGATCGACATTTCAATCTCATATGTCGCGCAGTGAGAGACAGCTTCGCAATCTGACGCGTATGCCATTATAAATATGAGCAAAGTCCGTGTTAGCCGCATGAAACATTTGATTCAAGGATATCGAGACGATCACCGGGCGAAGTGCTGGCAACTGACACGGCCGCGAGGGACGTCCACGGATAAGGTGAGTAAATCATGCTGAATAAATAGCGACATCGACGTTGACTTAATATAGTGGTCGTGCTGACCATAGACTCGGGGAGAACGCTACTTGGAGGACAACGAGACATCCGTCCCTTCGACCGATCTCTCCCACACAGTTCGGGCCGCCCGCAACAAAGAATGGTGAAGCAATGAGCGGTAGTTACGCTGTCACTATTTCAATTTACAGAAGAGGTGAAACCTACTTGATGGAGGACACTAATTAAAACAGAGTACGTACTGCACAGTGTTGCCTCAGTCAGTCGATGCAGGAGAAAGCTCCACCTAGTTTCACTGCTGTTCGCAGTGGCATGGTCACTGGTGCCCTCGCGGGGAGGTGGCATGTTACAGGGTGGAGAGTTGTGATCGTAAGGCTTAATGACTGTTATTAATGCGAGCGGTAGTACTTCGGCGGAATCCCACGGACTGCAGATTTTTCTCGACGATTTCGACACCAGATATACCAGGGGGCTAGGTTTATTGTAATCGTGGTTAAACTGACAAGTCCTACGAGGAATATATTGAAGCGTCTTTGCAAGGAGGCCCTGGAGAACAGGACACACGGCGAGCCTGAGAAGAACACGACGGATACAACTTGAAAGTTGATACTCACAATGTTGACTTTGTCGACCCCGGGAGTGAGTATATCAATACTTCGTACTTCCTGGGACCGATGAAGTCACGACAACAGGGACCCTGTTGCTTGCCGTATTTTGCATCTTTCTTTGTCTGCCGTATGAATCACGTCAAGAAATAGTAAGTACTCGAAGGGTACATTAATGCGTAATGCAACGTACCGTCCTCCCCCATAGTTGCGGCTGGTTCGATTCTGAAACCACATGCTGGCAGCCAGAACTTAGAATTACTAGAGACTGGATTTAGTACCGCATGGTAAGGTAGACGCCTTGCGAAACCAACGAACCTCACGTGATATGACATGAGTGTGACGCTGGAAGATAAGTTGTTGCCGAACATGCCGAACAACGGCGGTAACTCAATAGTAGGTACTGGCAGTAGAAGAAGTGTAAGTAGTAGTAAGTAGTATGTAGCACTATGTGCGGGGAATATATATTAGTTTGAGAATTCAAGGATTTAGCGACTATTCGAGGGATCATTGTCAAACTCTTTCATTATGCTCTTGCTAACATGCGGAGTTGCGGTATTTCATCACCATACTATCCTCAATTCCAGTGTTTTTTTAATTACTATCTCATTTTTTCCACGCAGCGCAGTTCTGAAACCGCTGTTTGACCACATTAACGCTGTTCGTCTGATTGCAATACAGAATATTTCTACGTCCCGTCGTCGAATTGTAATTGATTTTCTAAGGCCTTGTCACGATAAAGTCACTTAAGTCACGTGAGGTTCGTTGGTTTCGCAAGGCGTCTACCTATATAATATTAGTAATAGTCACTTGTTGACTTGATTTCGGACACGTGATCTGGACGCGTTAGTGGCGTCGCGGTTCTTTCTGCCATCCACTTCTCCCTTTCTTGCGAATGATGACCGCCCGCGTAACGTAGGACATTCTAGATTACCGCGAGTGTCAGGATTCAGTACTCAGTGATTGATCAAATGGATTTAACGCTGACCGGAAGCTGACTCTCGCAGATGCATAAATACCTGTTAGCCTCACTCACGAGTGTTGCCGCTCATACGAGTGACGGCACCATGACGTAGGATATTCAAGTCATTATTGCCTCAAATGGTCTTGAGGCTGACTGGAGGCTGACTACCCCCAGGGGTATAAATACCTGCCCTTGCGGCTTTTCTCTCCTTCATCTTGACCTTCACCAAGAGTCAGCGATCTCCTTCATCGTACGATTGACCCATTGCGCGTCACGGACGATTATCTGTCTTATTACTCTCTCAGTTTTTTTATTCTCTCAGTTTCTCATTCTCTCGCTGTCTAGCTGTCTCGCCGTCTCGCTTTTTCTCCCGCCGTCTCGCTTTCATACTCTCCCGCCGTCTCTCTTTCATACTCTCCCACCTTCCTGCTTTCTCGCTGTTGTCACTAACGAAGATGCCGACGTCGCGCGCCGTTGGTAAAGCAAACTCACCTCCGACCCTCCTCTTCTCCCCGCTCAAAAGTGAGTCACCTACCCTACATTAATAATATATTCTTCTTACGCCATTATGCATTATCTTTCTAGAATATAGAAAAGCCCAACGTCGGCCGCGTTGATGAAAAAATATCCTTTTACTTTATCCCTCTCGAGTCTCACTCTTGCTGGCGTTGCCTCTATCTGATACAGGGACCGAGTTTCTCTCGCTCCCGGCCTCTCATTCAACCGCAGGTTCTCCTCCCTCCTCAACTTTCTCCTGCGCACGCAGTCTGCCGCTCCACCCCAACACCAACCTCATTCCTCCCGACATCTCCTGTGCGATTTCCTTCCTCCTGTTCATCTAGCTACGCTGCACTTGCGCCCGGTCTACGAGCATAACGGACGGCGTGCAGATGGCTCTGCATCCAAGCTCGCCAGTACCGTGGCATCTCGAAGTCTCGTCTCCCTCAGTTTCACTGCACCTCAGTCCAACTCTGGTTAGTCTTACCGACGCCGCTCTTTCTACCGGATCGCGGATGCGCCTTCCATTTCTCCTTCCTCTTGTTTATGGTCCAACCCTCGTCACTCCTTATATACCCTTTTTAACCTTTTCTTTTTCTCCTATTCCTTTCACCTTCCTCTTATTTATGGTCCGACCCTCGTCACTCCTTCTATACCCTTTTCATCTCTTCATTTCTCATTTTCCTTTCTCCTTCTTCTTGTTTATGGTCTGACCCTCGTCATTCGTTATATACCCTTTTCACCTTTTCTTTTCTCTCTTCCTTTTTCCTTCCAGTTGTTTATTGTCCGACCCTCGTCACTCCTTCTATATCCTTTTCACTTTTTCTTTTTCACTTTTTTCTCATACTTTCTCTTTCCTCTTATTTATGGTCCGACCCTCGTCACTCCTTCTATACCCTTTTCACCTTATATACCCTTTTCACCTTCTATCTTTTACTTTTTCTCCTATCATTTCTCTTTCCTCTTATTTATGGTCCGACCCTCGTCACTCCTTCTATACCCTTTTCACCTTCTATCTTTTACTTTTGCTCCTATCATTTCTCTTTCCTCTTATTTATCGTCCGATGTCACTCCTTCCACACATACCTATTTCACCTTTCACTTTTACTCTTCTTATTTATTGTTCGACCGTCGTCGCTCATTCCCCATCTACCCTTTTCTTCGTTATTTTCCTTCTTTTGATCCATAAACCCCCGCCACTCCTTTTGTCCGACCGTCGTCACTCTTTTACGATAACCCCCGTCTTTCCTTTTTTTTCTATCATGTTCATTCACTTTTTCCTTCTTTCCCTTGGAACTCTTCTTCCGAGCTTCGACGCTCGCCGCCCGCTCTGCACTCCGCCCCTGACACGAGGACGACCCGCACTCAATCAAACGACGCGGCCTACTCACAGCTCTATAACCTGTTCATCCTTTCATTCCAACTTCTTCTCCCCGCCGATACTTCGCCCCGAAGGAACACTATCGTCAATGTGGTTCACTCGAGGCTCTATACCCATTTCTTCTCCATCCATCCGTCCATTCATTTCCATTCCATCCATTCATTATCCTTTTTCACCCTCCTTGGTACCTCTTGGCGTTCCGTCTTCCTTTTCGTTCCTCGGTCGGCTTGGAGCGCCACTTATACCTTATGTTAATCATTCCTATTCTCTATGCCAACCATTCTTTTACCTATGCCAATCATTCCTATTCTCTATGCCAACTATTCCTTTACCTATGCCAATCATTCCTATTCTCTATGCCAACTATTCCTTTACCTATGCCAATCATTCCTATCCTCTATGCCAACTATTCCTTTACCTATGCCAATTATTCCTATTCTCTATGCCAATTATGTAATATGCAGTAATCTATGCCACTTCGCGAAAGAACGCGATACAAGTTTCAAACCTGACATGGTTTGAGATCAGTGTGTTGTGTTGAACATGATCCAAGTTATGGAATTACAGTCGTCTTTCGAGCTAGCACTCTAGAAACTCACAACGGTAACAACTGTTTCGTTCTTAGTAAGTACGCTAAGACAAGTTGAAAACTTGAAGAGGTTATGAGATCATCGACATCTAACAACTACCGAAATTTCATAAGACGCGCAGGCAAATAGGACCTCCGATCCCTGATCACCACACAGTGCTAAACTTTAGCATGTCCACCGTGACAACGTTTGCAATTCTGAGCCAACGTCGAACAGATTTTACGAACTTTGTATAAGATCCCTGTTACAAATCATCGAGGCTGACTGCGGCTATTACAGAAGCGTACTCCGGTGCTACTATGTACATCATGATACCAGGCCATCCCGAAAATACGAGACATGACCACTGGGGTGAATTAAATCTACAAAAATAGGGCACATATCGAGTGTTGGAACCACATCATTCTACCACACACGACCCAAGGTCGATAACCTCGGCTAATGTTCCCCGTACGAAGCTCAACAGCGCGCCGCTTAGCTGTCAGAGAAACAATGGCATTTCATATTGGTGATTCAGATCAAAGTCCATGATCTTGAACATTCCATGAACGATGAGGGCCTTGAGGAAGAGATCGTATTGACTAAACATCGACGTTCAGTGCATGGAAAGATAGAGAAAAACCAACAACGTGGACGTACCGATGATATCCAGGGTGATGCTCGTTAATCTCATTTATCAAAGTCATTCATCGATTTCCACACGAGGAGGGCCGGAACGAGCACGAATGATCCCACACCGCGGACCGAGAGGAGCAGGATCAAGTGACAGATTGATGCATTCCGGTGATGAAAAATGGACATATATGACATGATCGATGATATAGCTGACAATTTTCTGGGTTTTCAGCGCGAGGCCGTGAGTTCCAGGGGTATCGTTAGAGGCTGCAACAAATAAGCGAAGAAGGGCATGTTCATCTGCGAGGTCAATGCGTACAGTGTGGACGAGATTGTACAAGGGATGGATGTGAAGTAGTGTATTAAACTGGGGATCGAAAGCTGAAATACCATCGCCTCAGCCAGAGACAACAACTGGCGACAGGAGATGAGCGTCAGTATGTACGAGTATGGATGCAGGTAGAGGGGGAAGATATAGAGCTGCAGCATTATCCTGTCCAACATCGTCTGAAGTGAAAGGAAGACCCATTTACAGATGAAGAGCCATGCGAGATCGTTGATTTTCCAGAGAGTGTTTCCCGTTTCGACCGGATCGAACTTGAGGCGGTACCGGCAGAACACTTGGAAATGCCGCCAGACATTCTATGATGGCACAGCTAGGGAGCTGCACTCTCCATACGTAGCATAGTGACAAGTACAAGTTGTCCTTGGGCTCCTTTTGGTGGTAGTCACCGTAAATTGGGGAAAACAAGACATGGTAGACAGACCCGGTGAGGGATGCAGCATTGAGACGAATATCGGGATGCAACCTGAGCATGGCGAACGCGTTTAAGGGTGGCGGTCAAGTTTCTGGACAAGTCTGTTGGGCTGCCACTTGGGCAACTTCAAACTTGCTGCCGCTACTATGTATATACAGCGGCGCAGAGGCGTCCATCCCCGACTCGCAGTTTTTCCACAGTTCCTTTCGTCTATCAGAAACGTACATGATCGCTAGAAATACATTGGCACGGTCAGACCATGTGTTTCCTTATTTCTGACCTGACGGTTTTTCCATTTAGCATGTGAGAAACGTACATCGGATTCGCGAGACCCCCTGTGTTGTCCGGCTGGTCCAGTGCACCAAAAGCGAATCTGGGACCACTACCGGCAGGCGGAGGATTGCATAACTATGGGCTTACAGCAAGCTTACAGGAGGAGAGAGTCACAGTACTCCTTGATATGAAGTGCTATTTTTCGCCAATTTGCAAAGACTCGCCGTGAAGAGATCCTACTAGTGCGGGAACCTTTGTGACCAGCTCCTGGTCGAAGATATGGAGGATAAACATGTCGCACTACTCTCAGCTCAACATCCTTTTTGGTGGACACAAATACCAGAGCTTACAAAATTTCCATTCACTGCCCCGTGTACGCCGACACATTTCGCCAGTACCTACATGCGTCTAGCTCAGTACCTGGGCTCGTCACCAATATGGTGCAGTACTCACGCGCAACGCTCGAGTAAGGCCATGTCGGTCTTGAAAGTGTAAACCTCAGGTACTCCCGCAGACGTCTTGTTGAACATCATCTCTGTGAAATCATGACGCCAAGAATTCCATGAAGGTGTGATATCTCCTGGGGTGTATCTGTCGTCAGGAGTCTCGTACATGGCCACAGCCATGAATGAGTTCGAGAAAGCGGTAATGAACTGGGAATTGTTGTATGCAGGACCAAGCCTGAAGCAGTATGCATTAGAGTAGGGGTTGACCATCGCGTCAACTTACGAAGTGAAGTAATATACAACATCACTTCCGTGCATGCCGGGTGGAATTGCAAACTTGCCCTGCTGTTGTTAAGCATGCATAAGTTGAGACTTGCCTCGAGCTTACCTTCCAACCTCGCTCTCCGAATGCTTTGAGGAGATAATAAGTAGGGCAAACGAGCATTGCTGAATGGACTCATGGAATCAGGGACGGTAATGATTTCCTTGAAGGACACGCGTACATTCACCTATCACGAGATTTGCCTGGTCGACGTTGCTTCCCTGATTCTGGTACAACTTCGCTGCTGCTGCTGCCTGGGTAGAACCGAAGTTCGTGAAGAGCGTTTTGACATAATCTGCGATATCCAATGTCATGGATTGGTTCACGAGGATGTTCCCCTCATGCGCATTGGTGATGGCAAGAAGGTAATTCTAACGAAAGAATCTGAGTTTCGCTGATGAGGATAGAATTCATAAATCATACGCCATTCAAGCGACCCTTGCTCATCGTCACGGTAGGTCTCTCCACAATGAAAGTGCCATCCACAACAGGCTCGAATGAGATCGTGCCAATGAAGTTGTTGAGGTTGATGTTATAGTTCAAGGTTTGTAGCGTGTTGACGTCTGCAGAGCGCAAACAAGAGAGGGTATCCGGACTTGAGTTACACCTGTGAGTTGAGGGTATTAGCTCGGGAATGGCCACATTTAACCTTTAAAAGGACTCACTTTGTTCCATCGACGACCTGACTGTACAACATCTAGCAGTGGCATTCAGGACGCCACAGACATCTCGTGAACAAAATTCACCTCCGGAATTCGGTCATTATAGTTGTATTGTGATGCCAAGACTACGGAACTCGTCATGGCAGCTCTGAAGAGGGGAGGCTGTGTGTTTCCTCCATGAGCAACAAGATGCTGTAGCACGGAACCGGCACCTGAAACGATGAGAGTAGCAAACAATGCTAAGAACGAAGAGTACATGAAGCAGCTCACCAGCAGACTCTCCCCAAATCGTTACCTTCGTGGGGTCGCCACCGAAACGACTTATCTGTCCAGGAATGTTTTTCTGTCAGCTGAGGTACAACAAACAAGTGGATATTTCTGCTCACGTAGGCCTGAACCCATTGCAAAGCATAATTTTGGTCGACTTCGAATATCAAGTTCAGCCAAGTCTGAAGGACCGTAAGACCATGATGATCACGTACGTAGTCCAGCATTGAGCACACCCCCTTCTTTGACCGCTTCTCCGGGAAGGAAACCTAGTCGGCAGCGTATACATTTGAATTGAACCCGAAGAAGTAGCGAAGACATACCGAATAAACCGAGGCGGTACTGGAGCACGACCGTGATGACACCGTGATTTGAATCCACGATTAGGTCTCCACCACTGTAAATATTCGCAGCTCCCTCTACATACCTGTACCAAAATCGATTCATCGACAGAGGAACATTGCACATGCTACTTACCCTCCTCCGTGAATCCATACCACAACTGGGAGCCCTCTCGACGGGGACGCCACCACCTCACTTCCAGGAGTGTATACACTACCGGATGCAAGTCAACCACCAATCGTAATTGTCGACATCATGATTCCATAGCAGGGCTTACTTCAAGAATAAACAGTCCTCCGACTGACTGACAGCCCTTTTCCTCATAGAGGGGCTTTCATAGGGATTTGTCGAAAGATTGCCTCCGGGTGCTTGATAACACTCATTTGGTTGCGTGGTAGCTTGTTGAACCCCAGAGATGGTCGATGGAGGCTGCGGAGCTGCCCATCTGAAGTCCCCTATGTACTTGGTGCGTAAACCGAAATTGTATACAACACACAAAACAGGACGCACCAACTGGAGCAGCCGCGTACCGTATCCCAAGAAAGCTTGTGATGTTTGTCGCTGTATCAACTGATCCCTGGTATTGAGCATAACCTAAGTCGACAATGGGTGCAGACGCGATGGTCGCCAGAGAAGACGATGCTTCTAGTGCAAGCAAAGCCTGTGACAACGTTAATAGACAAGTTTTAATCGACATTTTCAATCCCATATGTTGTGCAGTGAGAGTCAGCTTCGCAATCTAACACGTATGCCATTATAAATGTGAGCAAAGTCCGCGTTAGCCACATGAAACATTTGATTCAAGGATATCGAGACGATCACCGGGCGAAGTGCTGGCAACTGATGGCACGGCCGCGAGGGACGTCCACGGATAAGGTGAGTAAATCATGCTGAATAAATAGCGACATCGATGTTGACTTAATATAGTGGTCGTGCTGACCATAGACTCGGGGAGAACGCTACTTGGAGGACAACGAGACATCCGTCCCTTCGACCGATCTCTCCCACACAGTTCGGGCCGACCGCAACAAAGGATGGAGAAGAAATGAGCGGTAGTTACGCTGTCACTATTTCAATTTACAGAAGAGGTGAAACCTACTTGCTGGAGGACACTAATTAAAACAGAGTACGTACTGCACAATGTTGTCTCAGTCAGTCGATGCAGAAGAAAGTTCCACCTGGTTTCACTGCTGTTCACAGTGGCGTGGTCACTGGTGCCCTCGCGGGGAGGTAGCATGTTACAGGGTGGGGAGCCGTGATCGTAAGGCCTGAAGGCTGTTTTTAATGCGAGCGGTAGTACTTCGGCGAAATACCGCGGATTGCGGACGATTTCGACACCGGGTGCACCAAGGGCCAAGGTTTATTGCAAGCGTGGTTGAACTGGCAGGTCCTAGGAGAAACACATTGAAGCACGTTTGCGAGGAGAACAGCACGCACGAACCTGAGGATGCGGTACGATTGGAGAGTAGATCTAAGAGCCTGCCAGAGAAGAAATAACGGATACACTTGAAGAAAGTTGATATTCATGAAGTTGACTTTGTCGACCCCATGGTGAGTATCAACACTTTGTACTTCCTGGGCCCCACGAAGTCACGACAACAGGGACGCTGTTGAGCTTGCTGTACTATCCATATTTTTTTTGCCTGCTGTAATCACGTACTAGAGAAATTGTGGGAGGACACATGCAAGAGTTCCGCTTATCTAAGCGAAACATGGTCAACCATTAATATTGTAAACCCCCTGTGTTGCCCGGCTGCCCCAAAAGCACTCCTTTATGCGTTGACCTATGCCTAAGACCTCAAAAACGGTGCATAGTCAGCTTCCCCAACATCCCACCGTAGAATACGTGGATACCATGGAGTCGTCAACGAGCACACGCAACGACGAAGACAAGAAAACACTCAGTTCCCATGAGGAACTTCGCGTCCAGCATTACAGCCCATACCTCATTCGAAAGGGCCCTCCTCTCCATAATTGAGGAGGATGACTTCGGTCGCGATATGTTAAGGGAGGCCTTCGCCACTCGCAGTGCGTCCTTTCTGAGTCATTCCTGGAAACTAATTGGCTCACTCTTTTCTTTAGATTTAGATCGAGGCTAGGTATTAGCTTCGCTCGTGTAAAATATGACTCGGTCGCGCCATTTGTGGGGCTCTAACCATACAAAATGGCAAACGACATGGAAGCGTTCGACCTCCACCGTTCCTGTATCCCGACAACCGTTTTCAAATCTATCGTGCAAGATATTGACCTCATGCTATTGCAATATGGTCCTCCCCTCAAATACTACACAGAAGTGGCGCGATTGCGCTTCCTTTCTCCCATAAGAAGCTAACTTACTAGTCCTGTAACTGAACCTTAGACTCATTCAGATTTTCAACCACATTACAGCCCTAGTATTTCATAGTGCAGTGAGGAACATTCCTGGTCTAATAATACCTAATCGTATTGCCTCGCAAGGCAGAATACGGCCCTATTCGGTTTTATCGCAGCACTGTCTATCCAAGTCAAGAGAAAAAGGGGGGACACTGGAACCAGTCGCCTGCTACGACAGCCTGCAATTGGGTCAACGAGCAAGCAAAGTTTCGTGCTTATATACGCCATCCTCTGCGACAGCGAAGTATTTGAATTCTTTCAGTTTACTGGTGATCTCAAACCTTCCTCGTTCAAGTGCGGCTGTTATGGAGATGAAGATGGGCCTACCCGTTTTCGACTCCTTGATTCCTACGAGACCAAGACGCCCTATGATTTCACATCTCAGCGTTGGAAACCTAGAGTGATGGGCGATTGCTGTGCCCGAAGCTACTAGGGCGTTGATTGAGTTCCGAGAAGCTGATAAACTGCGTGGCCAGGGTCGCATCAAGGACGCCGATGCACTTGTTGAAAGAGCGATGCAGTCTCTGGCGAACAGGTATGTTTCCTTAATACTGGGTTGCACTGTGTCTGCGACTCATCATTGACATTTATCATGCAATGCAGTGCGGCTTCGACTTCGACTCGAGGTTCAAGCGCAACCCAATTATGAGCGCGTGGGATGAGAAGGTCGAATCACTATGTATGAGTATTGGCGTGTAATGATTCCCGCTACCTAGAGTAGTGCGTCTTGTTGTTCCTTTGCAGTCAATTGTCACTATTCGTCCTACACATCTAAGACCTTTGTCATCTGCCTATGTATGGTTTGTTCGAAAAACATGGGGACTGACAAAGCAACCAGCTTCTGTGGCTGATGAGCAGGCAGTGCGCATGATCATAGGGCATATGCAGATGCATACAAGTATTTTGAGCGATGTAAGAGGTCGTGAAGCATAACAAGTGATATGTAGAAAGAAACCATCCGACCGCTTAAACCTCCTTGACTTTGACCGTACCACGTAGCAGACCAGTCTACAAAAACCATTTAGCACGCATGGACACACGGGAAACCTGGAAAATAAACATACCCGACGAGCGGCAATAAGACCGACTTTCTGTCCAGGAACTGCGGAGCGGGGAACTGTCGAGGCTTTTCCGATGTGCTGGTGGTTACCACCACCGTGAGGATGGTCGACGGGGTTCATAGCCACACCACGAGTACGAGGCCAGCTGTGAATTTGGGTGAGTAAGCAAATAGATCATTTTGCTTTACTGCCCACCTGTTGCGCTTGGCCTTGTATTTGTGATATGCGCGACCGGCCTTGAGCAATGGTTTGTCGATACGTCCACCGCCAGCAACAATTCCAACGGTCGCCCGTGCACCGCCAGCTACGGTCTTCTTTGCTCCACTGGGCAGACGAAGACGGGTCTTGTTGTCATCTGGCGAGTGGCCGATGACGGTTGCGTAGTTGCCTGACGTACGAGCGAGAGCACCACGGTCTCCGACTTTCTCCTCGACGTTGCAGACGATGGTACCTTCTGGGCATTGGCTGACGGGGAGGACGTTACCGACGGTAAGGGCTGCTTTCTTCCCGCAGTATACAAATGAACCGGTGTGCATGCCCTCGGTTGCGATGAAAGTCTCCTTGCGGAGCTTGTAACGGTAGGGGTCACGGAATACGACGCGTGCGAGGGGTGCGCCGCTAGAATGCTATGAGGAAAATAATGGAATAGAATTTGTGGATCTTACCGGCCAGGGTCGTGGATGATTTCTTTGACAATACCGCGAACGTAGCCATTGCGTTCTGCGTAGTCGAGGGTACGAAGCTTGGCGGGGGCTTTGTTGTGGTGGGTGTGCGCCTTGAACTATATGACATGACAAGGGTGTAAAGATCTCTGAGTGGGTGGAGAAGTAGGGGAACGTACGATGGCGTGCGAGCGCCTCTGAGCCCTAATAACCCTACCCATGGTTTATCTGTGAAAAGTGATAAGCCGAGTGTCTGAAGTATGATGTGGGCAGGGTATCCGATGCAAGTGCGAGTCATCCAGCCGTTTCTCCATCATTTTGGATGCGATTTTCGACGAGAGTCGACAGGACATGGATTTGGACTCGTGCGTTGCAACCCAGAGCAGAGATTCGTGCGGTATACTCACATTATTGTGTCTTGGGGACTCGTTGTAGGCGGTGGGCGTTGGCGTATAGTGCACCGAAGCCGATATCGAAGCGGCGCCACAAATATCGGCAATTTCCCGGGACACTGCTTGTTTAGGAAGATGCCTGTAGACACGTTTCCCGTGGAAGATGTTCATACGTATGTGGACGGGTATACAAAGGAGGTTTGCAAGCGGGGGGGAGGGTACTGCATGCGGATAGAAGCTTTCCTGTATAGGGACTAGGGTTTGATTGAGATACTAGTGCTTTAAACTTTTCATTCTTGGTAAGACAGAGAGGGGTATCTAGGTAGTAGGTAGTAGGTAAATATTAAAGCTGTGTAAGCTTCGAATACGAGTACGTTGTGTAGATGTACCCTAGTGTATTCGTTGATTGAATGTGGCGGTTAAGGTACGAAAAGTCACACGGGGGTAGTGTTTGTGGTCTCTTCGTCGTTTTTGATATCGATTCGAGTCTCAACGAATATCCTTGGTTATCTGCTTAACTTTTCATTGGTCTGTCAAACCCCAAGGACCGCTAGGATACCGTCAAGAATCAAACAAAAAAAAGAACCAATAGTCTCCCGTACTGTCACAATTTCCGGTTAACGACCTTCCGTCGACGAGTCATCATTCCGAAGTTGACTTATATCCTCCTTGTCGGAAGGGAATTATGATCCATCTCGATCGTAACCGCAATGAACTCGATTCTGACAATAATTCAAATCTAATCTTACCCGAAGATCATACTGCTTTCTCTTGGGTACATGACGACTCCCACCACAATTATTTCACAAACTCTTTGTCCGACTTAAATATCCCAGATCATCATCTTCATCCTCCGGTTCAATCCGACATACATCAGCTCGAGGGTCAGAACACTCCTACATCATCTTCCCCTCATGCTGCTGACGACAAGAGTTCGTCCCTTTCCCCTCCTCCAGACTACACTTCTCCTCAAATTAAACGCAAGACAACTCCATTACCTACTCAAGAAGACAATCACGACTCCGAGAAACAAGAACCAGACGCAGACGACGATGGAGATGGTTCTTATTCTCGCCAACTTACCCCCCTCACAGACCTATCAGCAGTACCAGATGGAGACGACAGCTTGGACTTTGAAAAGAAGGATAGTAGTACAGGCGACATAGAGGCGCAGCCTGAGCAGATTGGTGATTCAAACACTGCACCAGACAAACCAGACAATCGCTGGGTCGAAAAACGCGCGATCAATGGCACCACATCTCCGGTCCGCTCAATCCCCAGCTCACCCGCAAGACAGCCCCATCCATTACCTGTCGCTGGTCCCTCTCAAACAAACCAGAGACTTGGCCCATCTGCAGGACCATCTCATTCAAGACGACCATCCAGGGAAATGGTTTCAGTTAGCCAAGTCCCATCCCCCAACATCTCGGCCGGAAATTTAAGTACTGGCGAACCAAAAGTCGTTCGGATTTTAGAGATCAACTCGGAGCTGTTAAAGTGCGTTCACACTCGCTCTTCACAACAATTAGCTCACTGGATTTTAAGAGTGTGCATGGAATTTCAGACACGTGGCGTCCCCCCGAATGACCCTCGCTTCGGCCAGTACGCACTCATTTATTCCCTATTTTTTCCAAAAGGCTGATCATTCAACGCATCAGATTTTCCAGTCGCCTACATGTAAACCTGACCTGGCTAGCATCTGCTGCAGACCATCACCGGTGTAATGTACGTGCCTCGTTGCGTCTCTCAAGCCCGTTACTCAGTCTCTTCACAGGATCCTAAACTCCAGTTGCCCATAATGGAAGCTCCTAATCCCGTCGAATTTGCATCCATGGATCGAATACATCACCTCTATGCTGATCTACCCACCATTTTCGCAAAGGAACTCGCACGACGACAGTATGCCTCCGGCGCTCAATATTCTCCCACCACATCGGCTGCACTTCTAAATGGCACATTAAAGCGCAGCCGACCAGACGAAATGGTCGACCTCATGAACAAAAGACGCGACATGGGTGACACGAAACCCCACTCCATGCACCCACCCCCAATTCCATCCATATCTATATCTGGTGCTGGCCAGCGCTCCAGCCCAACATCCTCCTTCCCTACAGCCACCCAGCAAAATATGTCCGCAACTCCCATGCCGCATAGCCCACGTGTCTCTAGTCCCTCCCTAGCCATGCCTCCACCACTGTCCACACCTTCACTACCCTTCGGTGCCACCGAGGCATCAATAGCCGCCACCACACGCGCTCGCGCAAGGGAGATGCAGATCCATCAAGCACGAGAGCAACAACTGCGAGCAGCGCAGATGCAACAACAAATGCAAGCCCCGAGGCAGATCTCCCCTCCCGATACCTCCCCACGAATCCCACAAAATTCTGGGCCAGGCGCACAGCAACATCCGCACGCATCATATGGGCCTAATCCCTCACCGATGCATATTCTCCAAAATCCCAGCCATCCGCTCATGGCTTATCTTATATCCCAGATGCCCAACTTCACCAGTCTGCCATTACCTCAACAGTTGCAGAAGCTCACGAGTTTTCAGGTAATTGATCGTGTTGTGTTTGCAAAGCAGAATACTCACCCTTTGTCCAGAGTCTTTTAGCGCAGAAGCAGCAACAGAACCCGTCCAATCAGCAACGCCCGCCTATGCCTGGTCAAATGCCCAATCTAGGACAGAATCCCTCCATGTCGCCTATGTCCAACGCCCCAATGCAAAGCGCCGGTCCAAGTCCAGTGTCCCCCCTCGGCCAGCAATCACCCGTCGTATCCCAATCCCAGCAGATGAACGCTCAATCCCAGCAAAGCGGCATGTACCCGTTCAATAACCAAGGCCACAATGCACCTAGCGTAGACCCCCGCATAGCAGGCTCCAATTTCACGCAACAAATGCCTGGCAACGTGGGCGCCATGAACATCCACCAGCAACGGCTCATGCTCATGCAACAACAGCAACAACAAATGCGGAGTTCTGGTGGGAATATGAACGTCACGAATCAGCAACAGGCGTTTGCGATGCAGCAGCGGATGCCTCAGGGCGGTCCATCGCAAGTGGGCGGTTCCCCTATGTCGGCTCCTGCTAGTGATACGTTCCCTGCTTTGCGCTCGAATTCGACTATTCCTGGGATTGCACGGAGTGGACGGTCGCCTTCTGAAAGCGTGCATTCTCCTATGACGCCTCGCGCCCCATCGAGGCTTTCGTCGCAACCCCCTATGCAGCCTGAAGACTATCAGAGGGCGATGACGCAGCAGGCACAACCGGGCATGATGGGAACGCCACAGAACGCTGGTTCATTCCATCCGCAAATGCAATTTCACCAGTGGCAGAACGGCCAGCAGCAGCAGCAGCAACAGCAACAGCAACAGCAACAGCAGCAGCAGCAATTATCGCTCGGAGGTCAAATGAATGGGTTTGGGATGAGCCCTCAGGGAGGTGCAGGAGTAGGAAACAGTCCATACGGCGGTTCCATCTCACCTTCTGCGCCCAACTGGCAACAGCAACAGCAGAGCATGAACGGATATTACCCCCAAGGCAATCAACGCCCACCAAACGTGCCTGGCGTCTCCATGCAACAAAACATCAGTCCAGTAGGCGACACTTCCGGGACGAGTGAATACGACATATTTAACTGGAATGGTGGTCCATGAGCTGTTCTGTCCTGTCCTGTTCTGTCGTCGTCGATGAGGATGCTGATTATCATCTTATTATTGTTTTCGCGGCTCAGGCTGTTCTGTTCTGTTATCGCACCCCCCTGCTCGTACATACATACACGACTTGTCTGCTACTATACGTTTCATTTGATGATATTTTCTTTTTTTTTCGTTTTATATAGCTTTTTTCCCTTCTTTTTCCTCCCCCGCTCTATGTCTGTATTTTGTAGACGCTTTTTTTCTGTGAATGTTGATCTGATGAAGGTCATTGGGGCGGGGCTGTTACTCTGTTGGACTTCTACATAGTGTTATTAATTTATAGGGGAATTACTATGATCGAATGCCTGAACAGTATAAACGCGTGCACTAGTACTGTATTAGATCTTCTCTCCGGAGACTCCGACATACCCTAAGTTAACGCCTATCGCGATGGTATTCACGAGACTCTCATCACAAGAGAAAGACGCCTTCTTCGGGCTTCTAGACGAGTTGGCACAAATCTCTCAATCAATTCCTCTCATGTACTGATCCTTACAGGTACTTCCAGTCCCGCCCAGATATATTCGCCCAAACAGGCGACCGCGGCGAAGAGGCAGCTTCAGCTGCTGCATCCGCCGTCCACCGCACTCTTGCCAAAAACCCAGAATTCACTTCCAAGATCGTTTCTGCTGGAGTGACCCATGGGCTTGCAAAGTCTAATAATCCATATGCATCCACAGTACGTTACGTCTCTTCACACAACAACTCTCGACGCATTTATGCTAACGGCATTCATCGTGAATCGTCAACCAGATAGCCAGTCATCCAGGAGTGAGCAACTCTGTGGGTAGAGTAGCAGCAGCATCGCTCTCTTTCACCGGAGGCAATTCAAGTTCATCAAGTTCCAACCCTCCGACAAGATCCCTGGTTGTCCCATCCCTCCCTCAACGCAGCTCCAGCGCACTCAGCGCCTCCTCCTCAGGGTCCGAGATCGATAAACTAGTCACGACGAAGGTGCGTACCCCATCTTCATGATGCATCCAGCATTGACAATGACATCCACTTTCTCGGCCTAGTCGAGCCTCCTAGGCGCATTCAAGAAAAACACCACAACGCACGGAGTAGCGATACCCCCCGCCTTCTCAACACCCAGGACCTCATTTGGCCCACCTCCCGTTCGGCGCACCACATCAGACACGAACGCAGCTGAGCCTTCCACCGCGAGGTCCCCACCACCAATCCTCCCACGGCGTCAAGTCGAACCTGAACCTGAGGAACCACAAGGGGAGTGGGCAGATGTTTTGTATGATTATACTAGCGAGGTATGATGCGCTCAGATCTTGGAGTGGACGTGAGCTGATTGATTTACGTTTTGTAGGATCCTGGCGATTTGGAGATTCAGACTGGCTCTCGCGTGCTTGTTACTGCGAAATCGTCCGACGATTGGTGAGTTCTCTTTTTCCTTGTATTCTGGACTGTTGACGTCTATCGCTGACTGTTTATTCTAGGTGGACGGGTCAAATAGATGGTGAAGGGAGGGAGGGTCTGTTCCCAGCCTCATACGTGAAGTTGTTGTAGTCTGTGCTTGAGGTCAATGCATACCACAATGCTTTATGAATGTGATGTGGTGGTCAAGTGAGTATAGGTAGATCTGCGCTGACGGATCCACCAGTCCTGGAAAAAGCAGGTGGGTTAACTATGACGCATCGTGGGAGCGCTTGACGCAGGCGTCCCAAATACGACAATCAGGCAACTACTCGCAGTGTTATCGAGTCATCAAAAGCAGGCGTAATGTCATATTATATATACATGCATACATCCACTGAAGTACAGGTAATCGACATGCGGTGTGGGATACAGAACGAGGGTAAGAATAGAGGTACAGTGGTGTGGTGTGGTGTCCGATGTCCATGTCACCGAGATGAAGGATGTGTTTAGGGAATAAGATACAGAACGGATCCGAGGGGTGGGTAACACGATGTCCAGAATACGATAGGTTGATAGTGATGTGCCGTGAAAGAACGAGAAGATCGATACAGAAATGAGAGGGGGGGGGGTTAAATGATGTATGAAAACACGTCCGTCACCAGCCGGTCGAGACTCAAACATCCAGTAGATTCTGATTGGCCGTCGCTCGGAAGATCGCAGACCTCGAGTGCACCAGTTTATGGAACGCGCTAGCCCCATGACCAGGGGGATGACGTTCTGCGGGCTCAACAATGCTCACCACAGGATGACCCAGCGACCCCTTGCCAGAGAGGTCACATGTCGGCTTCTCCTTCTCTTGACCCTTAATCGCTGCGCTCCACATACGGCTGAGGAATCCGTTGGAAGACATGCTGACGCTTGCTTTCATACGGGAAGCAGGAACGCCGGATCCGCCAGCGGAATCAGCGTCGGATTGATTCTGAATACCATTGGTTGCACTGTACACGTAGGAGCTCGCTCGCTTGCCAGGAACGGCGGTACTGTTGACGACTCTGGTCGTGCATGTCTCCAAAGGCGCGGGTAGGTTTTGGGGAGAAGGAGATTCGCCTGCTCGGACGGTCGCTATAGATCGGACTGAGCCTGCTTCAGATACCTTCCGCCCTTCTCTGTGCGCCTGAGGCGGGATGCCGCCCAAGACGAACTGTTTCCTCACGATACTTGGCTTCTCGTTCGCCTCTTGCTCATCGTCGGAGATACTGCTAGCTGAATCAGACGAAGACCCAGTGTCCTCGATCAGCGATTCCATCTCTGAATCTGTCGCACTCGAGCTGTCACAACTGTACACACTCGATATCGGCGACGCGATGCATGATGATCGGCTCTGGGAACCTCCAAGACGGCTGCTCGAGAGACGCCTTGCAATTCCGCGAACTGTGGACACGATAGAGGATCCCATGGGAGGTGGAGGAGGAACTTCGCTAGGAGGAGTTGGTAGCTGGGCTTGGGCGCGTGCTTTCCCCGCTTTGGAAACTCGCTCGACAGCTGCTGCACGGGTCACCCTGCTGTTGAGGAGTGAGCGGGCAGACAATGCGCGTGGGCATGAAAGGACGCAAAGTGGGTGCATGCTTCACGCTCGTCGAAGCGGAGGTCGTAGCCCAGTATATAGAGAAGCTGTTCCTCCATGAGGTTCACCTCTGGGAGGTCGAAGTGTTCGGCGTACGCTGCCCAATGTACGTTTTTGGGAGATGAGTCGTTGAGGTACTTAGCTGCTACGATGAGTGTCGCCAGGAAGACGCGGTGCCGGGTGCATGGGCGACCTATAAAAAAAAACAAGGGTAAGCATTTGGATGGAGAGATCCCATACTACGCACCCTTGGTCATGGCAGGCACCTTGACACGCACGCGGTGCAAGTAAATGAGGGTGGTGAGTAGCGTGGGCACCTGAACGTTCGACCTGTTCACCAAGTGAATGATGAAGTTGACAAGACTCGGCAGTTTTGGCACCGCCGGGGTGGGAGAGGCTACGTCCTGCGTCTCTGAGAAGGGGGCCTTGATTGGCGTTGTAGGGGGTGTTGGCAGGGCACTCGGGGCAGGGAGCTGCTCGTTGATCATGATGGCCCGCGATGCCTGGTGGGCGATGTAGGAGATCATCTCCATACAGACAGGCCTACGCATAAGATCTACAAGGTATGGATTATGAAGGGACCTTGGGAGGAGTGACGCTGGGTGACGGCGGTCTAAGGACATTTCTGAAGGGAGTGGATGTGATAGAGATTGTTGTGTTGTGCCCGGCGGGGGGCAAATGAAGCAAAGAAGAGAAGACAAGGGTGAAATTCCCGCGGGGCGATCTTATGAGGGACGGGATTTGGCGTGGATACCTTTCACAAACAACAAACCACGCGACGCGCCGAGATCACGAGACTAAAATCAATTGTGGCAAGACCGCCGGGATCAGCGACAAAAGTTAGGCTTGCAGCAGGCAGCGCAAGCAGTGAGTAGAGCAGAGCAAGGAGCAGAGGAAGAGCATATCTAAGAGTCTGACCTTATAAACTTGAGGGTAATTCTGAACCAGACTGCCAGACTGAGTAGCAGGGTGTCTTGCATTAGTAGTATGCCAGGTACAGCAAAGTTCAAACCTTGTTCGTTTCATGATCATGAGAAGGCTGACGAAATGTTGACGTGGTCTACTGCACAATTGTAAGGCTGACACTCAGGCTCGAGACATCCTCAAGCTAGGTCGCTACTAGGAGCGTATCAATCTTTTAGATTAGACGGAGTTGCGGATTGCAAAATCTGCGAACCGCGGGCAGTGCTGCAATTCACGCTTTCCTCATGTTATCATTGTCAGACTGGATCACGACTCTTTCATTGGTGTTCGGAGGTTGCTGCAGGTGAGCGGACATATACATATCACAATTTCAGACACTGAGGTGTGGCTCAGCAATGCCATCACCTTGGAGCACATCACGTCTCGATACCCAAACTCTGGCGTCCTGATCACCTTTTTCCAGTTCCTCATAGTTTCACTATATGGACTGCCCAAGCAATTCACATTCGACGACCCCCAGGAATCTAACATGCATCGGACGGACCGAATGGTTCTGTTCCTACAATACGCCGTAGGAGATGGCTTCCTCGGCTGAAGAAGCGGAAAGTACCTCTGCTACCTTATTTCATCCAGGTTGCACTGTTCCTCGTGCTTTCAGGTTCTGAACAATGCCGCTTTTGCCTACCACATTCCTATGACCGTGCACATCGTGTTTCGCAGCGGCGGCATGATCATAAACATGATCCTGGGATGGATGTTCACGAAGAAGCGGTTCGTGTTTCGCCACAGCATTTTCGACGTGTTACTCACTCCAGGGAAATGACAGGTATACTGTGCGACAAGTCGCTTCCGTGCTTGTGGTCACAGCCGGCATCATAATGACCACCCTCTCTGCCTCAAAACCCAAATCCGGTGTTGCCGCAGCAGACATAACTGACGTCTCACTCTACGCACTGGGCATCTCCATCCTTGCCCTTGCCCTCGTTCTCTCAGGTTTTCTGGGACTCGTTCAGGACTGGGTCTTTGCACAATACATCGCACCCTCTCAAACTCAAGCTGCCTCCGACCCCACAGAACAGCCTTCATGGCAGGAAAGCATGTTCTACCTCCACTCCCTCGCTCTCCCCTTGTTTTACTTCTCCAAAGACAACATATCCGCAGAGCTCACAAGCATGGGTTCTAGTCCGCCAGTTTTCCTTTCCCAGTCTGGACCTCTTGCACCATACGAGGCAGGCCTCGTGGTACCCGCGATATTTTTCTATCTCCTCCTGAACACGTTTACGCAACTCGTGTGTGTCGTTGGAGTCAACAGGCTCACTGGGCGTGTCTCTTCACTGACCGTGACCCTCATTCTTACTGTGCGCAAGGCCGTCTCAGTTATTGCTGAGCGTCGCAGTGTATGGAGGAAACGGAAACACAGGGATTTGGGCCGGCGCGACGTTGGTATTCATTGGCACTATCGCGTATTCGACCAGAAGCAAGTCAAAAGAGAAAAGGGAGAAGAAAGATTAGCGGGATCACACTGGACGATTAGATGAGATTTACGAGGGTCTTAGAGACTATACCAATACCATCAAACTGGCATAGTTCGAGGACTGTATATATACATATGTGCAGACGTACAACAAAGCACCAAAGGAACCGAAGCCATTATGCTTCTTGACCAGTCGCCATACCCCAAGTCTTTTTCATCAGCTTAGCAGCAGGGCTCGTTGAGCCCTCAATTTTGGCAAATCCGACCGTACCCAGCGTCTCTTGATAGTTTCGCAAGTACGGAGAGTACTGTGCCAAAATATTTGTAAGTCCATGAATACCATAGTCTGCCAGAAATACTTGCCGTTCTGCAAAAGTGTCGGTACCAACCCCATGTCTCCCATGTATTCCATTCGTCGGCAGACCATTCAGCTCGTGCCTCCCAAGCCTTCTCTGTGATCACTGTCTGAGCATGAGGATTTTGGCGATCAGCAGATGGGGGTGGCGTCAAGCACGACACGAAGCCTTCAATTGTTCGTGCTAGAGCTCCTTTTTGCTCGCGGGTAAGGCTAGCGAACGCCTTGAGTGCCACCGTTAACTGGGGGTTTTCTGGGGCGGAGTCATCTGAAACAATCTGGTCAGCACGAAGCGAGCATGATAGCCTACTGAAGAGTACCTTGCTTGAAAGGCTTCACATCGGCATCCATTTCGATGGATCCAACATCCGCACCACCACTCGCTTTTACGCGCGCGACGCTATCGTCGTGCTCCTTCCTGAGCGCCGCAACTTTCCTCCTCGCCACCATGACTCGCCCGTTCGCCTTGTCTAATGCGCCTCTCAACAAGTCCCATTCGAATGCACTCAGGCTCATCGGTCGCATCCCACTGAGATGCGCATCCCCGCCAACATTCTCAAACGTCCAACCAACAACATCCGTGGGGTCGACGATCTGGTATTGCATGAGCTTGTCAAACACAATGTTCACCATCTGTCGGTTGAGGTGCCAGAACGACGCGACAGCACTGAGAATAGTCTTGCTTGGCCTCTGCGTCGGTGCCGGCCAGCCCTCGAAGGAGGGGCAGGTAACGCTCAATCGCGTTGAGGAGATGGGAGAAGGATCGTGAGCCAATAGAGAGTAGGCAATGGGTCGAGATTGACCGGATCGTGCTGTCTACGTGCAGGTGGGTGCCTGAAGTCTCAAGAGTGGTCTTCAGCGACTCTATGTGCGCCAGCACTTCTTCAGCTTTGGAAGCGTCCGCGCAGAAGAGAAAGAATTGATTGGGCGGTATCGTAGTGTGGATGGGCTATACACGAACGTCAACAACAAGAATGCAAAGAGCAAATGAGCATACTTGGGATCATCATATTCAAAGGCCGGTCCTGGCGCCTGATCAGAAATGACAGTGGTGTCGGTTTGCATAGGCTCAGGCAAAGTCTTCAATACTCGGTCGTGGTACGACAACCGTATCTCAAACTCCAGTGCACGGCGTATGAAGGTGCGTTTGGGGTGCTGTTCTGATAGTGCCAAGTCGGGTACCCTGTGTAGACGGTTCAGTATTTGGCTCATAAAAGGTAATTTACAAAACAATGACCATTCTTTCCAAACCCATTGGAAACCGAAATTGCTCATGTGCACCGCGAACCACTCTGCAAAGCGTCGAGCATTCTCCACATCAAACCCGTCGGCAAGAGTAGTATATAACTTGCGTATCGACTTTCCGACGGCGGGGCCGACAGTCGATGGCGAGAGCTTGCACAGCTCGGTAATGAGGGCAATGTGGTAGACTGTTTTGTGTGTCGATTCTGGGAGCAGGTAAAGAGAGCCTAAGACAGTCTGACGGAGTAAGTCAGACGATAGATACGCCAACAAAAGCTAACTTGGTTTTACCTCTATGACAGTGCTCTCCAACTGCCAGTTCTTCCCGGATTCGTATTCAGGCTCAGGAGCCCCAGGTTTCGGCTTGAATGTACCGGGTAACACACCACTTTGGATACTCGAGGAGGAGACGAGCGCATTCTTTACGATTGACCTCGAATATGTCAAGCGTGTCAAGGATTTGGGACCGTATTAGGAATCCAGCGGGGGTGGCAGGGTCGGGGGTGGTCTAAAGTCAGGCGTGTCACTACGTGAGTGCCTGAGAAAATCACAGAGCAACACGCACATCGTTATCGAACAGGTGAACGAAATACTGTGGCCAGTCCTCTTTCTTGACCTGGGCATCTTCGCCAGCATCTGTAGCCAGCCCGTCAAGCTCAATGACTTCGGGGGGTACCAGAATTGCGGGCAGCTCGAATGGAGCAGATTCTGTCGGATCTAGATCCGGGAAATCAAGGTATGGCTGTGGGAAGCTCTCAGACGCTTCTACGAATTCAGAGGAGTCAAGAGCTTTCAGCACGACAAGTCCAGTTTCAACGATCTTCAAACAAGTTTAGTTGAGTTACATCCTGACGTGCAATGAAAAGACCAACCTCGTCAGCACCCTCCAAAGACCTGGATTCTGTGAACAAACTCATTATAGGCTGGACAAGCAGCTTAGGCCAGTAGATAGAATCATTGTAGTTTTGAATGGTCTTGATTATCTCAGGGGTGTTGGAAGATGAGCTCTTTGCCATTACTGCACCACTCTGCAAAAAGAATTACTGCAATCCCTTGACACATTCGAAGAGAATAGCGCACTATGATCAGACCCTCAATAGCACAAAGAGCTGCGTTTCTGCCGCGTCCATAAGAAACACCAAACTCGTCGAGGACAGCAGCAAACGACTGAAGGAGTGCAGACATGGATTCGATGGAAATGACTTGAGCCACAGTCAAGTGCGCAAAAAAGTGAATCTACGCATCGATATTCAGGGGGTGATAAATTGTGGGGATGAGGAAGCAACTGCTCACACATAGTCGAACCTCTCTCCATGCCAGCTTGTCTAGATACCCCTGGAAGCCCTTCCAAAAATCTTCCAGGACCTGTTTGCCAAGAGACGAACTTGTCGAAGATTCAGCATTTTCGCCTTCAGTTGGATCATGTAAGAGGCGGAGAAGAGCTGCGTAGTAGGGAATTTTGTACGGTTGTTCAATCACACTGAGACCCAGTCAAGCGAGATTCAAGAAAGAAGGAAAAAACGCATTCACGCTATTCTAATGCCCTCAGATATGACCTGACACTGAAAGTGGCACTTGTTCACGGATTTGTTTCGCTAGTCGCGGCAGTTCTTGTATGGCGTCCTGAAGCAGCCATGAGAGTCAGTGAAAACAACGCTTGGCACGGGAATTGACTTGCCACTTCTCCCAGTTTAATAATTGAGTTCTTGAGTATTTGTTCAGGGGATTCGAAGGCTTCCCTTCGTCTGTCGTGTGCGTCATAATCGTCTGCTCCATATATTGGTTCAAGTTATTGGTTGATGCGCAACATGCCTCACCTCTGTAGCCGCGTCGACGATTTCCGCCCCCACGATGAGGCCTGTCGTATTGTCTATCGTAGCTCATGTTTCAGCCGAAAATTAGCAACTGTCTTCTGCGATTCTTTGGACGTCGTCGTCTGGTAAGACTGACCTCGAACTTTATTTCTTCCAAATGCCACGCTTATGTTCAGTACGCAGTCACGTGAGTCGGAAGTTGCCTTTCTCGGCTTTAACCTTCCAAAACCCTGCAGCATCAAGGCCATCGAGGAGAGACGTCGTCGTCCGCGAGACCTAACTATTTTTTGCGGAAAGGCTGCGGAACGGCCTGAAATTGCTCAGTCCATCAAGACCAGTGCCTTCAGGCAAGCTGGTAAGTGTTGCTTGTAACACATAGGATGACTGACTTAAATGTTGGCGCAGGTATGAGAGACACATGCAATGGATTTGGTCACAAGCCGCCTATAGCATTCGACATCATGCTAGCATCCCTACGAGAGGACTGACCTCTCGCATTCACCCGCTATCAAAGGTTCAACCGCATAGACTATTTTCACTTTCTTCCACATATTTTTCAGTACCGCAAGCACATCTACTTCCACACTCCCATAATTATACCCAAGAGGTCATTGACCCTGCGTCTCCCCCTCCGCCTGCAACAGCTTCCGAAATATCCCTCGCCGCAGCCCGTGCTGTCCGAATGTCCTGCGCGAATGGCGCTATTGCCGACGCGCTATTCATTGTCAACTCTCTGCGCAGTTCCAACCTTCCTCTGCAGCCTTCTAACGATAAGGGCGGAGGATTACTCAGTGCCGAAACTCGACTACAAACCTATCGACTTCGGTCAACCCGTCTCGCCAACTCTATCTGCTCATTGTTTGTTGCACCACTTCGTACGGCAGGGCATGACGTTGAGAGCACGTCAACTTGCAGAACGGCTCATGGAAGACGGAACTCAAATACGTGCTTCCACGCTGCATGCAGTCATTCAGCATCAAACGAAACGGGCCGGTGATGGCAAATTCTTACCAGCTCGAAGACCCTCACAACGAGACCCGTCGAATATCATTCCGAAACAGGTCGAAGACCAAAGCACGCGCCTCGCTCTCAAGCTTCTTCTCCATGCCCGACAGCATCGACAACGCTGTTATGAGCACACCTACCAGTTCATCATCAATATTTGTCTCGTTCAGGGCGAGATCATCGTCGCGTCGCTGTTGTTCGTGCTGCTGGTCAAGGACTGGGAGATGAAAGCGAGCAGCCACACAATCACGAGAAACAGGAGGCAGTGTGGACTCAGGCTCTTCCCGCAACTCCGCCTTCAAAACGCATCCTGAAGACGATACTCTCAAAGGCGCGGGAAGAAATGGCCCTTGATCCAGCAGAGCAGTCCAACCAGCCACAACGTAGGAGCAGCTCTTCAAGCGCTCTGTAATATTGCCTGGCCTTCTTGATGCGCGGTTACTTCCTTACACGGATGTGTCCTCCGTAATACGCACCCTTGGTTTAGTCCCAAAAGATCCAGACAAGGCATGGGTAACAGAATCCGGCAAGAAAGGCTGGGTGCAAGCTCATCAGTATATCCATCGTGTTCTTTTGCGACTGGCAAACGACCCCTCAAGGTCATCCGAACCCGCCTGTCCAGAAAAATCTGACATCATGCCTCCGCTTGCTGTTGAGTCCTACAACGCTCTCTTACACTACGCAGTTGCGCCATCGACAGTCCATCCCTCTTGCACAGACACTGTTACATCACATGGAACACAAACGCGATCCACCTTTAAGGCCGACCATCTCAACATATAACGTGTTCATCAGGTCCGGTTCGTTGTTGAGGCGGAATGACCTTACCGAGTTCGCCATCGAACAACTACGCAAGCTGAAGGAGAACGATCGTCATGCCATAATGGTACAACCGCCACCATCGCTGGTAGTCGCTGAAAATCGGTCAGAAGTAAATGGAGCAGAGTCCAAGTGGGCGGTGGCCTTGAAATATCAGAAGGCTGAACTACCACCAGTCTTGGAGAAACCACTCATAGCCGACGCGTTCACACTCACGAGCTATATCCAGCATCTCACAGCCACAGGGAACCCCGACGTCGTCGCCGACATCCTTTTTCATGTTCTTCCCGAGCTGTCCATCATTGACCATCCATCGTGGGGCTCTGTTACGGACAAGCAACTCGCTCTCATACGTATGCAAACGCGCCAGATGCGTCTTGCTCGTGCTGTCTCTCTCGGACCGTGGTTTTTCATTGCTGTCCTCAATGCTCTTTGCAAGGCCGGGAAAACGGGGCTCGCAGAGCGCGTGTGGTTGCTCGCAAAGCAAGCCGAGCGTGCCAGCTTGACGGGTGCTATTGGCGTTGATGGCAGGCCCATGAAGCCTTGGCGCTTGCCAATCCAGGCATATACAATAATGCTGCAATGTTATGGCGCTGAAGCGCGTCGCGGTCTTGAGTTGCGCCGCATCTCCAAGCCAAGGGCGAATGACTGGGCTCCCAAGATTGGTGGTAACAAAGTGCAAGGTTGGGCGAGTTTTGTGCTCGCTCAAAATGCGGCTGCTCGGAAACACAGATCCCGTCGCACTCTTGCGTTACTCATGGGTGCAACGATGTATCGAATCATGCGTCGTGCTGGAATGGGTATCTGGAAAGGCTTGTCTGAACTGCAGGATATGGACAAAGTCACGCTCAAACCCCCTCGCCCAGACGCCCGTTTCTTCAACGCCGCCCTCGAGATGTTCGGTCGGCAACCCAGAACGTTCCAGCGGTCAAGTCGTACTACACCTGCGCACTGGCGACGCAAGGTCAACCTTGGAAATGTCCAGTTCTCCAGGCTAGGCGTGATGCCTAGAAACTGGAATCCCTTCCTGGGTAGAATCGTGAAGGAAATGCATGCGCTTGGATTCAAGGTTCCTTCGGGTTTCAGACGGTTGTTCGTCGGGCGGATGGCCTTATGGCTTCGAGGAACATCGCCATCGGCCTGAACTCAATCAGCAGCCGTTTGCATTCCCGAAGTCGCGTAGGTCTCCTTTCCGACCACACGCGCTACGGACACTCAAGACGCGCGGTCTGCCTGTTCGACGTAAGGAATGGAGGGTGCTTGGTAGGAGGTACCGGTGGAAGCACAGACGGAGACGAAAGTTGCAGAATGGAGGAGGAAAAGTACGATAACTGTGTATAATATCTATCTGGCCCAGCTAGGAACTATACAATTCCTTGTCATGATGGTGGCGGCGTTTTTTGAAACGACATGACCGTGATAGTTTTCTGAATGTCGCGTGCTTTCCACTCCTTTGCAACATCCAGTAGTGATGACGCGATCTCCGACGCGCGGGCTGCCATTGCATCAGGCTTGGGCAATTTCTGACCTTTCCTCGGTGCAATGACGATATCCACTCGGTATCCCTTCTCAAGCTCCGCACGCGCCTTTGTGACCTTGTGCTTCAAATCACCAGCATCGACGCCCCAAGTGATCTGTATCTCCTTCTGCTCTCCTGCCTTCACGCCCTTCCTGAACGCTTTTTTCTGCTCCTTCCATTTCTCATACGACTCGCGTCTGTCCACAACCTTTACGATAGGCTCTGGGTCTTCCGTAACCAACTCCACTCGCCAAGCCTTCAGGTCCACAGATTCGAGGACGTCGGATAGACGAGTTGGGGGTTCGAGTTTGCCCGTTTCCGGATTGACGAGGCGGACGACTCGAAAGGGTATTTTGTCATCACCAGTGCGGCGTGCTGGGCCAGCCGAGGCATATGTCCGCACAAAGGAGTAATTTGGAGCCCAGAGGGATTTGAGCACTTCAACTTTGCACTGGCATGAGGGAGGTATTCGGTGACACGAGAGCGTCAATGTCCGAAAGACAGCAGAAGTAGACATAACAACCTGTGTGCCATAAAATGTATCAGCGACAAAAACTTACGTACAGAAGCACCCAAACTGACCTAACCTAAGCCTCAACGCCGCTTCACCGTCCAAAATCTAAATTGGTAATGCTTCAAGTTGAAGCGGTTGTTTGTCCCTGTTGAATGTCAAAGTCTTTGCACAACAAGCACAAATATTCTTGCCTTTTTCAAGGATTTTTTTCTTTGATCTCTCATCCACCGATCGATACAGGTGAGTGGGTTTTCTTTTCTTTCTTGATTTCATATCAAAGAGGGCATCGACATGATGATATCCTACCTTCCACGAGCGCGGGGACTCATACTCCAGTCCCTCCATCGCCTAGCAGGTGGACTCGTTTTGAGGCTGCTTGCATATACAGGTGCAGGAGTGGGCGCTTCTGCGCGGTGATACTTCAGGTTGTTATAGTTATTTGATCGATGCTTCTCATCTTTCTGTGTTCATTGGTATTAAGCTGTATCGCTGATCATTGCTACCGCAGATGTGTTCGGGATCATGCTATGTTTTGCGCACTTACTATGTGGGTATATTTTTCATCAAAGTCGATCGGTAGGATGAATCCTAGATTACGAGAGCATGGGGATGCAAAAGCATCCAGTCAACTCCTGTGCTCTGTGGTTCCCCTCGTTTTGAGGAGAGGTACAAATGGGTGAGGAGGGGGCGTTTCATGCCGAGACCTTTGTTGCAGTTATAGTTATTTTGACCGACTTCTGTTTCTTGCGCTCAAGTTATTCCGCATGCTGATTACTTTCTTTCTGCAGGTCTGAGGCGGTAGAGGGGTATGCTTGATTTATGCACGGTACATGATTGTCGCGCGAACCTATTTTAGTGTGTACTCTATCTCATACAAGACATGGATGACAACACAAGTACTGCACCTAAGCAGTGGGCAGTGTATAGTGTTCTTAGCAAAGAGCGACAACGTACACCTTCGCGAGCGAACATAGTCCCGAACTCAAGCTGCATGAAGAATGTGCAAGCCAAGCAAGAAGCTGACGATCCAGAGCTTGAGACTACCTCGGTGGACGGATCTTCCAACGATAAGAATAGTGCAAGGCGTTGCGCCTGTGCGACAACTCCGGCGGTATCTAATTTACAATGTCAGACGAGCAATTCGAGAAGGGTGACCGGTGAGCAATCGCACCTTGTTCATATGTCAGTGGACCTGCATTCAGTCCGCATGTATCGTTATCGATGAAGCGCACTGCGTCACCGAATGGGGAGAGTTCCGTCCAGAATATCGAGAATTAGGCCGCCTTTGTTACATCCTGCCATCAAATGCGTTAATCATGATCACTTCTGCTACCCTCACGAAAGCGTCGCTGACAAGTACCACCTGACTTCTCCATATGCACGCTGACAAGATGATTACAAATTTACAATACATCGCTCAAGTGACCGCCCGAACATCAAGATTGGAGTCAGAAAAATCAAACACGCACTGAATAGCTATGCCGATCTTGCTTTCCTCATTCCGACGGGCTGGAGAGGCACTTAAGTTGCAGTCTTGTAGCGCTGCAATCACGGTGTCCATATGGGAGTGGGTGTGATATTAGCCGAGGCAGAAAAATGAATATATCAATTCGAAAAGTCGTAACCCTACGCTAGGTGTAAACTGGTTGTTTTGGAGTTCCATCACTGTGGCTGACCTCTGTTTACAAATGTTATGTTCCAGCCTCCGGTGAGAGTGAGGGGAATAAGGTTGTGCTGGGTTTGAATTTTTTCTTGTATCATGTGACATATCAAACAAGTATCTTATGTCCCTCGGATGTCGCCCTCTACACTCGAACCGGAGGCTGGGAAGGAGCCTGCGCCTTGCGGCCCTTGCCAGGTTAGCAGTTGGTTTCTATGCAGTTCAACATCCAGCTGCAGTGTTTACACGTATCGGCTATCTAATATTCCCTTCTTGCCTACTTGATCGAAGTCGATGACTCAAAAGCTGGGACTGCCTGCCCGACTTTGACCGAGTAGGCATCCTTGCCCTTCGTCCTTCTTTAATGTGATGTTCGCTGTTCGCTGGACTGGCGCGGGTCCTCCGTGGAAGTGCCGAGGGTCCTGACGTAGTGATTATTATTAATGCTGTATGTTAACTTCGACTCGGATGATGTCATTGTTCGTAGTCCCATCGATAGAGCTACCGCCTCCCGGCTCAATCTGTCACCGGCAGAGATTGGAGGACATCCGCTCTGAGTCCGCTCGCTGATTAACAACTGTTGACAGGTGCTGACATATTGTCACAAGAATAGGTTGCTTAATGTTCCATCCATGGACTTAGCATCTTCTCTTTGCAGTATTAGCGGTGCAGGAGCGATGCTGGGAGATATCACTCAAAAGCTTGCCGTATTGTTACTGCCCTCCTTCCTGTGATCCTAATCTATATCTCATCAAGCATAGAATCAGTCAATTACTGCACTCCATGAGCCAGGCAACATACACTTTCACCAGCGGAAGCATGGCTTCCCTGATGACCGGTCTTGGTATATCATCTATGTGCGATTGTGTTGTCAAGAGCAGCACCAACGGCCATCTGACGAACGCTAACAGAGTTTTCTTCATTTTGACTGCGCAAGTCTGGATCTACTTCCGACAACACCCAATTCGGTCTCGAGAAAACAGACAGAGTAAAATTCTCGTGCGAATTTACTACTTCCATCACATACCAGGCTGCTGGCTGACAATGCAGAACAGGTTGCCTTCATCTGGTAAATCTCTCCAAGTATACAGTGCTGCACTTGACCCGATGGAAAGCTGACGTTGTTTTACAGGTTAATACAAGCTGCTCAGATGTGAGTCCCTATTGAAAAGATGCATGTATGCCACTGGAACTCCCTTCCGCTAGGGGAATTACTTCTCGAATCTCGTCCTTTCATACGATGGAGTTCGAGGACTTCCCCCGTTTCATTGGCCATTTTTCGATGTCAGTATCGTCAGTGACTCATCAGTACTCTTTCTGACGGAACAACAGAGAATGGGCGCTGTATTCTGGAATACGCGTAAGTGGGGCTTTTCGTATCTCCGTCCTGACGTTTCTCACTGACATTTCACAGTCCTTGACTACTTCCCTTGTACATGGCGTTTTCATCTATAGGGTTGTTAGACGTACGTGTCACCAAGGTACTGCTATTACTTCTCTCTGATGCGCACATGAAGTTGAGAAGAGTCTATGTGGTAAACGGAAAATGTCATGTGTTCTAGTAAGGACTGAATTGAGGTATCTCGGAAGCAGTGCCTAATTGCCTTGATCAGATTGCGTTGTGTGTCGCCGAGCAAGGTTCAGTAATTTATGGTGCCGCGGAGAGCCTCTACTGAACCATACGAGATAGCCTTCGGTCTTCTCACTGCTATCTGCATGTAGGTTCAATTCGTCAGTGTCTCATTGTCAGGCATGATAATCTCGAACACGGGAAACAGCTTCAAACTAAGTAATCATACTTACTACACAGTGATTCCTGTGAGTTCATTCTCCCGTCGGTCAGGATATAACTCACAAAGATGAAGTGGTCTACCCTAGTTACGCTTGGTTGTTCAGCAATCTGTGATATTCTTATCGCTAGTACTTTGTCCTATATTCTCCACAGGAATAGAACTACATCGCCAAGGTGACTAATAACCTCGAGTATGAATCTAACCTCTAATTGACCATCTCGGTGCCCAGAACTAACCAAGTGATAACGAAACTCATAATCTTCTGCTTACAGACGGGCTTGATTACAACGTATGTCCTTTGACATTGACGACATGTATGTACTCACTACTTCTTGCGCAGCGTGGCGGCGTCCATCGCCATAGGAATTGTGAGTGCCTTTATCCATTTCGCGTCTTAAATCATTGCTCTGACCAAGATGTAGTGGGTAGCTTGCCGCCTCGAAATCAACCATCTATATATGTGTTTTCCGATGGGAGGCTGTGAGAGTCTCGTTATTATCACTGATGTACATGGAATGTGTTGACATCCTGCCATAACAGTATATGCTACATGTCTTCTCGCCAAGTGAGTCGTTCTCAGCAGTAATAGAAGACGTGACTGACAGCTCTTTCAGCTTCATTGCTCGGGAATCCTACCTGCAGCCGCAGACAGACCACGAACCTGAGATTTCCAAAATCAGTTTTGCACGTTTCAAACAGGAGGTTCGTGTGGACTTGGATTTACATTCGTCGTCAGATATGACATCTGGGCATCAGAAGACATTGGTAATAGGAAGGGGAGGTTCCGACTCTATTCTATCGAAAGTGTCCTCAAAATAAGTCAGGTTTTGATTTGGTGTTACTTGCATCTATACATAATACACTATATAACATCACGTCAAAGTGGTTATAGCTCTTAATCCTACATTACTGAAATAAAAAAGCCTCCCCCTTGTTCTATCGGATCCGAGAAGTTCCCCAGGAAGGAATGAATTTTCCACATAGGAACCGAGCTCAACGAATTTCTCGACTAGGCTGGAAGTATCATCGTGGTGGATCGTGAACGCACCAAAACGCTGCTGATTATTTTCGCGCCAATACCAGGCTTCTCGGGCGGACCTATTGAAAGCAGGGTCGATGAATAACCTCATTGTGCGGTGGAGTGGATATAGGTTTGTTTTCCTGCAGGTCACATTGTTTAGATCCAAAGGGTCGCGTATCCCTCCAATGAGCGTGGTTCGGGATCCTTCGGCAGTGCTATGCAATACAGCTGGGGGGAACGTGAAGAAACGAGAGTCCCCTTCACCGTCGTGAGTAAGGTTCAGGATACGTTGTCCTTCCGGTGCATCGCGGCGAGATGGTGCACGGAACATCTGGAGGGGTGAGTTGTGAAGGCCGTCGGACTTGATACAAAGTTGCGTGATTAGCAAGTGCGTAGGTGTCGAAATGATTTGGGACTGGGGTGGCGAATGCAAGTTTCAATATTGAGGACCTGCGAACATTATACAACAAGAAGTTAGGACGGAACTTTAGTATGACCGTTTTCAGGATCGTGTACATGTTAGTCGTTTCGATGTCTATGGTTCATTTTTGTTCGAGGTTGCATTGATCGTGAAGCACAAGAAGGCGAGGACCAATAGTAATTTGGAGAGCAGATAATGACCTAGCGATAGGAATAGCTAATATCTCGTTCATGCGCAAAAAGACGTTGTCGCTGTTGAGGACCAGCCCACGTATCTTTCTGGGAAGAACTGTTATCAATATTCATCACAAGCTAAAGAATTAGTTACAACGTCAAGACCGCTCCGGTCTTCTCCTTTGTGATTGCGAAATAAAAAATTCGGTCCTCAAATGTCGTCGTTGAGATGGTGGTGGAAAATAAAATGTTGGTCGCGTGGGATGAATAGAGAATATGAGGGCTGTATTCGAACTCTGCATGACCTCTATCTTCATCGAAGATGCTACAAATAAGTTGCGAACCTTCTAGCTACGAGGGAGCAGAATTTTTACTCAATATTGGGGATAGGAAGTTGTGAATGGTTGACAGGAATGGGCGTCTCGAGCCATCGTTTGTGGATTTTGTAGCTTGTTATCATGGTGTCTTTAAGTTCCTGCACCAACTGGTGGAGGAACGGCCCAAATGGTCGGGGCAATCAGCTCGTCACGCAGCATTTCCAGATTGCCCTATCTTCCGATAGGCTGTGGAAAAGCTTGTACACCTGGGATGTATCAGTGAGCTTAGTAAGAGACTGGTGATGAGGGACGTACCTGTCGCACCGCTAATACGTCCTAGTACTAGGGTAATACTGTTGGTGTAGATGATGGAACACGACCGTGTGTTCTCTTCTTTTGCCTCAGCTGGTTTCAGAAAAAAGGAGAAGAACCTGGATCAGTGTATGACGACGAACTTGAGGATAATATTCTTGATGTTCCTATATCTACTACTACGCGGTACAACAAGGTTATCCATTTGCTAAATGTGTTTGCCTGATGAGCTTCTATCTACAACATATAAGCACGAATAGCTGCCGGATGGCGTCCACCGTGGTATATTGCATTTTCATGTTTTGATTTCGCTGTAGCTAATAATGAATGTATCGACTTGCTGCCTGGCCTTGAATTGCGGGTTAATGAGGGGAGATGTATATTGCAAGCAAGACCACAGGAAACCTCAACCAAAAAATCCTTTGATTCTGCCCTGCGCTGTCAGCCCTTCAAGGTCGAGTGAGCCAATTCCTGATCTCTTCCCAGAGCGCCATACTTCCACAAGAGCCCTCGCTTCAAAAGGAGATACATCTGGGTCGCGTGTTCCAGCCGTTATGTGCAAACCATTCCGGATTTCCTCCGACAGTTTTGACACGAATTCATTCCCTTCCTGACCTACGGAAGAGTGGTTGTCCGGTGAACCGTCCAACTCGAAGTCGTCCACAGTGATGGCCATAACTCGATCGTTCCAGACCAAATGACCGAGAGTGAAGGCGAACGATGGAGGAAATGCCATCTTGTGGAGCTGAGAGCACCGCTCCCAAAGTTCAATAGCACCCGGGAGGGAGTTCTTGTGCGCTATCGTGATATGGGGGCGCACAGCGGTACGATAGTTCAGCAACGAGAGCATTCCAGAACCCTTTTCCATTTTCTGGCACGTCCGATGCCTCTTCCATTCGTTTTCCGACGACACCGATGAGATCGACTTCGGGGAGGAGCCCGAAATAGCGGGGAGTGAGCTGCTCATCTTTCTTTTTCTTCTTCTCTTCTTGAAGCTTCTTTGTCTTAGGCACGTAGCTGCGGGCCTTGCGCACGGCTTCATCGATCTCTTCTGCGTTTGGCTGCTGAAGACTGAGGATGCTGACGCACCCAGCGACTGCACGGTTTACGGCTTGCTCAAGGGTATCTTCGAGGTCCATTTCTATGCTCACGTCTACCTCTTTGTCAGCAAGCTCCTCTGAATTACGGAGAAACTGCCATATAACGTCTTCATGTGCCTTGGCCAGGGTATCAGCACGCAGAGTCTGGTGCTTATCGCCACGCGAAAAAACTCTATCACCGCATATACGATGGATTGTCGCTTCAGGTCGATCGAGCGACCAATTCAACGCGAGGAGACGAACAGGGGGGTCCATTTCGGCAACGGCATCGCGCAATGAATCACGATGTTGCCTAAGGTGGTTGTTCCTTAAGCAGGTTAGCGCGGGGACAATCATGGCATTGAATATAATCCATACTTGTCTGCTATGACAACATCGTGGTGCTTCAAGAGGCTGACAACGTTCTTGATGAACATGGGAGCAGATTTTTTGGCTTGTACATCGTCACTCTGGGTGTGGCCGAAATTAAACAGAGAAGTAAGCGCAACGGAAACAGCGGTCTTGCCTGTGAAGCAGGGAGCGTGAACTTGGAAAGGCAGAGACAGAAGTGTGGCGCTTACCACACCCAGGAATGGCAACTGGCATAATTATCGTTTTACCGAAGTCCTTGGTGGTTGGCGGCGCCTCACTCTCCACAACTAAGCCCTTCTTCCCTTCGTCGGTCTCCATCCATTTCAAGAATCTCTCGCGAGTAGCGATGATGCCTTTGCCTTTCGCATACTCCGAAAACGCACTAGGATTATGCCTTATGTCCTTCTTTACCCAATCGACGTAAAGGCGGGTCTCCTTCCGCTTCAACTTTGACTTTGGCAGTTTGGCATCGTTAAGTGGTCCTTGCGTTGACAACAAAGTTTTGGTAACTTCCCGCCAGTCGCGGTACATCATGTATGGTTCATCGAACTTGACTTTGAAAAAGAAAGAGGATCCTGTTGGGTACGGAGGACGCGTATTGCGAACGGTAGAACCCGGCTGTGGATCGACGATGTGCGTACGGACCACGAATCCTTCAAGCGCTTCACCATTCCATTTCCCAGTTTTTGCAATATCGTCCGTGAATGATTTAACTTCGGGAAGAGTGTTCAGGGTGATGGCTGGCGTCTTTATAAATCCCCACTCTTCTGCGAAAGCATCGACCGTTTCTGTAGGCATGGTATGAAATTCCCTCGAAGTTTCGTTTATTCCATGGAGGTGGAGACCCGAATTCTCGACAGGATACGCAAGTACGTGCTCCTCAAAGCTGTCGTCGCAAAGCTGCGGGGCAACAGTGATTATAGAACATTTGCCTGCATATACTGGATTACATACCTCGGCGATTGTTGTCCAGTTCTTCTCCCACAATTTTGCTGCCAGCTGTTCCTCAGTCTTGCCTTTATCCGCCAAGTGCTTCTTGAGCCACCGATGGCCAACCTCAGAATGTGTTTCTGAGACCCCTTGCATCGGTCCCAGCGCATGTTTGGACGTGACGATCAGCATTGAAGGAGAAATAGGGGCGATGAATATGATGCATCCATTAGATTTGAGGGACAGCGTATACATGGGTCCTGTATGTAAGGAGAGAGATGACCACTATGGAACGAATCTCGATGAGGCTACGGCGGCGGCAGTGTAGCATGAAGACGACTCACATCGGTCCACGGGACCTCTCCGATGTTGAAAAACTTATCATATCCTCGAGCTATGATTTGGTACTTTGGCTCTCCCTTAGACTCGTCTCCATTGGAAAGTTCACGCGTGAACAATCCTCTCGCAAGCGTTGGAAACGGCGACGGAACGTCATAGTACTTGAACTCGTTCATCTTCCAGCTTCGGATAGAGATGGAGGGATCGGACGGTGCTTTATACACTGTTGAGCGCACCAGCTTGGGCGACTTTTTTGAGAGCTTGTGCAGATCATGGATGAGCTGAGAATCCTCCGGGTGGAAGTGAGTTGACATATTAGATGTGTGCCTGCAAAATCCAGAGGATGATAATAGACAGGGACTAGTGATTCGTATCCTGTATATGTAGGAAAGGAAATGCTGTGCCGAGCGATTCAGAGTGTTGAATAGGAGTCACCTACGTGATGATCGTGCCTTCGAGTTCAACTGAGTCACTAGTCACTGTGGTCAGTACGGAGGTGACCCTAAAAGTAGTCGATAGCTTTAGATCCTAACACAAACAAATAATCGTGTGCGGCATCTCCAAGTGTTCTACCGATCCCGCCTCAAATTCGATACGGGAATTACACACTCAACGATCTCGCATGGTTATTGCCCTGTACATATCTCTCTCTTTCACTTCAGACATTGGACAGGATAATGCTGGTGTTCTATGTCATCCCCTTCTACCTGGATCCCTCCTCGTACACGCTGACGAAACTTATATTCAATCGCAAGTTAATACGAGACCAATGCATTTCAGCTCACCCAGTTCCCCTGTCTCACCCTCATTGCTTATCCGGTTTCGTCCGCAATACACGCACTGATCTCGTAGATGTTGAACATCGCCTCCTTCGCTTGTTTGCTGCAGCCTCTAAAGACACCCCTGGTTCTCACGGCCTCGCGCAGGAAACGCAGAACATTGTCAGACATATCACCAATAGTCCGGTACAAGTCCGTTTTGTGTCTTCGCGATCCATGTTCCTATTGGTCCAAATTATGGGATGGTTGAAGTTCGCAGCAACCCTCCTTACACGTTGACGAACGACTTGCAAGGATTTGTGAACACGAAATTAGCGAGCATTCAGTGAAGGGTACGTCCTCACTGTTGGTTTTGATCTAATTTGTCATCCGATGAATATTAATATATAGACAAAACGATCGCTTCCTCCGCGCCATCCTCTTGCATGGGACGTTGACGATCGTGAACCTGAAGATGAAAAATGAGTCAGGGTGGTCCCCTATTTAATACTGAGCAGGCGCGCTATTACCAAGGACATAGCACAGACTAGTTATACTTCTTCACTCATTTTTAGGACTTTTAAGGAATGATCCCGGCAGGACGTTCCTCTGTCGTCGTCAGGGATAGAACTCCCTCATACCTGACGACGACAAGTCCTATCCCTGACGACAACGACGAATTTCCAGAGCCCGAGGAGGTCCTCTGCGCGTGCTGCCACAGTAACTTCAAGGGTCAGCAACTTGTCTTGGCATCAAAACACCAAACAGTTAAGTTCTGGGACTCGTCTAATGAACCAGATCAGTCAACCCTGTACCAATCATATTGGGGGATCGGCCCGCTCGTCATCTGTGACGACTTCATTGCCACTGCTGGCATCGGGCGAGACAGAGCGCAGGGAAGCAGGGTAGTCGTGCTCAGCGTCGCAGTTTCCCTCATAGCCAATGGAGAACTGCTCGTGCACAATGTCCATTTACAAAGACACATGACCTCGTCTCCTGAATCTTATTCGCAATTTGTGCCAGCAATGAGGCCTGAGGCTTGGATATCCTGCGTCTACTATATGGTATCTCCTTCATCTCCCCTGCAACATACACCCCGAACTTTGCTTACCATCCTGGTTCAGCGCTCACCCTCTTTCATGCCTTCACCTCTATGTGCGCGTCTGTCACCGGAAATTCGGTGTACCCTTTCCCCGTGAGATCCCCGACGAGGTAGAATGTTTCGCGGTCAGGTTTTGCGAGCGGGAGGTCGTACTTAAGACGGATTGGGAGGTCAGGCTGAAGAAGCGTGGGATACGAAGGACAGAGTCGGACAGTGGACGATATGCGCAGGAAGAGAAAGAAGTCAGCACAATATCATGCTTAAAAAAATGGGCGACTCGGAGAACCACGAATGCGGAACTCGAAAAGAACATAGGCAATCCCCAAGGACTCACATTTGGGATAAATAATCTTCCGAACGCCACCATGCCACCCTTCTTCTCCACGGTGTCGATCGCATTCTGTCGTGTGTGGCCACCTGCGCTGATAAATACGCCATTCTTGCCATCCTCACACCATATCTCGCGCAGGAAGTCGTTGCTGCTCCCCTGTGGTATGTCTGCGTCTACGATCCCGCCGATGCCAGGCTCGCAGACATGGAGGTAGGCGAGGTCGTACTTCTTGAGCTGACGCACAAGGCAGGAGAATTGTGGTCTTGGGATCAGGGAGACCCATGTCTGCATAAGGGTCAGTCAAGCATAGAATGAGAGATGGAGAAAGAACGTGCCTAGATATGGACTCCACGGGCTCAATCTAATACTGACCCTCTCAGCACCGAGTTCTTTCACAAGCGCATCCACGACCTCGATCGCGAACCTCGATCGCTTCTCGTTACTCCCACCCCAGTCGTCCTCCCGAGTATTGCTCACCTCTTGCAAGAATTGGTCAACAAGGTACCCGTTTGCGCCATGAACTTCGACACCATCGAAGCCTGCTGCGACGGCGTTCCTGGCGGCGGTAACATACATTTCGATGAATTCCTTGATCTCTGGCTCAGTGAGAGCGTGCGGGACAGGAGTAGGGCTGGTGGAGAGTGGGATAGGGGAGGCAGAGACAACCTGGGCGCCATACTCCTTGGCGAGGACTTCCGCAGAGGCTGCCCTCCCAAGAGCCCACAGCTGGCAAAATATGAAGCTGCCCTTCTCATGCACGGCATCTGTGACCTCTTTCCATCCTGCGATCTGTTCCTGTGTACAGATGCCAGGGACGAATTCACACCCGCCAGCAGCTGGGGAGATGAAGGTAGCCTCAGTGATGACGAGGGTTCCGGGGACAGAGGCGCGTTGCGAGTAATAAGTGGCTGCGTGGGGCCCAGGGACGTGGTTGGCGTAGGTGCGACAACGAGTGAGGGGGGAGAGGATGATGCGGTGGCTGAGATTCATGTGCCCCACTTTGATGGGTGTGAAGAGTGCAGCTGTCATTGTGGGCAATATGGGATTGGGTAGTCTGAAGACAGCTGGCCATGGGCCTCGCAGAGGTATATTTTATATGATGGCCTTGGATCATTTGCTAGACATTCTCTGATATCTTGGTGAGCTGGCAGCGAGTGAATGATTGCCCGAAACTTTGGGCCCGGGACCTGTAACGTTAACTCTAAGTACTGAAACCGATTTTTTTGCTCTATCACGATTCACGATCATCCTCGATCATCGCGCCTGGCCAGACACCGGTTGCCAAACATTCAATTTGAAATTTAATTTTAGCTCCCACCAGCTGAGTCCAGGTGTTCCTCAACTCATGATCTATATCTATACTCCCACCTTAAGCTGAACCAGCCGCAGGGCCGTAGGCCGCAGTTCTCCCTGCGGTGGGTGACAACGATAGAGTAAATCTCAGATGAGTCCTTTGCAGTACTTGCCCTGCCCAGAGTGTTGTTATGCGGGAAAGGGTGCTTTCCCTGACACGTGGTTGCCTCCCTGATTCAAAGACCTAAAGCACGTACTATAAGTTTTAGAGTATATTTTCCCTCTCGCCGTACCCTCTTCGTGTTGATTCAGTGTCAGGCGCATTTCTTGCGATGCATAATAATATGCAGCCCTGGCTCATGTTGCTTGCTTGCTTGTCGTCAAGCTATAGGTTCTCTATGTTTTAGAATTGTTTATGTGGTTTTGCATATCGCTCGAGGCCTGAAACAAGCCGTTGGTGCTTTTACTCCTCTAGCATATTTGTAAGTACTGAGCAGCGACACCTGAACGTTAACACTCACCGCCCCAGGGATTGTTCGCCTCACCACTGGTAGCAGTATACCCTGAATCAGTGCCCCTGATATCTTACGATCCGGAGTTTATACTAGCATCAAAATCGCTTGAGTTACCAGTACTGAGTAGCTCACAGCCCTGCTCTCATTCCAAGTTCTAACCGAACCATCCACTGACCCACATGTGAGTATTTCCGATGCCAATTTCATGAGAATGAATGGGCTTCTTTGGTAAATTATTATGACAAAAAATTGTATGTCAGTATTAGTGCGTTCCAACTTCCACATTCTCCAGTTACGCCAAAACAGTTCGATTATTCGCGATCGGTTGAGAATAACTTCGTACTGCAAGCCTAGAATCGTCTCAAGTACTCAATTGTACAATGTTCCTCGAATTGACGCTATGATGGTTCCGCATATCGCAAGATACTGAACAGATCCCAGCAATATTCGGGAACAGTGCAAAAACCGATGACGATCCAGTACGGCCAACGACAGCATTATATGCAGATGTTGAGTGGCGTTGTATCGTACGAGGAGGACCGTCTGTTTGAAAATATCAGTCAATTGGCAGAGTGAGTAGACAGAGCACGGAGGTTTACAACCTTTGAAAATAAACTGGTGATGGCATAAGGTAAATCCTCGTTTGAAGAACGGAAAACGCGTGTATTGATTGCGGCCATCTGTGCACCCGCGGCATCCAGCTAGATCCAGCCAGTCTTGTTGTTGTGTCAGGGAGATCGTCGATATTGCGGTTGCAGTCCGACGTTTCGATCATCGATCTCCCGCCGTCGCCGTTACCTGCCGCCCTGAGTAGCAGAGGTAACGGCGAAGGCGGGTGCGGTGGAGGAGATATTAGCCTGTGTGCTGCAGTCATAAAAACATATCTGAGTTGATGATAGCGACGTCCTGCGTCCACGGCTCCATTGGACGCTGCAGCACTTTCACGGTTGCAGGCTCCGCACATGAATGCGCGTCTATCCTCGAGACTGTTATTCCCCTTTTTGTAAGTATTGGCTAGTTGAAACAGCGTAGTCAACATCGAGCGTAGTGCACAAACAAGGTTTCTGCCAACGCAGTCGGCGTTTCCCGAGCATCTAAGGTTAGGGTTTCACAGAGGTCAACCGAGTCCGAAGGTGTTGCACATCTTCACCTTACTTTGCAGTTCGGTATCTAACCATGGTAAGCACCAATATGAATGGTTTCTGGATTCTTCATTGACCGTAATTGTTGAAACTAGGCCCGCAATGAAGAGAAAGCACAGTCGATGCTGTACCGTTTCCGAGAGGCTCAAGCAGCTGAACTCGGTCTCGGGACGCGCGCTGATCGTCGCCCAAAGATGGCGAGCGCATGTAAAAGCCTAAGGGAGTGTGAACGGTGGAGAGGAGAAATTCTGAGGGAGCTAAGTCGAAAAGTATCCAAGATTCAGGATGGTACGCCCCCCTCCGCAGGAGACTCAAACTTCGGTCGAGCTGACATGACCTTATCCACTAGCTGGTTTGACCGACTACGAAGTTCGAGATGTGAACGATGACATTAACAAGTTGATGCGGGAGAAGCGACATTGGGAGAACCAGATTATTGCGCTGGGAGGTGCCAACTATCGCCGGAATGTAGCTATGCTTGACGATGATGGCAAGGAGGTACCTGGGACGAAAGGTTACAAGTACGTGTTTTGAAGCTCTAGACCAGCCTTCGAAGTTGTCGCTGATAAAATATAGGTACTTTGGCCGCGCGAAAGATCTCCCAGGTGTGCGCGAACTTTTCCAGAGCAAGAAGAAAGAAGAGGAAGAAGAGAATCAAGCTCTTGCCTTCTACAAAAAGTTTACGAACCAGGGCCCTGCATACTTTGGCGACCTCGACGAATCGGATGGGAAGTTGTTGGAGTATGAGCGTCAAGCAGAAGAAGAAGGTACGTCATATCTACGAGTAGACGATTTCATTTCACATTTACATCCTGCAGAATGGCGAGATGAATATATGAGTGTCCGAGAAATCCTCAACCTCCCTCTTGACGATCCAATACCAAAAATGCCTCGTGGATCATCGGCAAGTTCATCACCACTCCCAACAAACGGGCCATCTCCACCTCAACCTCCAGTAAATGCTAAACGCAAAGCGCAGGAGGAAGATATCGAGATGGACACTGCGAATGTAGATGAAGCTGCACCTGAGCAGGCAAAACGGCTCCGCAAAGCTGAGGCGGATGGCGCAGCGAAGGCAGATGACAACGTCTCGAGTGGACATACGGACTCAATGCGCGCACATGCGAGCGCTGCTGCTGCTTACCTAGGTTTTTTGTCACCAGAAGATTTAATGCCACCGACGCTTCCAACAAGAGAGGAAATGGAGGGCGTGTTATTGGCCCTGAGGAAACAAGCACTCGTGGAGGAGTATTTCGGCGAGTAGCCAGAGTGTTCATGTATGATCGTAGTTTGTTAATATGTTTACTGATCTCCGGAACTTTGTGCAGTTTTTGGCTTTGCTATCCCCCGCCCTGAAGTTTACTCATGTCAACATGTTAGATCGCATTTTATTTACGAAAAACTTCTTTCTTGAAGCGTCCCCCGCTCAACACACGTTGGATCCACACACCCTTCGTCAAAGCTGTACGTCGGGTTTGGGGTTGGGGTCAAACTGGATGACAGGTGTGTACAGCTAAGTAGCTACACCAACATACCCTCTAGGTCACACTGTAATGTCTTGATATTCAGTCACAAGAATTAAGACATTACAGTGCGACCTACATCTGTCTAAGTATGTCGGGGTCCCTTTCATAAGCGGGCATATCGATTCCGCGATACGTCATCATGCGGATGTCTGGCTCCCCATCGTCACGGTACTGTCATTTCTTCTGTCTCGACGTTCCATAATCACGCTGTATCATCGTCCGATGTGCTTGTGGCCACTCCGAGATATTGCAATACCTAAGACAGAGAGAGTATGGTCCGTCACAACCAGTACTGCGATCTCCTGCCATGTTGTGGTATTCCATGTCACAACCAGAACTAGGCCCCTGTATCAGCATCGCTGGCTCTGTTTTCACTAGTAAAATCCAGACTGATATCCTGATCCCATTCATCCCGGTGTTTTGGCATCTGACAAATAAGCAGCTCGTACTTTCGGAGCTTTTAAAATTGCCATAACAAACTCGGAAAACTGTACTCCACCCGAATTCCTCTCCTTACACCCCAAGACTCGCCTCTAAACTGTCCGTATCCACAGAGCTAAGAGGATTTGACACTGGGCACTCAGAAGTTCTCGTATGACGAAACTCAAAGCCCCCGACATAAAATTTTGGGGAAACCTCCGGCAGTAGGAAGATATGTTTGAAGTTTGTCAAGCGGTAGTCGCGCGAGGTCCACGAGTTTTGTGCTGGCAAGGGACACGCCCCGAAACTCATTGCCTACGAGTCTTTACCCGGCAGTTGGCACATGGCGGTGATGGATGTCCTTAAAATTCATAATGACCCCCGGGACTACCTTGCTCATACCGACAGTTCAGCCATCGGATGACTGTTGCTGAGCGTGGACCGCTGGAGAAGGTCATCACCGATTTTATCCTTCAGGTTCACAAGAGTGGGTTTATTCATGGCGATCTTCGTGGCGTTAACCTGTTTGTGTGATATGGCGAACAAGACACGATAACTACTGGTTTCATGCTGCTCGACTTCGATTGGGTTGGTAGGACTGGCGAGACCATTATCCCATGCACGTCAATTCGGAGGGTATTCGTCATCCTCTTGATGCACTTGACGGGAATGAGATTACGGTGGAGCATGACTTGGAGATGCTGAGCTATGTATTTCATCCTGGAGAGCCAATCGTGGAGTGGACGTAGACGTGATGTGTTTGCTAAACACATCATAATGATTATGTCGGTAGCTGCGCGCAATGTATTGTAAGATTACCGCAACTTGCAAGTTTTTCTGCATTCAATCTCAGGGATCAGATATATCCAATCCAAGCATGTGCAGGGGTGCGCGAATACGTTTACATAATTAAAGTCATCCTGCACCATTCAATTTGTTTGGGGTTGTTGAAAACAGAAGGTGTGATTCAATTTTCGCTGACTACCTTCTAATAAGGTGCTGTATGCTGGAGGATTGATCCGTTCCTCCAGCGTGTAGTTTTCAACATTCAAATGATGGGCTGGCCGGTCTCGAGGTTCCACAATCGCGTTGTATCGTCATAGGATGCGGCCATTCGGGAATATTGTAATGCCTGAGACAGGGAAAAATGCGACCTGCTAGTTGTGGTTCATGTCACAATCAGTCGCCAATTGATCCAGAGCCAAAGACTCCAAGCGTCTTTCCGTTCGTGGTCCAATCCACTGGACTTGTGTCTCCCTTGAGAGTAACGACTAGCTCGCCTGTCTTCACATCCTACTAGATATTGACTGAGGGCTCGTTGACCGTGTTTTAAGCAGTTGAGAAACAAGTCGTCTTATCCAGCACTCGTAATAGGTTGACTGGCGTCTCCTGCCATTGAGCTGCCTGCCTTTGCTTGCATTTGTTTGCGAACCCGAGGAACAACGCTGAAATGTTCGAGAAGGATGACTACAAGGATGATATCGTAGGCCAGAAGACTTCGGCTGATCACGAATCGACATGCGTCGACGCGTCAACTCTGGCATCTCATGACCCGGTCTTGACTCGATTTATGGACTATGAGAGAGCCAAAACGCTAACATCATAGTTACAGTTTACCTGGATTCTTGCTCCCCGATCATGAAGTCGCGAGTCATCAGTGTGAAGAGGCGGCAGACACAACCTTGAAGTTCCCCGGCGTGCCTGCCATTCGACTTGTAGCCTCCACATCCGTGGTTCGCGTGTGCAAGCTGCGCCAATGTGATCAGCATATTGCCAAACGTTCAGCTACAAAATTCACTCGCTGAAGGGGAGCAAGGTCGGAGCGAGTAATCGCAATTTCAAATTCCAATCGACCACAACCATTTTTAGAGGTGGACTTGGATAGGCCTCTTCCGTTTCCTCAAGAGGACTGAGCTATCAGAGGGAACAGCGGCAGGAATTATGGACTACATAACGTCACAATGTGAGTTATTATGCGTATGCGTCCGACAATGCAACTGTTGTTCCGCCGGACCGGGACTTCAAGGGCTCAAGGCTTTACTAGCGCTCACCAGCGCTCACTCTCCTTAGAGCCCATCTATTTCCCATTGAGTACGTGGTAGAAGCCTTATAAATCCGCCGGAGCTGCGTCATTAACGCTCATGTCTATCTCAAAGGGTATCGCATTGATAACTGGGTCTGCTCAGGGAATTGGCCGCAGCATCGCCCTGCGCCTCGCACGGGATGGCTTTGACGTTGCTCTCAATGATCCTGCCCACCAAGGGTCCCCAGCTGGAATCGGCAGCGACTGAGATTGAAAGCCTAGGAAGACAAGTTTGCGTTGTTCCAGCTGACGTGTCCGTCGACGAGCAAGTCAAAGAGATGGTCGATTGTGCCGTTACTAAACTTGGTGGATTGAACGTTGTTAGTCTCTTCTTGTCTCACTAGACATATTCCCTGAATGTTTTGTATGCAGATGGTTGCTAATGCCGGAGTGGTGACATTCGCCTCGCTTATATCCTGTATGATCCTGGCCAAGTCGACATTGTCGTTTACTCATGTCCACCACCAGCAAGTGTAGAGTCATGGGACCGTACATTGGCAGTAAATGCCCGTGGACCTTATCTCTGTTACAAGTATGCTGCCACGCAGATGATTGACCAGGGGCTTGGCGGTCGCATCATTGGTGCCAGCTCTGTCGCGGGCAAAATGGGTGCGTCATATGAATATGAATTGCATGAGTACTTTTATCCACGCCACACAACAGCTTTCCCCTACCATTGCTCGTACACAGCGAGCAAATTTGCAGTCCGAGGGCTGACTCAAGTCGCGGGTGAGTGTTGATGTTGAGATACTCGCATGGGTAGCCTGCGATAGAGACCGCTTAACAGCTCTTGAGCTTGGAAAATATGGCATTACGGTAAATGCATATGCTCCTGGCGTGATACAGACTCCTATGGGTAAGGTTGAACAAATTTCTGATTTCGCGGCTGACCCCTAGTTAGCCCAGGACGTCCTGGATGAGTCTGGGAAGGTGGATGTTACAGTTATCGACGATCCTGTCTCGATCAAGTGGATTAATTCGGTGAGTGTAGCACGATCACAAACATTATCCAGATGATGAACGGTGAACACCTACTTTCTTCACAAATTTGATGAGTTACTTGAGAATGTTCCTATCAAGCATGTTGGACAGCCCGAAGATATAGCTAGCATCGTAAGCTATCTCGCGTCGAAGGAAGCGCACTTCATTACCGGTAAGTTCATGGTTTCATCAAGCCTGTCTCTTGCTCACGTACCATGTGATGCTTCCAGGCCAATGCGTAGGTCAAATTGGTTTGTTGCACAGGACTGGTCTGATTTTGCTCGCAGATCTCCATCGATGGAGGAATCAGCATGTCCTGAGAAGGTTCTGTGAAGAATGGCGTTCTTGCTCCTCGCAGATGCTGTGGTTTTGGTGATAAACGTGCGCCAAAGGATCATTTTCTCTATATTTTGGAAGTGTTTTATGTAGTTTTACATGGCATTGAAAACAAGCCATTGGTTCTTTTACTCTAAGATATTTGCGACAGCCGAACTTTCACCGCCAGGGATATGTCGGCCCACTACTGATCACAGTATGCCCTGCTATCTTACGATCCAGCTGAGCAATTCATATCCGGTGAATAGACGACTGCACCCACGTATTTGTTCTGTCTTGATCATCTAGTGCAGGGGATATTTGGCGAGGTGGCCTCCCCGCTCTCCATGTCTCACTCTGTGGATCTGCCGCTCGCCACTAGCCGACCATCTCGACTCCAGCGGACAGACCACACTTGCTTTGTGTGCCCCGTCTATTTAGCGATGACCTTGCCTGTGCGAGTCGATGTCCATGGCGCAACCTCACTGCACAGTGCAAGCTTCCGCTGGCCACTTTCTTTCCATCCGGAGACAATACTATGATGCACACTACGGCTTCTCCGTCCCGTCATTCTTCTCCTATCTGTTTCCCGCTCTACAAGTTCCATACTCGCAACGAGCCATCGTTTGAACAATTTATGATCCGTTATCCACTGGGAAGGTGGATGACACCCCGGACGATAGTCCTGTGTCCTTCAAGTTAAGTTATGGCGAGGGGTTATCGCTGATCTGCCAGTGAGTTGCCTGCATGTGTTTGCGAACGCAAGGAACAATGCTGGAATTTTCGAGGAGGAAAATGACGAAGATATCGGAAGCCGGGAGGCTTCGGTTAATCACGAATCGACATGCTCATGATACGGTCTTGACTCGATTGACTATGAGAAATGCTGTTATTCAGTGCCTTTCGGTGTTTTCCTTCGAGTCCTCCATCATAGTAATTCCAAGTATTCCCAGAGGTGGACTCGGATAGGCTTCTTTCGTTTCCTCTAGAAGACTGAGCCAGAGGGAACAGCGGTAGGAATTATGGACTACGTAATTCTACCTTGTATCGTGTAGTATAAGCTGTGTCCGATAATGCATCATGATAATGCAGCAGCATAACTCTTGTTCCACCGGACCGGGACCTGGAGGCCTCAAGGGTTATTAGCGCTCACCTCTCATCCTAAATATACGGCTCATCTATTTTCCATCGAGTACGTGATAGAAGGCTTATAGCTGCCCCACGCTGAATACAACGCTCATGTCTATCTCAAAGGGTATCGCATTGATAACTGGGTCTGCTCAGGGAATTGGCCGCAGCATCGCTCTGCGTCTCGCACGGGATGGCTTTGACGTTGCTCTCAATGATCTGCCCACCAAGAGTCCCCAGCTAGAATCGGTAGCGACTGAGATTGAAAGCATAGGGAGACAAGTCTGCGTTGTTCCCGCCGATGTGACTGTCAACGAGCAAGTCAAAGAAATGGTCGGTGATGCTGTCACCAAACTTGGTGGATTGGACGTCGTTAGTCTCTTCTTGTCTCACTAGACATATTCCCTGAATGTTTTGTGTGCAGATGGTTGCTAATGCCGGAGTGGTGACAGTTGCCTCGCTTATATCCTGTATGGTCCCGGCCAAGTCGGCATTGTCGTCTGCTCATATCCTTCACTATTAGCAAGTGTAGAGTCATGGGACCATACATCGGCAGTAAATGCCCGTGGACCTTATCTCTGTTACAAGTATGCTGCCATGCAGATGATTGACCAGGGGCGTGGCGGTCGCATCATTGGTGCCAGCTCTGTCGTGGGCAAAATGGGTGCGTCATATGAATATGAATTTCTATGAGGACTTTTATCCACGCCACCGCACAGCCTTCCCCTACAGTTGCTCGTATGCAGCGAGCAAATTTGCAGTTCGAGGGCTGACTCAAGTCGCAGGTGAGTGTTGATATTGAGATAATCACATGGGGAGCCTTCGATAGAGATTGCTTGACAGCTCTTGAGCTTGGCAAATATGGCATTACGGTAAATGCATATGCTCCTGGCGGGATACAAACTCCTATGAGTAAGGTTTAACAAATTTCTGATTTCGCAGCTGACTCTTAGTTAGCCAAGGATATGATGGATGAGTCTGGGAAGGCGGATTTTGAAGGACTTATTGACGATCCTGTCTCGAGGGAGTGGATTACATCGGTGAGTATAGCGCGATCGCAAACCTTATTCAGATAATGACCGTTGAGCGCGTATTTTCTTTCACAAACTGGATAAGTTACTTGAGAATGTTCCTATCAAGCATGTCGGACAGCCCGAAGATATAGCTAGCATTGTGAGCTATCTCGCATCGAAGGAAGCGCACTTCATTACCGGTAAGTTCATACTCCACCAAGCCTATTTCTTACTCACGTAGCATGTGATATCTCTAGGCCAATGCGTAGGTCAGATTAGTTTGCTGCACACGACTGGTCTGATTTTTCTCCCAGATTTCCGTCGATGGGGGAATCAGCATGACCTGAGAAGGTGCAAACAATTGTGCGTTCTTGCTGGTGTTAGTAGCAATAACCTTGCGCCAAATAATGCAACAATTTGGTCCGGGAACACCGACCTGTCGTTGCAGAATTGAAATGATCTCGAGAACAGTGAATCCCCGTAAAAATGACTCTAACCATGTTCTCCCTGGACACCATATGAGAAACATGGGTGGCCACGACTGGGAACAGACTGCTGTTGCTGCGCATTATTAGTCAGTACATAGTGCTCCCAGCAAGTACATGATTCGAACTGCACCTAGTACTAGGGCCATAGGAGCTCCAAGTCCCTTTGCTTTCAGCCACACTGTTGTCACAGATGCTACTTGGCTAACGTACGCAACTCGCGATGGTATCTACGTGTACCGTCAAAGCTGGTCGTGCGTTAACGTTGCAACTTTCAAAAGAGCATCTCAATAATATTCAGCCTGAGGCAAGCTTGCAATGACAGCGCAACAAGTCAACAGGTGGGAACATCCTACCGAAAATGAGGCTTACGTACGGGTCAAAGAGTAGGTACTCCAACTTCCAACTTCAAGTAGGCCGCCATCATACTCATTGTTAGCAGCTCGCTCGCCATGCGAACAGTGGACACGGATGCCAGACTTATTCGCCATGCTGCATTCTTGTATGGGATATTCTATCTCTCCTTTAATTTATTCTACCAAGAGGACCTCATCCGCCCGTTACTGTGCTTCACCACCTAGTGTATCTTAATCGCTCTGCCGTCATAGAATGTCTGGCGGTATTCCCAAGTGTCCTGCCGACCCCGCCTCAAGTTCGATGCGGTCGAAACGGGAAACACGCGCTGTATAAAATCAATGGTCTCGCATGGCTCTTCTACTGTACATGTGTCGTATTCTCACTTCCGACATTAATGGACAAGATTATGCAGGTGCTATGTATCGTCCCCCTCTATACCTGCATCCCTCCTTTTACACGCACACGATGTTCATTTCCGATCACCAGTTATTGTCTATGGCCGAGCTCTTTGAGGCGGACTCACGAGGCCCATACATTACTACGGCTGACTACCTCCCCCCTGATGACGATCGCTCTTACACCCATCCCTTACACAATTTCGTCTGCGACACACACACTGAGCTCACAGACAGTGAACATCGCCTCCTTCACTTGTTTGCTACACCCTCTAAAGACACCCAGGGTCCTCACGGCCTCGCGCAGACAACCCAGAATACTTCCGGTCACATCACCAAGAAATTTAGCAGGCTAGGAGTCCATCTCGTATCTCCGCAACGCGTCAATCCATCACCTGATCCTACTCCTCTCGGTCCGCGATGTGTCCTCATTTCAGTTCTCGACCTCCCTCCTAGCTTCTGGCCCACCCTGTTCACCGATGAACGACTCGCGAGGAATCGGGAAGTCGAGAGTAGAGTGCATCGTTCTGGATATCATCGGTACGTCCACACTGTTGGGTTTTCTCTATTTTTACCATGCACTGAACATCGATCTTTAGTCAATACTATCTTTTCCTCAAGGCCCTCATCATTCATGGGATATTGAAGATCACGGACGTTGAATGGATCCCCGAATCTGAAAGTAGGTTCTTTCTCTGATAGGCGGCGCGCTGTCGGGCTTCGCACAGGGAAGATAACCTTGGGTTGTGTGTGGTAGAATGATGCCACACCCGAGATATACCATATTTGTGTGAATTCAATCCACTCCGGTAGCCATGCCTCGTCTTTTCGCCTCCCTTCGCGCAGATGAGTCCGCAATACCAATGCCAAATGTCATATAAACATATATATAAGGAGCGACTGTCTTGAAACCAAATATAAGTACTACACTGCCAATACACTACATAATCTTTATTACCGCTCCCACGGTTCTGCATGTCCTGGAGTTCCGCCACATTAATCTGCCCAGAAGGTTCTACCGCATCTGCCCTGTTACTGCCCTACCAGGGCCAGTTCTGCTCTGCCATGTGGCAGAATGGCAGAGTTCTGCCCACCACCATGCATACGTAGGTGGTGCCGCGCCAACAATGAAAATGTGTCAGTATATCCTGTATCAATTTCACTTGACCCGCGCTATTTAAATGTTAACTACCTCGCTTCACCTTGGAGTTATTCGAGGACCTCCCTACCAGATCCCATATAAGTATTACCTCGCACAACCAATGCGTTTCTTCTTCCTTGTTATCGTTGCTGCTTTGACAGCGTCTATGTCTGTCAGTGGTACACCAGCTGTTCTCGGCAGAACTTCAAGTTGTCTTCGTTTTGGCGACGCTTATTGCACCCAGAATTCTCAATGCTGCAATGGTCACTGTTATCGTATTGTGAGTACTTAGTCGGAGTACTAGTTTGCTTTGCATCAAAGATTCAACCCCCTTTGACCGTACAACTTTGTAATAGTTCAAAAATAGGTTTTGCGCGTAAGACCTAAAATACCGACGAGCTGACATGACAGGACTCGAGGGTGAGTCACGTTTCCGCTTTCGTGTCGGCGCCGTGGCTCACAGCTCAATTCTTAGCCGCTGGCGGGGTTGATGAACGTGATTGCGCTTGAACACATTTCGCTGCCGCTTGAGTAATGGGGGTCCTTGAGTATGATAGGGACATCGCATTGAATCTTGAAAGTTTGACATCAGTGAATGGAGCATTGTTCTGTGCATGTTTTTTTTTTTGCTTCCGACATTAGGACGGCACAATGCTGGCGCTCTTTTACTCATAAGATTCATCTCCAATCAGTCAGTTGTTGTCTGTGGCCGAGGTGGTGGCGTCATCACAGTTACGGCTGACTACCACCGCCCTGATCGCCCATCTCACATCCAGCCCTTATCCGATTCTGTCCGCCATACACGCGCTGAGCTCGCAGATGTACTTCGCTCGTTTGCCACGGCCTCGCGCAGGAAACTCGGGAATACGAGAGTGCCGAGTGTCCATCATCTTTTGGATAGCGCGGGTACGTCCATACTGTTGATTTTGATTTATTTTACCATGCGCTGAATATTGGTCTTTAGCCAAAGTGATCAAGCGCCATCGTGTTCCATGGGATGTTGAAGGTTGAGATGAAACGTAACCTTGGAGGGAGATACTTTATCTAATAGAGAGGCGGCGCGTTGTGAGCTTCACACAAGGACATACAGAGCAGTGTGGTCAACCTTCGGTGTCGTTTGTTGGAACGAGAGGTCTCGATATCTGAGATGTAAAATACATAGTTTTGTAGATTCAATCCAGCTCCGTAGTCGTATTTTGTCTTCTTGTTGTTCCCCTCGCACCGCAGATGAGTCCGCAGTAACTGGCATGCAAGATTCTCGGTCGCAAATCACGCTCAGTGTTACTGATCTTAGGTCCTTCTGCGCATTTCCGATGTGAGTATCAAAGTCAGCCGGTGGAATGAATCCTAGATCAGCGAGCATGGGATACAAAAGTATCCAGTCACTCCTGCACTCTGTGGTTCCCCTCGTTCTGAGGAGAGGTGCAAATGGGTGAAGAGCAGGCGTTCTATACCGAGACCTCTAGTTATTTGAACAACTTCTCTTTGTGACCAAGTTGTTCCGCATGCTTGCGCTTATCATTATTATGTTCGCAGGTCTGAGGCAACATCATGATGATCATACAAGATACGAATGACGACACTAAGTACTAGCAGTGAATATGCAATATAGCGTTCGAAGCAGTGAACACGGGGCCTATGCTGCAGGGAATGGAGAGCGGGGTGTGGAATATAAGGACGGTCCTTGTGACGATGAGAATTGAGAACAGTGCGAGGCGTTACACCGACGTGACGGCCTGTGGCTTTGGCTGTATCTGCATGATTCCAAACGAGCAAGTTGAAAAGGGCGAGCCTTGTTCAAATGCCAGTGGACCTGTATTCATGTCTGCATTATCGGCAGGTTCGTTTGGTGCACCTCTTCGCTGGGCTGTGAGTCTGTGACAGGTCGACTGAGGGCCATTGATATCGTAGTCCTCTTGTAACTGCTCCTGCTGATCGTTGAACCAGAAAGGTGAGCACGAATATGGAAGAGATAAAAGGTGCTCCTCAAGGAACTTTCGTGTCATGCTGGCCAAGCCGCCAAACGCTGAACGATTTTAATTGGCTTACTACGCCACAGATGTAACTCACATATAGTAAGAACCTCGCAAGTTCCTTGGATAGTACAACAACCGAAACCGATCATTCCCGTGGGCGAAGGTGAATGAGATGACTGGGAAGATCGAACATACGCCGCCGCCTGTGAACATCCTGCGGGTTGAGCACTCTCCTATAAATCTGAGCTGCTAGACGGATGTACACTGTATGCCATTAGTGCGCAATTTTAGTCGCAAACGCCGAAGGTGCAAGGAAGGTTCGTTTTGATGGCGCCCAAGTAATACCGGGATGCGCGGAGAGGCCAAGTCGAGGTGTCATCGCGTCATCGACGAACAGGCGCCGTGCGGCATGTGGGCACAACTCTAGTGATTCATTGTTGCTTTTTGCTTCAGCGGAGGTTGCATCCAAGACAACCTATTGCACGTTTCCGCGAAACGGTGACATTTGACAAGTAGATATGATGGGGGTTTCGAAGGATTCGCATCCGAACCAGCATAAGGGTGACCGCGATGATGTTTTCACCTAGACGTAAGAAGCGAACACCAGCAATACTTACATAAGCGAATGGCGGGGGCGTGTCAGGACTCATTGACATGAACCCATTCTCAAACTTGCTCGCCATCATTCAGAGACCTCGCTACATATGCTAAAGCAACATTATGGAGAATATTATTGCCCGACAGAGGCCTGTTGGGAAATAATACTCTTAAACATGGCTGACCTTGTTCGATGGTGGTTCCTTTTCGATTCAGAACAGTCCAATCTCGACGATGCTCGTGACCCTACTGAGGTCACTCTCCTAGAGTTCCCGCACTATACATGCCGAATTTCAGTATTCAGCTCTGTATCCCCGACGTTTCATGCACCCAGTGGAATCGGCGGGATGAAGCATGAACATATTCGCGCATGTCCCTCCTGGAGAAATGAATACGCGTGCAATGATTGCGTGTTTGTCATTACCGACCCAGATGCTCATGGGTTGTAGCTGCATTCTTCTCTTTTCGACAGTACGGGGGACTTTTTCCGTGCGCGGTGGTCCGTTGGTTCAACCGGGTTGGCGACACACCTGATCCTGACACTGGTATGGGAATGGTTGCGCCAGCTTTCACAGCGAATCGCACCCCACACTTCGCAGTGATCCATATTGACACTATTTTTCGCGCAGCTCATCTACTTCCGGTCTACGGTACAGCCCCACTCTCGCCGTTGATTACATTCCATCACGTCCTTGAGTCTTGATATATTCTAACTGTTCTATGTGAACAAATTTGCTAGCCATCATGCAAATAGTTTGGATGCTAGGCTATTTTGTACGTCCAAAGGATAAGTGAAAGAAGTTGAGATTAGACGCCTTGTTTCGTAATTACAGAAAGTGCTAGTGAACTCGTGATCAACGCGTGATCTCTGGATTAGAGCTTCGTTTTCCGCATTCTACTGGTTGCAAGCGAACATCTTCGCCGTCAATACGCATTTCGCTTGCTGCGTTGTCATAGAATGTCTGGTAGGATTTCCAAGTGTGATTTGGCCTACCCCGCCTCAGATTTGAGATGATGGTCGAAACAGTGTAAAATTCGATCTCGCATGGTTCTCCTTCTGTACGTATCTCATTCTTTTATTTCCGCCACTGGACAGCATAATGGCCATGCTCGCTACGAGCTTCTGTGCACTGACTTCGTGCTGTTCCCTCCTTGCGTTTTCCAGGCCTCCTCCTTGCTCAATTAATGTGATATACAGTTGCTTAAGCATGTGCAAGGCCTGCTGGCAAGCGCAGGGGTTGGCATGCTACAAGGATATAAGGACAAGGACGCTAACAGTCTCAACAATACAGCACTTCTCTCCAACTCCTCAGCCCTCACCGACCACCTACTCCAAAAACCAACATGACTGACGTTCTTGGTGTTCTTGTTATCGCTCGTAATGGTGACCGCTGGGAGTACCACCAAGACCCCAAGACCTATGAGGGCGCCTACACCGAAAGCACTGCCCTCGGTGCTGTAAGTCACTGGTATGCGCCTTGCAAGTTCCCCTAGCTGATGCTACTTGCACTACAGGCCGAGTCTCACCAGCTTGGCGCCTTCCTTCGCTCCGTCTACATGTCCTCGTCTTCTCCTTCATACATCGCGAACATGAAGACCGACCTCGTGGACACCCATGAGGTTCACGTCCAGGTCAAGGCTGGCGGTGAGGGTACCGTGATCTTCGACTCTGCTGTCGCCCTCCTCCAGGGTCTTTTCCCTCCCAACCCTGCCAACAAGATCGTCCTTGCTAACGAGACCACCGTCATTGCTCCTCTTGGCGGGTACCAGTACGTTCCCATCGAGACCGTCGAGCCCGGTAACGACAGGTCCCTTGAGCCTTGGACCGACTGTCCCGTAAGCAGTACAAAGCTTCCAACCCAGGGAACTGTGATCTCACCATGACCTACAGGCTTTCGAGCAGCACATTTCCAATGTCTACTCATCCTCTGAGTTCAAGCAGACTGAAAAGGCTGCTGGCCCTTTCTTCAATGCTGTCAGGGATTACGTTTACGGCCGGCCTACTACTCTCGAAAACGCTGTAGGTCACACCTCTTGTTCTTCCTGCAAATACTGATTACCTCTATGATTTAGTGGAACGTGTGTAGATGTCTAATTTAGATTGCTGATGTCGGGCTGAACTTCATCTAGATCTACGACTACATCTCGACTGGGCTCTCCTACAACAAGACCTTCGCTCACCGCCTTCCCCCCACCTTGGTTGAGCAGGCTCGCGGTTTCGCCAACTACCACGAAAACGCCGTCTTCTCGGACAAGGAAGTTGGTGGAATTGGTAATCGTGAGTCAAATTTGATTCACGCACGCTGTTCATCATTAATCCTATCGTCGATCAGTGGCTGGCCGCACGATTCTCCACACAATCTTGAGCAACCTCCAACGAATTGCATTCAACGGTGACCCTCTGCAGTTCCTCCTCGTTGAGACCTCGTACCAGCCTTTCATCTCCCTGTTCCACATGCTCGAGTTGACCAAGCAGAACCCCGAGCTTGCCGGTATCCGTGCGTATGATCTCACTTTAATGTCTTTAGTCGATTGACGCAACGACTGCAGCCAACTACGCTTCTGCTCTTGCCTTCGAGCTCCGTCGCGGACCCGCCCCTGAATTCCGTGACTTCGTCAGGATCAAGTTCAAGAACGGCACCAACGGCGACTTCGAGACTCACCACGCTTTCGGCCACAAGTCTGACATTGCTGCGACGGAGTTCATCTACAAGATCGAGGTGCGCAGTGCACTGGTTTTTAATGAATGCACTTACTTAATGCTATTCCAGAACTATGCCATTTCCAGCGGGAAGCAATGGGCCGCTGCCTGCAACTCAGGTCTTGAGGGTGACATTTTCCACATTGGCTCCCAGGACACGATCTCCAGCACCGTATTCTACATTCTGGCCGCTGTCTTCCTCTTTGGCATGTTCGTTCTCTCCAAGTTCGTCAAGAGCGCCCGTGCCAAGGCCCAGAAAAGCCGTATCCGTCTTGCTGACGACGAGGTAAGTCAATCGCACCTACCTCAGAGCCAGTACCCAAATTATGGAACCCTTCCCAACGTCTGTCCTGGTATCGCCTTTCTGAATCGAGCTGAACATCTTCTCGTTCATTACAGAACGTCATTGCTCAGCCCGCTCCCACGGGTGAGAAGCAGCGTCTCCCCTTGTAAGCGCCGGTCGAGTAGGAGTTGAGAAGGTTGAAAAATATCTTTACTGAATCTATGCATCGGTTTCTTCGTTTGTTGACTATTTTCGCATTGCTTCACGGATTCTTACCACGTTTCTTTCTCGTTTGCATTATGACTGCTGTATTGTTTATTGTATAGGACAGGCCCTGGCCCTGTTTGAATACACGCGTTTTCTCGGGTGATTCATGTGCTCTTCTTCTATGTGTGAGAGCAAAGCTCAAGACAAGCAAAAACTACATTGGAACGGCGTATCGCAGGTAATGCTGCAACATTAAACACTGTTCTTCTGATTCACCGGCATACTGGCACCTGGAGCGCAACCTCGACTCGTGTATTGAATGAATTGGGGATGTCCCTAAATGTGCAGCGAGGCAGGAGGCAGTTATCGATAACGCAAGGTATGGCATGATACGTTTCGATCGTTTATTAATTGACCATGAACTCAACAAGATGGACTGGTCAGTTTTGTGTGAGCATAGCAGTACCCAACGTTTCTAGGGTTAATTTTTAGACTATTTACTTACCCTGACGAGGACTAGTTTATGACGGCTCATCGTTAGAACAATGATCATCTGCCTACGAAGATCTACTAAACGTACAAAGTACACCAGATTCTAGGCGGGACTGTTTCCTCGTTACTACTTGGATTTGATTAGTGCTACATGCCACAGGCCGCTACTAACTACACAGTATGAAAGATCGAGATCGACTGAATGTGAAACGGAGTGGACCCACTACCTCTAAAGGTTGATTGTAGCAATGTATTGACCGAGGGCTGCTTGTGGTTCGTCCCAAAAAACGAAATGGTTTCCTTCAGTCTGGAATTTTAACTTGACATCTCTCGCCGTTTTGGCATCAGGTCCATACACTGGCTTGGGGTCAGCCAAACACTTCCCTATTTCATACAACGCCCACACCAAAACACCAGGACTCGCTCCACCGCTCATGTACCTGACGCGTAGGTTGGGGAGGAACTTCTGCGCCAAGGCCGTGTCGAATATCGCACGTCTTGCCAAGGTCTTGAATACGTCTTGTTGACTACGGGCAATTAGCATGTCGGAGCCACCAAACGTCTTGATAGACGTGAGCTCTGCAAGCTCCTTCGAAGACAACTCGTGCATGGTGTGAGTGTTGTCTGAGAATTTGTTGAACTCGAGATCATCAATGTTTCCCGAGGTGACACTCTGGTGCGGGAAGTACGCTGTCACCCATTCACGGAAAATGTTGAATCTGGATTTGATGTCTGTTTCGGACCAAATGTCGATATTGTGGATTTGGGGATATGGTAAACCAAGAAGCGTTGAAGACGCATCTATGAGACCATTCAACACCATCGAATGTGATGAATAACGAAATGTGTTCACCATGAGAAAGCATAGTATGGAGATACCTCTCAAGGTCAGAAATGATATTAGATGGCAAGGCGTCGAGATAGGCCACAACAGCATGGGTGAACAAAGATCCTAAAGACCACCCGATGAGCGCAATTCCACCGCTTGTACCTTGTGCCGGTGGAATATTTTGCTCGCGGGCAAATGTGACAAGAAAAATGGCAATATCAACGGCCTGGTTGCGAAGGAACCCTTCCTGTCCCTCTACCGTACCAGATATGGGACCAGCCAAGTCTGCATCACGGAAGCTAGTGGTGGGATCATAATCACGCCTGTATAGGCTGACTATGCGGAGATTGTGGGCAGCAGCCAGAGGGAAAAGTTTCCTGAAAACACCTGCATATAGGGCATAAATGTCAGCTGGACATTATGGGGTACTGTATGATGCAATTGCACCTCCGTTGAAACCCATGCCATGGATAAAGACAAATGTCGTATATATGTTTCCAGGGACAGCACCGCTGTCAAAGTAATAGTAGGATACATCGTCACCAATGGTGAGACTCTCGAGTTGAGCTGAAGTGGGCACCATCTTCGAGCTGGAAATCAAATTAATCCCTCCTTATGAAGGGTCCCTAGTAGTACTGACAGCACATACTTACATATCAGTGGTTTCGTTTTGGAAAGACGCACAATTTGACAAACGTTCTAGAGTTCAGTTTTACAGGGCCGTACGTGGTTGACTGGTTGTCCTAGATCGTCTGGTTCAGCTGTCTTCCTTCGATTCTCCGCAATGAATATCCGTCACTTTGTCCTGCTCCTCTTGCTCCACGATATGATATCATTCAAGTTCGCAACTCCGAGTCTTTCTGGATAGGAACCCCGGGGGATGAGGGGAACTGACCGAGCCTATACCAGAGGGGGCGGGCTCAGGAATACTTATTTGTACAGCTTGTTTGTCATGAACTCAACCTGCGACGTTGCAGCAGAAGGCTACAGGCGCCTGATGAAAAATGCTGTGCATATTATACGTCATCCATGATGACCTTATCGTCCCCAATGCAAGTTCTTCCGCCATCGTTAGGCAATCGTACGTGGTTGAATGTTCCTCAGGATCAGTCAGCCTGGGCATATGCTTGCATATGGTTTTCTCAGAGAGTGTGCCGCCTTCTGCTGAGTAAACTCGGTTGAATTCAAAGTGTTCCCTAATCGCCGAATGCCTTTACCCGACCTTCATTAATGTCTGTTCGGCTTGGGCGAGATTCCTGATATATAAAGTGCACTGTGTACATCGCTGTGTCCCCAGACAATTGATATCCATTCCACGCATCTCATACCTAGTTTGATAATCCTTGATTCCAATAGAGCACCATGTCGTCCTCAACATCCGCCCTCTTCTCCCCCATCCGCGTTGGCAATATGAACTTACAGCACCGCGTCGTTCTTGCCCCACTTACTCGTTACCGCGCGCACGCAGATCACGTTCCAGGCCCACAAGCCCCAGCGTACTACTCTCAGCGAGGGTCCATCCCTGGAACTCTTCTTGTCACAGAGGCCACACTCATATCTCAGAATGCTGGCGGTTATGACAATGTCCCTGGAATATACACTGAGGCCCATATTGAGGGGTGGAAGAAGGTGTGTTATATCTTATCTTATTGAATTAATGCGCGAGAGCTGACCTGCTCCCCGAACTACAGGTGACAGATGCAGTCCACGAGAAGGGCTCGTTCATTTTCCTACAACTCTGGGCACTCGGCCGCGCCGCAGAAACCGCCGCTCTCGCCAAAGAGAACAACAGTCCCTATGTGGGAGCCTCACCCATTCCCCTCCCTGGAAGGCCAGAAACAGAAGTGCCACGCGCTCTCACCACAGATGAAATCAAGGAGTACGTTTACACGTACGCCGCCGCCGCGAAAAATGCCATTCGAGCGGGCTTCGATGGTGTTGAAATTCATGGCGCGAACGGCTACTTGATCGACCAATTCATTCAAGACGTTACCAACCACCGTACGGATGAATATGGCGGGAGTATCGAGAATCGGGCGAGATTCGCACTCGAGGTTGCAGATGCCGTTGTAGAGGCTGTTGGCGCCGAGAGGACAGGGTTCCGAATGAGTCCATGGGGCATATTCAGCGGTGCGTTTAACATTGAATATCGACCTTTTTTTGACTGATTTTTGGAGTAGGAATGGGCATGGCAGATCCAAAACCCCAGTTCTCCTACGTCGCCGAGCAATTGCACAAGCGCAAACTCGCCTACCTGCACGTCGTAGAGCCGCAGACTTCCGAACAGAAGAGCGATTTCCTCCGTGATATCTGGAATGGACGTGATGGGCGTGAGGGAAGCACGTTCATCAGCGCGAATGGGCATGACCGCAAGAGCGCTATTGAGACGGCAGACAACAAGGGCGGACTTGTTGCATTCGGGAGGTCGTTTATGCCAAACGTAAGCCGTGTACTATTTGTTCTTTAGCTTGACAGAGACTGACGTGTCCCCTTTCTTTAGCCCGACCTTCCATTCCGCCTACTAAAGGACATTCCGCTCGAGCGTGGGGACCAGAAAACGTGGTACATAGTCGGTAATTTAACGCCAACGGGCTACTCTGACTGGCCCTTTGCGCCGGAGTATGGTCAGCAGATTCTAAGTTCTGAACACTAAAATAGACGACTGGGACACTAGAGATACCATGATATTACCCTCCATGCGCATTATAATATTTATTCAAGCTTATCTGCACACACGGCTCAGTCAGTTGGCAGCGTGTATTTTTAATCTTATGCCTGCTCCACACGCAAGGTCAGCCTATCTCAGATTATCAGATCAATTATATCGGTACATTCCCCGACAGAGCTTCAGTAAGTCACCCAGTACTTAGTTCCCGGCATAAATATTGCGCAGAGCGACGAAGATGACGGCGACGTCAATCAGAGAGACCAAACATGGCTGACTAGATTAGATGTCTGTCAATGTTTCGCTTAGATAAGCGTATAAAACCTTGTGCGCACCATTCAGTTGAACTAAGGTACTCGCCATGCTCAAGCCGCGCACCTATATTGATAGTCTTCTCGATGCTGCATTCTTCCTTGGGGGGTTATATTTCACGTTTTCTTTTGTCTTCCGATGGGAGACCGTCAACCCGTCAAGAATACTGTGCTTCACAGTATATCTCACTCGCTCTGCCATCATAGAGTGTCTGGCGGCATTTCCGAGCTCTTTCCTACTCCGCCTCAGTTTCGATCATCTGACCGATTCGGGAAACACACGCTGTGGACAATCAACGATTTCGCATGGCTCTCCTACTGTACATATCTCTTTCTTATGCTTCCGACACTAGTGGACAGGAATACTTGCGCTCTGGATCCTCCCCCTCTACCTGAATCCCTACTTGTACTCACAGACAGGATTCATCTCCGATAGTCAGTTGTTGTCTGTGGACAGTGCAGTGGCATTACGAGACCAATGCGTTACAGCTCGCTACCACCACATGGGTGACCTATCTTACCACCATCCCTTATACAATTTCGTCCGCAATACCCGCATTGATCTTGTCGATGAACATCCCCTCCTTCGCTTTTTTGCTGCAGCCTCCAAAGACACCCCTGGTCCGCACGGCCTCGCGAAAGAAACCCGGGATACCGCCAATCATATCATCGATAGTCAGGTATATGTCCATTTCGTGTCACTAGAACCCGTTGATCCGTCACTTGATCCTCTCGGTCCAGGATATGGGTTCATTCAAGTCAATACTCGTTACTTATGGCCAACCCCGATGTACATCGATGAACAGCTCGCAGGGAATTGTGAAGACGAGAAAAACGAGAAGTCAACACCCCCCGGATATCGCGGGTACGTCCACACTGTTGATTTCGTTCTGATTTCGCCATGCACTGAATATTGATCTCTAGCCAAAATGATCTCTTCCTCAGAGCCGTCCTCACCCATGGAATCTTGAAGATCGTGAACGTTGAGATGAAACGTGACTTTGGAGGGAGCCACTTGATCTGATAGCAAGGCGGCGTATCTGTTAGAAGGAACAAAGACAGCCGTCCCTTCTATAGGTCTGGCTAGGGGAGACTAAGGCGGGGCGTGTTGAACTTCGCAAGAACTACAGACTAGCTGAAGTCATTGACCCTTGGTATGTGTAATATCGAACAGGAGTTCCCAATACCTGAGATGTAAAGTAATTTTGTAGATTCCATCCAGCTCGGGGTATATAGTAGCCTCAGGCCTCAGTACTCAGTGACGGAGTCCGACAGTGGTTTCCCTGTTCACTCAGGCACTGTGGTCGAATCTTCCTTCAACTTGGGATCTGTGCGGGCGCCGATGGCTGTCGCGGCATCCGTTTGAAGTATCATGTCTTTTTGGTTGTGATGCCATTCTTGGCTACGACTGGTTGCGGTCTGTTCGCCTTACAAACACAAGGGAAAAAAAGATCAAAAGATATGGTCTTTGACGTTGAAGCTTTATGATGGTCGATCGTCAGTTTTTACCATCAGTTTCAAAGGTGTTCATTGGTTCTGGCTGGTTAATTTTGCATATTTCGCTGACTGCCTAATTGTATTACAGTTCATTCAAGACGTCACCAACCACCGTACGGACGAATATGGCGGGAGTATCGAGAATCGGGCAAGGTTCGCACTCGAGGTTGCAGATGCCGTTGTAGAGGCTGTTGGCGCCGAGAGGGCAGGGTTGGTAAGTATGTAGCTAAAATGACCTCTTCCTCGTAGCTGCTCCCGTTGAAGATCGCACATTGAGATGAAACGTGACTCTGGAGGGAGCTACTTTATCTAATGGCCTTTATTAGAAGGGAGAAAACCGACTTCTTTCTTCTATAGATCTGGCTGAGGCGGCACGCTGTTGAGCTTCGCACAAGAACATACAAACTAGCTGAAGTCATCGGCATTCGGTGTCGAACGGTAGTTCCCAATATCTGAGATGTAATATAGTTGTTTTTAGATTCAATCCAGCTCGGTAGTCATGTTTCGTCTCGCTTCCCTTCGCGCCGCAGATGTCCGCAATAACCATGCAAGGTTCTCGTATACAACAAAAGTGACGCAAGTTCCAGGAAGAACGCGCACGAGGTTTGCCCCCATCCCACGATAAAACCCACGAACCCCCTCGCCTTGCCAAGTGCGCTTGATAGTGGTCGGTATGTCGGTGTATAAGTGAGCGGTGGCGTTGTTCTAATACATAGATAAACACGTGATGCTAGCAAACAAGAATGGTCTCACCTGTATTCGAGAGCGAATGACTTGGTATGGATAAGTAAGCGCAAGAGCCGAGAGCTTGCTCGCACCAGACATTAATGTGTAAGACGTATTTGACTGCCCAATTTCTCAAACGTGAGGCAGAGAAGAATGCGATAAACTCACGAGCTTGTCATCCTCCGGTCCCATCACTTTTCCGGCCTTTGCAAACCGCTTTCGTTTTTGTTCGAACCCCCATCGTTTCATCTCCTCGTATGCCATGAACTGTATCGCACCGTTGCTCACGCCGACCAGAGCCAAACTAGTCCCTTTCCACCAGCCAGAGATGCCCTCATGCCTCCATATTGAAGCAAGGCCGTCTAATACATACAGTTAGCAAAACCAAAGCGAAGACAGCAGAGAATAAGATAGGAAGGAGAACGTACTCCAGAGGCCACGATATGACGTCGGTGAATCGGCACGCGTCGTAAACATACGCACTTTTACAACCCATATAGGATTGGTCATTATCGCCGTGACTGCGCCTATTGATATTCAAGTTTAGAAAATATCATAAAGACAGAAGGGGACGGAAGTGCAAACTTGCTTGAGCGGAACAAAGCAGGTATGTTCCAGGAGACATCCTATAATTTGGGTCATCTCCAGTCGCACGCTTCTTCAGCATGTTATAGCTGAAGCATATTAGTACTGTGCACCAAAATTTTAGAACTGGTGGAATGCTACTCACAAAAGAAAATAGAGCCCCCAACTTGACGCGTTCCCCGCTATATTTGGTCCTACACCTCGGTACAGGCCTTTCCACCCTTCACTTGCATGAATGTCACGCAGAGAGTGCCATATTGCTTTTCCAATTCCACCCTGTGGGTTTGTTGTGGCTACCTGTAGCTTGACTTTGAGGAGATCAAGAGGGTGCATGCAAAGGACGGCGACGACGCCTGCTCCGAGGCCTGCTGCTGCATGGTCCTACGACATTTTTGAGCACACAAGCTGATGATCGAGCAGTAAACATACTAGCGCAGTTGTCGGAAAGAAGCTTGGCTGTTGTAGAACCATGCAACTGTGACTGGACCGTCAGCTTGCTGAGATGACTTGCTCGGAGTTGGAAGGTGCTGACGGACATAGCCGGTTTCGTACCCGAACTTCATCTGAATTTGAATTTGATTACAGCTACATAGACCAGAATCCATTTTTGTTCATTCACCACTTTTGTTTACTTTGTCCCGCCTGTTACGATACTTCGTCGGGCGGAATATCCCAGAATGGGACTGCGCAACTTCTATGATACGGTATGCTGCTCGTTTGATGCTGCGTCTGACACCCCTCTGAGCTCACTGCTGGTATAACTACTTATCACCGACTCATCATAACATCGTCTCTGTTACTGATCATTCCGCATTAGTACTCGCAGGTTTCAACATGATCCGCCCAGGGCTAGCAACCTGGTCATTAGCGCGACGGTTCTCGAATGTTTGACTTTGATGATCTCAGGATGATCCGACCGATACCGAAGAACTCGGTTGATAGTTCGGTGGCTTGTGTTAGTGACTTGTGCTATGGCCTTGGATGACATTTGGGCAGACATAGTGACCCGTTGTTGCTTTATGGCTGCTATAATGTGACGGCGGTTTCCAACCATGGTGAGAATGGTGTGCGAAGACAGTACCGAGTGAGAAAGTTGCGCAGTCCAGTTGGGGTATCTCGCCCGACGAAGTATCGTAATAGGCGGGACCGTTTTGTTTGTCCAGTTCCACAAGTAAACAAAAGCGGTGAATGAATAAAAATGGATTCTGGTCCTTCGATCTGAAGGTAGCTGTAACTGGTTTGCTCTGCTTTATATACTTGCATCATCTTGGAGGCCCTGCAGGCTGCATGGCTGTTCCGACAATGATCCAATCTTTTATAACGTCCAATCATCCATCGACGCGTGATTCCGCCAGTGCTTGATAAGAGGATCAGTCAAACTGTATTAGACACCGGTTGGGCTATCTGTTCTCAGCACCGGTATCTTGTCGTCAGTTTTATCAGGTTTGCACCCCTCTTTCCCGCTTCCGTTTGATTGATCATTGATCCTGCTAAAATTGTGGGCTTCCTGGCTTCCTTCAATAGATCATCTGAAGATTAGAATGCCAAGAGCGCCATCGCCCTGCGCACATGACGCACGCACCGTGATGCACCCAACCAGGCCCTTTTTGCATTTATATACTGTGCTCTCGGATCCATATGATCATCCCCTCTCAAGGACGTCTCCTCTATATTCTTGATACGACCCTGTGACGACAGTTAACGATGCATACCTCTACGATCTGCCTCGTAATGTTATCAGCAGCTGCTGGCCTTGTTTCATCTCGTCCAAGCGCTTCTTATCTCACCCACACTTTTCGGACGTTGTCGAGTGCGTCGTACAAAAGACAAAGCTCCGTTCCCTCGCAGTGCACCCCAGTCTGTGACCCTGTCAACGCTGAAGTGAATAGTGTAAGTTGCATCCCTGGCCTTGCCCATGTTGAGCGCTAACTCTCATCCAGGGTTGTCCTATAACCGCATGCTGCACCCAGTCCTTTGAAACAAGCTACTACAACTGTCTCTTGTGTGTTGGCACTGCGATGAATGCTACAGATTATACACAGGCACAAAGCGATCTAGACAGTAAGCTCAGCTTCACATATAACACCTCAGAGCCAAGCGCCTAATATATATGCCAGCGCTCTACCTTTCTTGCTACGATTACGGCTATACACTTCAAGAGCTCACTCTCCCTGGTCAAAACCCGTCCCGCACTCTCTCAACCTCTCTCCCTGTTAGTTCTTCGACCACAGCTACGTCCGTGTCGGCCACAGCTACGTCCGTGTCGGCCACAGCTACGTCCGTGTCGGCCACAGCTACGACTGTGTCGGCCACAGCTACGACCGTGTCAGCTACAGCTACGACCGTGTCAGCGTCCACTGTACTGTCTTCAAGCACTTCACCTGCCTCATCTGGCACAGCAACTTCGCCCGCTTCTTCTGGCACGTTGACTTCGCCCACCTCCTCTAGCGCGACGCCTTCATCCACGACTACAAGTGCTGCGCTGAGGCTAGGCACAGGAGGCGGGGTCTGGGCTTTGGCTGCTGCTGCTGTAGGATTGCTCGTGCTCTAGAGAAGCGGAATGATTGACTAGGAACACTACTGCATCATTCTTGTACTTTCTTAGATCAGCGCTCTCGAACACTTTACCATGTAATTACAAGTCGTAAAAACGCTGTGCTGTTGCTGTGCTGTGTACGTACTACAAACTATACCGAGCTCTACGAGGTTCTTCTGAAACTACTGGTTCTTTGCTTTGGTATTGCTCTGACCCTTTCGCGCCGTTTTCGCATCCGACTCGCCATTGTCGCCGCAATGGGTTTGGATCATGGTTATAGGTAGCTCCCATAGTATTCAGACCTTGAAAGTTTTCAAGTTTTCTTTATCGAGTCAAGATGAGAAGGACGACCATCTTCATTCTATTTGGTCTCCCTAAGGCTACGAGAGACTAGATCGTGGTACGCTTTTGTTATTTGTCAAGTCCAATGCGCAATCTCGACGGCGACGATCGCGTGCGACGATTTGCCGTGCTGGGCCGCTTCTGCTGCACCGTGACGTCGACGATAGAGGGAGTTAAACATGGCGGTTCACTCACCGACTCTGAGTCCTGACGTTCAATTTCGTCTCGATTCTTTGACGTGAATCTAACGTAGATTGTGCAGAAGTTTAGATCCTCCTGATTATTACGGTAAGTGTTTCTCTATACATTCAAACGAGGCTGATGCAAGCAGGCGTTCGGCTGCATATAAGAGCCAGGACTCGCACTAGCAGATCAAGCGTTCGAACTGGTAACAAAGACACAAAGACATGACATCTTCTCTCTATTCTCCACCTCTCAAATCACTGACTCCCGAGCTGTTGTCCCAGCTCAAAGAGCGCAGTGAAAAGTTTCTCTTCGAGATCATCAGCACGAACTGGAAATCACAGTTCTACCAAACCGCTGATGAGCTCAACATCTTCAGCCACACTGTTGAAATGTTGCACGATGGTTAACAGAGATTTTTGTGGAATTTCCGCAAGCTGGTTCCGCTCACAGCATATGACACTTGCAAACCTTCCTTGGTTCGGTTTTTCAACGAACCCTGCCAGGAATCCGAGGTCATTAACCTTTTTGCACCTGGTTTCCCTGTCTTCCTCGCACTATCTAGTGCGACCTCGGGGAAGGCACCTAAATATTTCGCGAAGTATAGAGAAACTACCTACCGTGCACTAGGCGCTCAGGGCCAGAGCATATACGCGTATCGCTTAGCGTATAGGGTTGTAAGTGTCTTCCGTGGAGATAAAGACATTGTGCGAAAAATTACCGTCTCCGGAGTGGGTACTGCTGCTCCACAGGCAGGTAGGCATAGTCGCACATACCCCCTCGTATCTTCTCTTACATGCGCTGTTCGCGCCGGCTGATCGTAGTGTGGAGAATCTCAGGGTCATGTTTTGCACAACCTTACTTCGCGGACGCCATTGATACAGGCACAATAACAGAACTTGAAAATATCGAGCACGTACGGGACCAACTGCAGGCAAGCACCGGTTTATATTTCCTCAGTCACTGTCTAATCAAACGTATAGCAGCACTTACATGCTGGTCCTGTCCGCGTTTCTGAGCTGCGTGCCATCGGACCACCTTCCAATACTCGGATGGGCTAAATCTATTTGGCTGAATCTAAAAATGGCATTCAGCATCGCAAGTGACTCATTCTCCTCTGCCATTCTAAAGGTTGCTTCACTTCTGAGTATATTCTTCGGTATTATGCTCAATAACAACTATCAGGTGAAGCATCTGTTTAGCCCTGATATAATACTCCAATCGCACGGATTTGGCAGTAGTGAGTGCTTCATCGGCGTCAAATGTAAAACTGGGGACCTCAACCGGTTCAAAGTTTTATTGGATGATGGGTTCGTTGAGCACCCCGACTTGGTCTCAGAGGAGGTTGCTGACAGCTATATGCGTCAGTACGTCATTTTCGTCAAATTGTATTGAGTTGTAGGCTTGATCTGCAGCAGTGGGAGGCTGGACCAGGGAGACACCATGAGCTTGTCCTAACAACCTGCCACGGATTGAATTTGTGGCGATGCCCTTCTGGGGACATAGTTGAGCTGCTCCAGACCATGGCTCTCCCGTAGCGATATTTGTCGAAAGGCGGAAGTAAGTCACAGATGTCTTCCAGCATCGGTGGAGCTCATCGAATATTACAATGTGGAGATAGGGTTCGATTGTTTTATCGGTGACGGAAGCTCAACTGGTTGAATCGATATTTTCTGTGACCCAAGACACAATCGGTCAAGTTATGGAAGTTCCTTGTTTCAAAGATGTTCGACAACTTCATCATACTATTGAATTCTTTTTGGAGCTAGCTCAGGAGCCAGGTAAGCCCCTGATTCTCAAGTTACTTTACCAGACCCCTGCAATTCTCCAACTGCAGGTATGTTAAGCACCACCTCCCGGCATCCTCGCAAAGCAGTGACTGTTTGAAGCCCTCTCAATTGTGAAGGGACCTCTTGGGTGCGGCTATTATTATGGAGTGGTGGGTATGCCCACAATACAGGTGGTCAAGCCTGAGACATGCGCAGAATATATAAAATGGAGAGGTAAAGCGGCTACGATGGGCGTATGTCAAAGTCAAATGAAATTTACTAGTGGTAATGCTCGATCCCGTAGCTCAGGAGTGGATAATGCACAGAATAGAATCAGAGATTTAAACGAGTATTCGAGTAGACCTTGAAACTTTTCGAATCGGTGTTCTCGGACGAAATCTGAAGCTAAGTTGATTGTTAAAACCATACTTAGTATCTACGAGGAGAAAAACTGTTAACGGGGCATTTGTCAGGTCATGCTGATTCCCCCATCGACGGAAATCTGCGAGCAAAATCAGACCAGTCGTGTGCAGCAAACCAATTTGACCTACACATTGACCTGGAGATATCACATGCTACCTGAGCAAGAGACAGGCTTGATGAAGCTATGAACTTACCGGTAATGAAGTGCGCTTCCTTCGACGCGAGATAGCTTACAATGCTAGCTATATCTTCGGGCTGTCCAACATCCTTGATAGGAATATTCTCAAGTACCTCATCGAGAAGGTAGGTGTTCAACTTTCATTACCTAAGGTTTGTGATCACGCTACACTCACCGACGTACACCATTTCCTTGAGACAGGATCGTCAATATATGTTGCAAAATTCATCTTCCCAGACTCATCCATGACACCCTTGGCTGACTAGGAGTCAGCTGCAAAATCAGAAATTTGTTCAACCTTACTCATATCAGTCGGTATCCAGCCAGGAGCATACGCATTTACAGTGATCCCATATTTGCCGAGCTCAAGAGCTGTCAAGCGGTCTCCATCGAAGGGTGCCCATGTTATAATCTCAACATCAACACTTACCTGCGACTTGAGTCAGCCCTCGAACTGCAAATTTGCTCGCTGCATACGAGCAACTGTAGGGGAAGGCTGTGCGGCGGCGTGGATAAGTACTCATGGAAATTCATATTCATATGACGCACCCATTTTCCCCAGGAGTGAGCTCGCACCGATGATGCGACCGCCACGCCCCTGGTCAATCATCTGCATGGCAGCATACTTGTAACAGAGATAAGGTCCACGGGCATTTACTGCCATTTTATGGTCCCACGACTCTACAGTTGCTGATGGATGACATGAGCAAACGACAATGTCGACTTGGTCGATATCATACAGGATAGAAGCGAGCCGCCTGTCGCCACTCCAGCATTAGCAACCATCTGCACATAAAACATTCAGGGTATACGTCTAGTGAGATAAGAAGAAACTAACGACGTCCAATCCACCAAGTTTGGTAACAGCACCGTCGACCATTTCTTTGACTTGTTCGTCGACAGTCACGTCAGCGGGAACAATACAGACTCGTCTCCCTAAGCTTTTGATCTCAGTCGCTACCGATTCCAGTTGGGGACCCTTGGTGGGTACATCATTGAGAGCAATGTCAAAGCCATCTTGTGCGAGCCGCAGAGCGATGCTACGACCGATTCCCTGAGCAGAACCAGTTATCAATGCGATGCCCTTTGAGTTAGACATGGCTGTTGTATTCAGCGTGACGCAGCTCTGGCGGATTTATGAGGTTTCTAGTGTACGTAGTACTCATATGGAATGGATGAGTCATATATGATAATACCATTTAAGATGAGAGTGCTGGTAACGCGGTATTGCGCGGTATGCGTGACACCGCAGGTATGGCGATCACGGGGATGAGGCCCGTACGGCGTGCGTCTGGAACTGGATACGTATCTCACAGGTATCCCGTGGTTCTCCTGCGAGAGTCACAGTCAAGCCTCGAGTGGGGTTGATTAGGGATAGGGTTATGGCCGACATCGGCCGTATCAACGAAGCCTTGAGGTCCCGTAACAAGAGTCATGCATTAGCAGACACGTACAGCGCACATTCAGATACAATTGATGTAACGTAGTCCATGTCCTGTCCTCCGACCGTTCTGTACAATATTCCCACGCCCGGCGTCCCCCTGTCTTTGCTGGTCTTTGTCGAACAGAAACATATAATTGTCTCTACAAAAGACTAGCCAGTGGGTTGTAAATCATATTCACACCAATGACGACCATTGTGATTGTCATAGACTGCCTTAACGGTTGAATTGGGTGATGGGACTTTGTGAACATTTCAAGTTGTGAGGCGTTTCGAGACGATAAAGTGTGATATAAATGCTCGACCCCCTCAGGAGTGGATAATACACAAAGTAGAACTAGAGATTTGAACCAGTATCTGAGTTGAAACTTTTGTAATTGGTATTCTCGGACGTAATTTGACGCAAGTTTATTCCCAAAACCATCATTCAACCATAGCACCTGAGAGGAGCAAGAACACAATTGCTGTTGAGGTTCGCTGAAGCGTTCAACAGTGTTGGGTAATTCTGTCGATATCTTTCATTGTCGTTGCGAGACTATGGATGGTTTACGGGGCCTTGTCAGGCCATGCTGATACCCCCATCGACGGACAGCTGCGAGCAAAATCAGACCAATCGCGTATGACAAACCAATTTGACCTACGCATTGACCTGGAGATAGCACATGCTACGTGAGGAGACAAGACATGATGAAGGTATGAACTTACCGGTAATGAAGTGCGCTTCCTTCGACGCGATATAGCTTACAATGCTAGCTATGTCTTCGGGCTGTCCAACATGCTTGATAGGAACATTGTCAAGCAACTTATCAAGTTTGTGAAGAAAGTAGGTGTTCGATGTTCATTATCTGGATAACGTTTGTGATCGCGCTACACTCACCGAATTAATCCACTTGCTCGAGACAGGATCGTCGATAAGTCCTGAATAGTCCACCTTCCCAAACTCATCCATCGTGTCCTTGTCTAACTAGGAGTCAGCAACGAAATTACAAATTTGTTCAACCTTACTCATAGGAGTCTGTATCGCGCCAGGAGCGTATGCATTTACCGTGATCCTATATTTGCCGAGCTCAAGAGCTGTCAAGCAGTCTCTATCGAAGGCTGCCTATATGAGTATCTCAACACTCACCTGCGACTTGGGTGAGCCCTCGAATTGCCCATTTGCTCGCTACATACGCGCCATGGTAGGGTACAGCTGTTCAGTGGCGTGGATAAAATGACTCATGGAAATCCACATTCATATGACGCACCCATTTTACCCTGCACTGAGCTCGCACCAATGATGCGACCGCCACGCCCCTGGTTAATCATCTGAATGGCAGCATACTTGTAACAGAGATAAGGTCCACGGGCATTTATTGCCATTATATTGTCCCATGACTCTACAGTTGCTAATGGAGTATATGAGCAAGCGATAATATGGACTTGGCCGGGATCATACAGGATATCAGCGAGGAAAGCGCCCCCACTCCAGCATTAGCAACCATCTATAACACATTCAGGGAATACGCCTAGTGAGATAAGAAGAGACTAACGACGTCCAATCCACCAAGTTTAGTAACAGCAGCATCGACCATCTCTTTGACTTGTTCGTCGACGGACACGTCAGCGGGAACAATGCAGACTTGTCTCCCTAGGCTTTTAATTTCAGTCGCCACCGATTCCAGCTGGGGACCCTTGGTAGGTACATCATTGAGAGCAATGTCAAAGCCATCTTGTGCGAGTCGCAGAGCGATGCTACGACCGATTCCTTGAGCAGAACCAGTTATCAATGCGATGCCCTTTGAGGTAGACATGGCTGTTGTATTCAGCGTGACGCAGCTCTGACAGATTTATGAGGCTTCTACCACGTACTCGGTGGGAATTGCATGAGCCATATGATCACTTAATCACTTAAGATGAGAGCGCTGCACCCGGTGACCCGAGTAGGGTATAGCACGTGTATGCGTGTTACTTGCCATGGCCTGTCATGTGGTCCATAATTCCTGCAGCTGTCCGCTGACTTCGCTCTGATAGCTCGGTTCTTGAGAGGCCTATCGTTGGAGGAATGGCCATTGGTGGGTATAACAAGGCCAGAATTTGAAATCGCGATTGCTAGCTAGAGAAGACAAACACTGAAATCCCCCTACCTTCGAAGTGCGAATCTAGGTATATAAGAGTGACATGATCACACTCGTCAGGGTACTTAACTCTGTAAGTATACCCGAGCAGATATCATATCAGGGAGTTGGCGATAAGATGTTTTTGACACTATCGGTTATTGCGAAGTTGAATCTTTGAAATTGGTCAAGAAATGATTGAGATCCTTGTTGAGGTGTGACAGAGCCAAAAAATCACGTCTGCCTGTCACCAAGCCGAGTCTGCCGTAGCGGAGCTTCAGTTCTGCCGACCTACTTGCTCATTCGTACCATATGCAAGTCATCTAAACAGTACCTATGGCCCCTCATGATTTCGTACTAGTTGATAATGCATATTCAATAAATCGCTTTTTATTCCTTTTAATAACAATAATGAATGCTACAAAGCCACGACACCGCATGTAAACGCTGCCTGTGCCAGCTACTGGATGCCGAGCGGAGCTTGTTTTTGGTGGATGTGACATTGTGTGACTATCCGAACGAGTGGTTATCCGAAGTTGTGGTAGCCGATAGTAGTCATCGTAACTTGGTAAAATCGAGTTAGTACTATGATAGGGCTGATCACCATAACTGTATACGTACAGTTATGGCCTGTACGGGACCGTACGAATATTCCTGGTATCATGCTCTGATCACTTATCCCTGTAGCTCTAGCCATTATATTTGATTTGTATTGTGAGCTAGATGTTATGTATCATTTTGAAGCCGCTTCAACGCCTGGCTGAGTGAGGGCGGTATGAAACCCCTGCGGTACACAACCGAACCTCAGCTGAAAGACATCAATCACACTCACCCCCGTCGATGCGCATTAGGGATTTATTTCTCACACGTGAAAGCAAGATAGCACAGACGCTCAACATGAGAGCACCCAGCTACGACCGTGTCAGCGTCCACTGTACTGTCTTCAAGCACTTCACCTGCCTCATCTGGCACGGCAACTTCGCTCGCTTCTTCTGGCACGTTGACTTCGCCCACTTCTAGCGCGACGCCTTCATCCACGACTACAAGTGCTGCGCTGAGGCTAGGCACTGGAGGAGGCGGGGTCTGGGCTTTGGCTGCCGCTGCTGTAGGATTGCTCGTGCTCTAGAGAAGCGGAATGATTGACTAGGAACACTACTGCATCGTTCTTCTTATACTTTCTTATGTAGATCAGCGCTCTCGAACACCTCACCATGTAATTACAAGTCGTAAAAACGCTGTGCTGTGTACGTACTACAAACTATGCCGAGCTCTACGAGGTTCTTCTGAAACTACTGGTTCTCTGCTTTGGTATTGCTCCGACCCTTTCGCGCCGTTTTCGCCTCCGACTCGCCATTGTCGCCGCAATGGATTTTGGATCATGGTTATAAGTAGCTCCCATAGTATTCAGACCTTGAAAGATTTTCAAGATTTCTTTATCGAGTCAAGATGAGAAGGAACGACCATCTTCATTCTATTTGGTCTCCCTAAAGCTACGAGAGACTAGATCGTGGTACGCTTTTGTTATTTGTCAAGTCCAATGCGCAATCTCGACGACGACGATCGCGTGCGACGATTTGCCGTGCTGAGCCGCTTCTGCTGCACCGTGACGTCGACTAATAGAGTGAGTCAAACATGGCGCGCAGGCGGTTCACTCACCGATTCTGAGTCCTGACGTTCAATTTCGTCTCGATTCTTTGACGTGAATCGAACGTAGATTGTGCGGAAGTTTAAATCCCCCTCATTATTACGGTAAGTGTTTCTCTATACATTCAAATGCAAGCAGGCGTTCGGCTGCATATAAGAGCCAGGACTCGCACTAGCAGATCAAGCGTTCAAACTGGTAACAAAGACATGACATCTCTCTATTCTCCACCTCTCAATCACTGACTCCCGAGCTGTTGTCCCAGCTCAAAGAGCGCAGTGAAAAGTTTCTCTTCGAGATCATCAGCGCGAACTGGAAATCACAGCTCTGCCAAACCGCTGATGAGCTCAACATCTTCAGCCACACTGTTGAAATGCTGCACGATGGTTAATAGGGATTTTGTGGAATTTCCGCAAGCTGGTACCGCTCATAGCATATGACACTTACAAACCTTCCGTGGTTCGGTTTTTCAACGAACCCTGCCAGAAATCTGAGGTCATTAACCTTTTTGCACCTGGTTTCCCTGTCTTCCTCGCACTCTCTAGTGCGACCTCGGGGAAGGCACCCTAAGTATTTCGCGAAGTATAGAGAAACTACCTACCGTGCACCAGGCGCTCAGGGTCAGAGCCTATACGCGTATCGCTTAGCGTATAGGGTCTTCAGTGTCTTCTGTGGAGATAAAGACATTGTGCGAAAAATTACCGTCTCCGGAGTGGGTACTGGGATGTTGAGATTGAAAAAAGGATGGAACATAGACAATCGTCCAAGTGTGAGCACTATCCGAATTAATGATCCGTGGCGGTGGACACTGAAATTCATTGTGTTAGTCCCAGGGGAGACTGCTCCACATGCAGTAGGCATGGTCGCACATACCCCCTCGTATCTTCTCTTTCATGCGCTGTTCGCGCCGGCTGATCGTAGTGTGGAGAATCTCAGGGTCATGTTTTGCACAATCTTACTCGACCTGTTCATGTATCAAGATGATAGGAAGACGAGCACGGGGAGAGGTGAGCTATACAAAGAATGTATTCTAAGGGTACATTAGCTCGTTATCGAGAAGGAAAAGAACTATAGGGCTTATATCTCAGTATCTGGAAGAGACTGAGATGTTACGACGCTGGTGCGCTTATTTTAACTACGGGTAAAGTAGGGATAGAGTAAGAAATCAGTTTGAAACCTATTCGCGTAGTCACTCGGCCGAACGACTGCTCATTGCGCTCGTACCTATCACGACGTCAATCGCGTCGGTCCTCCTGTCCCGATTCGTCTGTACGCGACATCATGTTCATGGACCGTGATTGGTTCACTCTCGCGGACGCCATTGATACAGGGACAATAACAGAACTTGAAAATATCGAGCACGTACGGGACCAACTGCAGGCAAGCACGGGTTTATATTTCCTCAGTCACTGTCTAATCAAACATACAGCGGCACTTACATGCTGGTCCTGTCCGCGTTTCTGGTCAAGCCTGGGACATGCCTGAATATAGACAATGGAAAGGTAAAGCGGCTACGATGGGCGTATGTCAAAGTCAAATGAAATTCACTGGGGTAATGCTCGATCCCGTAGCTTAGGAGTGATTGATGTACAGAATAGAACCAGAGATTTAAATAAGTATTCGAGTAGACCTTGAAACCTTTCGAATCGGTGTTCTCGGACGAAATCTGAAGTAAGTTGATTGTTAAAACCATACCTAGTATCTGCGAGGAGAAAAACTGTTAACGGGGCATTTGTCAGGTCATGCTGATTCCTCCATCGACGGAAATCTGCGAGAAAAATCAGACCAGTCGTGTGCAGCAAACCAATTTGACCTACACATTGACCTAGAGGCATCACATACTACCTGAGCAAGAGAGAGGCTTGATGAAGCTATGAACTTACCGGTAATGAAGTGCGCTTCCTTCGACGCGAGATAGCTTACAATGCTAGCTACATCTTCAGGCTGTCCAACATGCTTGATAGGAATATTCTCAAGTATCTCATCGAGAAAGTAGGTGTTCAACTTTCATTATCTGGATAAGGTTTGTGATCACGCTGCACTCACCGACGTAGACCATTTCCTCGCGACAGGATCGTCAATATATCCTGAAAAATCCATCTTCCCAGACTCATCCATGATACCCTTGACTGACTGGGAGTCAGCTGCAAAATCAGAAATTTGATCAACCTTACCCATATCAGTCGGTATCCCGCCAGGAGCATATGCATTTACAGTGATCCCATGTTTGCCGAGCTCAAGAGCTGTCAAGCAGTCTCTATTGAAGGCTTCCCATGTGAGTATCTCAACACTCACCTGCGACTTGGGTGAGCCCTCGAATTGCAAATTTGCTCGCTACATACGAACAATGGTAGGGAAAAGCTGTTCGGTGGCGTGGATAAAAGTACTCATGGAAATTCATATTCATATGACGCACCCACTTTCCCCAGGAGTGAGCTCGCACCGATGATGCGACCGCCACGCCCCTGGTCAATCATCTGCATGGCAGCATACTTGTAACAGAGATAAGGTCCACGGGCATTTACTGCCAATATATGATCCCATGACTCTACAGTTGCTGGGGGATGACATGAGCAAACGACAATGTCGACTTGGTCGAGATCATACAGGATAGAAGCGAGCCGCCTGTCGTCACTCCAGCATTAGCAACCATCTACACATAAAACATTCAGGGCATACGTCTAGTGAGATAAGAAGAAACTAACGACGTCCAATCCACCAAGATTGGTAACAGCACCGTCGACCATTTCTTTGACCTGTTCGTCGACAGTCACGTCAGCGGGAACAATGCAGACTTGTCTCCCTAAGCTTTTGATCTCAGTCGCTACCGATTCCAGCTGGGGACCCTTGATGGGTAGATCATTGAGAGCAATGTCAAAGCCATCTTGTGCGAGCCGCAGAGCGATGCTACGACCAATTCCTTGAGCAGAACCAGTTATCAATGCGATGCCCTTTGAAGTAGGCATGGCTGTTATATTCAGCGTGACGCAGCTCTGACAGATTTATGAGGCTTTTACCACGTACTCGGTGGGAATTGCATGAGCCATATTGATCACTAAAGATAAGAGCGCTGCACCCAGTGACCCGAGCATGTATGCGTGTTACTTGCCGTGGCCCGTCATGTGGTTCATAATTCCTGCAGCTGTCCGCTGACTCCGCTCTGATAGCTCGGTTCTTGAGAGGCCTATCGTTGGAGGAATGGCCATTGGCGGGTATAACAAGGCCAGAATTTGAAATCGCGATTGCTAGCTAAAGAAGACAAACACTGAATTCCCCTACCTTCGAAGTGCGAATCTAAGTAAGTATATAAGAGTGACATGATCACACTCGTCAGGGTACGTAACTCTGTAAGTATACCTGAGCAGATATCATGTCAGGGAGTTGGCGATAAGATGTTTTTGATTGTCATCGTAACTTGGTAAAATCGAGTTAGTACAGGGCTGATCACCATAACCGTATACGTACGGTTATGGCCTGTACGTGACCGTACGAAGTGGAGCTGATCACGGGGAAATTGATGGTCCTGCACTCCTGGTATCATGCTCTAGTCACTCATCCCTGTAGCTCTAGTCATTATATTTGATTTGTATTGCGAGCCAGATGTTATGTATCATTTTGAAGCCGTTTCAATGCCTGGCTGAGTGAGGGGGTATGAAACCCCTGCAGTACACAACCGAAGCTCAGCTGTAAGACATCAATCACACTCACCCCCGTCGATGCGCATTAGGGATTTATTTCTCACACGTGAGAGCAAGATAGCACAGACGCTCAACATGAGAACAATCACAACCGGGCGTTCTTGGGCATCCTCCTAATAGCCTGCCGCACACCAAGATCCCCCAGGACATCTTCCGCACCAGCAAGGATAGCATCGAAAGGTGACGTCCGGTGATACTTGGCGCAATACTCGTTAGCATTGTTAATGGAGAGCACAAGTCCAGACCTACATTCTCAATGACCTTACCCATGCCCGTGACGGTGATACCCCGACCTCCGAAAATCTGGGTTGCGTCCTCAGCGGTTTCACGACCAGCCTTTGACACAAACCTGCATCGCAGCCCATCAGCTTAAGCCTGAAACAACGGAAGCGGAAAACGCATACTGCTTTAGTAATGCAATAGGACCTGCCAGTTTGTCGGATTGTTCATGATAGGACATCTACATTTCGAGTTAAGGGTGACAACACTCAGAGGACTTTGGGACCAACATTGTTCATCTGATATGTGATGTTCTCTACCCATGCCTGGCATGCTTCCACGCGGGAAATCATCGCCGCAAGTTTTGCGCGGATAACTGCCTGAGCATGAAGAGGTTTGCCGAAGGCAATCCGTTGATTGGTCCACCTGTAATGTTCCATCAAACGTCAGAAAGATGTCAAGAAGAACATAGAGTACGCCCTTACTTCAAACACTCCTCGACCACTACTCTTTGTGCACCAAGACTCGTCGCGGTGACCATCCACCGTTCATGATTAAAGTTGCTCAGAACAATCGACATGCCCTTCCCGACTTGACCCAAGGTGTTAGCAACCGGCACGCGTGTCTTGTCAAAGGTGATAAATGCAGTCCCAGCGGTCGCAGAATAGGACGTTTTCAATGGTTTTGTAGACACAGCATCCGAGCGCTCAATGAGCAAGACGACAAACCCGGCCTGCAATGATGATGAGAAACGGTGGGATCAACAAAAGAACACGAACGCACGTCTGTTTTGCATAGTGTCGTGAAATAATCTGAAAAGGTGCCATTTGTTATCCACCTACAATGCCAATGAGTAATCCATTTTTGAGAGGCAACTCAAACCATGCATGTGTACTTCTTAGTTCCAGTGACAATCCACTCATCACCATCTCTCACGGCGACAGTTTGCGCACCGCTAACATCGCTACCTGCAAATGCTTCCGAGACAGCAAGAGAGATGTACTTCTTGCCAGCTAGAATGTCCGGTACGAACTTGGCTCGCTGCTCCGGCGTCCCAAAATTAAGAACAGGAGGGAGGGCGATTACCCCGCCATTCAGGAGGCCATCAACGAATCCTCGCGTCCCGAACCGCGCAAGCTCGGTGTTGAGAATAAGCTATGCGGTCATGTGAGTCGGCACGAAAGAATACTTCGTGAGTAACGTACTTCATGGAAGTAGTCGTATTCCTCAGGATTCACGATGCCACCCATCAAGGTAAGCCCCTTGAGGTGCTTGCCTGGTCCCAGGCGCATAGCTAGGAAATTTATCTCGCTGTGGTATCATTAATGACCAAGCCAAGCTTCACGCAGGAAATGTTACCTTAGTTTATCCACGACTTCCTGTGATATTCTCTTCCCATTTTCCTCGCATCTGATTGCCTCTGGTTGTACAAATTCCATCAAGAACGCTCTCACAGCCTTGTGAAACTGGCGGTGGTTATCACTATAGTAGGGGCTAAAGTATCCAGGTGTCAGCCACGTAGGCTCAGCATAGGGCACAAGAGACAGTTCGCCAGGCGCAAGAGGCTTGATGGTTTCGGTCTGCCCGCGGATAGCTCCTATTTGGAGGCGCGCGTACTGAGGACGCTGGAGAACCTCAAGTCGGTGAAGTCCGAAGAATACCTGTGTAGCATCCTTCCCAGCTAGGATCAATATGAATATGGAGTCAAGTCCGAAAGTCACTGCACTTGCCTACACCGTCGGCGTACAGCACGCTTGCACCTCCTGGGTGAAGGTCCGCGAAGCGGGACAAGTCATAAACTTTGGAGTCAATGACAAGCCACTGCGTAGAGAATTAATGGCAAATTATAGACCTGAAGTTATAACACGCACAAGGTTGCCTTCCTTGTTATGCTGTAAACGTATTCAGCGTCCACCAGAACGTAAAGCGAGTGTGTCCCAATGCTCACCTGAGCAACGTCATCTAGAGTGAACTCATTAGAAGGCATTATGCTGCTAGCGATCTCGTTTTCTGGTTTGGGTGAACTCGGCTGAAGTACTAAGGAAGAACGAGGGAAGTGAGTGAGCTAAGGGATTTCACATGACTGAGTAGAACAAACCAAGTACTGCAGGACACACAAAGTCGTGAGAGTAAGTATTTCAAATTCCAATGTCCAATCATAGACAGTATAATCACAATTCCAGCGACAATTGTTATACTTATTACTAGTAAGTACTACCACCCCCCATTCCTAGAGGTCAAGAGGACTGATCTATCAGAGCAGACAGTGGCAGACTATCTCACCTTATATCATGTCCGACAATCCACAACTCTTGTTGAACCCGGGACCTCAAGGCTGTTACTTACTAGCGTTCCGAGACCTCTCACCTCAAACAATATGGCTAGTCCATTTTCCATTGAATACGTGGCAGCAGCCTCATAAACTCGTCAGAGCTGCGTCACGCTGAATACAACGCTCATGTCTATCTCAAAGGGTATCGCATTGATAACTGGTTCTGCTCAGGGAATTGGCCGCAGCATCGCGATGCGGCTCGCACAAGATGGCTTTGATATTGCTCTCAATGATGTACCCACCAAGGGTCCCCAGCTGGAATCGGTGGCGACTGAGATAAAAAGCCTAGGGAGACAAGTCTGCGTTGTCCCCGCTGACGTGATTGTCGATGAACAAGTCAAAGAGATGGTCGACGGTGCTGTTACCAATCTTGGTGGATTGGACATCGTTAGTTTCTTCTTATCTCACTAGACGTATACCCTGAATGTTTTATGTGCAGATGGTTGCTAATGCTGGAGTGGCGACAGGCGGCTCGCTTATATCCTGTATGATCTCGACCAAGTCGACATTGTCGTTTGCTCATGTCATCCCCCAGCAACTGTAGAGTCATGGGACCATACATTGACAGTAAATGCCCGTGGAACTTATCTCTGTTACAAGTATGCTGCCATGCAGATGATTGACCAGGGGCGTGGCGGTCGCATCATCGGTGCGAGCTCACTCCTAGGGAAAATGGGTGCGTCATATGAATATGAATTTCTATGAGTGCTCATCCACGCCGCCGCACAGCCTTCCCCTACAATTGCTCGTATGCAGCGAGCAAATTTGCAATTCGAGGGCTGACTCAAGTCGCAGGTGAGTGTTGATGTTGAGATTATTACATGGGCACCCTTCGATAGAGATCGCTTGACAGCTCTTGAGCTCGGCAAATATGGGATCACTGTAAATGCGTATGCTCCCGGCTGGATACTGACGGATATGAGTAAGGTTGAACAAATTTCTGATTTTGCAGCTGACTCCTAGTCAGCCAAGGGTGTCATGGATGAATCTGGGAAGGTGGATTTTGCAAGATATATTGACGATCCTGTCTCAAGGAAATGGTGTACGTCGGTGAGTGTAGCGCGATCACAAAGATAATAAAAGTTGAATACCTACTTTCTTGATGAGGTGCTTGAGAATGTTCCTATCAAGCATATTGGTCAGCCTGAAGATGTAGCTAGCATTGTAAGCTATCTCGCGTCGAAGGAAGCGCACTTCATTACCGGTAAGTTCATAGCTTCATCGTGTCTTGTCTCCTCACGTTGCATGTGATATCTCCAGGTCAATGCGTAGGTCAAATTGGTTTGTTATACGCGATTGGTCTGATTTTGCTCGCAGCTGTCCATCGATGGGGGTATCAGCATGGCCTGACAAGGCCCTGTGAACTATCCATAGTCTCGCAATGACAAGAGCGCGGCACAATAGAAATGTCAATAGAACCGCCCAACACTGTTAAACGCTTTAGAGAATCACAACAGCAATTGTGTTCTTGCTCTTCACAGATGCTATGCTTAAATGATGGTTTTGGCAATAAACTTGCGTCAAATTACGTCCGAGAACACCGGGTTCAAAAGTTTCAAGTCTACTCAGTCTCAGATCCTGGATCAAATCTCTCGTTCTATTCTGTATATTATCCACTTCTCAGCTATGGGGTCGAGCATTACCAGTAATCACGGGAACTTTTATTTGACTTTGACATAGCCGCTTCACCTCCCCATTTCCTGTGTGCTGCGAATGTCCCAGGCTTGACTACTTGTATCGTGGGCATGGCCACGAATCCGATCATAGCCGCGCCCAAGTGGCAAGTTCAAACATGGATATCATATACGCAGCATTTAGGTATGTATTATACTTTTATCGCCTCGAAAAGCACGCCTCACAATTGTTCACAAAGTCCCATCACCTGATTCGACCGTTGAAGCAGTTCATAATCATCACAATGGTCATCGTCGATGTGAATATGATTTGCAGCTCACTGGTTATTTGGAGACGTTCAGCGGTACAAAGACAGTCAGCGTGGGAGTCGGGGAAATTTCAAATTCCGAACCGAGCTACCAGAGCGGACAGCTGCCGGACTTATGGACTTAGGACTAAGTACGTCACTGAATGCGCTGTGGGTGTCTGACAATGTATGACTCTTGTTCCGGGGCCTCAAGGCCTCAAGCTTCAAGGATTGTTTCCGGTCAATGAAGGGAACTTGAAGGAGTAACTTAGTAACTTTGATCAAGGCATCGGCCATAACCCTATCCCCAACAAACCTAACTCAAAGCCTGACTGTGGCGTACGTGCCAGTTCCAGATACGGTACCTGCATGGGCCGTACCCGTACCCACCTCACCCATCACCCCCATACCTGCCACTATGCGCTCTGAAGCTGGCGATTTCCACCGTTCTAACCACCCACCAGTCGGGTGGAAACAACTCCATTGACATTGAACATCACTGGGTAGCGGCGCTAACAACCCATCCTGCAAGTAATTTCTTGTTGACAGATTTGGTTAGTCTGTCTCAAGTGGTGGATATGACTGACCAGACAAGCCTAGGTGTTTTTCAGTGGTATGCGCGATATTGAAAATTGCCTGAATAGTGTAAGTTGGTCAGACTGCCGCACGCGCATAACCGTTACACCAAAAGGTAGAATACTGAAAGCTTAGCTTTCAGTATCAGCGACAGTATATAAGTATACTGAGTATGGGAACTCAGGTAAGCCAGCGTGCTTACAAATAGATGGTGATAAGAAATCACCTGTTTATTAGGTGAGTTGAATAATTCACTAGCTCTGTGGGTGATTCGAACCTTCTTCTAGTTTCGTAGTGCTGGGGAGACCTGCGGTCTCACTCATACCCTGCAATACCATTCTCGGAATCACCAGCGGTCTCACATTAGATGATATTATCATATAATTGCTCCATTCCCCATTGAGTACTTACGTGCACTAGAAACCTCATAAATCCGCCAGAGCTGCGCCACGCTGAATACAACACTCATGTCTATCTCAAAGGGCATCACATTGATAACTGGTTCTGCTCAGGGAATTGGCCGCAGCATCGCTCTGCGACTCGCACGAGATGGCTTTGACGTTGCTCTCAATGATGTACCCACCAAGGGTCCCCAGTTAGAATCGGTAGCGACAGAGATTAAAAGCCTAGGGAGACGAGTCTGCGTTGTTCCCGCTGACGTGTCTGTCGACGAACAAGTCAAAGGGATGGTCAATGATGCTGTTACCAATCTTGGTGGATTGGACGTCGTCAGTCTCTTCTTATCTCACTAGGCGTATTCCCTGAATGTTTTGTGTGCAGATGATTGCTAATGCTGGAGTGGGGACAGTTACCTCGCTTATATCCTGTATGATCCCGGCCACGTCGACATTGTCGTTTGCTCATATCCTCCATCAGCAACTGTAGAGTCATGGGACCATACATTGGCAGTAAATGCCCGTGGACCTTATCTCTGTTACAAGTATGCTGCCATGCAGATGATTGACCAGGGGCATGGTGGTCGCATCATCGGTGCGAGCTCACTCGTGGGCAAAATGGGTGTGTCATATGAATATGATTGCCATGAGTACTTTATTCACGCCGCCGGACAGCCTTCCCCAATAATTGCGCGTATGGAGCGAGTAAATTTGCAATTCGAGGGCTGACTCAAGTCGCAGGTGAGTGTTGATGTTGAGATCACATGGGCAACCTTTGATAGAGATTGCTTGATAGCTCTTGAGCTTGGCAAATATGGCATCACGGTAAATGCGTACGCTCCTGGCGCGATACAGACTCCTTTGAGTAAGGTTGAACAAATTTCTGGTTCCGCAACTGACTCTTAGTTAGCCGAGGAGATGATTATGGATGAGTCCGGGAAGATTGATTTTGAAACACTTATCCCCGATCCTGTCTCGAGGAAGTGGGTTATGTCGGTGAGTGTAGCGCGATCACAAACCTTGTCTAGAAATGAACGTCGGATACTCATTCTCTTCATAAACTCGATAAGGTATTTGAAAATGTTCCTATCAAGCATATTGGTCAGCCCGAAGACATAGCTAGCATTGTAAGCTATCTCGCGTCGAAGGAAGCGCACTTCATTACCGGTAAGTTCATAGCTTCATCATGTCTTGTCTCCTACTCACGCAGCATGTGATATCTCCAGGTCAATGCGTAGGTCAAGTTGGTTTGCTGCACGCGACTGGTCTAATTTTGCTTGCAGATTTCCGTCGATGGGGGAATCTGTATGTCCTAATAAAAGTTTTGGTAATAAAGTTGCGCTAAACAATGCAAGAATTTCATCCAAGAACACCGACCTGTGCCATGCGGTAAAACCGTAGTAGAATTAAAACGATCTCGAGAACAGTGAATCCCCGCAACAATGACCCAGACCAATGAGAAACATCGTCCACGACCGGGAACAGACTGTTTGGTCTTTCGAGCGTCCTTTGCAGGTATCCCTGTCAGCTGACAGACGTCAAAACCACGACTGCATAGTGCCAGCTGAGCTCAGTCCGAGTCAATGATAACAACTCAATCGGATAGACATTTGCTCTGCACTTGAAGACAGCAAATGAACGCTAGGCTTTAAAGTTGGTTGGGAGTTTAATATTACCAGAATCTGAAAATCAGTGCCCGAGTTATAGAAGGTACATCATCATTAACTGTAGGCTCACGACGTGACGGCACCAGTGTTGATGCTAATAAGTTGGCTATACAGTGAACACGACATTACTAATCTGTTGTACTTACTACTCGAAGAACCCGAGTTAACTGCGGTTGGTTGATATGACCGAGTTTTGACCGAGTTAATTTATTAATATTAAGGTCCTCGCGAAAAGCCAGCGCCAAGCGGGATTTGGAAGATCTCTTTCGCAGGAGATCTCTCTCGTAGGCATAACTATCCCGAATGATACGTCACGATCTGCAATCATCCCTCGGAATTGATGCGATAGCGATAGTTCTTCGCGTCTTCAATTCATGAGTCTGAACGCAATGGTAATTTCCGAACGCCTTCCTAATGACATTAATCTTCCTCTAGTTGCAATCAAAACCATACCACAGTATGCGTCTGGAGGATATTGGCAGGCCTAGCATTCAGAAGGGTACCGCAAGGACTGATATTTGGTGCGAGTCTTGGTGCATGTGCGACAACCGTACGAACGCCCAGAACAATTCAATAAGGGTACCCAATAATGCACTATCACTTAGCTACTGGTCTGCATTGCCCTGAGCTCGGTAACGGCAGGAGCAATTACAATTGTCAGCGGAGTCAATGTTTCCTGCAAAAGTCACAACTAACGAGACTGTAATGTCACCGTACGCCGCGGTCAAATTGACATACTCTTGCTAATAAATCCGATTCTACCCGTGAAGCGAGCAGGAAATGAACGCCACACAACTGGATACCCGTGGACTGTGGAGGTTCGCGGGAGACTTTGACAAATTTCGCAACGTGAGCAGCCCTGCCAGCATGAAAGTATTGACGGATTGTTGTGGTAAAACGGCCATCACCGTGGACAACGAACGTTTTGAGCCCGATTGGACACAAGACTGACGGATAGAGGATTCCAGAAATATGATAGGCAGGGGAAAAGACAAGCAAGTTTTTGAGTGGCCAATCAAACCACCAGTCTCAGATTGAGGTAATTCTCACGGTGAGTAATCTATTTCCCACGGTGTTGAAGATTTGTTTTACTTTACATTTGTGATTATAGGACCGTCCCTTCACATCTTCATCATGCTTGCTCTCGTACACCCGGTACATTCTTCAGAACCTAGAACTATCGATAGAACAACCATCGAAAGAAATATTTCAAGTTTACCAAGAACTTCATCATCTCGCTCAAGTTCTAGCAGAGTATCCCATTGGAAACCACAAGCTAGTACTTCTACTTTTCAATCATCCTACTGTCCAACAGTTCCAAGGAGATCAGTTTCTGCATCTTCAGTTGTGGCCAGAGAACCTTCTCCAACTCGCCATAATGCCATTCAGTCATCTCAGTCAACGTCCCAATCCTCGCCTGCCACAGCAAGAGTTACCCCCCCTGATGATCCACCCACCGCTGGTTCTCCAATTCCTCCACCTCAAATTAGTCTACCAGCGTCTACTTCATCTTTTGACGTTCACAACTACCCCTCAGCCGACTTGCTTCGTCTCTTGGCTTCCCTTCTTACCCAGATTGCATCTACAAACGATGCAATCTCAGGCTCAGACCCAGCATCCCATACTTTGGCAAGTCTATCGCATCAAAATGTATCAGAAGACGCTTCTCGCTCCCCTATATGGCGTTCCCTCACTTCTGCTTCCCGCTCCTCCTTATCAAATCCCGCCTCCGCCCTCACTTTCCATGCCCGCAACATTCCGACTATCGCACTAGAATCTTACTTGTTACGAATACTCAAATATTGTCCAACAACAAACGAGGTGTTCCTAGCCCTCCTCGTGTATTTTGACCGCATGTCTCGGCTTGCTTCCGAGGCAACAGGACGCACGTTTGTCATCGACTCGTATAACGTCCATAGACTTGTCATTGCTGGCGTCACAGTCGCCAGTAAATTCTTTAGCGATGTATTTTACACTAATTCACGCTATGCAAAGGTGGGTTTCAACTTTCCAGCCCTGTTCAAAATACTCACTCCAGCCCAAATTTCGCTATCTTGACTCAGGTCGGAGGTCTCCCACTAGCAGAGCTCAACCAGCTCGAACTCCAGTTTTTGCTTCTCAACGACTTCAGGCTTGTCATATCGCCTGAGGAGATGCAAAGATATGCCGAACAGCTTATCCTGTTTTCGCAATCACAGCCTCCACAGCTATCCCCTACCGTTCCTCGCCCTGTGACGCCATCACGCTCACAGCAATCACCAACGTTGCAGACACGTTCATCGCCTACCACAGCATCAGGCCCTGCACGGGCTATGGGTGCCATTGATACCTACGGTGGTACAGTGGCACCCGATCGGACGCCCAGTATGCGTGCTGTACGCACGCGCGACGATGACGCTGCGAGCATCGTTAGCGAAACAGATACTGAAACTGAAACTGAGGGTGGCTACGCGACGGATGATGAGCCGACGATTCGCCCACCCAACTCTTCAAGCTCGTGTTGCGGGGATGCTGAGGAGTGCGAGAGCGCCGGTGAGTTCCGGGCTGCCAGCGTAGAGCAGAGCGATGAGTGCAGGCGGAACGGAGTGGAAGATAAAGAAAGAGAACGAGAACGAGGCGATATTACGCCAGAATTGAAAGCCCGGCGGCTTGTACGAGAAATTAGTGAGGACATTGGAATGGCGAGCCCTTAGACTGTTGCCAAATGATTGCTCCGCGACACCTCTTAATCTTTGCGCTGGTATCTGTTTGACCAGCTCGTAATACGCTTCTTCATACCTTCTACAGTGCACGTCAACCACCTACATACATTACTGTCATATCGTACAGCAGTGTCTATACCTTGCCTTCAATCATACTTTGGCACCAGCGACGGATTTCATGTTTATTTAGTCTATGGTATGCTCCCTATAGATAGACTCGAAGTTAAAATGTATTGTTCTGCCGCAGCTTCTGTTTCTTGCACTGATATTGTGTCAAAACTAATAGTATATATGCTACTGGTCACCCATGTGGTCGACGTCGCTGTCGTTGGGTCACTGCTAGTCACTTGTTCCGGTAGCAGTCACACCATGGCTTGAACTGAGTTCAAGCACAGTCACGGACAATATAATATCATAGTAGTGAAGTGATTGAAGGAAATAGTGTTGCCCTCCTTGTCCTGGGCGCTACTAATATCTTTTCAAGCGCTGCTGTCAGAACAGGATCTGGAGGCGTTAAAACTTAAGAATAGCCGGAGGCTCCTGTACCTGTGAGATTGCGTCGTTACATCAAGAGAGGTGTTTGCAGTTAAATGAGACATATTAAAGTGACCAAGTAGCACTAGAGACTGGCACTCTCGATGAAGTATCTCTGAAAGCATGTAAGCGCCAGCCATCCTTTTCCAGGACATATATATATATGGAATTGCTACAACAACGCAGTCAGCTCAGAACGTCAAACAACAAGTATATGTTGAATAATGTCGTGTGGTAAAACCATCGCTCCAAACACATCCCAGTGTGACATGAGGTAAGAGAGAAGACCTACTCGTCCATTATCCAATCGTTCAACCTCCAAAAAACTTGGATAAAATGTGAATCATGTTCCGTGTCTTTGTATTTCTGATGTTTGCGTAGCAAAGCATAGAAAACGTAAGACTATCAGTACGCCTAGACTTCGAATGAGTTGGAACAGATTGAAACACACTGCTCCTTAGGTACAAATATATTTTGCTGCTTATACCAGGTGGGGTTGCACAGCCAGGTTTCCCTCCGTGGGACTCAATCAAAAGTTCAGCGTCAAGTTGCAATGGAAAGCTATCCTGAGAAAGACCAAACCCAGTTCGCCACCTCCCCTCAGGTCCCATATAGAATTGAAACCATCATATACGTTCGGCGAGGATTGGCATAATCATGTCAGTTAAGCACGAACCGAGAATATACCCCTGCAACAAATTATGTGAGCAATTCCTCTGTAATGCGGACTCGGAGACGTTTCTGGAACATCCTGAAGCGGAAAGAAGCGACGAAGGGGTGCTGGACCGCATCTGGTGGACAACCCAGAGAGCGTCTGAAAGGCTCGTTTTAGGCTACTTAGTGCACAATTCATAAATGCAGTCTCGGGTGGGTATTGCCTTGCACTGACAGTCGATATTTGCCAAAACCAGTTGCGTAAATAATGCGTGATCGCTAGTCACCATGCACGCGCGACGCAAGTCGGAAGAGCAAACAGACGAAAAATGGGAAATGTATCCAGCAAACGCCGAAAAGGCTTCTCGCGATCGTCGGTTATTCACAATTACCCAATACAGTGCCGCGTGATCTCTACGTGTACTATTTATTTATGCAGCACTTTGCTGATGAGCCATTGTAGCTCAAATTTACGACTGATATGGTCTCCGGCGTCAGAAGCTCTCTCTTCTTTAGCCCAGAGGTTTGGCAATGTCGTCTGGGATATCATATTTTCGAAATTACAACAACCCCAGGGAACCCAAGAAGCTCCTGAATGGCTGACCGCTATCAAGGACGATGAGAATGACATGGATCCTTGGGAAGAACGATCTTGGAGAGACCCTACTGCACATAAGCTTCGGGATGCCGCTGCAAATTGGCTCGATAAGCATTACCACTGCAAGATCATCACTTCGGTAAGTCTTCTAGACGCTCGAACCAGTATCTTGTTAACGATAGGGTATAGGAACAAAAATCGTCCGATCGGTTCGATCCCGTCACGTTTGAACTTTGAAGCTCAGGTTCTCCTCACTCTCGGACAATGCACATTTTTGGCGGAAAAACATAACCGCGAGTTGGTGACCTACTTCCTTTCTATCGCCGGCCCGGATGCTCTATCACGATTGCCGAAATATAAGCTTCAGTCGTGGTTGACGCTGTTCAGCAAGTTTGGCAATCCAAAGGCTCTGCACTCCACACGCTGCGAGAACTGTACCGCTCCATCATCTCCTACCCCGATCGGGCATTGCAAACGGTATCCTTATCCTGCTTGCTCGCATATAAGTCGCCCCACCTCCAGCATCATGAGGAGAAGTTACGCCTCCTCCTCGACGAAACTAAGTGGAGAGACGAGTTGACGTCTTTGCATTTGTCGTCGATAGAGATCAAGGACCGACCGCAGCTAGTGGATGTCATCGTTCGTCTGCTATATGGGCTCACGTTGGAAAGGAAGGGTCGCTCTAGGGGTAGTAATCGCCGGGCTGCTGTGCTGACAGCATCGGCAGGATGCACAGACCAGGAACTCTCTCTTCTAGTGGATCTGATGTTGAAACCGATGCAGTCTGACAGCCATGCTTGCCAGGATGACATGTTCTCACTGTGCAATATTTTCTCAGACGTCTCATTGAAGCAGCAATCTGGTTACCTGACTTTGTCGGGTGACGTGCTGAAGAACCTTGAGTCGAGATTGACCACGTACTGGCCGGCTTTGCTCGGGATCACACTCGATCTGGTTGCTCATGCTTAGAAGCAGCTGTCGAATGTGACGGCAGCCGAGGCTGTCGAGCAGGTGGAAAACGAAGCGGACGAAGAGGAGAGCGAAGTCGGAGAGGTATTCTATTCCACAGCCTTGCGTTCCGTGAGGCAACAAGGCCTCAAGCGGCTTGCCGATTTCTTTCGCTACCCGGTTGAATTTGACTTCACACCCTATCTCTTCGCGTCATTTTCCGATATCGTTGCTCCATGTCTGGAGTTATTGGATCAAGAGAACAAGCCCCTTCCGCGCTCATGGAATTGTTCTATATATAGACCAGTCGACCAGAGTATTCGGTGCAGCCTTGTACAACACGACCCTCGTGTACTGCCAAAGATTCTCGACTGCCTTGTCGCGGCCAACATCAAGCCAGCAGTGATCAACAGAGTATTCGACATCGTAGAGCGCCTGCTGCTGTATTCTGCGGATGACAGTCGATTCCTGGATTTGCTCATTCAGCCATATATATCGCAGTTGCTCAAGAACCTCACAACTTTGGTCGAACGCACAAAGGCTGATGCAGCGCTTTCAAGTCCAATTACTCAGCGCCAAATCAGCCTACTTTCGGAGGTCGCTCGTTACGCTGGAGATTCTATGCAAACCTTGACTCTACTCAGCCTTCTCTCCCCTTTGCTACGCAAGTCTAGCAGAATCATATCTGAGAAAGTCAAAGTCAAGCTTCTCGGCACCCTCGGTCATATATTCCCTCTACTCACTGAGCTGTCAATCCTCGATATTGGGTGTTTTCAGGAGGGCGGAGAGAGCAACAGCGCAGACGTTGACAGCTGGGACGACAGATGAAGGGGTGAAATCAGGAGCGGTGACGATATCTCGGATGCGAGACAGAACACTGGTACGGTTCTGCTTGACTCGTGGAAAGGAAAATACGGATGATCGTATGCACTGGACAGAATGTGCTGACAATGGAGACGGGGGAGATGCAACGGACTTGCTATCATCGAAGACTTCGGACTTGGTGGTCTTTTTGGAGGGAAGAGTGGCTAGAAAGAAATAGGGGCCTGCTTCCGCAATACCCACTGCACTTCCCCCTCCGTACGACAAAACACCGACTTTCGGCCAGTCGCCATACCCCAGGTCGTTTTCGTCAGCTGAGTAGCAGTACTCGCAGGGTCGGGCCCTTGTGTTTTAGAAACAGGCTTCTGAACTGTGTCACGGCGTCGACCCATATATCCACTGGCTAAAGTAGCAGGAAAACTGAAAACTGCTACTTCCATCGAAGGTTCGAAACTCATTCCTGCGTCATCACATTCGAGGGGTAAGGTTTCCTGATTTGAACTCGTGCCCCGAGGATAGTAGTCCCGAACATCAGGTTTATTTGACCACATAATAGATACATATACCCGGAGGCACTGTACCTAGACATAATGCCAAAAGGTCTATAGTTCGTCTTTGGTTTGCTCGTCCTCCAGTGGGCGACACAGCGCTGGAGTCGTTCCTGTAATTTGGTACTCGCACTTTTCCAGCTCTGCCACCGTTAGTAACGCGTTTTCAGTGCCACATGTGAGGACGAGCTTATAAGAGTAAATCAATGTTGGGCAGAATTAAGAAAAGATAACACTAACTTCAACACTGCGATGAGGGCCGTTCCAGCATTTGGCCCCCTGGGTATAGTGCTGTTTGGTATAATAATCCAGCTCACCAGGTTGAGCGGCTTTGTTCCAGGTCGAAAATTTCCTGGAGGGCATATACATAAATACCTTCATGATACTTATTCCTGGACAACATACCCAAGACTGAAGCCGGAACCGCCACTGTTGGGTTTTTGCCTCGCCTCATCAAAGAGGCAAACTTCGTAAGTGTAGCTGCGAAACGTAAGTATACTTCCAAGTAGTTCAAAGCAGCGATACATACTCTCCGGTATCCTTCGATAGGCACAGGCCGTCAAGTTTTTTCCACTCGCCTTCTGGGCCAAAGCCTTCGGGATCAAAGAGATCCTGGAGGTCTTCATTTGCATTTCGTTGCTCATCATGTGTCAACTTGAGGCTGTGCTCCGCATCCGAAAGGGCTACACGTGCACGATTTGATTCTGAGGTGGGGTGAGCACGTGCGTTCGGTCACATGGAATATAATTACCAGCAGAAGTGTCGTGTGTGCCGCCGTACCCAATCCCGAAAACAGATAGAGCCGAGAGGACCGAGTCGCGGAAACCATGGTAGGATGGGAGCAGATTATCTGGAAGGTAGGCTGAGATGTCAAATACTTGAAATTGGTCAGTTTCTTGCAGTGCCAGTGGTTACCTCCAACTTACAGAGCGACTGGGTCGAAGCAGGCCCGACAAGCTGGTCATGTTCTAGCAGCAACGAGACATGATCTGTCTTCAGCAACTGATCCAACTCCTTCTCAATCTTTGCTGCACTCCAGAGACCTTCCTGTTCAACATCGTCCTCAGTTTTCGGTTTCTCCGCGGTAGTGTCAGCTTCGCCATCGTCACCCTTGCGCACGTCGTTTATGTGGGGCAAACCTGCTAGTGTCTCCCAGCCGCGCACAGCCTCGAGGACGGCCATATCTTGATAGTTGGGGTTGTAACCTGCGCGGAGTGAGTTCAAGACGTCACCAAGAGCTTTCTCGCGTTCCAGGTGCTGCTTGTGTTCTTTCTGGAGGGATTTGAGTGCAGTGTGATGTACGAGGAGTGACTGATAGAGGGCTGCAACATACTTGTCAGATGAAGTTGCAGAAAGTACGTCAGTATACACGTACGGGACTGTTTCTTACGCTCTAGCTCAGCGGCCGAGAGGGATTCTGCGCGTTCTGCAATGTCTGAAAGACGCCGAGTTACTGCAAAAGCTCCTGACTCGTGGACATACACACCTCGTAATCTCTCCACCTCTTTCTCTCTCGTTTCAATCTCTTTGACAAGATCAGCAATGAGCACCTCCAAGCGCTTTTTCTCCTTATGCGCGTACGCAATGTATGAAGATCGTATCTTGGACCCCTAGACCCCTCCAAGTTAGGCAGAATTTGAGTTGGGCGTAGGTATGAACGCTCACAGTTTTTCGCAGCTTGCGCTCCGCTTCCGTCTTCTTTCTGTGTTCTGCCCCGACCTCCTGGCAAGTGTTCGGACACACGCCTGAGGGTTCGTCCGATCCATCACAACATTTCTGCTCTATTTCAAATGAGCACTATGAGCTCACGCTATCACGTCCGCAAACATACCACAAAGTCCATCGTTAACACGAGAGCTCTGTATAATGGCTCCAATATGTCCCTCATTGCGGCAGTAGAACTTGTTATTGGGACATGCACTCGTGCCTTACAGAATATAGAACTACGTCAATACAACTACCTGACCAGAACCGCCAGCACTCGCACCTGGCTCGTCGCTGCCATCAGGGCAATCACAATAATCATCATTTACCGCACTCCAGGCAATTTCCTTCGAACCATCTAAACACGTCCATGTTTGGTGTGCACCCTTCGTACCGGGGACGTATTTCGACACGAGAGAGGGGGGAACGCCGTGTGTCTTATCGAGCGCTGCTAACGATGGAAGGGCAAGCGCAAGGAGCAGCCAAGAATGCATTGTCGACCCAAGTTTTGAGATGTTGGCGAACTTTCGGCGACCGAGTACACGTCCTTGTGACCGGTGCCACAGTTACGTCAGTGTATTTGGTGCGGCGCCTGAATAACCGGACTTCCCCGAAAGGTTGGCGGTTACGCCAGACCAGGCGCAGTTCATCGACATCGACGAAGAGGCCACGACATTATGGTGAGTATCCTCCCATTGATTATTGTTTCCAGGGCAGAAAGTATGATACTTGCCGGTTCTTTGGGATCCGGGACGTTCAGAGTGTCGTAGCCCTTGGATGCCATGTCAAGCATACAGATGCAGTACTGACCACTTTTGATATAGGCCAAGGCAAAAGCTCCACCACCATCGTCTGGCGGGAAGGCTGCTAAGAAGAAGAAGTGGTCGAAGGGAAAGGTCAAGGACAAGGCCCAGCACGCCGTCGTCTGTGACAAGGTTACCTTCGATCGTATCATGAAGGAAGCTCCTACCTGGCGTCTCATCAGCCAGAGCATTCTCATTGAGAGGTTGAAAGTCAATGGAAGCTTGGCACGCGTTGCCATCAGACATCTGGAGAAGGAGGGCTTGATCAAACGCATTGTGCACCACTCTGGTCAACTCATTTACAGTACGTTCTTCTCAATGTTTTACATTGCGGACGAGCTTGATTAACCTTCACTTCAGCCCGGCTAACAACCGCATCAGACTAGATTACTGGTCTTCTATTCATTATGACCATTCATAAGCCCATGTATCTTCCACCCGCAACCAAAATTTATGCTTTCTGACTGGCATTCGATCGTCTGAAGCTCTGAGTATCAGGAACTTGTATGCATTACTGCGATTTACCCAGCGAAATGATGAATTATGGAAAGAGTACAATGAATGCCGTCAATGCTAATTTTACGTCCGCCACCGAACTGCTACATTCGATGCGATAAGTCCTCGATGGATGGGTCCAATGAACTCGAAAGCCTGCTGACTCGGGTGACCAGTCGCTTACATTCCCCTCTATGGATGCTTTTGTGAACATGCAGTAACCAGTTACATTTCCCCACATTCTGCGATATACGAATGAGACACCTTATCGAATCATCAAACCAATTACATACCGACAATTTTGACGACCAGTTTTGGTCTGTTGTTCTGTCCCGTAGGGACATTCTCAATTTTGCGAAGCGTCAGCATACCGTCGATAACTTTTCCAAAGACCACATGCTTTCCATCTAAGAAATCGCATTTATCCGTGGTTATGAAAAACTACAAGAATTGAGATCGAGACAGACATGCAGAAACATAGAGCAGTACCTGGCATCCATTTGTATTTGGGCCTGAATTTGCCTTCAAATTACTATGAGCAAATGTTTGCAAACGACGAAGACATAGCAAACCATAGACAGTAAGCCAGGTCCAGTGTGCTTCTCTTGGAAATTCTCGTCCTGCAGCGCAGTGTCAACTCGTGCGCTTCGGCATGAAGAGTATGACTACACCCACAGGAAAATTCTTTCCGTATATCGAGAACGATCCTGTTCCATCGCCGTTCAAAAAGTCTCCACCTGTATGGAGGCATGGAATGGGCTGGCTAAAGAGATTTGTTAAAACATGCTCACCTTGGCACATGAAATTTGGTACGCTGAGTTGCACGCGTTAATCATCAAAGACGTCAAGAAGAAGATACTATCATACACTCTGCCCAGAATCCGTCAACGAAAGTCGGACACTCGAGGTTGCGATGATGATTACCTGTGGAAAGTGGCGTTCTTGTAACCCTGGGGTCGCGCATCACGTCTAATCTCGAGTGTTCATAAAGAAGCAGTGATTATCTTCGTATCGGCCTGGACGTACCTGCATTCACCAGTGCATAGCTGCCTGAAGTTCTCAGCAGTCCTGCAAATTTGGTCAGAACAGCACAGAGGTGCAGGTAGCCGCGAACTTCGGAACAATGTCACTGAAGAGCTCCATCTTGATTCTACCAGCTGGAGTCTCTCCGATGTTGATATCCATGAAAACGACTGGACGCGTTGTTGAAGACATGATGACGGTCGGTGATCAAGAAGGTTCAGTCGCTGATTGCGCCGACTTAGCGCCAAGTGTAGATAAGATAGATATTATTTCATCACTATCTTCTTCTTCGACAACAACGTCTCGTCACCTTAATTAATGGTACACATAACAAGCTAGCTTGGCTGTACTACTAATAGTGTCTACGATAGTGGCACGACATGACATGACATGGGGTGTCCCGTGCCGAGCAAGGGTGCGGAGATGATGTCGTAAGTCAATTGTAAGTACTTAAGTACATATAAATTCCAACTTGATAAGTTGATTCCAATCCTAGTGATTTCCCTCCCTGACCATCACCATTCCCATAGCTTCGCCCACTGCGATGACGTCCTACTTCATTGGTATTGATATTGGCACTGGCTCTGCTCGCGCATGCCTCGTCGCACAGAACGGCGAGATCAAAGCCTCCTCCACGAAGGACACCATCACCTGGCGTGATCAGCACGATCATCGTATCTTCGAGCAATCGACGAACAACATCTGGGAGCAGATTTGTATCGCTGTGAAGGAAGTGTTAAAACAGTCTAACGTTCCCGCGACCGCAGTCAAGGGACTTGGTTTCGATGCCACCTGCTCCCTCGCCGTGTCAGATTTCGACGGGAATCCGATAACGGTGACCAAGGGCACCGACATTGGCAAGGATGGTGATCGGAACATAATTCTGTGGGCAGACCATCGCGCCGAGAAGGAGGCTGAACTTATCAATTCCACTGGGTCGATCGTCTTGGATTATGTTGGGGGGACCATGAGTGTATGTAGCAGTTGTGAATCCGGTTTACCTCACTGATTCTACTTTTGGGAGTAGCTTGAGATGGAGGTGCCTAAGATTCTTTGGCTCAAGAAGCACATGGACCCTGCCCTGTTTGCCCGATGCCAATTCTTTGACCTTCCCGATTTCTTCACGTACAAGTCAACTGGAGATAACACACGCTCCTTTTGTTCGACCACGTGCAAATGCTCTTATGTCCCCGACAAAGGTTGGCAGTCGGACTTCTTCGAGCGTATTGGTCTCAGTGAACTCGTCGATGGTGGCAACTGGAAGCAGATGGGCGCCGCCAGAGGCCAAGTACAGGCTGCCGGAAGCCCAGTTGGTCGAGGCTTGTCCCAGAAGGCAGCTGAAGAACTTGGTCTCATTGAAGGTACTGCTGTTGGAAGTGGTCTGATTGATGGGTATGTCATATTCTATCAACGAGTCTATTGCTATGTAGATTCTACTGGCGTTGTGCTAGGTATGCTGGCTGGATGGGCACGGTTGCCGCTCGATACATAGAGAATGGTCAACTCTCAAACGTACTTCCCTCTCTCGACGAGTCTCGGCACCGTCTGGCCGCTGTCGCCGGAACGAGCACTTGTCATATTCTTCAGGTAAGTTACCTTGCACAAACCATCTTCATACATATGAAAACATTGTTGCAGAGTCGGGAAGGTGTATTTGTAAAGGGTGTATGGGGCCCATATAGGGTATTCCATTACCGTTTCGCATATCATGCGATGCTTTAATGGTATATTCATACAGGACGCAGCTTTCCCTGGCTGGTGGATGAATGAAGGGGGGCAGTCGTCCACGGGACAGCTCATTGACTTTATCATCACCACTCATACCGCCTATCCTGAACTCCAAGAACGCGCCAAGCAAGAAGGAAAGGCTATTCATATTGGTTCGTGTAGCTTTTCATGCTGGAGCAAGTGTTTTGACGTTCGTCTATAGTCTTGCTGGACGTCCTCGAAAAGTTGCGCCACGAGAATCACGTTGATACCTACACGGAACTTACGAAACATGTACATTTCTACCCCGATTTCCATGGTGAGATAAGCTATAGTTCGATGTTCATATAATCATTCACTTCTATCGCAGGAAACAGGTCTCCAATTGCGGACCCTCGAATGAGAGGTTCCATTGTCGGTCTTGAGCTGGTAAGTCATCTCTTTGATGGAGAACTGAACTTCGGCTAAGTCTCTTCAGGACTCATCTATCGCCGACCTCGCTCGCAAGTACTACCTTACCCTCGAAGCTATCGCTCTTCAAACACGTCACATTGTCGACGCTCTCAACACGGCAGGGCATGACATCACCTCTCTGTACATGTCCGGTGGGCAGGCAAAAAATGCTGTGATGATGCAGCTCTTTGCAGACACATCTGGCATCCCCATCATCCTGCCCAAGTCGCATTCTGAGGCGGTGGTTCTCGGTGCAGCGATGTTGGCAAGGATTGCGGCGGAGGGTGTCAAGGACGGAGAGGACATGTGGAAGATCATGGTAAGACATCGTGTGTATTTTGCTGAGTGTAGGTGCTAAATGTTGCCATTTAGGTCGAAATGACACCCGCTGGAACCCTCGTGGCCCCTGGCGCCTCATCGACAGTGAAGAAACTACTAGATGCCAAATACAAGATATTCCGAGAGACGATTGATATCCAGAAACGTTGGAGACAACAAATTGAAGAGGCGAGCCATTGAAATGTACGTGTGCAGTTAAAGGAAGCACAATTCAGTTTACGATAGATTTCTGTATTATTGCACGGACGAAAGACTATGAACTCGATATCTCATTGAACTACGAGACCTAATTAGTAAGGAATTTGATGAAGGTCGTCAACAGCTATATGCCTTGCATACTTGGTATAAAAATCTGTCCCCGGGTAATGTACGCATGCACCAAAACTAATCAACATCCCATCAATATTGCCACTTATGCTATGGCGCCCGGCCACTCCGCAATAATGTCATCTGCGCGGCGGCGAAGGTCATATTCGTCTCTGAATGGAATGTCCTCCAACTGCGCTAGCTGCTGCAAGACGTCTTGAAGACAAGTGACCTAAACATGGGCAGACCGATTGAGAATGCTGCCGATGAATGGGTAAAACTGACTAACCGGTGCATGTTCTGAATCCAGGTGTGGATACACAGAATCTATCTCAGCCAATACTATGCTCAAATCCTCCATGCCCTGACTCGATATGTGTCAACAACAAAATCCAGAAGTCGGAGACTTATCCCACACCTTGTGGTCAATCTTCGCCTTTCCTTTTACAAGTCGCTGCAACGTAGCAATCCACTTGAACACCTGGTCTTCGGAAATATGGATTTTCTGCTTCTTCCGAACAGGTTCATCCACAAGGTGGCTCTCCGTATAACCCCTTTTTTGGGAGACGTCGTTACGCCCAGAAACGCCGGTTGCTATGGTGCTTTGCGGGAGCGAAGTATTAATGGATGTTCCTGAATCGCTGGACGAGACGGCGCTGGGTTCTTTTTCTGCCACAACCTCGCGCACTGGTGTGAAGATAGACGTGGAATCTGCAGTTGCCTATGGTTGCAGCATATCAGCGACTGTTATTTTCTAGTCAGCAACGTACGCTACTCACGCGAGTAATCAATCCACGAAGCGAGTGAGGTCTCTCTGCACCTCCGAACATCGCATCCAGTCGTTCATTGAATTTCTCCCCACTAGATTTCTGTGGAACGGAGGCAGTTTGAACATGGTCCAGCATCCGCGTAAATTTGCGCGGCAGGGCGCGATGTTCATCCTCGACCGAAGCCAGTCCCGGTTTGATTTCATTGTGGCGGTTTCTCTGATATGCGGAGGTTGGAACGTCAAAATCAAAAATGGCGTCTTCGAAGGGAAAGTGATTTGTCCTTGAAGTGCCGTCCTGCGACTGTTGGGTGCTGCCGTACCTTGTGACATGACGCCGACGACGCCAAGAGATTCTGGCTACCTGAGTATCCAATGCAGCATCAATGACCTCTTGCATAGACTCGTAAGGAATAGCCCTTTGTGGAGCTGTCTTTGGGACTGCTGTGATGGCCTTGGGTAGTAGAGCATTGCCTACTACCGTAATCACTGCAGAGTCTTGCTGACTCGTGCGTCTGCGAGTGCTATTGATCCGGGGGCGATGTTGACTAGAAATCTCAATTGGCCCGTCGGTGGTGCTGCTCCCCTCGCTATCAATAGGTGTGACTGGCGGCGAAATATTGTATGAACCATTGGCGTTGAATGTTGCTTGCAGTACCTCCTGCAAACTTGGGGAGCCGCGAGAATCTCTTGACTTGGAGTAGACGCCTGAAATTCGGCTGGATGCGTGCTGGACTTCTCGTTGGGGCACTGGGGAAGTCGGGGGACCGCGGTCTGCAATGTTTTGGTGTTTCTGCAACATCTTTCTTCTAGCAGTTGAAGATGGGACTTCCTCCGCACCTAAAGGAAGTTCATGCACGCTGCATTCACTATCAGAGACAGCCAGTGGTGTCCATGAAGGAAGTTCAAGTAAGGTGTCTTCGTCCGCGACATCTCGAAATGGTGGAGGAACCGCTTCGTTTGGACTTAGAGGTGAGATTGATGAAGGCACCAGCATAATAGTCCTGTAATGCAAGGATATTTTAGACTACATCAAAGACAGATAGAGGCAACAAAGCAAAGGCTGGTAAATGCTTACTTTTCATGTTTGGAATCATTGTGGAACCTGCCTGAATTGACATCTCTGGTGAGAGTCTTTCCCTGCAATTTGAAGAATGATTTGATCAAAATTGTCACAATGATTAGTATGCAACTTGAGATAACTGGAGGAATCCAAATGTTTGAAATACTGACATATGGTCCTGCATGTGTCAAAAGTGGTTTGTCATGAAGTCTTGCCCATTGCTTCATGATGTAGAAGGTAACTGAAAGCTGTGTGTCAATTTCAGAAGAGCAATGCTTGAGCTACTCCAGGATGTGTAAGTTCATCAAAGATTGGATCCGAAATTTGAGATTCACCAGGGAAATGTGATTGCTTGCTGTGTGCTGTGAGGCTGAGGGGTATCTAGTATATCAAAGAGAGGGAATTATTAACCTCAGTTGGGTTCATGCTATATATGTGAAGTTGTTTGTCATGCTTTGGCTCTGCCAAAAATTCACATGATCTGATCACTTGCCTAATTTAGGTGGGCTGACAGTGTGGGAAAGTCAGTGAAGTCACAAAACCAGTTAGTCATTGATACTATAAATAGTGCTTTGATCTGTCACATTCCACACCTCTCCCACCATATGTATCCTTTCTATCATATCCCAGTTTCTGGTACTCTCACTTCCACTTATGGAACTTCCTCCAACCAGACTGTGTTACAGGGACTCCAGACCCCTATCGTCTCCACCAAATGTCGCCATCACAACCATGTCACAACATGTGACAGATGTCATCACTGGCATGTGACTAAACTGCACAGCACAGCATGACAGCTCTAGACCCGACCTAGACCAGGATCAATAGAAGCTGCACGCTTCTCCCTTATCGCCCCTACCAATACACTGGTAATGACTATCACTTATCATGACTGTGGTCACCCCTTGAAACATAGAAGCTGTGTGCTTCTCTCTTATCAAGATAGATACCCTGGACCCTTACCATTGGACCGGTGACTCTTATCTCTGAGTCCTTATGACTCACATAGATGCTTACCTAGTTAGGACACTTTCTGGCTACATAGGCCTACTGTTAAGACCGTGCTCAGGGGTAAGACAGAATCTGAGGGGCTTGGCTTCAGCTCGTGCACTGCGCCCCTTACCCAAGTACATGCCCCTAATTTTGGATTGTAGTTTGACTTGAGTTCTATGAGCTCCGACAGGATGTCGGAGCAGAGGTCTTCCAAAGGAGGGCCGACAGACTACTAGATGAGCGTGGGAATGTCGGGTGGACCAACCTCCACCCGACAGGAGAGAGGCGGAAGACTACTGCAGTCAGAGCTAAACAGTAGAAGTGGAGCGGAGGTGACTGCTCAGACAAAGTCCAAAGCAGAATGGAAACACAGAGGACAGATGTACAAGAGAACTGGTCACAAGTCTGACACATGGGAAAGGCGGCCGAGGCACAGGAAGTCGGATGAGCAGAGAAGGCGGCCGACCTAGGGAGTCAATCCCCTAGGCCGGCAAACAGGAACAAGAGAGCAGGGCTTAGGAAAGGTAATATTCAGACTAAAGATCTACAGACAGATGTACATATGTTTATATACTCTAAGTAAGTATCATAGCATAGCAGAAGGCTATGTGCTGAGTGTACAGAATTACTAGAACAATGACTGAGACATGCAAGAAACAGGCTTGGAGAACAGTATGTACACGACAGATCAATAATCACTCGGGTATAGGGATTACTGGTGATCTGAAAGGAGGAACTATGATACTAAAAGGAGATAGGACCAGTTGAGTGGTTCCTAGTCTAGGAGTGGACCAGTGAGGCGGTTGGGTGGATCAATAGTCAGGTGGAGTGACACAAGAGAAACTGAAGGAACCAAGTGGGTCGGAAAAGCGGAGATGGTGGAGGGAGTAGGAGTAGGATTGGGCGGACCAATAGGGCGGAGGAGCAGGGCTCCAGATAGGGTTGGATGGTAGGAATATAGTGTCAGAGGAGCGGAGCGGAGTTGGGCAGAGGTAGCAGGGCTAGTCCTGCTGAGATGCACTTCGTGCATTTGTTGGAGGAGGAGGGATGGTGTGGACAGGGAAACAGGGGGTTGGACCAGCAGTAGGGATGCCTATGAATGGTATTGGGAGTGGTTGAATCTGGTATATGACACCTACCCTGAACTCATAGGACAATACCTATATATACCCAATAGTTAGACCATGTATTCTCTAACTTGATCTTCACTTGATCTTCATGACTCTAGTATCTGGTCTGATGCTAGACTCAAGTCATTCTGGATGAACAGCCTTCATCTAGTCTTCCACCATCTCAGTACTCCATGAAATAGACATGGGATCGACCCAATCAAGTGCACTGTTGGCGAAGCTGGGCTTTGCCATAACAAACTGCTGGCCCTTTGTCATATACCTGATCCGACCGCTCCGATATTGATATCCGCTCTGCTTTCCAACCCCCTCCGCTCCATCCATCCTCCGCTCTGTCCTATCACAAGCCCACATTCTGCCCTACGCTTCCGCTCAACTGCTCAACCAGTCCCCTTCCATAACCTCTCCATTCAACTGGATCTCTTTCCCCTTTTAGATATATACCTTCCCCATTGGTACATAGACCCTTACTTCCGGATGACCGGTAATTCCTATTACTGCTCGATCACTGATCCAACACGTACATATTGATATCCGCCCCGACTTATGTCTTCACCTATGTAAAATACTTACAAACTATATCCTTGGTACATAGCTTTACTACATAGTTATCCTGATCACTGCCTCATACATAGTAGTATATAACATATCATGTACTTAGATATTTTTCCTCAGTCTTAATATTACTTGTCTTCTCGCAGTTATATCTTGTGAGAATTCTCAGTAGGACCTTGCCTCCTCTGGACACAAGTCTCAACTTATTGTCACCTCCAACCCTCTAACCCTCCACTCCAACTTAGAGCCGTGCTCTAAGTCTTCCCCTTATTACTCTGCCCCTATCAAATATCCTCCTTCGCCCCTCTGCATTATCCTCCGCCTTTCCCGCCCCTACCAACATTCCCCTGCTCCTATCCCCTCTCCGCATCACTCCCCACCTTCTCCACTCCGCTCCTAGTCGGCCCACCGCTAGTAGCTCTTACTCCCCAACCCTCCAAGCGGACCAAAGCGGTCCACTCGTCCTACTGTCAGACAACATTGGACCCACTCCAAATTCAGGGCACATACTCGGCTAAGGGCGCAGCGCAAGAGCTGAAGCCAAGCCCCGACCCCTCTGCTTCCTGAGTTGGCACAGTACCTAACACCTTGTTACAATGGTGCTATATTTTCTTTCTCTCTTTCTTTTCTTACTCATCAAGTCTCATGATTGCTTATCAACACATCCAACACGTGAACATTTACCTATATGCTTACTTATTATGCTTACACAGATGATTACTCATGCCACTCTCCAATTGGTCGATTCAACATTGTACCACTTCTTATCTCTTATTTTTGCTTACATTTCTTGATAGGGTCATCCACCTACCTACCAGCCCTAAACCATCTTCTCTGTACATATATATATCATGATTCCTGAACCAGTATTCCTTAACTTGAATCTACTAGGTTTTCCCTTGATAGCTCGAGTTCACCAATCTAGCTGCCTACAAGCAGACTAGCCAGAATACTTGATCTAGCGAGCCCTTGACACTTGACTAGCCTGAACCTTCGATCTAGCAGACCCTTAACATCCAACTAGCAGGACTTGCAATATGCTGTGAGAAAGAAATCCTGAGTAGGTACTAGAGAGCTAGTATGTTATTCCTATGAGAGTGAGTATTACTAGTTGTCCCAAGGGGGTTGCTACTGAGAGATCATCTTCTGCATGTTTGTGCAAAGGAGGATATGAGTGAGTAGACTTCCAAACGATGCAGACACTTGCAGTAAGGTTGCATGTGAGGCAAGGAATGCAGATGGGTTGTGGTTGAAGATGCGGGTGCACACTGCGGTGTGATAAGACAGGGGTGTGATGTGGATCCAATGTGGAGCGCGAGTAGTGTGGTATGAGGTAATGGGTAATGGGTATGACAAGGTAACAGTTTTCAGTGGGGTATGCAGGTCTATGCAAGTTTTGCTGGGATCTGTTCTGGGACTTGCAACAAGGTAATGGCTATATGAACTATCACTAGTTTAATCACACTAAGGTTTGTGGTCACTTGCGCAAGATAGGCAGAATGAGAAATCAATTGTGCAAGATAAAGAACAATGTAGCTAATGATAGTGACTCCAGACACCAACTTGGACAGAAGGGATGTAGAGAAGTGAGGAATAGTGAGTCTGTGACAGGTTTATATCATGGTCTGTAGCATATTGGAATGTTGTTGTCATATACCAGATTCAACCACCTCCAATACCATTCACAGACATCCCCACTGCTGGTCTGATCCCCTGTTTTCCCGTCTGCTCCATCCCTCCTTCTCCGACAATGCACAAAGTGCATCCCAGCAGGACTAGCCCTGCTACCTCCGCTTGACTCTGTTCCGCTCCTCTGACACTACCCCTATTTCCTTCAACACTATATCCCTACCATCCGACCCTATCTGGAGCTCCACTCCTCCACTCTGTTGGTTTGCCTGATCCTACTCCTACTCCCTCCACCATCTCCACTTTTCTGACCCACTTGGTTCCTTCAGTTTCTCTTGTGTCGGTCCACCCGACCACCTCACCAGTCCACTCCTAGACTAGGAACCACTCAACTGGTCCTATCTCCTTTCAGTATCATAGCTCCTCCTTTTGGATCACTGGTAATCCCTGTACCTGAGTGATTATTGATCTGTCGCATACATACTGTTTTCCAAGCCTCTTTCTCGTATGTCTCAGTCATCTTACTGGTAATTCTGTACACTCAGCACATGGCCTTCTACTATGCTATGCTACTTACTTAGAGTATATAAACATATGTACACCTGTCTGTAGATCTTTAGTCTGTGTCATATCCCGCATTTCCAAACCTGGAACTCCAGAACCTCCCCTGTAGGACCCAGACTTCCACCCTGTTTTCCATCTGGCGCTCTGATTTCATCTCCAGATCTAAACCTAACCTTACACTTACCTCCTTTAAGACCTCCTTTTCTCCAGTTACTGGTTATACACTTCTCTGCCTTGCTTACTGATCTGTCTCTTATTATTCATTTCCAACTCCACTTCTTTGATCTGTTACATACTTACTAATAGACTTTTCACATGCCTCATACATAGCCTTTCACTGTGCTGACTGATTACTTACTTGATAACTACAGTATATAAACTCCTGTAAAACTCTGGTACCTCCTCAGTTCAAATATCATCTTATTTCCTGCTCATTTCTGTCTCTCTGGACTTTAGTTTACCTCCTGTCCATCTCCGAGTCTTTGGATTCAATCCTTAGACTATATCTCCGACTCTACCTCAGGGTAGTCTACCTCCGTTCTGTTTCTACTCTGGACTTGTCCATAGTAGTCCTACTCTACTAGTTACTCCTGACCATCCAGAGTTCCACTGAACTCCCCCTGTGTCTGACCTCTGGACTCACCCGGACTTCCATTGGACTTTCCTCCTACCTCTCAGAAATTAAGGGCACATACTCGAGTAAGGGGCGCAGTGCACAAGCTGAAGCCAAGCCCTTTGAGTTCTCTTCCCCTTGAGCATGACCTTAACAGTGTATTCGAACTCACACCTTACCGAGTATACTAATGTCCGGGAACCATCCCTTTCCCATGTTCAAACTCCTGTCCCTCATAAACTATGATTTCTCCTCCAACCCTTTCACTACCATTTAAATCTTCTCATCCATAACTCATGCTTTTATTCCACTCCTGTTAAGGTCATACTCAAGGGGAAGAGGACTCAAAGGGCTTGGCTTCAGCTCGTGCTCTGTGCCCCTTACCCAAGTATGTGCCTTTAATTTCCAAGAGGTAGTAAGGAAGTCCAGGTAAGTCCAGAGGTCAGACACAGGGGGAGTTCAGCAGAACTCCAGAGGGTCAGGAGTAACTAGAGTAGGACTACTACAGACAAGTCTAGAGCAGAAACAGAATGGAGGTAGACTACCCTAAGGTAGAGCCGGAGATATAGTCTAAGGATTGAATCCAAAGACTCGGAGATGGACAGGAGATAAACTCAAGTCTGGAGAGACAGAAATGAGCAGGAACTAAGATGATATTTGAACTGAGGAGGTACTGGAGTTTTACAGGAGTTTATATACTGTAGTTATCAAGTAAGTAATCAGTCAGCATAGTGAAAGGCTATGTATGAGGCATGTAGAAAGTCTATTAGTAAGTATGTAACTGTCATATACCTGATCCGACCACTCCAATATCAATATCCGCTCCGCCCAATTCTGCATCACCCCCCGCTTTCTGACCACCTCCACTCCATCCATTCTCCGCTCTGTCCAATCACCATCCACATCCGCTCCTATGCTTCTGCTCGACCGCCTGACCAGTCACCTTCTAGAACATCTCCATTCAACTGGAACCTCTTTCCCCTTCGGTACATAGACCCTTACTTCCGGATCACTGGTAATTCCTCTTACCGCTCGATCACTGATCTGACGCGTACATATTGATATCCGCTCCGACTTATGTCTTCGCCTGTGTAAGTACTTATAAATTATATCCTTGGTACATAGCTTTACAACATAGTTCTCCTAATCACTGCCTCACACTTAGAAGTATATAACATATCCTGTACTTAGATATTTTCCTCAGTCTTAATATTACTTGTCTTCTGGCAGTTTCTACTTGTGAGAATTCTCAGTAGGACCTTGCCTCCTCTGGACACAAGTTTCATCTTGTTGTCACCTCCGACTTTCCGCTCTGACTTAGAGCCGTGCTCTAAGTCTTCCCGCTTACTTCTCCGCCTCTATCAATAATCCCCCTTTTGCTCCTATCCACCCTCCACACTATCCTCTGCCTTCTCCACTCCACTCCTAGATGGCCCACCACTAGTAGCACTTACCTCCTGACCCTCAAAGCGGACCAAAGCGGTCTACTTGTCCTACCGTCAGACAATGTCGGACCCACTCCAAATTTGGGGCATGTACTCGGCTAAGGGCGCAGTGCAAGAGCTGAAGCCAAGCCCCAACCCCTCCGCTTCTTGAGCCCGGCACAGTACCTAACAGTTGGCTGCCTTTTCTGCCTGTCAGACTTCCCACATGTTGGCTGACTTTCCCGCCCTTCAGACTTGAGCACTAGAGCTCCAGTCATTCTGTACCTCTGTTGCCTTTCTGCTTTGGACTTTGTCCAAGCGGCCTTGTCCGCTCTGCTTCTACTGTTGGTTCTGACTGCAGTAGTCCTCCACTTCTCCCCTGTTGGGTGGTCCAATCCCTGCCTGACTTTCCTGTGCTCATCTGGTAGTCCATCGGCCGTCCTTTGGAGTCTCTGCTCCAACATCCTGTCAGAACTCATAGATCTCTTGTTGGACTACATCTGAAATTAGGGGCACATACTTGGGTAAGGGGCACAGCACATGAGCTGAAGCCAAGCCCCTCAAACTCTGCCTTACCCCTGAGCACAGTCTTAACACATGGGCAGCTCATTATTTCTTATGTATGCTCAAGACTTTCAGTGCAAACAACACAAGCTCTTCTTTGCCTTGGTAGTTGGAGTCTCCCAGGTCTGGTGAAAGACAAGACTGTCACCACTGTGACATGCAAGCCTAACCTTGAAGGAGAAGAGGGGGAACTGGAAGAGGGCTGGGATGACATTATTCTGTAGTTCATGCATGTCTAGAAGCCCAATTTACATGTATACCCATGGGTTTATGTCATATCCCATACCTCCAGACTCTCCCCTATGAAAGTCCGGGACTCCATCCTTTTCTCCGTCCTGTTGTCCGCCTGGCGCTCCGCCTTCATCTCTGGACTCACATCTATCTCCTTTTAGAGTATTGTTCTCCGGCTACCAGTTGTACACCTTTCCGTTTGCTTACTGATCCGTCCATTCTGCACTTCATTTCCGACTTCATTTCTTTGATCTGTTGTACACTTAATAATAGACTTTCCATATGCTTCAGGCATAGCTTTTACTTTGCTGACTGATTACTTACATGATATCTACAGTATATAAACTCCTGTAATACTCTGGTACCTCCTCAGTTCGAATATCATCTTAGTTCCTGCTCATTCCTGCTTCTCCGGACTTGAGTCTGATCTCTTGTCCACCTCCGAGTCTTAGGGTTAATCCTTAAGACTATATCTCCAGCTCTACCTTAGGATAGTCTATCTCTGTTCCATTTCTACTCCAGACTTGTCCGAAGTAGTCTTACTCTATTTGCTCCTAGCCTTCTGAAGTTCCACCGAACTCCCCCTGTGTCTGACCTCCAGACTTACCCGGACTTCTGTTGGACTTCCCTTTTGCCTCTCAGAAATTAAGGGCATGTACTTGGGTAAGGGGTGCAGCGCATGAGCTGAAGCCAACCCCTTTGAGTTTCCCTTCCCTTGAGCACTGTCATATCCCATACCTCCGGATCCTCCTCTGCGAAAGTCCAGTTCTCTATCCAGTTCTCTGTCCTGTTGTCCACCCAGTGCTCCACCCTCATCTCTGTACTCGCAACTATCTCCTTTTAGAATAACTGTTCTCTGGCTACCGGTTATGTTCTCTCCATTTGCTTACTGATCTGTCCGTTCTGCACTTCATTTCCGACTTCATTCTTGATCCGTTGTACACTTACTAATAGACTTTCCATATGCTTCAGGCATAGCTTTTACTTTGCTGACTGATTACTTACATGATATCTACAGTATATAAACTCCTGTAATACTCCGGTACCTCCTCAGTTTGAATATCATCTTAGTTCCTGCTCATTTCTGCTTCTCCAGACTTGAGTCTGATCTCTTGTCCACCTCCGAGTCTTAGGGTTAATCCTTAAGACTATAACTCCGGCTCTACCTTAGGGTAGTCTATCTCTGTTCCATTTCTACTCCGGACTTGTCCATAGTAGTCTTACTCTATTTGTCCCTAGCCTTCCGGAGTTCTGCCGAACTCCCCTACATCTGACCACCGGACTTACCCGGACTTCCGTCGGACTTCCCCTCTGCCTCTCAGAAATTAAGGGCACGTACTTGGGTAAGGGCCACAGCGCACAAGCTGAAGCCAAAGCCCTTTGAGTTACCTTTCCCTTGAGCATGACCTTAACCAGCACAGACCTTAACAGTTTACCTGTGCTAATGCCTAGTATGGATGGGGTCCGGAGGTTGGTGCAGATGATTGATGACTGTCTAGAGGGGTCTGTATGCAGGATATGACACATTATTGTAACAAGTCAAACAAGTGGACATGTGTAAGTGGTGACTGGTCATATTAACACATCAAAAGGGAATGACAGTTTTTTTTTCTTTTTTTGGGCATTATCATTATTTAGAAAAATTGTTGTGTTGTAAGGAAGTGGTGAAAAAAATACTAATTGTGTTTCAGGGACTGGTTGAAGACTGTAATTATCTCAAATTATGCTGAGCAAGTTTTTCCTGATAGGCTGAAGCAGTTGGGACTCGTGAGAAAGATTCTGTGAGCGGGTGTAGAGCGGATTCCTTGAAACTAATATTGGAGTCACTGGCGAAATGTCATGATTACCCACCTGCAACATCCGCTCAAATCCCTACTTCAAACTAATCTGCCACAAACAGTCACTAGCCCCACAGTTGTACCTCTAGCACGACCCTAGCAGATGTAGACCAACTGGCAGGAACATTGTATTGTCCAGTGCTACTTGGACCCGGTCTGATGTGAGAACAGTTGCATATTTCCTGCATGCACTCAGATACCACAAAAGCCTAACACAAAAGACTCGGGTCGAGCCAGAGTGAGTCGTCGAAGGATGGAAGGCCTAGCTGGGTATTACAATAAAGCAATCATAATTTACACGACTCCATCTTGTTATTTGATGAACTTTGCCATGAATTTTCTGCGTTCGAGACAGTCAGACACGACACAGCAAGAAAAGACGTATCGGACGCACTTGTGAAATTCTGTCCGTAGCAGGTCGTTGACGAATTGTCCAGATTTGTCTTTCTGATTTGCTGCCTGGTTTTTAAATATCAAGTCTGAACCGAACAATGTAAGCAGAGGACGAATGGTAAAAGAACCAGTGGCTTACCATCATCCCATCTCCGTTTCACGGAGAATGTCCCTGGTACAGTTGTATTGACACCGGGTGACTGCCCTAATGCTGCAGCAAGATTCAATAGAGGATTTGAGGTGGCTATCTCAGCTTCTCGTGCCACTGCAGCAGTCGCATTCTGTTCCCGCTCTAGACGGGCTTTCTCTTCTGCGCGCTCCTTCTTAATCTTCTCCAACTCACGCATCAACTCAGCGGTCTCATCTTCCTCGTCCGACTCTTCTTCACTGTAATTTTTGCTGTCAAGGAGCAGTCAATGACGGGGTCCGGAAGGATGCTCACCTTTCCTCGTCCCGCTCTTCCCCGTTTTCCTGCCCTCCAGACTGAACTCCCTCCTCTTTCTCATCGTCGTCGTCATCGTCCTTGTCCAGCTCCAGAGCTTCCTGCAATAGCTTCCTCCTCTTGTTGGCCTCATCCTCTGCTGTGCCATCCGTCGCGTTTCCGTTTGTGAGAGGTAGGTGGTGGTTTCCCCTCTGCTTTTCGCTTCTTGTTCCGTGCTTCTTCCTCCGCTGCTATTAGCTCTGTGCGCAAGTCTCTCCGTGCGACGTCACCGACAGATGTTTGTCCAGCCTGCCTGTCACATAGTAAGTTTCACAACTTAAAGACAGTAAGCATGGATAGTACCGGAATTTGAGCTTCGTGTGAGCTGCCATGTCTCGGACAGAGAACTGGCGAGAACCGCCTTTAACATCGCGAGCTTGGGCAGGATCCCAGGTCGGTCTATGTGCTGTGGACATTGTAGTGAAGGTCGACGGAGTATGTTAAGTTAGCTTCAACTGAAAGCATCAACGGCGTGTCGGCACCGTAACTCAAAGTTTGAATGCCGACTTCAACTCCGATAAAACCTGGTGCGGATCAATCTCCGCGACCTTACTCGCCGAGAGTCTGCCGACTTTGCAGTTATCGATATAAATTTCAGACTTAGGATTTCGATTACTACTTATATGTAAGGATGCTCGTATGCAGCCTCTACTTACGGTTTCTTGACGCTCTCATCTCACCACCATAGACAGATATGTCTGCTGTGCGGTCCAGCTTCTCTGACCCTCCATCAGATGCAGAGGATGAAGAGGTCGATCAGGATGGAGTGACCATGCATGGCCTTGCAGACGCGCTCGAAGTCTATATGGGTTACCTTCCATCATTTCGTGCACACTTGCGGGATACCAGAGCCCACCTTGTTGGGTCTATCCCCTTTTATGATGGCACCGGTCTCATTCCTTCAACCGAGTCTACGCCCGCACCACATACTAACCAAGATGATGGTCTTTCTCCTCCTGAACAGGTAGAAGGGGATCCTGAGCTACCACTACGTGAATCAAATCCAACGGTCTGGAGCTCCTCACTCTCTTCTTGGTCCCAATCAGAGGTAGACGTGTTCTTCCACGCTGTATCGGTCTACTCTCGCTGGCGGCCGGACTTAATCGCAGATGCCTTAAAGACTAAAGGCGAGATCGAAGTTGTAGAGTTCCTCGTTACTCTGGACTCTTGCGCTCGTTCTCGCGCCACCGAGACCAAGACCGATCAGGACAGCCGTGACATTGTGTCGACGGCGCCTGCCGCGATTGAAGTCTCGGATGAATGGGTGGCGGCAGAAGAGACTATGGCTACCGCTCTTGTCATCGAAGAGGATCACGGGGAAATTGAAGAACTTGAGGCGCTGAGGAGAAAGAGAGTCAGGGAGGCAAGGGCAGATATGATCCCGAGAGGGAAGAGGAGGCGTGTCACGGCAGGAATTGGCGAGGACGAACTCATGGCGAGTGAGGATTCGGAGAGGGATGTTTTCGAGCATGAGATTGTGAGCGTTGAGGTCGTTGCGGGGAAAGCTCTCTTCGAAAAATGGCATGCGCGTAAGATCGCCGCTTGGGAACGAGATGATCTGCTTAAGAAGCTGGAGGATATGCATTTGCAAGTCTTGGATGCAATTCTGCGCGAGGATGAGGAGGCACAGAAAGGGAAGAGTCTGAGCCGCGAAGGGAGTGCTGATGTGATCTCGCAGGATCCAGAGACCGAAATGGACCTGACAGCACTCTCTCCCACATCTCGCCGACGCCTTACGAAGCGACTTTACATGCGGCGAAAGCGCGCGCAGCTCCGAGGCGAAGATGTGGCACCAGTGGGCCTAGCAAGAATGAAGCCTGGGAGGAAGGGAAAAGAAAAGGTGGCTAGAGTGGTGGAGGAGACCGAGAAAGAGAAGTTGTCCTCTGGCAAGAAAGGCAGGAGAATGACAATGACTCCGGATCTCACTGAACCTGACCCCGAAGCTGATGACGATGACCTTGGGGACGCGGGCGAGGCGACCACCAAGAAGCGTATCAACGTCGGTGGAAAAACGCGTTACCAAAAAATCAGGTCCGAATTCGAACATGCTGGGATCAATGCATCCTACCTGAGTAAACACGGTATGGATCTCTTCCATCTTGGGCGTTTGGGAAAGCTTGTTGGGTTCGTCTTGATCGAATCCCGTTGCTATTTTCTCATTTATTATGGTTCAGGATATACAAATCGTTCGAACAATATCCAGAGGATGATGTTGGCGCCACCTACATCTCCACGGAGTTGATACGGTACCTTCAAGCATTGGTAGTGTCGTTCACAACGGATGTCATCCACCGCGCAACCATGTGGAAGGAACAGGCTGACGAGCTCAAGGGCCAGAAAAAGGTTTGGAAGAGCGCGCTGCACCAGGTAGACATTATTCAATTCCTGTTCCCAGTCAACTTATCCGCGTCCTTGTATCCGTCAGATAAATCAACCAGCTGTTGAGCATGCATTGAAGACAACTGGTGTGAGGAGCTTGAATCGGCAGGAGCACTTCTCAAAGCTTCTTGATAACTGCGATTTACTCCCGGACACACGGAAGCGCAAGCAAAAATCTAGCCACCCTGCGGGTGCGGAGGATGAGCGAGCGAGCGCTTCGGGACATTCTCCCGACGCCCAGAGCTATGACATTGAACTTTCGCCTCATCGTACAATATACACCCCTGCATTACTTGCCCCCGCCTCGTTCGATATTGGTTTTGTGGACACTTTCTTCCCGGGTTACGATGCATGTTTCCCATCGAAAACCCGGATCAGTGTGGATTCACACGAGATGGAGGACTCCTTGCTCTTGGATGAGACAGACGAGGAGGCTCTTAAAGATGAGTTGCGGGAAGATGAGATGTTGGATCAGGCTGACGCGGAAGCTGGTAAGAAAGTTGAGGAGCAGCTATGGGCTGAAGTCGAGAGAGAAGAGGGAGACGATGCCAGTGTAGCGTCCGAGAGGTAATATTTGAATGTGGATAATAAACCCTATAGCTACCTCATCACTTTACATAGCTGCTTAATACTTATTGGATGGGGTATCATTGATGCTTGTGATAATATATTCATGGCGATACACACTGTATATCGGATCCGCTCATTCAAGAGGAAACGAGGTCGTTGGGTCGCATCTGTGAAATTGCACCGCGCATCGTTGTAACATAATGCACTTATGGCACTCAGTTGTAGCTGTGCAGTGATTTCCCATAATAATTGATGATGATATCAATCGAGTCTAAGACCAAGTAGTATTCGCGCAAGTATGCGTGAATGAACTTGACGGCGGAGACAATAAAGAGGGCAGTGGGAGTAGCACCACGTTTTTTCAGCCCGCTTGTCACTCTGCGACTGCGACCCAGCTCGCGGTTGAAAGTCGATATAATTGGGAATAACGCTAGTAAGTATCGTCGTCATCAACCATAATCACCTTCAATCTCCATCCTTGCCAATCATCGTCCGGCTCGTCATCAGCCCATTCAAGGTCTTCATCACCAGGATCTCCTGCAACCCCAATCGCCTTGTGATCAACAAGGTCGTCGACGCCACCTAGTATATCAACTTCTTCATCTTCCTGGCGTTTTTTCCGCGCTGCAAGCTCAGCTTCATTCTCCTAGTCCTCGTGAGTAAACGGGGGGATTATGAACGGAAAGTACGGCTTACAATGTCAAATTCTGATTCTCCTTCCTCATACATCACATTCTCATCTGCTTCTTCGAAACCTCCAGCAAATGCACCCCACCGCTCTGGAGAGGGACAATGCCAAATGAGCACAGAACCTTGGTTAGTTGTTGAGGCAAGCCGAGAAGCTTGTGGATGCCACTGAAATTATGATGAATGCAAGAACCAGTAACATGACAGAGCAGACGTACATGGATGTCAATAAGAGGTTCTCTACCGCCGTCCAAGGCGGTCGCAAATTGACCATCATTTGAAATATCCCAGATGTAGATTTTGTGCGTCGCCGGATCCGCCGCACCTGTCCTCGCACAAATGGCGTAAGTCAAGTCGATAATGCTGAGATAGCCATTTACCTCCGGCAAGCCACTCTCCGTCAGGGCTATAAGACATAGCGTGCCACGAGACCTTGCTGATGGGATCGTTGAATCTATGCGTAGGCTCCAGTTCTGTTTCTAAAATCGCGCTTTCGGCGCCAACACCGGGTGAGGGATAAGTGGGGAGGATGAACTGTCTAATGGTGCGATCCGAGGAGTTAGTAGCAAAGCGGCTGAAGAAGGAAGCGTAAACAGAATGAATAAATGGGATAACAGGTCACCTACCGCCCCATTTTCGCAAATTCCAGACTCTTCATGCTACCGGCACCCGCTATACGATGCCGCGCAACCATCTATAATGCAATCAGATCTGTGTTACCCTGTTAGGCTGGGATTCCTTACAGTTTTGGTTCTGCTATTGAATACAAGTACGTTTCCGGTGGAAGTTCCGATAAATACGTGCCTGCCAGACGGATCAAATCGCGCAGTAGTCATAATGGAACTAAGTTCCAACGTCAGCGCACTTCGTAAAGGAGAAATCAATTCAGATACCGTGCACGTTCGTCGTCGCCTTCACTTAAGGCTTCGCACAGCTCCACTCTCGCTCTGTGCTCCTTGCGTGAATCAACCACGTAAGCCTCACCCGTGCTGAGCAGCGCAAGCACTATGCGACTACGCTTGCATCTATCGTCAACGTATGAGAATAGAAAGACAGACCCGATACGCACCTGTTTCTTGGATGGAAATATGCGCTAACGACCGGTGCATCAAATCGTATCGTGGTGCAACGTAGTGGAGGATCCACCGGAGAAGCTAGATCCCAGATAATTACGTTCCAGTCTTTGGACGACGTTAGGATATAGCGCGAATTCCGCGACCAGCTAGATACGATCAATTAACACGAGAGAGGAAAAATGCAGCGTCACTCACTCGACGCTGGTTACAGCCTTGACGTGACCCTCACACCACCGTATGGCAGCGCGGGTATCGAGATCCCAAATAGCGGCTGAGCCATCTGACCGGCCTGCCGCAACGAATTTGCCAGTTGGGTCGAAACGAGCAAAAGATGCACCAGAGACCAGGGAAGTTTGTACAGCAGTCGGGTGCGTAACGGTAAATGGGTCTTAGTTTGATAGCTCAGTACACATTATCGAAAACGCTGCACAAGCGTACTGAGTAAGGAAGCGTTCATGTTTGATTTTGACCAAACGATAGTTTCGAGTTGGCTTCGAGCTCTGAGTGGTATTTGAGCAGGAAAGAGTTGTAGGTCGGTCACGCACTGAAGCCACGTCGCGTACTTCGATCACCGACAGCGATGAGCTCTTCCAAACTTTCCAATATCCTCGAGGCTCTTTCAATCCCTCAAGAATTCTCCCGCTTTGACAAGCTTACAGATGAACAAATCCTTGCTCAACTCATCAGGTGGAAAACCGATGTTTGTGCTAACCTCACAAGTCTTCGCGATCTGCTCGCAATGCAGAATGGCATTAAAAGCCTACCGGTCGACGAGCAGGCAGATATTGCTGCATGCATAGCCGCATTTGATGGTCCTGGTGAATGGATCGCAGATGATTCTTCGTCTCTCGCACTATGTATGACCCCTTTATGACTAGATTGACGGTGTCTAACTATCGTTATAGCCATCCTCGACCCGCTTACTAGAACCATACATCCCTCCTCTGGTGCTAACACGTATCCTGGCGCATCACCTCAAACCAGCTTTCGCTGCCAATCCGCATCCGCGCCTTAACCTGCAGACGGGGCGGAAGCTACATCAGCCAGCGGATACGCAAGACGCGTATGAGGGACAGGTATGGAAGACGCGTATCGGTACTGGAAATGTCCTTGGATGGTGTCTACGAAACATCGATGTACGTGTAGCAGATGATTAAAGCCCAAAAACTTACGTCTGACTTCAACCGCGCAGGCCGGCACGTATGAATCCGTCTGGCACCTGATTCTCCCTCCAGTGATGACTTTCCTCGATGATTTCGAAGCATCTTACAAACTGCGGGGAGTTCAGCTCGTGTCCGACTTGCTTTCTCGCGTTCCTCCAGAACTTCTCAAGCGCACCGGGGTTGACGGTCTCTTATTCACTGTACGTCATGATTATATCCAAATTAATGCGATGCACCCTATCCTTCCCCTTTCTTGATGGCGCATAAATTTCAGCCTCGAATGCTGATACTATTTAATACAGTCTTTAAGTGGTACATTCAACCACCTGCGCGATCCGCTCACCCCAGATCTGATTCGCGCCGCCGTTCCTACCACTCTGCACCTGATTGACCTCGCCTCACCACCCTCACCGGCACCGCTTCCACCAACACCTGCATTTTCCTCAGACCGCACCATGACGTCCTCCCGCGCAAATCCGGCCACACGATACGAACATCTATCCACACTCCTCGGTTCCTGCCTTATTGGCACCGTCTTCCTATATGCATATACTGATCCTGAGGCCATTCTCGCGGCGACTGACATGCTTCCGCCCGTACTTACTCATATCGGAATAGGCGCTACCAGGTGGCTCAAGGTATGCCTTTACAAAGCCACTTTCAGCACACCTGAATAACTTGCAGCGACTGGCCATTCTAGGCATTAATTCCACAGTTAACCCATGTTCTTCTCCCGCCAGCCGTTCCTTCCCCCCACCCATACGCATGACGCCAATTTGAAGCTTAAGGTGTCTTCTCATCCGTGCACTATGTACTTGCATTGAAACCTGTGCCCCCCGAATATATCTATGGAAATGCAATATCATTGATGCAATTGGACGTGCATGGGCAGTTGCCATGGACATTGAACGTGAAGGTCATACTCAGTTTGCAGATGGTACAGGTAGGTAATTTACCCTTGGTTGTGGTCTTTCGTAACTAGTGTTTATTCAGATGCAAGTGACCTGGCACTGGAATATAAAGTTCTCCTTCAAATGACTTGTGTTAAGCTGGCAGAAGCATGTCCCAGTATCATTCAGGTACGACATTTACTCGCCTATCTTATTTGTGATTCTCAGTCAGTAAATCCATATCCAGGAAGAATATCAACAACTCTTGACATTTGATTCTGCGCTCTTTGGTGACCTTGTTGGCAGCTCTTCAGTTGCGTCAGACTGACTCGGGCATAGTCCTCAATCTTTATTGGAGCAACTTGTTGTACGTAAATTACTATAGATCAACATGTGTCAGTAATCCAGTGGCCGATAAGTAGGTACACGACAGAAAACAAAGATGTGACTGCGTGAAAATGCATGAAGTGGATGAAAATCAGCCAGGATCAACTCCGCACAGCACGTTTAGTCCACGCAACAGCAATATCGCTCAAAACCCAACCTACTACACGCACAATACCGGGCCGATTCGGCGATGCCAGATCTACATAGAATTCGTTTGATGCCTCATTTCCGGCAGGAAGTAAAGGGTTTGGCAGTGCATGGGTTAAATAATCACGACGCAAGTCTGCACGTGGACGAGGCTGCAGAACGGCGTGGTCGTGTGGGGGTGGGGCACGCATTGGTACCATAAAATGTACATGACAAGATGTAACTGGCTGAGATGGGATGTATGTTCAAGTGATGTTGAAGAGACAGGGAAATGCTTGAACGGAGTTCCGGAGCTCAGCGATCCCAGGTTGTTGCAGCGGATTGCGTAGGAGCACTTTCCCAGTTGCTCCTCAAAAAGGGCGAGTGGTTAGATGGGCGACCTGTGTTTCCAAAAAAGGACGAGGGTGGTTGTGAGGCCGCATTAGCCTGAGAGGCTTGTAGATAAAATGGATCTGTGGTCGTAAATATAGTCTGCGATTCGACTGGCGCGCCGACAATCGCGATAGGCGTAGGCGCGGGGGTTTGTGCACCCTTCAAGCCTGTGTATCCCCAAATAAAGGTTTTTGGAGACTGAGGGGAAGAGGGCACGATCATGTCCTCGACCATGCGTTCCTCATCCAGCTCGTCTACGTCACACCATCCCTCGTCTATGCTTGATCGACGGGTATGCGAACAAACGATACTATTGCCGCGCTTCCTCTGTGCGAGTTCTACGGGCATATAGCCTGCAGGCCACGAGATAGATGCGGAAGGGGTGCGCGTTGTGGGGGTCGTGCAGTGCTGCACGTGTGCGGGGTCACGCCTACTTGCGTTTGCATTCTGAGCAGTTGCATACGAGTAGGACGAGCTAGAAGATGCACACGACGGCGAAATTTGATGCGCAAATAGCGTCTGCGCGAGCTGCGCCTGAATCATGACGTGGTCAGATAAGCAATTGTGGGGAAGGGGGAATAAGGTTTATGCTTATACGTACCTGGAGAGCTGCAAGGTCGATCGCCTCTTGACCAATGTGATTTGCATTGAGTGAGGCTACGAGGTCGTCAACGGACATGCTCATTGTGAACTTCGCCTTTGAGCTAGTGGCGGAAGGCAACGGAGGAGAGACGAGCAGAGCCGTCATGCAGAGCCTTGTCAGGAGTATAAATCATTAATTAGAAACCACGTGTCACCATCCCCATATTGGGCTATCCAGTCTTTCGGAGTCTTCCGGCAACCTTCCGGTCCGTTTTTCTTTAACTATCCGGTACGGGGACCGTACCAGTCAATAAACGCTTGAACTCGCACTCTACGCATGGCGAGATCACGCAGACATCATGTAGATGCATGTACAGCTGCGTATCCTCTGGCAGGAATGTTTCGTGGGACCACTTTCCTTTGCAGGAAAATTCTCGCATCACGCCAAGTCAATTGACGTAGACGCGTTCGTTCTTTTCTTGTCCGGAGTTAGACGTACGGGAAATTAATCTTCTCTTGTGAACTATGCTCGGCGGGCACTCAACCTTAGTACCACGCCACTGGTGCTGTGCTGGGTACGTCGTTTCTCATTTTTGCGTACATACTCATACACACGGTTCTCATGTACTACCACCGCTAGGTTTTCATTTGGACTCATAATGCATCTCGAACCCCCAGGAACTGACAAACACTATTCCCCGCGGACTCCCGTCGTGTTTGTTCTTGGCGGTCCCTTTGGTTTGCATCATCCTGTGCGTCTATCTACAGATTTATAAGGGCCAGATTTCAAGCGTTGCCTAATTGCCTCGACTACCGGCGGCTGACCGCAGCTTCCTGCTCCTGGTGTTCTGAGCAGAAACACGGACCGTCTTCCTTATCCCACTTTGTACACAGTATCCCCTCGCATTCCGTTCGCCTTGCAAAAAACGTGCACCACTGAATTCGTCACGAAATTACGACACTACGTTCTGATTGTTTCCAGCGGAACCACTCTGGCCGGCGCCGAAGCTCAATTAGGCCCCTGACCGCTATCTCTACAGCCTAATTCAGTATCGTAGATCCTATTGAGCACCGAAGAAATCATCCAAGTAAGTATCAACTATCGTACGTTCTCATGTGATGAAGAACACTTTATCGTCGTAAACGTAGTATAGGACCTGTCTACTTAATAAGTTTTGCCTCGGATTATCACATGTCAGGCCTTCAGGGTCAAGGGATGTGAGATATGTATGTATGTAGTAGCCGTGCGGAGCCCGACTCAGGGCATTATTGGCCGAGCCACAAGGATAAGTAAAAGGTGGCAGTTGAGGTGACAGCTGCCCGCAGGTACATGTAAGAACATACAATCAATCAGTCCTCGATTAGCTCGCGAGGAGCGCCAAGCGTGCCTCCTTGGAACCGGGAAGAACGTCCACATCGAGTGAACAACACCCCCTGATTACTCATTTCTAGCTCCTTCAACTGCGCGATAAATCCCGCTCTCGGACACACTGCAGGCCTCGCGCGCACGAGCAGTCTAAGCGCATCCTTCAGCGACATAGAGCATCTCGAGATAAGGTAGGCTGCGATGATCGTTGGAGAGCGAGATACCCCCGCGACACAGTGGACAAGAACCTTTCCTCCACTGTTCCTAGCATCAGAAATGACCTGGTTGGCTCTATCGATGACCGTGTAAATAGATGACATATCCTTATCCAAGAGTTGCAGGCGGAGGTATTGGACATGAGGATGGTTAGGACAAACAGGCGCCCTGCCGATGCTGATAATGTGCGTAATGCCGGTTGAATCAATGAAAGATCTCGACGCAGACGTGTAAGGTCCGAGGAAAATGTAAGGTGGAACTACCGATACTCCAGCATCCCTTTTTCTGGGCCTCCGCACAGACTGCTCAGTCATTTTGAGGATGATAGAGGTGGTGAGACGGTGAGACGGTAAGTTACCGAGGAAGCATCTCGAAAGGAAACCCGTATGTAATCGAAGTCAGTGACGGGCCGCTCAGCGGTGTGAAGGTGGCCAGAACGTCATACATTGACAACAGAATCATAAAGGATTAATCATTTCCCAACGCAAAACGAGCTGAATATTCCGCCTAAGACTTCCTCGACGCCAACATCTAGTCCAGAAACAGAACCAATCGCCCGAGCTGCATACCGCAAGGACTCCGCAGCGATGTCAACTTGCGAAGGAGCTGTGAAGTCGAGCAGACATCGGTATGATGCACCAGGAAATATATTGGATGTACTCACGGAAGGTGATGAACTCCTCCAAATGCATGACAGCTTGTTCGAGGAAATCCCTATGGCGAGCATGCGTAATGAGCGGGCTTGCGCAATCGATACCATCGGTGTATCTGGCAAAAAAGGTTAGGATGTCCGTTGAACCGGTAGATGTTGGACATTTGTGAATAAAGAACCTTGTTCGTAAAACCTCCGCGAGACCATCTAGAAAGGATTGGGTGCCCTCGGACGTGCGAAGACTCACTGTCCAGAATTGGGGTCGTTTGTTGTCGTAGTCGTCTACAGACTCCGTAAAAGTGAGGGACTGCTTGCGAGGAAGGCTCGTGATAGTGTCAGACTTGTTCAATAAGAAAAGGGTATCTGGTTTCAAGTGGCTCTTAACCTCATCCGGGATTCGAACCTGCCCATTGTCCAGAGAGGATGATACATCAGGAAGGGATAGAACACAAAGAGACAAATCAGCCTCTTTCACACTGAGCCAACTGTTGAGAAGAAAATTCGGTATGGTGTTATATGACTTGTACGCACGCGTTGCCTGCACGACCCACCCCCGCTTGCTCTATAGTGTCCACCGTTTCTCGCAGGCCAGCAGTGTCGCTAAGAACGACGGGAAAACCTCCGATATCCAAGGTCAGAGTCAGCACATCCCGTGTAGTTCCCGGAATAGGTGACGTAATGGCCGCATCACGCTGGGCTACAGTGAAGGGTTCGAATCCGGATCTCAAAGTGTATCAAGTACGTACCAAGAAAATTGAATAAGCTACTCTTGCCAGCATTCGGAGGTCCGAATATTGCGAGTTTGATTCCTGAGCGCAGAATCTCCCCACGGCGGTTGTCATCCAGGTGAGAACGAATGCAGTTGATGATATTCAATGCACGGACATGAGCTAATACCATTTCAGACAAAAATGTGACTGGGACTGTAAAGGACCTGCCTTCTCTAATCATCGCCTCCTGGCCGAGTTCGTCCACATCCTCTCCAAAATCAATAAAACCTTCGACAAAAACTAGGCATTCCAGTATCTGCGACCTGAGTGCTTCATATAGCGCTCTTGCAGTCCCCTAGGAATATTCGGGGTAAGCTCTAAAAATAGGCAGCAATGACCCCTACCTCTGCTCCACCAACGGCAACCCTTCTTTGAGCTTCTGTTTCAGCATCTATTAAGTCGCGTAGGCCCTCGACTTGGGTAAGATCAAGTCGGCCACCCTCAAAGGCACGTCTCGTAAACTCGCCCGGGGCAGCAGGTCGACAGTATGGTAGTTTCGCAAGCGCACGTAACACTGCGGAAAGTACTGCACGCCCAGAGTGGATGTGAAGTTCGAGAGTATCTTCCGTGGTAAATGATTTTGGACCTAATACACAATAAAATAACCTCTACCTATAGGGGAAAAAAGAACTCACCCTTGAAGAAGACAGTCAAGCTGTCATCGAGTTTCTCTTCGGTCTCTGGATCGACAACATGTCTGCGCTGGAGCATCCATGGAGTCGGTGTATCTCCAGACTTTGTTTTGCGCGTCACTCGTCGCCAAACTTCAAGGGCGTCAGGTCCCGAAACCCGGATGACAGCAATACCTGCTTTTCCAGGAGGTGTGGAGAGCGCGTATATAGTTCTACGCTGCGCGTCAGAGAGCGCGGTCCCAGACTTCGCGGGGAGAGTACGACTGGTAGCATCAAACCGCGAATATGATCTGCTGAGGCGGTGTGATTTGCAGTTCCAGGGGGAATTTCTATGTAGAACGATTGATGTAAAGTTTGGGATCAGCAGGGAGGAATTTTCCCGAAATTGTCTCCGTTGTACGCGTGAATCCTTTACAGCTTTTTGAATGGTACTGGCTCGCCATAGCCGCAACATTCACTGCCCTCGAGTTCTAGCTCGCCGCCAGTCGCGACCAGTATGACGGCTTAGACGCGTGCTAAGTACAAAGACTTATCGTAATTTCTCACGACTACAGCTTGCCCTTACCACTCATCGCTGAGCACATTCGTCCAAGATCTAGCTAAATCGTCTACTCCCGCACTTATCCTACCCGCTTTTGAACTCGATATTACCTAGTTGAATCAGACGTCATGGGTCAAACACGTTCGTATTTTCCCCTGATGCATTCGTCTTTCACTTACCCCGCGATGAACAGCATCACAGTTTATGGAGGACATGCAGAAGCGGTCCAACTGTGCGTTCTACGTGCCAAATCACATCTACTCTCTTGGATGTCCATTTAATCATGCTGTGCAGTCACATCCGCTGAGCTGGAAAGATTGAAGAAACGCTTCATGAAACTGGACAGGTGCGTTTACAGCACATCATTGCTACCAATCTCACGATGCATATACAGTGACGGTTCAGGCTCCATAGATCGCGAAGAATTCCTGCAAATACCGCAAATAGCTACCAACCCATTGGCTTCAAGGATGATTGCAATCTTTGACGAAGAGTGCGTTGACAGATTTCTGGTGGCTGCTCGGCTGTCTCATACGATTTAAATCTTCCGCAGTGGAGGAGGCACTGTAGACTTCCAAGAATTTGTGGGCGGGTTGAGCGCGTTTAGTAGTCGAGGAGGGCGAGAAGAGAAGCTACGATGTGCGTCTCCAATTTTGGTCCATCAACATGGTCTCACTTCTGGATAAAGTTGCATTCAAGGTTTATGACGTGGATCGAGATGGTTTCATTTCCAATGGAGAGCTGTTCCTGGTATTGAAAATGATGGTTGGGAACAATCTCAAGGTCTGCATGCGCTTATCCAATGATTCTGGATAACCTTTCAATATATTCTTTGAAACAGGATCAGCAACTACAGCAGATCGTCGACAAGACAATCATGGAAGGCGATCTAGATCGTGATGGGAAACTCAGCTTCGAGGAGTTCGCCCAGATGGTGTCAAACACGGTTGGAGAATTTTTTTTTACTCGCTTCACTGCTGGTGCTGATTTTTATACCCCTAGGACATTGTGAAGCAGATGACGCTTGAAGACCTTTTCTGACAACTTCGTCACCGACGGATATTCGCGTCCCCTCATACCTCGCTGTGCACTTGTTGTTCATCATGCTCGTCTGTTGCATCATTATCCATCCATCATATAGTGGCAACTTACATGTAGTATCGCCTTTTGTTGTAGAGTATAAGTCTCAGTCTCAGAATACCATACCACGATCACAATCACGGTACGTGAAAGCAACTGGGAACTAGAAAATAGGACAAATGACACTGGTCTGAACCTTGTGCATATGTATCTCACTCATCAATAGAGTAAATAAGAGTCCGAGCGTGGATAAAATCTTAAATAAAAGTTCAAGGAATAAAACCCGTAAATGAAGTTTCTAATATTCACTTTCAGGCTACCGTCTGCACCCTGGAATATTTTGATTAGCCTGATCAGGTGAGCTGCTAGTTATAACGAAGCACTTACTGGATGAACCATGTCTGATCAGAAGTGACACAATTCCCGCCATGAGCATTCTGTTGAGACTGACAGTTAAATGCGACATATTCAACGACGTTAGCCTGCATATCTGAGAGTCAGACACTGAAATTAAGCACATCTCATGAGAAACCTTACCCAGTTCGTTCTGCAGTACGTTTCGGTATAGCTGGCCTGGTTCACGAAGAATGTCTCGCAAGTGGCGTACTGCATATAGAGAGTGGTTGCAGTCTACTTCAAAGCATCAGGGTAGGTCCTCAAGAGGCCATGTTTAACATACTGTGATATTAAAAAGTGCACCTGCAAACCACATGCGTCAGAAGAAAACCGAAAGGGAGAGATACACGAGCACTACTCACCGATGTTCTGACTATCATACAAGAGAGCATCGGAGATGACTTGGCAATCGTAAGGGTCTGGACCACCACCAGATGGAGTAAAGCAGTTGGTGGTACCTTGAACGTAATGAACCCAGTTTAGAGAGTCAAGCAAGCAAGTGTAGGAAAGCGACGCACAGGTATCGGCGCAGACATTCGTCTGGCGCGCTTCAAGACCGCGCTTTTGAATGGTATTTGAGCAGCCTAATGTCTCAACCTTGACATCTGAGTTTTCCCCGATGAAAGAAGATGAGATGACGGCCTTGTTCTCGCATGTAAACGCTAGATGGAGTCAGGTGCATCAACGTCTATCTGCAATCGCCTTAGGACGGTTACGTACAGGAAGCTTGAACTGCGACAGCAGCAAAAACAGCAGCGATGGCGAACTGAAGGAACTGCATGACAAGATTGAATAAAATGAAGTTAGAAGCTGAGCACGACCGACGAGTTCTTATATCTTAACCAGCGTCAGTCTTTTCTGGTGAATTCTCAGTATGGGGTAGCAAGCCCGCGCGATATCATGAGGCTTAGATCAAAGACGAACGACTGACTCGCGTCCTTCTATGGTCTGCCTAGGAGAGGCAGCAATGAGCGGAACTCGCTTTTGACTCCTGTGGCGGCATTTTGATGCCACACGGTGGTGTCTGACCGGAAACATCTCAATGCATTGTTTTCGGATCTTGGCCAGCAAATCCCACCTCATCGAATGGGGACAGTCCAAGACATTTGTGTCCCCCGCTGATGGCGGCGTCCATGTGATTGTTCAGGGCTACTTTGAATATTCTGATAGATGGACTCACCATACATGGTGCACGGTGCCAGCATGATACGCCCTCATAGAAACGAGACACCTTGTGACCTACACCCTTGTGAGACCTCAGCTGAAAATTTGCGTATTAAATCTTGATAGTGGTGTGGATGAGCAAATCAGTATCCAAAGCAAGTTATATCGGGCTTGGACCAGAAATAATACGTAAAGGCGTCCTTAGATCAATGACAGTGGAATGCAAACAGTCAGCCCGGCTCAGCAAGGCCTGAGGATATTATCAGTTATAACAACATCTGGACGATAAACTTGGCGAGGTTGACGATATTTTCATAATGATATCAAGACGAAGGATACTCACGACGGCAACTCACTTAGCCTCTGTGCAAGCCACTATATTACACCAAAGTACTGCGGACAAAAGACCCACTTTAAAAAGAATTATCATAGAGGTTGAATTCGTGCTGAGGTGCATATGTCTTTTTACTCTTCATCCGCTCTCGATGAGTCCGGGCTGGTTTGGATAGTTACAAGTTCAATCGAGGAGTGCAGAGGTTCAGAATCCCTGGCGAAACGCCCCCTCATGTTGAGTAGGAGACGGTTGCAGAGCAAGGATGGTAAAGCCATAGACCATCTATCAGATTATCTTAGATATGGTTCTAGCGCACAGGGAGACAGACCCACGGCATGAAAAGGTCAATGTAATCAGGAAATCGTGCCCAAACAACGGTTGATGCTACGAGTTCCATGAATATTCTGTAGATGAATGATCAGCTGTGCAGCAACCTAGAAGCTGACAGACATACACGAGAAAGTATAATAAACTTGAGTGGCCATCAGCATTTCTCATCACTGCAAAGATAACTACCAACCTATCACGGGCCAGAAACATTGCAAGTTCACTGCGTGCTTGTCGGTCCAGCAAAACTTTCTTGAGGACGAGTATACAAATGATGGGTTCGATAACCAGCGCTGGTGTCCAAAAGATAGCAGAGAGAGGGGCAAGACCCTCAAAGACACAACCCACTGGGGTAGAGACTACCGGAAATCCTGACAGAAGTTCATTAGGTTACATCTAGATTCTACAATGAAACGCCAAACTCACTTTCCACGCGGGCGATTGTCACGCCGATGAGAAGCGCCATTGCTGTGATCTCAATTATACTCAAGCCAATCATCCAAAAGAAGACCCTGCGACTTCGGCCATAAATTGCCCACGCCTTGAAGGATGTTAGCTGTCGACTTTTCGTATGAAGTTGCAGGACTCCCTCTAAGCTGCAGGATTGCTGAAACAAATAAGGTTCAATGGGGGACAGCTATGCACAGGCTGTACACTCACTTTGAACAGAGATCGTCATAAGGAGTGCGCTGTCGAATCATGAGCAATATAGCAAGAAGACTCGAGTGATCCACGACTTACATGATATTATTGCATAGCATGTAAGTGACACAGCTAGGCCAAGAGAAGAAATCAACCCCATGAATTTCATAGTAACATGAACATACGTCTTAATGAATCATTAGCATAGGACGGCGAAAGGGTGTGTCAGAAGAATTACTTTGGATGACGCCACGTTAGTTGGGCTTAGTTGTACTTGAATGCTAGTCAACAGAGCCACCAATGGTAAAAATTCCCTGCTTACTGATGTCGAAAATAAGCCATGACGCTGGAAGCCAGCGGTTCTAGGGAGCACATTAGCGCACAGTACATTTTTCTCTGTCATGCTAACTCACGAAGTGATAGAGATATGTCACCCAACTTGTCCTTTTCATCCAAATAAGATCAACCTGCCAACTCGTACATTAACAGCTACCGTGGATGCAATCAGATGGACAGTGTACCTCGTCCTCGATGGTAATAACTACCAGAAATGAGAGTGAGCACGTAAAATCACCGAGCAAAAAATTCTTACTGTGTTCATAAATGAGAAGTCCCAGCGCTCCAGCTTGCGATTGTTTGCCAATGTTCACTGACGCGGATACTCATCAGTAAAACGCCCAAAAATGAGTCATACATCACCAACAAGCTCGCCGAGCGGACTGTGAAATCACGATCGTGTCCAACATGAATGGCTGAAAAAAATCCTGGCATGCCATGAAGCTGAACCAGCTTAAGCTTTAAGACTCGATACGCGATAAACAAAGGCTCAGCACGCGACGCAAACATATGTGGTCACTGCTGCATCATGCCGTTCGGGATCGCAGCCTCAATCCGGTTGGATGCAATATAGTAAAGGGTAAAACGATCCGATTACGTAGTGGGTTCTGGAGTTCTCGCTCCAGACGTCAAAGTTGCCGGCAGGTAAATCTTGAAGCGTGACTAATATTGTTCGTGTCGAGTCCTCGAGGTTTCACCGGCAATGCTCGGGACAGTGCTTTCAACATACAAAACATGACTTGGCGAGAACGGAGAAGTGTCCGCCGGAGATTCTGCTGAAGTTGGCTGTGCGAGCTTTGAAGCGTACCCGATACTTGCTGAGCGTCCTTGCAGCGGCCCATCGAAAAACTGACATGCGTCCCGGACCCTGACCAGGGCCGTGACTTATGTAAGCACATGCTGAGAATCAATTATCTCAGGTCTTGTAAGTTAGGCGGGGACTTTGCAAACGTTCTGATAAATTTTCGAGGGGGTAGATACGAGTAGCAGGCGCAGGGTGCCGTTGATTAGCACCGCTTCAACGATAATGAGGTCCCCGGAACTTCCGCCACTACTCATTACCAATTACCACTTTACTTTTTTACCCTCCTGTTGCGATTCACGATAAGCAAGCGCAGCAAGGTCATTGACCGAGAAATATCCTTACTGGCTCGCTCTCGCTGACATCCATGTCGTCATCCCGTTCTCTTTTCAGAATAGCGGAATCCATATCCATTGTACTTTCATCTCCCGCAGACTCCGAAGAACGTCCGGGTATAGGGCAACGCCATGCGCTTATCTTTGAATCCTCGCCACCTGTGACGAGAATTTCATGCTGTGTTGTTGGTAAGCACAAAATATCGCTGGACCAAGTGGACGTACATTTTCATCCCAGAAGACTGAACGGACCACTCCAGTGTGCCCACTAGCCCATACTGAATTTATTGTCCATAGCGCAGATGAGTCTGTTACATTCGAGCTTGAGAGGAGGGCCACGTCTCCCCTACGCGAGGATGTTACATCAGAGGACAACGCCATGATATGCCATATACTCATTCGAACCAACAAATACAGCGAGGTTACTGTCAGATCGTTTTGTATTTTGACACGTTATAAGATAGTGAGAACATACCTCATTTGACCAGCAACTGAATGTTTCCATATCGCTGGCAGCCCAGACACGATTAGTCGACGAGCAGCAGATCCATCCTGCTTGGGATATGCTACAACCCCAGCTCCCGACATTCAGAACCGCTTCATCTTCATCGTCTTCCGCAGAATTTGATGTGCTAACCAGACCATCGGTGGAATCTGATAGCAGGATCTGTCCAGACGTTGGAGATGGACTATTTTTTAGAGAGTGCAGTGCAGTAATGTCGTCTAAATGTGTCGAGCCGTGAACACGGAGTGGTACAGCTGGCTTTCGAGGGTCCCTTCGATTTCGTTTTGAATTCCACAGTCTATGCAAAGAAAAGTAGGACCTACCAGTAAAGTATGAACGCATCCTTCCTGTAGATCTATCCTGATACGAAAATGTGATTTTGGGTTTACGTAGGGCTAGACAGTGTCAGTTGCTCCGTAATAAACTCGCTTTTCCAAAAGAAAATGTGATTTTGGGTCATTAGCCGGTGTCACAGATTCACACGCATTCTTGTCTCTTGTCATCGTTACTATCACTGACACCCTTTTTCAAAACTTTTCAATGTTTGATGCGTAGCGCACTCGTCAAGAGGGTTTTTCCCCCCGTTTCTTGACAAACCTGTAGGAAATATCGTGCTCTATTACACCCGGGTGAAATCTGATTTTTTTGTGATGATGTTCGAGTGTCGGAAGGATTCCGGTTGTGCGATGTCAGTTTGGCAGGCCTGACTGGCTACGCTTTTTCAAAATCCGTCACAGCAATGTCACACTGGAGTTTTATGACTCCGCAAGGGCACACTCGGCAGAAGTTTGAATCTCGATATCTGAACTTGTTGGAGTGAAGGAACCCAAATTTTCAAATTGTGCATGTACATTATATAGACCAGCTATTCACAGTAAGTAAATTGAAATGTAGTGTGTGCATTAAGTGGATAGGATATGATACTAGTATAGAATGAAAGTGAGTATGTTCTTGAAAGTGTATAATCAAAGACCGGATGTATGATATGTACCTGATACAGATTAAACTCACAATCCAGGGAATTGCGCTGGTGAGTGATAATAAGGTGGATGATAAAAGGGATCATGTTGAGGAGGCGTGGTCTGATGAGAATGTTCATGATAAGGCATATTAATTGCAGATGTGAGTGGGAGACAGTTTGCTGGATGCTGAAGAGGGTGGTGATGTGCAAGTGTAAGTGGAGGATTTTTTTCATTGTCATTGTGCATGTGAGAAGTGTGGTTATGCAAGCCACTTGGAGACGAGAAAATGAGAAAGCTAGTAAGAATAATCTCAGTTGCTTGATAGGAATTCTGTGTAGTGCAACTATAGTACCTAGTAAGAATACTACTGGTATGTTAGATCATGTATAATAGAAGGGAAAAAAGATAATGTACATCTCAGTTGCTTGATAGGAACTGAGATGTTCGGATGAGAAGGTTTGTTGCTTTATAGTAGTTAGCATAGTGATGTAAGTGATGTAAGAAATTGATCATAGCTAGGAAAAGAATGATACTTTGCATGTACAAATATTGGTCCTGACATCATTGCATCGTCCGTTGCTCATTGCAGTTGCGCTTGCAGTATCATCCTGACAGTCCAGCTGTCATTCCTGGCATCTTGTCCTGACTCCTCTGATCCCAACACTCCCCCTAGAGCGCAATTATTCAAGTTCATCAGAGCCCATAGCTTCTGATGATGAAGGCATGCTAGAGCCTTGGTAAACATGTCAGTGATGTTATCTTCAGTGGGGCAATAGAGTAGCTTGAAGTTGCCACTCTTCACGTGTGCAGGGATGAAGTGGAAATGAAGGTCAATATGTTTTGTTTGGGAGTGAAACTTCTGGTTTGAGGCAAGCATGATGGTGGCTTGATTATTGCAGTACACTGGAGTGGGAAGAGTAGGGGATTCATACAATTCCTTGATGAGAAAATGTAGGTATCTGATCTCTCAGGTGACTGTGGTTAATGCAATGTACTCTGCCTCTGCAGTGGAGAGCATGATAAGTGGCTGCTTTCAGGTGCTCCAGGCTATAGGTTCACGATTGAGCAAAATGACATACCCTGACATTGAATGTTGGTGGGGTTGCAATGCCCAATCAGCATCCACATAGGCTTCTAGGCTGGTGTCAGTGGTCCCTAGTGTTATACCATGGTCCACAGTCCCTTTGAGGTAGTGTAATACATGCTTGGCCTGCTTGCACAGTACACCTGGCCTGGGTTGCGCATGAATTGGGATAGGGTGGCGACAGAGAAACTGATATTAGGGTGCGTGCTGGTGGCTGCATACATTAGTGAGCCTATAGCACGTTGGTAGGGGACTTCATGCATCCCTTGATACTCAGCATGTGTTCCAGCAGACTGGTCAACCAAGAAGACGGCATCCGCATCCATGGGGGCTGATGGCTGCTTTTGTGTCAGTGAGATGGAAAAATTTGAGGATTGTACCTATATAAGCATGCTGCATGAGGGTAATGGTATGTGCCTTGTGGTTGTGCTCAACCTTAAGCCCAAGGAGCCAATTAAGTTCACCTAGGTCCGAGATCTCGAAATGCTTGTGAAGCTGAGACTTGAAACATTGGATGTGGGATAGGTGGTTGGTGGTGATGGCCATGTCATCTACTGATACCATGATGACCATGTGCTCATTGGGAGTGTGCTTGTAGTAGATGGCCTGATCGACCTGCAAACACATGAACCCCAACTTCTCAAATACTCCCACCAATTCTTCTGCCCACTTGAATCCCATCTGTTTCAGGCCTGGTAAACTTCTCCTCAACTTTAGCACCTTTTTCTCCTGTCCCTCCTTCAAATATCCTGGTGGTGTGCACATGAAGATCTCTTCTTTGATGTCCGCATAGAGGTAGGCACTCTTGATATTGACCTGATGGATTTCCCAGTTGTGCTTGGTGGCCATTGTTAGAACTGTTCAGATAGTTGACATATTGGAAATTGGCACAAAGGTATCAAAATAGTTGATGCCATACTGTTGGCACTGCCCGTTAGCTACTAGTCATGCTCAGAGCTTCAATTTTTTGCCATCAGGACCTTGTTTTGTTGCTAAGACATAATGACAAGGAATGAGGTTAGCACGTGGTGGTGCGTCAACAACTTCCCAGGTTCCTAACTTTTCTAACTGACTAATCTCATGGTCAATTGCCTCTTGCCATTCAATGACATCAGGTCTATTCAAGGCCTGCTGGAGAGTAGGTTCGGGCTCTACTGTGGCTGCAGCATATTGATGGGTGAGTGCTTCTTCATCCATCAAATCTAACGCTTCAGGCTGGAAGACCAACAAGGCACTCTCCCCCTGGTTGAGTGTGGTGTAATATCCCGGGGGTGGGTGTACTTGAGTGAGCCTTGGTGCAGGTGGCATTTTGGGTTGTTGAGGGGGTTTTATGGGAGTGGTAGGAGGTTGGGGAGGTGAGATGACTTGAATGCTAGGTGCATTAGTAGTTTGCTTGCCTGTATTTGCATTAATAGGCATGGACTCCCTCTCATTTGAGGCATCCTCACCTACTAAGACCTCAACAGGCATGAACATCACGTTCCACTCAACCAAAACTTGTCATTTGGACAGCCAGTACAGCCAGTATCCCTTGCTCTCATCATCTACACCCATGAAGACCACCTCCTCCGCCCTGGCATCTAGCTTCACTGTGTCTTGGAGATGCACATATATCATTGCACCAAACTCATGAGCGTGTGTCAGGTCAGCTTTCTTATTGTGAAATAGGTCATATGGGGTATGCCCTGGTATTGTGTGCAATTCTAAGTGATTCTTCAACCATGTGGTGTAGTTGATGGCTTCAGCCCATAGGAACTTTGGGAGATTGTGCACCAACAGCATTGCCTGCACTAGGTTGGTTAGGGTACAATTCAGCCGCTCTGTGACACTGTTCTGCTGTGGTGAGTCATGTACTGTCAGCTGCTGCTCAATTCCCTGACTCTTCAGATAGTCATCAAAGTCCCAACTAAGATACTCCCTGCCATGATCTGATCTGACCTTTGCCAGGTGCATGCCCGGATTCTGATGGCTGATCCAGGCCTCATACTCCTTGAAAGCAGCAAGAGCATTGCTCTTGGCTTTGAGGAACACAATCCTCATCTCTTGGCTGAAATCATTGGTGAAGCTGATATAATAGGTGCACCCTCCCAGGCTCTCAGTCCTTGCTGGTCCCCAGAGATCTGTGTGAACAAGCTTAGTGTATCACAGCGCACATCTCACTGTTTCGGCGGGAAACAGCTTTCTAGAGGCCTTGTCATATCCCGTACCTCCGGATCTGGAATTCCGGATCTACTTCATTGAAGTCCAGTCCTCCATCTTACTATTCCACCCAGTGCTCCGCCTTCATCTCCGCACTCACCCCTAACTCCTTTTAGATTAGCTATTGCTCCAGTTACCAGTTATGTCCTATTCCGCTATGCTTACTGATCCGTCCATTCTTACTTCATTTCTGACTTCACTGCTTTGATCTGTTATGCTTAGTAATAGACTTTCCACATGCTTCATACATAGCCCTTACCTTTGCTGACTGATTTACTTACATGATACCTACAGTATATAAACCCCTGTAATACTCTGGAACTCCTCAGTTCGAATATCATCTTAGTTCTGCTCATTCCTGCAATCTCCGGACTTGAGTCTCACCTCTTGTCCACCTCTGAGTCTTAGGGGTTAAACCTTAGGACTACTTCTCCGGCTCTACCTTAGGGTAGTCTAACCCCTGTTCTGTTTCTACTCTGGACTTCTGTAGTAGCCTTACTCCGTCCCCACATAAGTCTTCTGGAGTTCCGCCAAACTCCACCGACTTCTGTCCTCTGGAATTCCCCAGGACTTCCGTCGGACTTCCCCTCTGTCCCCCGGAAATTAAAGGGCACGTACTCGGGTAAGGGGTGCAGCGCACGAGCTGAAGCCGAAGCCCTTTGAGTAACCTCTCCCTTGAGCACTGACCTTAACAGGCCTTCACCTTAACACAGGCATTGCAAAACTTGGGTTGAGAGGTGGAGTCAAGCTCAACACCCTCAATAAGACCCTTTTTAACAGCCTCGGCAACTGTATTCTAGGAGATGTGTCCCAGGACCCAGTGGAGTTTGCAGATGGTGAGTTTGCCCTTTGCAATGTTCATGTACTGCTTTGATTAGGCAGCAATGGTATAGAGACCTTTGACTTGGGGGATAGTGGTGATCATGGTATGCTTGGGCCCTCTCAACAGGATCTTACCAGTTTTTGTCTTCAAAGTGAATGGCTAGACCACCTGCAGTTATGGGGTGAGTGGAGATCAAGGGTGAATGCCATCTTTGGCGCATACAGTGCGTTTGTCACGAATCCCAAACACAAATCATTTTTCATTCCTCAGCT